TAAAGTTGCCGCCTGGGGGGACCTTCCAGTGCTTAACGTGCGGTTAACGGTGGATGCGCCGGCCTGCCAAGTTGAGTTGGGCTGCTTCTATTGATTTCTCTTGCCTTTTCCTACTTCTATTTTTCCTGTCTCTTTTTTTTTTTTTTTTTTTCCTTTTTCTTCTTTAACCACCTATTCTTTCTAAGCACCTGTTACCAGCGGAAATCTTGCAGCCTTTGCCGTCTGTCTGTTGGTGATGATGGCAATGGTGGTTGATCCGATGCGATGCGTTGGGCGCAAACGCCGCATGGCTGCACATGCACAAATACCGGGGGGTTACATGGCGCGGCTGTACCAAGGTACCTGCTCCAAGGTACCTGCTCTTAGGCACCAGCGTCGCACACTTGCAAGTACTGTGCTAACGGCTGTGCAGTACTCCTTGCGAGCAGTTTGCAGGCGCAATCAAGCTGCGACGGTGCGCTGTAAGCCCCCAGCCGTGCATCTCTGCAGCTGCAGCCTCTTTGCACCGCCCGCCGCCAGAAACTCCGTGGAAAACAAAACGAAGAGCACTAGAAGAACCCGGTTTGCTGGCGCTGCGACATTGGCACAACTGCGTCAAAGCCAGAAATGCTACCCAAAGAGCAGAGCCGATGGCCGCTACTTGCATCCTCCTCGCCAGCTAACCTAACCGCATCAACCAGGGTCATGCATGTACTGCGTCTGTACCTACCCCGTCAACCCGTCTCCGTCAACATCGCGCGCTTATCGACCTTGTCCATCACAAACTGCATACTACTATGTACGAACTCGGCGGCGGGAATATGGGCGCATAATAGCATGTTAACAGCCTTGGTTCAGCATGTTGCATGGCCTGAGACGTCATCACTCTTCCTTTTCCGTTCCGTGATCTTTTTTTTCGCCTCTCCCAGCCTTGGGGACGCCGGTACGCCACCGCGGCACGTGACATGTCGTCAAGCTGGCTCTTCTCCTTCGCACAGACCGGCCAAGCACGCACAAGCCTTGGGGCTCTTTTCCCCGTTTCCCACAATTCCCACAGAATAGCACTGCCACTAGCAAGAGCCCGGGGTTGCACGATCAATCTTGGCCGCATCGCTTGGTTCCGATCTATCGCGGGCTTGCAGAGTGACCAAGGCTCTATGAAGCCGGCAAAAGACAAAGTACATACGAGCAGAGGGAAACAGTCGTGAGCGGCAGGAAAAGGACCCCGAAAATGCCACGCCGGGATTCAGCCGCCTGCCGCCCTCCGCCTTTTTGCTCTCCTCCCAGCTCCGCGACTAAGCTAAGCGCCCTCGGCTGATCTATCACTTTCGCTTTCTTCTTGGTTGATATTAATGTTCCGCTGTCATGATTCAACGCTGCATGAAATGGCACCCCAATGCATAGCCGCCACGCTTGTCACAACCGAGCATGGTTTCTCCTTACAAGCGTTGCATCCAAGGGCTTCCTCAGGGTAACATCAATCCATCCCCGTGCCTGTTCTTTTTCTTCCACCAGCCGCTAACTCGTTTCTTAGCTAAATCAAGAATATGCTTGCGGCCCGTCATGCCTCTAAAGCTCGGCCGACCCAGCTTTTCGCGACTTGCTCTAGGGAAGGAAGCCGAGGCGTTATTACTGGTAGTTAGTCTGTCGAGGGTTCCTGATTTGCCCAGTCGGCGGCACCCTCAGCCGCCACTTTTTTATTTTGCGAATCACGGGCCCTAGGAGCCCCCCTGGCCCGACGCACGGCGCATCGATTTTATTGCCCTTTTTTTTCCGGGGATGCGGTACGCTAATGTGAAGTAGGGCGGGTAAATCAACCAGCCCAGCTGTTGGGTCCAACTGACTTACACGCTACCAAGTACACCAGGGAGGCATCTCGTCTTTCGCTGACTGACGATCTATCTATCTCTGGCCAACCTGCTCTTTCTCTGCTCTTTGATGCAGGGGACGTGGCCTCTTTCTCCGCCTCCTCTCCCTTATTTTCCGGTGATCATATAGCCCCATTATGCCCTACAGTCGCTACTAGGCTCCCTAGCTGCTTTTCCATGCCCATCGTTCATGACGAGAGCGAAGCCACTCAAAGGTGCCATGGTGAAGCTGCATCCCATTGCCGCCTCTTCTAATTTTGAGCAATATGACCATATATTGCGTCATACACGCTGCTATGCTATGCTCCGAATGGCAAATCGCGACAACGGATAAACAACCAATACAAGTCCATTGTTTCGAATGACACGGTACCTGATCTCAGTATGGGTTTTCCAACTTATTCATGTGCCAATCATGATTCTATTTTAAATTAAGGAGCATCAACAAAGACTTCCAAAGTGTGTTCAAGATTTGGCAGTCTCAGCACGCGAGGGGGACAAGAAAAAAAAAAGAAAAAAAAAAGAAGAAGAAGAAGAAGAAGAAGAATGGCGGTAGACATGAAGCCGTTGACATACTCTCATTCATCACAGCGCTGAGGTCCCAGACAGCCAAGGGAGCGAACGAGAAAACAAATGTTGGGAGAGAAGAAAAAGCAATTCTCATATCAGTGTTGTTGTTCAGCCTGATTTCTTGGCCTAACAGCTTTCACTAGTTTCCATGTTGGCTACCGAGTACCCAATATAGAAACGGCACACATTATCACCGCTTTTGTCTTATCTTGCTGTCTCTCTAGCGAGTGAATTACGGCACAACAAAGCTGGCACACTACGCCAGCCATCATGCATGTCTCTAATAGCATAAGCCATTGGGCTGTGAGCGGCAAATAAGCCTGCCCAAGTATGGAGCACAACCATTTGGACTATCCGAATACCATGTCGTCATGTATAGGTGCCGGCAGTTGCTGGACCACGCTGATTTGTTAAACAATTTTCTCCCTCTTTTCACTTCCATCTTATCATGATGCGACCAGATGATCACGCAAATCAGCCCTTCTACCTGCTCAAGGGGGTACCTTCGACTGAAGGAAAACATGTGCATATTCATAGGTGAGACGAGTGGTACAAGCGTCTATATCGTTTAAGCTGCATCTTCATCAAGTCACAGCCATGTGCTCAATCGATGGGATAGGAGGCTTCTCGTTAGTGATCCCTAAACAGCGTGGGATATGCGGTATCAATCAACCGGTGTAGACGACCCTTGCTGCCGTTTACACAGGGCCTGCATATTAGCGTGGCCACGTCTTCGGATTCTCAGCTACGAACGGTGAGCTAGTGCTCCCATCTAGCACTAAAACTCATGCACCACCACGGGATATTGTTATTAGCATATGCAGTTGGCTGTTGCCGTGGCCAAAATGGGAACTGGAGGCGTTCGCTTTGTACGCTGGACCTATGTTCTGGCCCGTAAACCTGGTTGACTCGGGTGTCAATAGATCGAAAGAGCTGCGGGCCGCCGACGCAAGCCTTGCATCTTTCTTTTTACAAATGTCAATATTACTAGGTATTATTTGTACTACTAACCCTTTCGTGGAAGGCAGAAGCCTAGAAGAGGGGGGAAATGGACAAAAAAAGACAAACAGAAACGGAACAGATTGTTCAGTAACACCAAACATACTCCTTATCTTGTCACACTTGCCTTTGCAAGATTACTGGCATGGATAATGGTCGGTGTTTGCATACATTATCTCTCTTTCGCCTTATCTCTCAGTCTTTGCACGTATGCACAATTCAAAAAGATAGCAGACTTGAGTTTGTGGAACCATTTTCAGTCCGGATAGCCGCTTCAACGTTGAACATATGCATGATGCATGCACCGCGAGAAGACCATTGGAACATGGAAACGTAAACTACCCATGTCGTTCAATAGATTAATTTCTAGCTCAGCTGTGATGCAACCATACAGCTGACGTCCTTCGCCGAATACGTGTTGGGCGTTTGGATTCTGAATTGACAAAAAAAGAAAAAAAAAAAAAAAAAAAAAAAAAAAAAAAAAAAAAAAAAGAGAGAGAGAGAGAGAGAGAGAGAGAGGTGCAAGTACGGGAACCAGTTGCGTTTACTACCTAGACTACCTACTTCGTACAGGATCCCGTTCTAGAGCTAGGATTTGAAAATTGGCGATTATCGACTTGACATGCACACCGAATTGGGAAAATGTTCCGAATTCGCAACCAACTCTTACAGCTTAGTTGAGCCGCAGTTCTTTTACTTCTTTTGTTACATGACAATCAATCGGGCGCTCGCGCTGTTGGCAAATGCTAGATGCAATATTGGCTTGCAGTTAATAGTAGGACGACGGCGCGGTAGCCACTGCACCGTACTCGCACAATATTTCAATATGCATTCAGGTGCTGTGTCGCATGAGTCTCGAAAGGTACAGAATACTCGGCACTAATACGAATCCCATCTAAAAAGCCCATAACAAGTGTACACCACAGATTGGTGCTCTTTCTGTCTACATATACTGCTGCTTTAGGTATTATCTCGCTTCGAACTTGGGGCTGAAAGGCGTCATTTCCAGTCCTGGTCGTGAGATCCGCCACGTCGGTTGTGGCGCCGTGATAGAGGGTGCTGCTCCTATTCTCAACATCCAATGAGCCATCATGATCTCCGCCTTATCAAGATGGAAGCGGCATCGCGGCACTGCTTGGTTCTCGTCTCTTCTTGGCTTCTCAGCCCGTTCGCTCTCCTCGCATAGAAGGCCCCATTCTTGGCTGGCCATGGTCCACCGTGCACGGGTTGAGAGCCGTGTTCCGATAGGAAGACGAGCGAGGGATTGGGGAGCTATGAGTATTAGCTGTATAGCTGGCTGCGTGATAATCAGCAGCCTAAGGAAACCCTAATCTTGACCGAGATCAAAAAGCCATGGCGCCAGGCTGTAATCTCACCACACATGAGTGTAAATCGGGTATGGCCTCGATACTATCATATACCCGCCCTCGGGATCGGTGCCTCGGCATTCCCCCTTTCCCCCATCACCGGCATCAATCAGAGGTTTTCAAGCACAGTATACATTCTATATATATACATGCCATAATACGTGGCATAAAGCCACAGTTCACCGGCTCCAGCTTGGGCTAGGGAGACTAGGCAGTTGTCAATCTCTCTCTACCTGCCTCTACCACCGCTTGTACTGGCGCACTTGGCCGTAGGCCGTTATGTGTTCTATTTTAGCGTGCGTGCGGCTGGACTTTGGCGGCGGCGCCGTATCCGCCCAATTCGCTCAGCAAATGACAGGGACAGGGGCTGTGGCACATCTGGCTTGGGTGGTCTGGAGTTCAGGCACTCTAAACTTTGATGTTCTCGATTCTCCACCAACAGAGCGCATCTCAACCAAGCAAAGCCGCCACCCGAACTCCCAGTCAGCGGCTTAGCAAATAGTTAATGGACACGGAGTAGTGCTAGCAGGCCGGCCACTTTCTTGTCTCCTTTCAGGCACCAGGCCGCGCGCAAATTCTCGTACCTGGTACAAAGCAGAGCAGCCCTTGCGTGAGTTGGAGGGGGGTCCGTGAGCAGAATACGAGCATTTGCTGCAGCCGGCTCTGGGGTCGACCTTGCTGTCGGGCATATCAGAGGAGCAGCTGTTCGGCGTCACCATGGCTGCTGCCGACGTTGATTTGCTGCTTGGGCGCTGCGGGAACCGAGGAGCTAACGACGATTGGGTGGGCAGACAACAGTTCGCCAGCGGAAGCAGAGGAGGGAGGAATGTGAGATAACGGACAGCTATTCGGCACACCAACCGAGCGTGATTACGTGTTGATCCAAATAGAGTTTCCGTTTCTCTTGATTTTTGAGCAGCATGTAAGAGGGGAAATGGAGCAGCTACTGGTAGTTGAACTCTGAAGGATGTTTTTGGCTCCAGCAAGATGACAAACAGAAACAGAGGAGATCTTGTTGCCAAGGTCAAGACTGTAGGGCGCCGCATGGCGTGGCAATGAGGAGAGAATAGGTAGGTGGTGGCGATGCTTTTTCCTTTGCATTGGACTCTTTCTGGATCTCGTGTTGTTGTTGTTGTTGTTGTTGTTGTTGTTGTTGTTGTTGTTGTTTGGCGGACACAGACAAAATCCCGTGCCGCTGACCATTTGCTTGACTTGTCGGTTCATCATTGACGACCGTAAAAGTCAGCCAGATACGCGCGGAGAGCGGAATAAGCACATATACATAATGCCTCAACTACATGGATACAGGAAATATGCAGAGCCCCTTGTACCAATACCGTTACCCGATGGTGAGTGGCGGCCGCTTCTGGAGGTGGTGGTGGTGGTGGTAATATTGATGTCTGTCTACAGGATTATTGATTTTTACTTTGGCAATTACTTATTAGTGGGCTAAGGTTACAGCACCAGCCCACCGCCCATCAGGTACCCGCAACTTTTTTGCTTAGTGGGATCGCATCGCCCAATTCTTCTTTATACTCCGTACACTCGACTTTGTTTCCTGCGCGGGGAGTTATGTTAGCGCACTCTGGCGGTCCCAGCTCCTTTGTCCGCGGTCCCCAGCGGGCTGCTGCCGCCATGACGGTGACGGTAACTGGAACTGGAACTGCAACTGCAACTGGAGAAGGGACCCATGTTTGCAGTAGTGGTGCCAAGTACCATCTACCACAGTAGGTACCTTGGCATGCAGCGACGACGGTACAGATACGATATGACGAGAGAGCTCTCTGGTCGTGCCAAATGTTGGATCGAATGTGTCACTTCTTATTTATTGCCTTTGTTGGGGCAAAGCTTCACAGGTGAAACAATGAGGCCATTGTCCGAAGTGAGACATGATATCTTGTCATATTAGCTCTATGAGCAACAAATATCCAAACGGTCCTCGAGATACTGCTACATGCCAGCATTGCCAAGATAAAGGAAGAGTTGTTCCGTTTGATTTTGGTATAAGTACCGGTACCTCCCCTCCCTTCCGTCCAGCCTCCTTCAGTCCACGTGTGTGCCACTGAGTCTTACGACGCAGCTTGTTGCACCGCATCCCTCGAGTCAGCCGCATCTGCCCTCTGCAAGCCAACCATTTACGCCCCCGTTGCAGGCGAGAAAAAGCCACGCTCAGGCGAGCGGCCAGGCCTATCACGTCCCCCAATCTGCTACTGGCACTCCTATCTCTCTAGGATCTAAGTACAGATACGGGCCAGGCTAAACCGACAGGGTGCATACTTAGCTGTACATGCTCTACTTTGACCAGTATGTCATGTCCGTGTCATGCCATCTCATATTTCAGCTGGTCGCCTAGAGCGCAAGAGTGCACTATTCCTGCATCTGCATTCTAGCATCTCCAATTTCCCTCCCCCCCAAAAGAGCTCCTCTACAGGATTTGCCATTCTCCTTGCATTGTTTTTCGTCTTAAGCACTGCTAATCTTCACCCCAGTCTCTCCTAGGCTTTCTCTCTTTATTTTGCTCACTGTGCGCGCTCTTCTCCATCGGTTGTTAATCCCGGCGATCCGCAAACAAACTTCCCGCTCTGAGCTGCCATTATTATTCAGCTTGCTGGTCCTTTTTTTTTCGTATTCTTCATTTTAACCTTCTATTCTCTCCTAAACTTCTGCCTCTTTTCTTTCCACTTCATTGCTCTCTGTTTGGCTTTTTCTTCCCTTCTCTCTCATATCTCGTTCTCGTTCTCGTTCTCAAACCCTCTTATTCGCTCTTCTTGGGCTTACCTTGCTGAACTGAATCAACCACGACGAGCTGAATCCAAGCTCTAAACAAGGTCACGACACCTGCCTGATTGCTCCGGGCCTGTCTCACATCGATTCCGAGCCAGGTTTTTCTCATCCCTCGCATCTGATCCGTTCCATACCCACTCACTTACAAGTGGCCCATCCATATCGGACATATCAAAGGTTGCCAGATACTACTATAAAGTAAGCGGTTCTTACTTCGGCTTATATCTTGACAACCTACCTTGCTTTCCTACTACCCCCCATTACACCATATACCTACCATCGGCCATTGAAAAGTCAGATCTGCATCATCTTTCGGCACATCATCTGCTAGGTATTGCATCGCGCCTCTCCCGAAGCTGACTGGGCGGAGCCGCTCTTTACATACCCTGTTCGCTTATTCTACTATACCCTGGTTATCGTACTGCTTGGTATAGGTAGTCCAAAAGAATCGGATCTGGTGACGCTGAACCCGGCTTCCTCCCGCCTTCAGCTGTCAAATACCGACAGGAAATTTTACGCAGGAGACAAGAGAAGGAAACATGTCCATCTTCTCGCGCTTGAGGAAGAGCCGCCAGCAGGCTAAGGAGCACAATGCCAAGCTTGCTGAGCAGGAGAAGAAGGAGGAGGGGGTAAAGACTCCCTACAAGCATGTTCCCAAACACGCCGCCGCCGATGCCATTGCCAGTGCGCCGCCCAGCTGGAGAGAGGATGATCGCCACAAGATCCAGGAGCAGAACCGCCGAAGGAGTGCCATGGCTGCGTCTGGCCACAGCATGAACATGCCCGGCGTGCCCCCCCGTGTTGGCAGCAGCTTGTCCCACGTCTCGTATCCTGCAGACAAGAATGCCACCCCCATGGTGCGCCTGCCCCGAGCATACAGCTACACGGGCGTCTCGCCTTATACATCAAACCACAGCCGCCACACCGTGAGCTCAATGCCTGATGTCGGTTCGCAGTTTGCGGCCTATGCTGCCTCGACCAAGGGAAAGGAGGTCGTTAGAGGGTCTGGCTATGATACTTCCAGAACCAGCCCAACATCCTCACAAGGTTTGTCGTCGCCGTCGCCGTCGCCTTCTTCGTCTTCGTCTTCTTCCGTGTCAGCGTCTGCCAATCTTGATTCACCGGATGCTAACCAGCTTCTCCCAACGCCTAGAAGAATCAGAGAGCTCCAGCGGCTCTACGAGTTCTCAAGATGACCTCGAGATGCGGCTGAATCGCCCTCCCGTCGTGCGACCTCCTACTGGTGCCGAGATGGCAGCCCGTCGACCGCGTCCAGGCAGCCGGCGCACATCAGATTCGGCAATTGGCCGAATTGCCATGGCAAACTCGACCAAGGCGGCTGCCCGGGATTCTCGCCCTCCTCCGTCTATGAGGAACTTTGGCTCAATTGCACCTATTGTCCACGCACCTGCTCCCATCCTGAGAGTCACGTCTCATCCGCAAGGTGACTTTCTAAACCCACACCATCGGCAGAAGTCAGAAACATCTTTTCCCAGCTCCCTCAACACCAGCCTCAACACCTCTGCAGCCACCCTCGTCTCTGCATCCGCCCTACCGTCGATTGACGGCAGCCCTTCCCTAGAACAGCAGGAGTTGAAGGAGCAGAAGGTAGCCAACTCTGGAAAGCTTTCTAAAGAGCAAAAAGCAGCCAAAGTGGTTCGACTCGCAGAAGGGGGGCGAATTCAGTCTGGCACTAAAAAACTGGTGACTGAGAAGCCTGCGGAGAAGCCTGCAGAGGAGGCCCAACCCCAGCCTGTTGGCGAACCTGCCTCTACCCTTGCTATCGTCTCTACTCTTACTCCTGCTCCTGCTCGCGAGTCTGCTCCCAACGTCAAGCAGCAGCAGTCTATTGTTATCAACGTCTTCCCAGAAGCGGACTCGATCCCTGATCCCGAGCCTACAAAGAAGTCTAGCAGATTTACCAAGGGCGGGAACAAGATGGCTAAGAAATCTCGCTGGGCCAAGTCAAAANTTTTTTTTTTTTTTTTTTTTTTTTTTTTTTTTTTGTCTTTCTTTTCGTCCAAAATTCAACAATATTTGTCATTTGTTTTGTTGTTTTCGTTATTGTTATACTACTTGGCTCTTGCATTGCGTCTGGATATGGCACACCCTCACTACGAATGTTTTACTACTTACACACTCTCGGGCCACCACCAGTGTTTGGATATCAAAAGAGGGAATGTATTGCACGTGGATTTTATCATTATTTTTTTAACCTGCTTAACCCTTTTCCTTGTTGCTGCTCTTAATATGTTTGTAGCGAGAGTTTACAGCAGTATTTGAGATATAGGAGAGTACGCATTGCAAGCTTCAACATGGCGAGGAATGTCTGGTGACACAAAGGAAGGAGGATCATTCGTTACGATGGAATGAAAAATTGGATTTCTTTTTTGTCTTCTTTTTCTTTTTTGCGATGAAATAGAGAGGATGGAGGTACAACATCCATAAACTGATATACACGGCACTGGGTCGCTTTGGTTGTGTTTCATTTCATTGTTTCATTTGTATTGGACATGTCTGTTGACTCAATTGGCGCTTTTTGATACACTGGGTGCGGAGAATTGGAGACTTTGCTTCCCCTTTTTCTTATTTATTTCGAATATTTTTGTCATTTATCCTCATTCGTTAGACGTAACATTTATTTTAACAGTCACTACCAGCCTGTCATTATCTACTAATAAGTCGAATGCATCTACACACCCTCCTCATCATCATACCTGCCAGAGATATGTACATCTACAGCGCCTGTATTAGTGGCAGCGCCCCCGCTAAACGGCAGCCGAGCCCGCTGCGCGTGATTGGCCAGCCCTGTATGGAAATCGCGAAACTGTGGCCTCACTGCCGCATTAAGCAAAGTCCCCTGTTTAAGTGCTGCTGCACATATTAATAGCAGCAGCTACCAATGGCGGCAGCTGCGACACCTCGTCATCAGCCATTCGCCAGGTGTCAGCGAACGAACCCTTGATCTGGCATCTGGCATCTGGCATCTGGCATCTGGCATCTTGATTCGCAATTTCACATTCGTTTGACTTTGTTTTACTTTCTGTTCCTTTTCTTTCCTTGTTATTTCCTTTCTTCCCTTTGCTCTTCTTTCTTCTATTCTTTGTCCATCCATCTATTCTGCGCCTAGATTGATTTGATTTGACTCGATTCCCTTCATTTCCTCAGCGTCGTCGCATAGAAAGAAAATGGGCCTCGCAACAGCCCTGCCGGAGCTCCCTGCGTCGCCCTGGGAATCCATCAAGGCGACTCCGGTTCCCATCCTCGCCGGCCTCTTCCTCGCGCTGGTCTTGTCAGGGCTCGCTGCGGTAACCACAATCCCATCTCCTATCTTCTGATTCCGCTTCAATTGGCTACTGTCCACAGCTAACATCACGGCCTATCGCAGCTCTTCCTCCTCCTCCACCTCGTCGCCTCCAAGCCTCGCCCCGTCCTCTCCTCTGAAAAGACATACGTCACCAGCAGCCCTTCCGGCAAGACGACTCCTCGCCCGCTCCCCTGCTGGTACGACCGATGGCTCGCCGAACGACACCTCAGCGAGCAGCGTCTTCGCCCAGACGAAGCGAATCCAGCGCCCGACGTTGGCTCCATTGAACCCCCGGAACTTCTCCTCAGCGTCGTCTTCCCCGCGTACAACGAGGAGGATCGTGTAATCCCCACATTGGAAGAGGCCGTCGAGTACCTGGACAGGCATTTTGGACGCGGCACTGCTGCAGCTGGCGCTAGGAACCCTCTCTCGCCGACGACCAAGAAGCGCCACGCTCAAGGCGCGGCTGGCGCAGCTGGCCTGAAAGATCAGGGCCTCAGCGGTTACGAAATCATCATCGTCAACGACGGCAGCCGCGACAAGACGGTCGACGTGGTGCTCGACTTTGCGCAGAATAACGGCTTGGATGATGTGCTGAGAGTGGTGTCCCTGGCCAAGAACCGCGGCAAGGGCGGCGGTGTTACTCATGGCTTCCGTCATGTTCGCGGCGAATATGCGCTCTTTGCCGATGCGGATGGCGCGTCTCGGTTTAGCGATGTGGCGAAACTGATCGAAGGCGTCGAGGAAGTTGTGGACGGGTCTCGTCGAGGCGTTGCCATTGGTAGCCGTGCCCATCTCGTTGGCAGCGAGGCGGTAGTCAAGGTGAGTTAAGCTACTTGATATCAGATTCTTCTTCTTCGTCAACTAACGCCCGTTTCCCTCAGCGCTCTGCCCTTCGAAACTTTCTCATGCGCTCATTCCATCTCGTTCTCACCATCCTCACGCCCCCTGCTACATCTCGCATTCGCGATACCCAGTGCGGCTTCAAGCTCTTCACGCGCGCCGCGCTGCCGCACATTGTCCCTTACATGCATGCCGAGGGCTGGATCTTCGACATTGAGATGCTGATGCTCGCCGAGTCCGCCCCTGCGACGCCTGTCCTGGGCAGCGACGGCAGCGTCATCGGCACCAGTCCTGGCATCAAAGTCGCCGAGGTGCCGATTGAGTGGCACGAGGTGGGCGGCAGCAAGTTGAACGTTATCCAGGACAGCATAAAGATGGCGATTGGGCTGTTTGTGTTGAGGGCGTGTTGGATGATGGGCGTGTATAGGAGACGCCTTACTTGAAATCACTAAATCGACAAAGAAGAGAGAGAGAGAGAGAGAGAGAGAGAGAGAGATGAGATGAGGAATGGAAGAACAAAAGGACGCCAAGTTATATGACGCAAAAAAAGGAAAGTACTTCAAGTTATATATATAAATACCACATGGAGTGGAAGAGAACAGTTGGTCTCTGATTCTAGCATAAGCAAGCTACTTAGCCATCTACAATGAAGGAAGAAGCATAACAAGAGATGTATCTTCATCTATAAAAATTGTGAGTGCTATTAATATTACTTTAACCTCTTTGACATCTTTTTTTACTAGCCATAACTGCGTGAAACCACATGTTTTTATGTTGCGTAATCCAAAGCCAATGCCTACCAGTACATGAAGAAAAGAAAGGAAAGGAAAGGAAAAGAAAATCCGCTCATCGCCTGTGGGTGAAAAAAGAGAAAAAAAAACAATAAAGGAAAAATCAGGCATTGATGATTTCTTTCGTATGCAAAATGCAACAGTTTCCAAAGAAACCCCACAAACACCCCTTTTTATTCCTCACTGAAATCCCTCACGCCAAATGACGGGCAAAAAGACAATACACGCCTTCCACAGGATGAGCACAGCATCCAGAATCGCCAGCGGCAGCTTCCAGAAGCCCAGCGGGCCTCCAATGACGTTGCACGCGTTCATCCAGATGGCCACAAAGGCGACGTAGAAGAAGTGGTACGCCAGCACCAGGGGCCGCTGGATGATGCCGGCGAGAAGGCCGGCCGGGCCGTCGGTCCACCCGCGGCGGAAGTACTCGAAGCAGCCCATCTGCAGGGCGCGCAGCTGGCGGTCGTTTGCGGCGAAGAGCGAGTACAGCGCCTGGGCGAGCGTGTTGATGATGCTGGTGAAGTTCTTGCGGCGCCAGTACAGCTTGTGCATGGCCTCGCGGACGGCCTTTGCGTCGTCGAGGTTGGGCACGCGGTCCGGGTGCAGCAGCTCGGCCAGCAGCACGGCGTCGTTGAAGGCCACCGTCATGCCGCCGCCCGTCAGGGGGTGCCGCATGTTGAGGGCGTCGCCGAGCACGACGAGGCCGTTGGGCGTCTGGGGCACTGCCGGGAGCCAGCTGTTGGGCATGCTGCGCGGGATCTTGCCGTCGGCGAGGGCCTTTTCGGCCGCCGGGCGGACGGACTCTGGCAGGGCCGGGATGGCGTGCTTCTTGATGTAGCCGCGCACGCCGCCGGCCTCGACCGACGCCTCGGGGATGTTCTGGGGCACGTCGAAGAGCGCTCGGGTCTCGTGGGTGCCGATCTGGTACAGCAGGATGGGATAGGCGTCGCCGATGATGACATGGCCGTGCAGGGGCTTGGGCAGGACCGTGTCGACCAGCTCGAGCGCGTAGAACTTGCTCTTGACGACGGGCTTCGTCTCGAGCACCTGCTTGCGGAACTTGGAGTCGTAGCCGTCGGCCACGATGGTCAGCTTGCCGAAGAAATAGTCGTCCTTCTTCTCGTTGGTCTCCTTGTTGACCGTGGTGCGCGACTCCACGCCCAGGATCTGTTCCTCGAACTCGCCCCGAATCGTCTTGACGACCTCGGTCTCGACCACTGTGATGTTCTTGTGTCCCAGGCAGGCCTTTCGCAGCTGTGTGATGAACTTGCCGTGGTGGAATCCGCATCCCTGCTGCTCCGCGCCCTCTGTCCCTCGTCCGCCCCAGGCATGTGTGACCTCGCCCTTGTCGTTGAGTCTCGGGTAGGGAATGGCGCACGGCTCTCCGTGATAGAAGACGTTGTAGCCGTAGCAGGGGATGGCATCGATGCCCTCGATGCAGTGGCCCAGGCCCAGCTTCTTGAGCGCAGCCACCCCGCCAGGCTGCAGAAGTTCGCCCACGATGCGATCAGGCTCGTGCATCCACCGCTCCAGCAGGAGCACGGAGCGGCCCTGGTTGGCGAGCGCATAGGCGGCCGCGCAGCCAAAGACGCCGGCACCGACGACGACGACGTCTGCTTCATGGTAGCGATCGCGCCGCTCGCGCGTGTAGACGTGTGAGGATGTCATTGTTTCCGACATTGGGGGAGGGGCAGAATTGAATGGAGTGGAATGATTCCAAAGTATCTCGTCGAGGAAAGGGAATGTCGACGAGCAATTGAGGCAATTGGAAAGGACCAATGAAAAAGACTCTCTATGGAGGAGGAAGGAGAAGTCGTCTATCGCTCGTCGAGGGTATTTATTCGCTTTCGTTCTTCGTGGCTCGTTATTATAAGTTCTAGGTAGGCAGTAAAAAGAAGAAGAAAAGAGCAGTATGTGCTTGGGCTGGTCTGTCACAAGCCAAAAACGAGAGAGGGAGGGAGAAGAAGAAGAGACGAGATAGCGCTGCAATTGGCCAATCCGCGAGGGCCAAATCAAGCTGATAACCACAAAATGTGTCCAGTCCCTTGCTCATGACATGACGAACATGATGGAAAAGGAGCTCTATCACATGATTATGGAACGATGAACCGGTCTTTTGGTGGTTTTTCTGGCTGCGAATCTGGTCTAAAACTGCTTAGCGGCCAGGGGTCCGAATACGATTGCGGGATGGTGGGGAAGAGAATGAGAGGGCGATTCGAGGCTAGTCCTCTCTAGGGTTAAGTGCAAAGCCTGAGTAATCAGTGCCTTACTAGGTACTAGTGTAGACTACAAGTATGTACTACTGCAGGTGTCCCTTCTGCGTTGGCTGCTGTTGAATACGGCAGGTGGGGTGAAAATAGGCGAGATATTCGCTGCTGCTGCATCAGCTTGTTCAGACGTGAGCTGAAGAACGGAAGGCATCACCTAAACAGCGATGGTATAGAGACGGATGCCTAAGGCAGGACGGAATATTCATCCCTCTAAAATGTATCTACAATGCTCAAGAAATGGCAACTTGTCCAATGCGTCAAACACGTGTCTGTAAATTGAAACGATCGAGCCCTTACTAGCTCTTTGATTCCCTACCCTAAACGGCGATGCTATTCCGCATCACAACCCTAACGGCAGTCATGTTTGCTTCGGCTTCAATCATATCCAATGCCATGATGAAGAGGGGCAGGAAATATTCTTCCCTACGAACCAGCAGACCCTCGTTGTGAAAAAATTATGGCCAACAACCATATCTCTCTCATTGTTATGCATCAGTATTACTAAAAAATCTATCAAGACGCTCTACTCCAAGCTGTTAACTTGGTCCATTCGCCATGATCAATCATCGTCTTCCAGCTGCCGCCGTATATAAGCTCTTGATATCCTTCTTCCACTGGCTCACGTTTGGTCTGAGAAGACGTCGGTTGTACGTCAACAAGCCGTTTACTTCGCCTTCGACATCAGTTGTCTGTGTCCAGATGCCGCCGCTACAAGCATAGCGTTCCACCTGGTCGAGGAACTCGCGGAACAAGACGCTCGCGCGGTAGTTGTAGGAGCTGAGGTCGGCGTTGACTTCATACGTTTGGTTGATGGTGTTGATCGCCTCTTGGACTTTCCAAAGACTGATTTATCGTATTAGCAGCCTGATTCAAGGATGCCGAAGACAAAGACTCAAAACTTACTGCTCAATCGACACATTATGGCCGATGCCGCCCCATTCGCCCTGGAATCCAATGCGGCTGGAGTCATATGGTCTGGACGGCGTGGAATAGAATGGCGTACCGCATTGCGGATTGGCGTAATGGTGGTTGTCCTAGGCACAGTCAACGTTTAGTCCTCGGCACTCTTTTCATCATCATCATCATCACCACCACCATCATCACCACCACCACTATCATCATCACCATCGCCATCATCACCACAACCACCACCACCATCTTCCATAATGAATTACAAGATCAATTGCATTGGCAATCAACTTACAGAGTAATCCCCGAAGCCATGGTCATTCCAACCGGTGGTGGCGTCGATTAGTCTTGTTGGGTCGATGCTGCGCACTACCTCTACAAGGCTCTGCTCGGGATATGGAGGACCCGGGAGCTGTCCCCATCCTTCGTTATAGATGATCTGCATGTCTTGATATTAGCTTGAATCACCAACATGGTACCCAATTTTTAGATCACAGGAAGAAACGAACCCAAGTCACAATAGACGGATAATTCTTATGCTCATGAACCAGAATCTCGAGCTGGCGCTGAAATTCCGCCTGCTGGTCCGGGTTAGGAGGTCGACTACCATCCGCAACAAGACTGGGCATATCTTGGATGACCATCAAGCCCATTTCATCACAAGCTCGGTAGAACAAATCAGGCTCAACTTTGATCTGCAGGCCACACCGGTTTAGCATCCAATCGGAAATATACGGTACTGGACAAAGGCGTGACTACTTACATGCTTTCGGACTGCATTGAAACCTAGGCTTTTGAGCATCTTTAGGTCATATACCATAGCTTCTCTGCTGGGAGGCGCATAAAGCCCGTCAGGCCAAAACCCTTGGTCGAGCGTACCAAAGATGAAAGTGAATTCTCCGTTCAGCAGCGGTCTTTGAACTCCCTTGACCTTGCCGCTCGTGATTGAGCGGAAACCAGTGTAGCTGGATACTTCGTCATCGCCCAGTGTCACTGTCAAGTTATACAGAGTTGGAGACGATGGAGACCACAGTTTTGGTTGCTTAATCTTGAAACTGAACTCCTTATCTGCAGGCCCATTATGCGAAGCAATGGCGCGACCATTGAGTCCGATAACGGACACTTTGGCCGAGACGCCCTGTTTGCCTGAGCTGTGAACCGTCACGGTGACTATTAATCAATGTTAATTGAGCAATTCCACCCTCCAATATTCTGGTGGTTTCATACCTGTGCCATCCATGCCAGCAGCGACATCAAGTGCAGTTATATGATTGGCAGGCACACTCTCTAGCCATACGGATTGCCATATTCCAGAGCAAGATCTGTAGAAGATGTGGCTAGGATTTCGAGTCTGCTTTCCAATTGGGATGACATCTAGATCTGTAGGATCATGAACGAAGACGGTTCTGCGTCAAAGTTAGTATGCAATACGATACCGCGCAAACAAAGGACGATAGTTGGATAGTTGACCTACAAGCTGTTATCTCCGTTGGATTTGAGGAGTTTGGTGATATCCAACCCGAATCGGAAATATCCTCCGGTATTGTTCCCGGCCTTGACACCATTCACAAACACCGTTGCCTGATAGTCAACTGCTTCAAAATTGAGAATGACATTTTGGCCATTCCAGCTTTTTGGTGTCTTGAAGCTGGTCGCAAACCACATATCAGTGACGTTCAAGGTCTGCAGTCCCGAAAGTGCGCTTTCAACGCATGACGGCACGAGCACCTCGCGTTGGAGCTTGCCTTCAGGAGGACTGCCTGAGTCGGCCCCAGGACTGGCAGGCTGGAATGTCCAAATGCCATTAAGGCTTTGCCAACTATCACGCTGGAGCTGTGGTCGGGGATATTCTGGCCATGGATTGGTGCCAACTTTATACGTCCACTCAGTATCAAGAGGCGGCGTCTGAACTTTGTAGGGCACCGGCTGGCTACTCTGCGCAACAGCAGTGCTGAGGCAACTCGTAAGCGCGAGAAGGCCTGCTGGGGACAGAATCATCACGGACGCGGCGTCTTTCTATCCAAATAGAGTTGTGGCAAACAAAGTGGTCGAATGCTTCGTATGAATGGATGGGAAGCTCAATTCAATGATCAACCATAACACACGAGTCTTCCGTCTTATTCTCCCCAGGACGAGAGACGAATTGCGCTTATAAATACTGAAATATCTTCAAAGGTGAAGAAACCCCCCCTGCACCAAGTTCATTTCCCCTCTTTTCATTCTTATGCCACCCAGGTCAATGATACGCTGCATGCGAATGGCGGCCTGTTGTCCTACGAGCAAACGCCCGTTCTCTACCTCATAGTGACGGCCGGTGTGGGGATGTAGATGCGAATTGGTTCAAGTAGCATATGCAAGAGGAGAAGCGAGAAGACCAGGATTCAGTATGTTAACATGGCCTAACTGCTCGTAGGATCGCATGTTTACATCCATCTCATCAAAAGTGTTGGCTTCGGACGAACATCATGACATTGAAAGAAGCCTAGCCCGATGCCGATCGATGCGGAGAAGAATCTTAGATCCCATGTTTCCCCCTTCTTATTCCCACCCTCATTGCGAAATCCAGCAATCTCCATATATTTCGTTAAGCTTAATTACGTGGTAGGACCTGCTAGACGCCTCATTACACGCCATCCTCTATGGGGCCGTGTTTGAGACATTGTTTAAGCAAATGTTACAATGGATTTCACAGTCATATAGCGCGGTGGAGATGTGGTGAGGATTTCTCTTTTCTGGCGAGCATGTATGTATGTTACATCGTGCAACATTAATCATCTGACGCCATTGTACAGGTGCCGTGAGGGGAAGCCAAGAATATCGTTATGGAATAGGATGCTTAGCCTAGCGACCGCATCTTTAGCGGATATATGTGATTGGGTCGCATAAACAATGTCGAACGATATTCACGGTAGATCGAATTGGCCATGCGCGGGCATCGCGGAGTTCCTAATTTGTTCGTCGTAGCCTTGACTCCGATCCATCGGCCGAGTTGAACTTGCTTGTTTATGGTTTGCTCTTGATGCGACTATGATCCTGATCACCTCCAAGCAACTACTACTTTCACCTTTGCTGCTTAGTTGGCCGAAGGAAAGGTTTAATGAATTTGATTTAACTAAAAGTTGTTCGTATAATGCTTTATTGGACTACATAGCCACTCACCTAAGCAGGAACGAATGAAACCTCTCCCCAAAGTGCATCCATTGCTGACCGCTTGATGGAACCTTCACAAGATAGAGACAAAGCAGGAATGTAAAGCACACTATTGTCTGATTTACCTACATCTAGCTAGGTACATAGACCGAAATTCCATTCTTGATATAGAGCACACTTTTCATCTCTGCTTGGACCTAAAGTCGGCGATTGCTTCCTCCCTGATGTTACCTTGAACTAATTTCCTTCATATAAGAGTCGTACAAAAAAATTCTCTACATAAATCCATCCGATCTACCCCATAGTCCTCATGGCAACGGCAATTTTCTGCTGCTTTCAATTGATAAACAGCAATGTTGAGAGAGTGGGCTTAGATTTCCCAATTGCTAAACGGCTAAAACCATGTTCGAAATGAGAGATGGGTCGATTCTCTTGTGCCTTTTCCTGCGCCTTTTCCTGCCAATTCTATTCAGTCTCGTCAGCCGGCCCCTCCTCGGTCGATCTCGCCTCTCGGTCTTCAACGAGCACCGGCTGTTGGATCTGGTAAGATTCTTCTAGCAGTCGGTAGGGCGGTGGAACAAGGGTCGCGCCTGAAATAAAAACGGGTATCAGCATTTGAATACGTGGTTCCAGAACTGGCATACGTGGCTGATGAGCTTGACAGAGTGATTCCGCAGTTGGAAGAGGTAGCCGGTGGCTTTCAACGGGCGACTGCGGAGTTTGGGTTTCAGTGCCCTGTTTCTGAACTCGAACGGATGGGTATTGGGCCAGGATATGTTGCTCCTGGACTTGACTAGATTGTCCTTGAGCTTGAGCTTGAGCTTGAGGTTGAATGGATTGCTCTCGAGGTTGGATTTGAACACATTGTTCTCGAGGCTGAACTTGGACAGGCTGCTCTTGGGCTTGAGCTTGAACTTGCACAGACTGCTCTTGGATTTGACTGGGTGATTCTTGAGCTTGAACAGTGTTTGGCGCCTGGGCTTGAACAGATGCGTCTGAGGTTGCAGCTTGAGCTTGGGCTTGAGACTCTCCAGTTTGAACAAAGGGCTCTTCAGCTTGAGAGTGAACAGGTGACTCTTCTAGTTGAGAAGCTAACTCCTGAGGCTGAACAGATGGCTCCGTGGCAGGGGCTTGGGCAGGAACTCGGGCAGGAACTAGGGCTTGGGCTTGGACTTGGGTTTGAGATTCACCTTGTTGAGTTGGAACAGGCTCTCGAGTCTGAGTTTGAGCACGTAGCTGTTGAGTCCTATTGCACCGTGCCTGAGATTGATGGCCTTGAGGAGGTGTGTGTCTCTGAATGCCACCATAGCTAGGGCCATTGCGAGGTCTGCTTAATATCCCACCTCTTGGCGCGTTTGGAAGTGGCGTTCTTGAAGCAGCAGGTGCTCCCAGCGTCGCCGTGGTTCTAGAAGTTGCACCTGTTCTTGCAGTTGAGACAGTCACTAGAGCTGGGCTAGCCTCCGATGCCACTAGGGTTGGGCTGCTTGATAGTGCTTCTCTTGGCGTAACTGGAGCTTGAGAATTCACCAACGCCCTTCTCTCGAAAATAGGGTGCTGGGTTCTCGGCAATGTCGCCACATATCCGGCAGTCTGCCCGCTAACTCGAGAGACCTGCTGACTGGGGGCCGCCATAAAACTTCCAAGTCGCTGGGGAGCATTTTGCTGAAGCGGGGGAGCCATAGACCTAGCCCTTGACATGGCTTTACGTCCCATATTCATTCTGTTAGCTTCTTGCCACACCTCTCGGGAAACCTCTTGGATATCAGATTGATCTCCTAAGCTGCCCCTTATAATGGCTTGCTCGTCTTGCCAAGAGGTACCTTGGACACCCTGATGGAAGCTGTTCTGTAGATGGGGTCCATGGATAGAAGCTTGATGTGCGTAAGACATGTAAAGCTCATTATCTGGCCTCTGAGAATGTAGAATGGGAAATGATTGCGAGTGAACTCCATTGTGCGACGCCAGAACGTCAGGGTGACTGGGATAATTGGGAGCCGACATGTTTTGTGGTTGTTGAAGGGCAAGAGCATCATTCATTTGGTTTGCAAACGACTGCATATCGCTGTCTTGCATTGGGGCAGCATACGGAGTATTATAGTGTGCGTCTGGAGGTCCAGCATCCGAATGTGCGTAACCGGGGTTCATCATGGGATATGAGGCTAATCCATAAGGATAGGCAGCTTGGATTCTTTGAGCTTGTTGTTGAAGAACGCCTGCATAAAGCTCAGGAGTACCGTTCGATACTTGAATAGCTGTGAGCGACACAGGATCCTGATGCATTAGATAATCCATCATGGTATTTCCTTCGCCTGACTGCATATCAAGCATACTGGCTCCCCCCTGAGCGTATGGAATAAGGCCGATGGTGACCTGGGAAGGGCCGCCACCATTCCTGAAAAATTCTGCTTCATCCATTGGCATCTGTGTAGCCGCTGGTTCTCTTGTATAGGGATTGTTTGGGCAATCAGGAAGGTGTTGTGTCTGGGGAGACTGTGGGTATGCAGATTGTACACCCACCAGTGCTGGAGAATATCCATCTTGCTGGTAAGGGTATTGCGAAGTTAGGCTGTTTGAATAGACTGACTGTGAACTAACATGCTGTGAGCTGATCGCAGAGTATGGAGTTGCAACTGATTGCGAAGCCAGCAGGTGTCGAGTGGCCTCTGTAGCTCGTGGAGCTAGTCTTCTTTGCCGTGCTTGTTGCAGAACTGTTGTTCCATGGGGAGCATCCTCTTGGAATGGAACATCTTGGGATGAAGTAACTGCTTGGGATGGAACAACTGATGCAGACGAAACAACTGCTTGAGATGAAGCCGCCACTGGTGACTGTGCAGTTCCTGTTGGCTGTCTGGTTGTAGCCCGACGTGAACGCAAAGAGTTCTCTGTGGGCCGTGAGCTCGCCGCCGACTGGGAGGCCGCCCTTTGACGTCGTTGATTCCTCGCTCTCTGCCGAGCAGTAGCAGGCTGCGAGGATCTAGACTTGGAGCGTGTCATCATGCTTGGCTGTGCTAATGTCACTAGCTGTTGATTATCAGATAGTAGAGGTCTTGGTCTTGTCTTTGTGGTAACCTCTGGAGATGCTGACTGCGGGCTCATTCCGGGGTATGGAGCTGATGAGGAGCGTAAAGTTCGTCTTGGTTGAGGCGAGGTGATTTGTTTTGAATTCACTTTTTCCTGTGCGGCTACTTTTGCTTGTGCAGGTGGCACCTGCTCTATGGTCGGCACTGCCTGCTTGATTATTGCTGGCTGCGGAATTTCTGCCAGCCTTGAAGCTGCCACGTGATGTACAGCTTCTTCTTCTTCTTCTTCTTCTTCTTCTTCTCGCAAACTCTCCACTGCTTGTTGATTAATGTGCTGTAGACAGGATGTTTCCTGGGGATTTGTATCTGAAACTGGCTCGTTCCCAGCTCCCTGGGGCGTATATTAGTAAATTTCACTAAGCAGGAGATAAGAGTGTTGTTGCCTACGGTAGTATTGTTATCCTCGATAGACGTTTGAGCATTTTTATAGCCCCTAGGGCATGATTGCGCTGTAAAGTAGCTAGAGGGTGATATTGGCTCGCTACTACTGGCAAAAGAAGACCTCTGCCCACTGCTGCGTTGATTCGTGGAGGGGCTTGCGGTAGTGCTATGGCTGTTCAAGGGATTAAGCATATCTTCTGCGGCTGTATATGCACTGGGGAAAGCCTTTTCGTTGGTGCAGTTTGTCGAGGATGCCGGCGGAGTATGGCAGTAGTTCAATTGGGGCTCCCACGTCCCCTTTGGGGATTGTTCATATGTAGCCGTACCATTGGCCATGCCAAAAGGGATAAAAAAGGAGGCACCGAGGGAAATTGGTTCTAAAGAAGGGAATATCTCAGAAACGAAAGTATAGTGGCCAGACTCTGAAGCGATTTGCGTCGAAGATGGCCGAGATTTCCTTCGACGCCTAGACGCAGACGCATTCCTTGGCTGCTTCGGGTGGCGAGATGAACCGGAAGAAATTGCCGGCGCAGCCCTTTTTACTTTAGAAGCCCGATATTTTTGAGGGGAGGAGCTCTCAACAGTGTTCAAGTTGGCCTCTACTGGAATATGACCAGAGATAAGGCTACCTTCGTTCTTACCGTTATGAGCATTCGAGGCAGCTTCAGCTTTCACAGGTAGTTCCCTCTGTATTGCATGCTGGAGGATTGTCGTGACAGGCATTGTATTTCTTGAATCGAAAGGATGTATAACTGATTTATCGGTACAAGCTATTTAAGGAAACTTGGTGAAAGCAAGGAAGAAAACCAAGCCAGACACGCTATCGTAATGGTTCTATGTCGGTAACAGGAGAACTATGCTTCTGCAGAAGATTGGGACTGCTTTTGTTTATATATAAATTGGGATTAAGATAGGACTGGGTAACAAAGTGATACACGCATGCAATCTGTGCAGCAAAAATTATGCATAGCAAGCAAGTAGTGCTTGTCTCAGCCACAACTCACATCAACTGAGCTCTCTACGTCAGTAGCGATGAGTAATAAGGCAGCAAAGCAGTATGTGGGGATGTTGACAATGGGGGTGTCTTGTGCACCACTCGTGAACAGTGAACATTGGGCAGCTTGTCCATGTACATGGCCAGAATCAGGCTGTCTTGCAGAGCAAGGCGCACGGGCATCTTGAGCCTGCTTGTACATGCTCTGCGTTGGCTCCTACAAAGTGATAGAAGAATCTTGCCGTGGCGGGACGGCCCAAGGACGATCCACAATTGTGAGTTGGTGTTTGCTTGTGTGCTTCGAGGCCTTGAACTTGGTTCAGCTTCCTTGATTCGCCAACCTTGCCCAAAGTTGCAGGGTTTACCCACGCACTGGCGTCGGCAGAGCATATGGCAGAAGACACTCTCTAGTGGTGGTGGCCGCACAGCATACAGCGAATAGGAAATAAGACCGTAGAGCCCGTTGCCCGGTCCTCGATGGCAGGGGAAAACGTAAGCTTCTGTTAGTATTGCTCTGTAGCGACAGATGAACATGCTCTGTTTGCTTCCCCCCCTCCCCACTGACTCCAATCAGCGCCTCTCGTCACAGTGCTCTCCCAGGCAACTCGTATAAGAGCCTTGTCTCTCATGTTTCTTGGACGTTCAGCTCTGCAGGCCACTCAATGCACACATCCCAGCTAGGCCCACTAGTTTCTCACTGGTTGACCGCGGCAATTTGGTGGCTTGCGGCCCCATCTGCCAGTGACAGGTTTGGTGGGTGCCAGGGCGCGCTCTCTCCCTCTTGCAGTAGCTTCATGGGAAACATGGAGCCCACACTCATTGTTTTAGCTCCAGCAGGAGAGCCATGTGTGGCGCTTGGATTGGTGGAGGATTCCGTATCTGGGAATTTATTATTAGTATAAGTCTCATCTATAATTTTCTCAACGAACCTTGAAAAATTCCAAAGAAAAGAAAAGAAAATAGGCAACAAAGATAGAACAGGCGGGAGAAAAGAAAAGTAAAAGGGTGAGAAGGATTCGAGTCTCGCTTTAGCGGTTCGGGTGCTCCAATAGCGACGACGCCCAAAGCTGCGAGGCTTGCGCCAAAATCATGCATGCAAAGTAGCAAACATTCACCTCAGATGAGCTCAAAGCAGCGCGTCCACCATCCCTGCTGTCTTAGATGTCTGTTACGCACACCAACTGTTGATTCGTTCTCCTAGGGCCATGGAGTTACTTTGATGAGCTCAGAGACAATCATGTGGTGGAATTTTGAAAGCAGGGAGAGAGGTAGCGGAGTCAAAGCTGCCGCCGAGCGGCTGATGCTGGAATCTGCCCGAGAGATGTTTATGGCTTACATGCAGGCGTCTTTGCTCTGCTGCTCTACAGGGATATTCTCGATAGACGTCTGCGTGGTTTGAACTGTCACGTGAGAAAGAGACCCTGCCCAAGAGTCTTCCAGATACATGTAACTTCTCTACCACCCAAGCTGGCAGATTGATATGGTATCATCTGCTGAGCCATTTTGGGCGACTGGCAAGGTATGTTCATGCTCAAGTATTGCTTGAATCGCTTTGATTTGGGCAAATACAAGCAAGAATCTAGCAAGAGTGGGATCTGAAAGGATTACTTACTAACGCATGCATCTCTACCTCCAATAGTCTACAGTCTTTTTTCACTGCACCATCCGTCTATTACAATTACCTGAAATGGAGAGAGGAAACAAAAGGCAAAAAGCAGGGAGAAAAAATCACTCCAAATGCTGAAAGTTATGGTGTCTGTGCGGCCACCCCACAACCACGGCTTCAAAGATCCGATTCGACGGCCGCGGGAAATGATGGCTGGGCTCGAGACCAGGGTAAGTTCAGGCTGTAACCTCAGATCCGGTGAGCTGGATTCTTTGCCAAGAGGCTAACAGAAAGTCTAGTGGAGATCCGTCGGGGAGGCAGAGCATCCGGTGGTAAAGACAAGAGGGAGGAAACAGAGAGAACCAGAAAGAAACAGCGAGAGCAGAAACCTGGGGCATCAAGCGAAGAGATCGGAAAACGGGAAAGACGCCAACCGCTACAACTAACAAGAGATCGAAAAGAATAACAGAGGGATATAAGAAAAAGTTAGGGGTAGAGAGGGGAAAAGCCAGCTTTAGTTTAAGCCATGCGTATTCAGCTCGCCTGTAGCTGCATGCCGAGTTTGTTTGCTACTACTACATTCATGGACGGCCCGATGGCACCTTTTGAGGAGCGAATTGCGCCTTGGCTGCATGAAAGCATTATATCTGCCCCTTCTACTCTGTTACTACCACCTCATCCTTTATTGCGGCGAAACGACGTCGAGTGTGGGATCTATCGCCAGGCAATCAAATCTGCGTCAAGTCTGAGACAAGCGCTTGAGACACAGAGTTTACAAGGGTTTCAGTCACCTGCGCCAAAGTAGATGCGTGAAAATAAAAGGGCTTGCATCCAATCATGTCTGAGGCGATGGTAGCCTTGGAAAGCACTCGATCACGACGGAGCACTGTTAATAGCTGATTGCACCTACTTTGCTGCGATATTTGCCAGATCTACCTTGTTCCCTGGCATTGTGGCGTCGAATAGGATTCAGTATTCAGCTTGTCACATCTGACCTGCAGAATGTTGCGTTCGGTTTAAAGCCGGATTCCTTTACGAGTACCCTTACTGATTTTCGAGGTATCTATGGATTATCGTCGCATCCTGGTAGCTAACACTAATATTGTTAGTCTTAGGGCACATACCAAGAGTAGCAGTTGTGGTGGCCATCTAGCCGGTTGCTGCCGAGGATATGGTCTATTTTTTATGTACCATGGGCTGGGAGCCCTACATCCCGAAAAGTTCGGAAAGGGAGATGAATAAAGAAACCACATGGAAACATATACAGATACGCCACCTCACTTCCATTATGAGAGCTGCGCTCTTGTAGAACAATTCTTTCGGGCTCCTCTTTCGAAGAAGTGTAGTGTCTCCTAACGTGCTAATACTCATGAAGGTCTAGTAAATGTTAAGCAAGAACAAGCTGCAATCACGCGTCTAGTAGTAGACTGGGAGGCTGACACGCATCATTTCATTGCTAGGGAGGTACTGTAGCACTGAGGCACTCCAGGCTCCATATAATGTATTAACGTGCCGAGGGCACTACAGTCGAATTTGAAGTGCCAAGCTGCTAACAACCGTGCCTGTGCAGATCTGTGCAGGCCCTACCGAGTATAATCGAGTTTCATGAGCTTTGTCCCACCGATCAGCGGATAGCTTGCATGGGTAATACAGTTGCTGAGAGGCTCAAGAGTGAAAGAGTACATGCTGATGCTGGCATACGACCACCTCCATTTTAGCATTGGCAGATGGTAAACAGAATCAGGTCTTGGGTGTTTCACAGAGGCCCCTCATCTTGGACTATAGTGCGTTTTGGGCTAGCTACTGTTATCCTGATTCAATTTGTGAGCAGCCACTGCGTCTCAGCATTAATGTATTCAATGTTCCTCCTTATAGACCGATACCCGTGTATACCGAATAATTATAATAAAACAATAGGTATCATTGCTCCTCAACCCTGTTGCTAGTATATTGAAGTTAGTATGATCCTCGTACTTCATATTAACAATGCACAACTCGCCCGTGGTATTAGTGTTCAGCGAATTACTATAAGCTAATTGAATAGCAGCTAGCATAAAGTGAGACTCGTACGACGGTATGATAATAGCATTACCACCTTGAGCATGAAGAGAAGGATGGGCATCCCTGAAATAAGTGTTTGCTTTTCGTGTCTTACTTCAGACAAGTCATTCCTTCCTTGGCACGTTCAACGCCATCACTCAGCAAAAAGCGAAGATAAAGGTCAAATTACGGGTAGGAAGCAATCCCCACGCTTTTGCTGCCTCTTTCTTTGGTGATCTACTCGTAGTGCCAATGGTGCGGGCAGTTATGCCTCCAGAAGCAGCCGTTGAGCCAAAAACGGCGGGGTTTGGCTGGTGACATTATCATATGCGTCCGCGTTGATATCTTCGCAGCTTGAGAGTAATATGCTATATTTAGAGTTGTATTCCCACCATGGTTTGCACGAGAAGTCAGTGGAGGGTGCACAAGTGCGCACAAGTAGGTACTCTTGTAATTTCTTAATTTTGTTCCAATCTTTGTGTAAGTACAATTTTGTCCGACCTGTCACTCAAATTTGGTGAGCCTATCCTAGGTTCAAAGCGACTGATGCATCCTCAAACATTGTGGTGGACATTGAAAATGTAGAGAAAGTAAATCAACCCACATGTCATACTTCATATTTCATACCCCTATGACCTTCGAACAAATTATGCCGTAAACAGGCAATCAACTATGACGACTGTGATCTTGTTAGCAGATCCTCCACCGAAAGAAGAGCAATTCCTGTCGCTCCCACCTTTACAACGCCTCGCGGAGAAAAGTAAAGAGCCCAAGAATTGTCCCTGCAAGTGGCAAAGAGCCTCTGATCAGATTCAAAGTGGTCCATCGGTCCAACAAGCCATTCACTCGGGCTACAGAGATGTCGTTCTCATTAGCGTCTTTTTTGGCCTCATCATGTAGCAATCCGTTGGTCTTCTTCATAACAGTCAGCGTAAAGGGCACAATGGATAGAGTGAGGCCAGCCGCTCCCAAGTAGCTCCCCCAAGCCCTGCCATCACCGTAGGCGTCGTAGGCCGCGACAAAGTAAGCAAGAGCAGTGCCGACAGCGAACTTTGGCATTGACGCGGCTCCGCGCTTGTAAAGCTCAGCCCAGATCTTGGCGGAAGATTGCTGCACTGCGGCGGCAGCGGGCGCGCCTCCAATTGAGAAAGACATGATGGCTCCTAGACGAAGAATAAGAAACACGTAACAAAGATCGAATTGCGGCAATATGGGAGCTTGATTGGAAGGGGGTTGAAATTTACCAGACAGCCATGCCGAGCCAACAACGCCGGTGGCGACGGCAACCAGGGATGGCCCAGACAGTTGCATCTTCACAAGTCGAGCGTTGCTCTATACACCGATTCGGACAACGTATTTAACGAGGCTTTCGATGCTTTTTTTCAGTTGCGAGAACTGTTGAGATTGATTGAAAGAGAGAGAATTTTATGGCTAGTTGTCGAAATCGTATCATCCGCCGTTATATTCCAGGCCCTAAATCCTACGATGACGTAACGGCTTTGGCTTCCGCGCCACCTTTGCTGGCCCAAATAGACGCTGTAGTTGACTTTCACGAGTTTTGTTCGTTCAATTGAAGATGGACTATGTGTTCGGCCTTTTACTCTGTAAGTATAAATACGCTCAAGGCAAATATGGCCAAAACTCGTAGTATGTAACGGGAGCCTAATCTGACGGTGAGCCGGCATGAAGAAGCTTCAATGCCGTGATGGCGGCGCTAGATTTGGCTTGCGTCGTAAACAGCCAGAACTGAGACATATGAATGATATGATTCCTGAGCACAGATCTGTGATAATTTGACGAAATCAAAGATGGTAATACCACTTGAACCTTGGTCCTTGATTGTTCCCGTAACGCTGGATGCTGGGTACCCAACCCGACTGTCTTGCAAACAAAAGTAGGTGCGAAAGGTGCATGATATGGCGTTTCCGAGTTTGTTTCCCAAGATTATTTCCGTACTCAAACAAAACAATTCCGATTCGTAAATTCGATGACCCAAAATAGAGAGCGTGTTGGTGATTGCAATATTGAGGATCTTTGCATGGCGCATCTCCAAAGAGAAGCTAGGAGTAGACTGCGATGGAATGCCAACCTCTTTATGAATGTACGCCTGTTGGCCATTGGGAGTGATATTGAGATGTTTCGAAGATGAAAGAGCTTCACCAACATCCATCCGTTGACCTATCGAAGAATATCAAATCACAATAAAAGAAATAAGAGATACTCAAACATACAGGTAGAACTTTCGGGCAGCTGGGGCATTGTACGTTTTCCTCGACTACCTACTAGTGGTCCAGCCTACCCATTCTAGCTCAATATACCAGACGACGACTAGGTGAAGAGGTCCTGTTGCAAGATCTCGTAGATTTATTCATTAATGCAAAAGGCATTTGGCTATTAAATGGCATTAGTATACGCCCAAATAAGAAATCGATGGAGAAAAGGCAGTAACGTAACTAAATCAGAATTCCTTCGGACCGCCTGTCCATTGAATGATGCGAACTTCGAACTTTCCACTAGCACGGCAGATATATGAACTAACAGCCGAAATATTGAAAATGAATGCTCTCTGATTTCAAAGTCCAAAAATAAGACAAACCCAATGAGATTTACGCTGAGGTGAGGCCAAAGAGGCCTCTGTGTATGGCAGCTGTACGGCACCAGACGAGACGTATCATGTGACACAGCTCCTGCTCTCCTCCATACATATATGCTCGACTTTTTCCCCCGGCTACTTCTAGCTTTTTCCTGAATTGCTTTATTTCGATCTCCTGCTGCCTTTAATCAAAATATCTCTCATGTGTCAAAATTGCAATCATTTGTCGTTTGCTACCATCAGTCGAGGCACCGATAACCGGCGGAGCTGGCTCACCACATCGAATCAAGCCACTTCTGGTATATGCTCTAGCCCAGAAAGTTTGCGTTGCATACAATTACTGACAAAATACTCTCCAGACCTACTACGAATTAACCAAATTGTCGTTTCAGATGTTCGTCTGTGGAGTATTGCGAAGCTAGGTTTCAACCAACTTGCATCGTGAACTACCTAGACCGCATATCGATACATAAGAAGATCAGTTAAAAGGGAGATTTGGCACCGCAAACGAATTCTTTTGCATCTACACCATCATTCAACGTCAGATTTGTCATTGCTAGCGAAGCAGAAATACGGTCAGAGCATTACGGCCATGAGGGATGCCTCCCTACATGATGTTCTTACGTATAGGCTTCCGTGGCAGATTGCAAGTTGACCGTTTCATGGCGCGCCCACCGTCCCTTCGGTGCCGTCTCCGAGGAGATTTGCTTCATGCTTCCTGCGGAGCATTACTTAGTCCCAGTGCTAAGCAGCGCATCTACACTGCGGTGCATTTGGCCCCCAAAATATCTCGGAAGCAGGCCGACCTAGCACTAGTAGGTCGATCCGTGAAATACCAAGTTAGCGGTCCGTATGCGTGCCTCTGCACACGCCCCTTCGAAGAGCTCTTGTAGGATGCTAGTGGCTTGTGTTAGAGGTCTGCTAACCTGCGCAAGTATATGCTACTTCCAAAGAGTATCTCCCAAGGCGGTCCCAAGTACCGCCTACTTCTAGAGAGCCTCCTATGAGCTTCTTCCAAAGAACAGCCTCCCGTGTAGCACCCACACCATCTACGGCATATCGGCAACGGCTGGGGTCATGAAGCATGAAGAGGGGACCCGGCGGATAGCGGCGATTTAGACAAGCTAAAAGGGCTATTTTGATCGGCTACTTGTTTGCGCCAGTCCCTGGCAGGCTGTTCTTTCGTTTATACATCTGACCTGTGTATTAAACAGCAGAATGCGGTCTTTCCCGGCATACGACGTCAAATCAAGCCGCTGGCTAAGGAAACGTCACAAGGAGAGTCCGGATAGTTCGGCACCTTTGATTGACAATACTCCTTCGTGCGCTGAAGCTTGACAGCGATGATCTCCCAGTCCGTGCTGCCGATATCGCAAGATGCAAGACGAAGCCGCTGACCGACGCGCAGCAGCCAGTTGTCTCGCAACAAAAGATGTGGGCCGAGAATTCTCAAAGTACATACATTCGACTCCTTGCGGCTGACATGCTGCCAAGCCGGCAGCTTTCGCCCGGCAGCGGGACGGATGCATATCTATGATTAAATTCGACGACGCTGCTACGGTACCTACATGGTGCCACAGATAGAGCTACTCAATGACGGGTGAGATGCCGCAGGGCGAGGACTTGCGACCAAATTCCGACACAGCACCTGTATCGTCTAGCATCTGCGCGCCGTTCTAGGAGAGAGGGGGTTTTGATGAAGGAGCCTGTGCTTCATGCACAAAATAGGAGAGCGGCGATCACTCCTTGTAAGCGGCCCCTTCGGCTAACAAAGGGATATTGTACTGCGAATAGCAGACAGAAAATCGAATAATGCGACATCGCGTGTGTGTCCGCAGGATCAACCCTTTGGCCAGATGCCTTCACATGCCAAAATTTCGGGGGGCGATATAACGACAACCGTTACCAACGGCGAATTAGCTGCTTCAGGGTACCTTCTTTACTGGCGCTCGCATGCCCCATAGCCATGCAGCTAGCATATAATTCGTGGTTGGTAATACACCCCTGCCTAGTGATGCTGTTCGTTTTTTCTTTTTTTTTTATTCTGCCTCGTTGCATAAGCCTCCAGCTTCCACAGAGCTTCCCTAACCCGTGTATAGCCCTCTTGCTAGCATCGGAGAAAAGCATCAGCTGTAACCGTTTGAGGACTACCTGAGCGGGTTTTCCAACTGTCACAGGAGCGATTCCCTTTGCCACATTCTCACCACTATCAAATATTAGTACAGTAGATAATAGATAGTCTAAAAGGCCCTTTTATGGTGCCGCCCATCATTCGCCATCATCAAATAGTTGCTGTAGTTCAATCAAGCATCCCACGTGAGGCCTCTGTATGTCTCACCACAGCCGCATTCCTTACCCATCCGTAGTAACAGCAGGTAACATGACGCCGTAAAACATGTCGTCACAGATGACAAGCACAGCGGCCTGTGTGTTAGACAAGATGCCGTTTTCGGCTGCAGGAGAGCTGATTTTCAATTCCAACCACCGCAAGTAATCTGGATTAGAGATTTACTAGCGAGATTTTGTTTTAAGGCATCTTCAATAGTCTACTAGGTAATAGAGAGAGTTTATGTCTCCTCTCAGGTATGTGTGATTGAACGCAATGCGTTTTTATTTGTGACGTTTTCATCGCCTATTTGAGCCATCGCCACATTTCCGTCCCATATGGGGAGAAGGGCAAAGCAGATAAAATAAGATATGTTCTAAAAAAATTAAGATGAACTGATTGAGCTTTCTTTTTCTAAGAATTTCCCATCCCTCCCAACAAGGATATAAAAGAAATAGAATATCATGATAATCGCGTGGACTCATCCCCCCCGGTCTTGATGCATGTAGACAAACCTAGGATAGAGAAAAAAAATAAGAGAGAGAAAAAGGGGAGGATCGACTAATGATCGCTTTATCCCTTGTATGTACTCTGTATTGGAAACAGAAAAAAAAAAAAAAAAGTGTGCAGAGGGCACCAACGATCTTTTAAGAGTAAAGAGGCCGTTATAGCGCACCTAGCATAACGGAGAAATTATAAAGACGACGCAGCGCCCAATAAAAACACCAGCCAAGCTGACTCTTCTCCCGAGTCGCTTGGTCTATCCCTTCAACTCCAAAAGATGATGCAGTCCACCCAGATAGTGTATTAACCCACAAAAAAAAGCGAGATGAAAAGAGGTCATCTCATGATGAGTTAAAACAAAGAAAGTGTAGGATTAAATCAGTAAGAATATGAAACGAGAAAAAGGCTACTTCTCGCCGCCTATTATCCGCGATGCATTTATATAATAGAGGAAAAAGAGGTATAAAAGATGAAAGAGGTAAGAAAATAGGGGTCGGGTACAGGATAAAGCAGTGACAAATATCGACGGAGGATAGGCCACCTTTGTAAGCAGCACGCTGTCTCTTAGTAGCCGGCCTGCCCTGGCATTTTACCCAACGAATGGCTGCCATAGTTCTTGGGTGGTAAATGATTATGGCAAAAGATTTTGCTTCCATTCTTGGCACCGTAATCTTTCTTAGTCGCGTCGATTGTGAGCTTGGGGTCGTCGTACGATTCAAGCTGGCAGCATTCGATATTCTTGACCCAGCGACTCGTAATGACGTCGTAGACGCATATCCGCTTGTTAGGGTCTGGGTTAAGCATCTGCAGTAAGATACGCCGCAGTGGTGGAGGGTTAACACCCATATCAAGGGCGTAGCAGTTGGGGTAGTCTGTATCTGTAATGGTCGCATCTTTATCGTCTTGGTGCTTCTTGTTCCATTTCTCCCAACCGGTCACTAGCTTGTCGTAGTGGAGGTTACCAGCCTCGGCTTTGGACCAAATGGCGCCGCCAAAAGTCATATAGATCATGACAATGGCAGTGCTCCATACGTCCAAAGCTCGTGGATCATAATCTCCTTTCTTCTGGAGCACTTCGGGCGCAATGTAGGGCTCGCTACCGCATATGCCTGGAGAACATAGCCGAATCTCCCCCATGTTCTTACCGCACTGGCCACCAGCTTCGCGCAGTCCGGGATGAGTACCACAAAAGACCTCAGAGACACCAAAGTCTGTGATTTTCAATTTGCTGTCCTTCGTTATGAGCAGGTTTTCGAGCTTGATATCACGGTGGGCAATGCCATTGGCGTGGAGATAGTTGACGCCCTGGACGAGCTGCTTGAAGAGGCAGAGGCGATCCTTAAGTTTAGCATCGCCTTTCAAATGACCCTTTTGCACAAGGCTGAACAGGTCGCCCTCGGAGCAATATTCCATGACATGATTCCAGCGTCCATGATCCGAGCACAGACGAACAGTTTCGACAATATTGGGATGGTGCAAGCTCTTGCCGATACTGAATTCGGATTTGATTTTCTTTTCGTATTCCGCCTTGCTCTCACGGCCAGATTTGCCACGAAACTCTTTAACCGCGTACATTTCGCCAGGGAAGCCCTTGCGCACCATGAGCGTGACCTTGGAGGCGGCCCCTTTTCCGAGATGCTTGCCATGGCGACCCAAAAGCTTGCTCTGGTACTCGAATTCGTCCTGCAGCTCAGCAACATCCACGTTGAAATCGTCTGGTAAGCTCAAGCTCATGCGACGGGCCTTGACGCCTGTGCCAGCCTCGGGTGGCATCGCCCAGGGGAGCCGCTCGGGAGGATACGTTTGACCATTGGGAGCTTTGCTGCCCTGGTGAGGAAGAGGTCCACGGTTCCCGGCATCAAAGCTACTAGCACGGCGCGATACCGTCTTCCCAGGCCGGCCAACTGCTGTGCCAACAAATCCAACTGCACGGCCCCGCAGGCTGAAACCGGTTGACGCACGGTTCTTCTTCTTGAGGCTGGCCTCCCCATTGAGTGTATTTTCATCTTGAATAGACAGTTTATCTATGGAAGGAGTCCCTGGGGATGGAGGTGTGGGCGAATTAGATCGGGTAGTGACATTAGACGACCTGGTAAAAGAAAAGCGGCTTGAGCGTGTAGCCGGGCGGGCACTACCGGTGGGCGGCCGCTGTAGATAGGAAGCTTCTGAAGGGGTAAGAGAGCTGGTATCAAATATAGCGTTGTCCTGCGCCCCAGGACGACGAAAGAAGTTGGTCATTGTGCTTCTAAGACTCGAGATCGAAAGCCGGGTTGAGAGACTTGATGGCGAGGGAGGCTCTAGGACTGAGGGCCGGCTCGAAGTAGGGGATAGATTGATAAAAGATTTGCTGCTATTGCTGACAGTAGGTACCAATTCAGATGAAGGTATGGTTCCTGAATATGGATTTGAAACTGAGACAACTGGCACCGATACAGCGGGAGAGACAAAGTCGCTAGAGCTTGGTCTGGCTGTTGAGACCGGACTCAGCGAGGAAGAGGCTGCTCGTGGAGAGGCTGTGGCTTTTACTGTGTTGTACGAAGCTGACAGGAGGGTAGCAGTCTTGTTCGGAGCTGTTGTAATACCGTTTGAATGCTGCTGAGAGCTGACACTGTCAAGGTCGTCCGAATCCTGATCATACGCATGCCTCAGCGTGAAATCTTGGGACTGGCGACGGCTGATGGGTGTGACAGGCTCGATGGGGCCCTCGCTTTCAGTCTCGTAGCCCTCGACGGTTGGGTCTGGGAAGTCGGCTGGGGGTTGGCGCAAAGTCGAGGTGATGAAGCAGGAGCTGGTGTTGGCGGTGCACTGAAGCGGTTGCGCGCATTTATCCGCTAAGCATCAGTGTCAGCATGAATGGTAATTCGGATAAAAAGAGTAATAGCAAGTGCTCAAATAAGTATAAAAAAGGAGTTAAAGTAAAAAAAAAAAAGAGACAGGAAGCTACTCAGTAGCATGCGAAAGTGCGTTGAAGGGGAAGATGCATGCCAAGAAAAAAAACCTGCAGCAGAAAACAAGGCGTCGCAGGTGCCACAGACGCTGCTTTTTGAAGGGGGGGAGGGAAGCAGCAGAAATAGGAAAGCGGAAATAGTTTGAATTGCCATTCAAGGATGATAAATGCAGGCAAGGCTTATCTAACAGCGAATAAGTCACTCACCTCTAGCTGGAGCCGGAATTGGCTGGGGTGCGGCTGTTGGCGGCGCTACTGGCGCTGAAGCTGGAGAAACCAGCGGCCCCGGACCTGCTGAAAGCGCCATAGCTTTAACAGATCCAAAATAAATGTAAAAAACAGCACGCTTTGGTGGCCAAGGGTCACTAAGCTCCACTATGCTAGGGAGCGATGCACCTCGGGAAAAAATGGGTTTTGGTTTTTGGTTTTTGGTTTTTGGCTTTCTCTCCTTTTTTTCTTCTTTGCTTCTATTTTGTTTTTAATATGATGTGCGCCAAAGAAGTGGCGTTGTGGGAAAGGTAAAGGACGAGGAAGCAGCCGCTGCTGTTTTAGCGTCTGGGCGCCGCTCTCGGATCGAATCAAAACGCTGCTGGACCTTCTCTAGAAGCGTTCGATTCGGGGCCGATCCTGCTAGGGAGGGGATCCCCAATGCTGAGGGGGGGTATGGCGACGTAATTGGGCTGGCCCTTCAACCACTCAGCAGCCAGCAAAGTCCGGCCTGGAAGGCGAAAAGAATCAAGTCCGCGGTGTTGCCGAAACGATGCTTGGCCTCAAAGGTAGGCGAAGCGCGTGCACAGATGAACGAAGATGATTCGAGAAAAAAAAGGAAAAGAAAGAGAAAAAAGATTTTGAGAACGAGAGGAGGAGAGGTAGTGATATCAATGGCGAGAATAGAACCGGATTTCAAGATAGTGGCGGAGATGTGGAGGTGAACGATGCCTTTACCGAAAGGCTAATCTTGAGCTTTATTTTCTTCCCATTCCCTCTGTTCTTGTAACGACTTGGAGAGCTAGCGTGTGTTTGTATTCATTACGTGGGCGATGTTAGGTGGTGATGTCGACGTAAGGTAGCTTCTGATTCAACGCATCGATATTGGAAAGAGAACAAGGCGGTAGCAGTCTCAAGAAGAGGAAAGCCGTAGCATATGAGGAAGGTAAACTGAAGAGTAAGTGAAGAGAGAAACACGCCGGAAGCACCAAAGAGCGAAAGAGCAAACCCAAGGTTGGTTTTTTGCTTTTTTCCTTGCTTTCTTTCCTCTTGACCTAAAGCTAGCCAAGGCCAAGGCAAGAAGGAGTAGAGAGAGTGATCCAGAGCGTGGGAGGTGGAGGCATTTAATCAAACCCCAATGCTCAAATCGAGGCCCTGTTTGGTAGCAAAAATCAAGAGGGCACGACGCAGAGGGGTGGGTGAAGAAGGGATCCGACGTGGAGTGTGGTGTGCAGGAGATAATATGGAGGTACCAGGGTACGCGGCGTGGAGTACGAATGCAAAGTACCCGAGTACCTGAGAACATCGTCCCTTGAGAGTCGATGCCAAGGGCTTTAGCGGCAGACACTACAGCTACAGGCGTACAAGTCGTAGAGGAGCACAGCAAGAACCTGTTGATGCTAGTAGCCACTTTTCTCGCATGCCGCTAAGCTAACATACCTGTAGTAATATTGCCGCCTACTGTATATATAAAATTACAGATAGATACGGAGTTCCGTGAGAGGTATCTAATAGCGGCAACACATCATTTGGTTGGTGCTCTACATGATGCTGTAAAAGTTAATAGTGCTAGGTACTATGGTAATGGTATATGGTACCTGCGCCCTGATATTTGCCAGCATGACATATGGGGTACCTGATACGAGGTACTCTACATGTTGGTCGTAGCCCTCCCTTTGTATTGGCGCCAAGGCTCGCTTCACTGATTGCATAGCGGCAATCAATGACAGCACGCACCACACCTCCAGAAATGGAGCCTCCCTTTTCCAAATGAAAAGCCACAGCACAGCGCAGTCTTGGTCATGTCTGCTCACATTGATAATGATTTGAGGCTCAGCATTGCATGGAGAATACTCTAAAATTAGCAATTGGCCTGTATGCACTTTCGCTACCGCAATAAACCGCCTGCAACGGGCATGCACATCGCAATCCCAAGGTGCCTTATCTGATCCACGAGATGCGCTCGCCAAGAGGCTACAGCGGCCAGGCCCTTCTGTAAACCGATGCGCTGCCCGCCATACAATGCAGTTGCGCTGGGCCTTGTAAAGAAGCTAGATAAACCCGCCAAGGCAAATCCTCCCCTCCCGCCTTCATCATCTCGTCCCACAAACAAAGTCCAAACTGAGCGGCCGACCCGACACCACGCCCGCATCTTTTGTATTCGCTGCCCCAAGCCAGGGTACGTAATGCTTCTCTAATGCCTTAGTACCTACCTATGCTCTACGCACAAAGTAGTACTTCGTGCCTCTCTGTATTTGCGTGCTGGGGCGTGTGCACGCGTCTCGCTGCGCCATGGTTGGTGCTCTAGTTGTGGCTGCGACTTTGTTTCTTGTCTCTGGTGTATCTCCTCGTTCTCCATCCACCGTCGTTCGCTTGTGTTACCAAGCCTTGGCACATTTCAACCAAAGTGCTAGTGCTCTGTGCTAATTAGTTGCGTCTAGCTGCACTTGTGGCATCATCGCCTAGCAGAACGCCCATTGAGCACGACCCAAAAGAAGGCGTATGATAGTTTTTGATCGCCGCTTGGCGTAATAGATGGAGCACGGTGGGTGCAGTGCTGAGCTTGTATGGATTGGCGTTGGTGCTGATCTGGTCAGTAGTGATATCTATCACGCGCGAAATACACCCTTGCGTCCCAATATCACGGCTCCCGACAGATATGGACATGGGCCCTTTCCTTTTGTCGAATTCGCCTCGCCGAAGTTTGCAGTGGTGCTTTTCTTGGCAGGATCGAGGAGCTTGGCTATGGAATTATAAGTCCCCTAGGGCGGAAGCTCTGTTTTCCCAGAGTTGAGCCAATGTATGTATGAAATCTCTTCTGATCACCGCTCATCGCCCTCTTTCAACGCATCAGCCAAGGGATCGGCAAACCATTTTCGACTCTCCTCAGGACACCGCAGCCCAAGACCGGGAACTCGAACTGGATTTCAAGCTGTCTGACGATTTGATTGTATAATGATGTCAATACTAGCAGGACTAGTAGTACATACAGGTATGCAAAGGCGGGCTCGCTGTACCGTATACTGGCGCAAATACGGAAAGCCGCAGGCCGAATTTCGCAGCGACGCTCGCTGACCCGTAACGGCCCCGGTGCAGCGTGCCCCCGTCACCGGAATTAAATGGCAGCTCGCGACCAGCCTCGCTCTTACGCTGCTTCGGATGCCGTGCAAGCAATGGATGGAGGTGCTCTTGCGCTCCATGCAGGACGCAATGCATAGGACTAGTGCTACAAAGTAGTGCAACCAACAGCAGAGCAAAGCACTTCGATCCTACAAATATGTAAGGATTCCAAAGCAGGATTAAAGGCATTGCTTACTGTTGCTTGCAATGGGGTATGAAAGTGCGGCATTACGTATGTCATGCCTCTGTGTAGCTCTCAACGGCCGACGCTGCGTGAAGCCAGTATAGCTCTATCTATGATACCTGAGCTAGCCAAAGCATTTGGGAACCACGATGCATCTCACATGCCATCAGATACCACCATCGGACGAGGAGAAAAAGGGCGCTTATTAGGCTTCACTTCGACGCACCACTACAGTAGTAGTGATGCTTATACTTCTAGACTCGCACAAGGGACTTTTTGGGGACTAATCTCGAACTACTTGCCCCCCGGTTAATCCCCCTTTCCCCATCTCCGATCCAGTCGGCCGATTCGTCTACCGGCCAGTGGACAGTCGAAGCAAGCAAAATTGCAGCCCAAACCAAGCGAGATAGAGAACAGATACAAACAGAAGTCGTGAGCCACTCAAAATTGGGCAGCCTACTCAATGCAGGGCCCCAGAACAGCGAGTGTTGGGAAAGCCAAGAAGCGAGTGTTTAATTATAGCAATTTGATTCAGCCAGCGAGTCACGAGCTTCATCGCATTTGACGTGTAAGTTCTCCGTCCCGCAATGGAGGACCCGTCGGCAACAAGCGAAAATGACGCTCGTCATAAAGCTACTACTATACCTACGCAGCAAGGTATCACATACCTGCTAGCATTCATTGATTATAGCGCTTCTTCTTGCCTGCAGTTTGTACCAAGTACGACCAAATACTATCACCAAAAAGACTGAGTAGGCAGCCTACACTAGTCCCAGAAGCGACGCGGACGACGATGCTCCGCTGTAATGGATGTCCCAGTAGAGAGGAGAATGAACCGCAAGCCGGCCATCAAAGATGGATCGATGAGCACATTAGCCACTGAGCTGGCCAAATTGCCCAAATTCGAGCCACATTGTTGCTTCCTTTCACTTCGGTTACCAGCCTGCAGCCTCCACGCGCACATCCAACGCTATTCCTCATGCTCTCTCGTCTGCGACTTATTAATGCCTGTACGGATTTTCAATTGTGAAACCCGCGTTCAGTACTTCGTACAAGTATTCTCGGTTGGATATGGCCGACTCAATAGGCCTGATCATATGAGAGCATACGTCGCATATCCTAGCAGAGCAAACCTTGTGCTTTTACTCATAGCTTGAGTCAAATTACACTAGCTACACACCATTTCTGGAGTGTTGTGCCACAACGGAGGCAGATTTCAGAAGTGGTCCCTTTGTTCCTGCAGTCTAGATTTGAACTTTGAATCTCTCTTCATCCGTTAATGGCCTCGGCGATACTCTAAGTCGCCAGCACCATGAAGCAGAGCGGCAACTAGTCGTGGAGAACAAGTAAGCTTAAAGTTTCTTGTCTAAAACAATCCGCTCCAAGCAGCCTATATTTTCTCTGCCGAAATGTACTCAGCCCGACAATGAGCACCATCGTTCTTCAAAATGCCATGGAGAGAGAGGTTTCTTATCCTTCTACACCGCTTCAGCCAGCCTTTTGTGGATGCCGTTAGATTCAGAGGTGATTAAATGACAAACATCAAGCCCTTAGACAAGCTTCCCAGGGCGGCCTCAATCTACTGTCTAATTTTATCTCATCAAGGCAGTTCAACAGGCATCGGCTCACTCCTGATCGGGGGTGATTATTATCTTGACAACTATATCCTGCAGAGATGCATGGATCAAATTTGAATACTGTCATGTATTCTACAGTGGAAAAGACTTGCAATTGGGCAATAGAATTCCTCCTTATGAACGAATCTTGGCTTCGAGTCGACAGTTACGAAGTACTACTTCGCACGCACGATATTTCCTGCACAAAGGCGGAGCATGATCGTTTATCACGAGATTAGAGGACTCGAAAATTCAGATACTCGGCTATATGAAATTTCTTGGTGGATGCCGGGAAACATTCTGAAGAGAGATTCCTTGTTCCCATCTTGGGCAATCGTCAAGCAGAAACCCTCGCATCAGCGTTCAGGAATATTTGCTAAGGCAGGCACTCTGGCTAACGTCCTCTAGCCCGAGAACTGTTCCTCTTTACACATCGTCAATACGCCCTGGTAAGGGCAAAATTGCTGCATTAGACTGCATTGACCACTCGACGCTCCCGATTGTCCTGTCGGCCTAATCTGAGAAAGCAGGGGCGTGGGGATGGTAAAAAAAAAAAAAAAAAACGTACTGGCAGATATAGCAATATCCATATTCAAATGCCTCTTGTGGAACAGGACTAGCAGTGCTTGGACAGCTACTATGACGACTTGCATCTGCCGGTTCCCATTGGAGACACTCAAAAAGTATGCTTAAATAGCCACGCCACATTTCCGGCTCAGTGAGACGTTACTCCCCGTCCTGGTTTTAAAACATCTTGCCAGCATTGGTTCGGATGTGAGACAGCTTTGCCTGGTCCAAGGTTCTGGTCCAACCCACTCCAGAAGGGCGACTCGCTTTGCTTTCAGACAAAGTAGCGAGTCCGAGACAATTCTCTCCACAAGAATTTCCTCTTGACTACAGCGAGCTGCATCGCCAAGCCTCCTGCCAAGAGATTAGGGATGGATTGCGAGATGAATTTTTCTTGATCGAAAGGTATACATGCATACCCTTTAACTAGAGACCGCCGCTCTGGAATCTAGATCGACATAGTGTTGTCCCACATCGAGGTTTAAAGAGCCAGTGTCACAGTCTTGAGAATATGCCGTGCCCAGGAGCTAAAAGCTTTACAGATATGTTGGATCTCCAATTCTTCTTATTTACAGCACCCTCCCACCTCCCTGCCACCCAAGAATTTGAGTGTTCTCACCGACTCGCGTACATACGCGCATGTCTCATTCAATGATAAGATGGCTGGGTCGCAGCAGTACGAGCATGTCTCACGTCCTACCTACGGCAGGGACAACTTAAGAAAGGCGCCAAGACACACGCGGCCTCTAGTCATACATAAGAATATAATCAATTGGTACCTCTATCCTCTGTAGGGGTAATCGCCCAACCAGACTTATTCTTGCCTAGCTAGTCGAGGCCTCTATTATACCGTATACTCGACGCGTTTTTGGAAGCTCAACTTTCAAACGCACGTAATATGGGTCATAGCCGTCGACCAATGGCAGGTCCTTAAAGTTCTAGCAAATCTCTCATGCCCGCTTTTGTCACCACGGTCGTACACCGAGAATCTACTTGATCGAACTTTTTGTTTGGAATACCTGACGCCAAGGATTTTGGGTACCCCGAACTTGACTGATCCTTCGGTGCTCCTTTGATCGATCCATGGAGATTGGCGCGTGCCAAGATATTCAAGTCCGTAACGTGATATTGGATCTTATTACTACTGCCCAATAGATATGTCTCGCTAAGCGGCCAGGAATATCTTGGCATGTCAAAGTGAAGCAGCTTATGAGGAACGATGGCTGAAGATAAGCATTCCACGTCGAAGACAGTGTACTTGTACAACACCATAACGGCAGCCTTCTATTCAAGAGTGATGGGCGTGCTACACATCGTTGCAGGTTCAGCCTGTCATCTGAGTTCTTAAAATATGGATATGAACTCATAGGTGTCTAGTGATCAGGGTTTCAAGTCCCGCGCACCCTCGGCTAAGCATCTGAGCAGGCAGGAGCTTAAGATTCTAGCCCATAGGGGCACAAACTGTGATTTTCGGGTCGTTTAGCCCTTGTGGCTTGACCTTGGCCAGTACCCCATTTCTTTGTGAGAGCTGAGGCTCGAGCATTGTAACGACTCCAAGTGGCGACCGTCAGCATATACCTGGAGTTTCTGCATTAAGCCCCGATGAGTTCCCACGCATGGGGCACAATCGCTTCAGGCACCGATGATGGTATCCAATCTGGAATACCAAGACTATAACCTGGATTGAACTGTAGCCACTGCATAATTCCCAAAGGGGGGTCAGAAAGCGCTCTTCATTGCTTTGCCGATTTGAACATATCATATATGACAGTCTGGGTATACATGCATGAGAAATCAGGCCCATGTTGGGCTACAATTCTATTTCTAGCACACCAACTATTGCACAGCATCAACAAAGTACTCAGCAGTGGTATTCAGCCTAGAGCAATAGAGCAGCTTGGATGATAAAGGGCGATGAGAAGAAGACGCCATAAGTCTTCCCTCGAAGCACGAGGCCAACGACTATACTCGTATGCTTTTGGCATGTCTTCCTACTTTCGCGTACAGCCTTGGCTATTATTAATAAAGACTACGCCGCAGTAGTAATTGCCGGATTATAAATTCATCTTGCCGGCAACAGATGGAGCAGTAGCGGACGCAGCGTCGCGGGGTGGGGCCGTCAACGGAGATTTCCCCACGCCCCGCCGTCGAAGCTACGCTCAGCTTCACATTTCATTGGCATCTGGAGGCGAGTAGCGGGAAGATTCCCGACGGTTGGGAACGAATCGGTAATCAAATTTCGGAATAGATGACATTGTAATGGCTCTAGCTCCATCCGCAGCCGTATGGGATTTGGTGCGGGCTATCATGGTTTCCAAGGAGACTGCCAATCCTCGCTGCTCTGCGCAATGACTATATATATGTCAACCTATAAGTATGATGCTGTTTAATACAAGCAACCATCTCTCTTTACTTCTCACTGGCAGGGTGAACCATTTGTTCTCTTGGAAATTCTTACTATTCATTAATCCAACATGTCTGAAGATTCGCATGTCGCCCTGACCATAGGGACTCATACCTGGGTCCCAAATGATGGAGCAAAGATACAGAGCATCATCTCCATCATGCGAGCTCGTAACATTAAAACTCTGGACACGGCTAGATTATACGTGAGTCCCCCCGTCGAACAAGTTACTCCATCTCACTGCCTCTTATCTCTGATTGATCATCTGTTGAAGAAAAACCCAACGGCTAAAATTCTAAAATAGGGTGGAGGCGCGTCAGAGACGGCCATTGGATACTTGCAATTAGGTCCAGAGTTCGCTGTTGATACCAAGGTGCCAACAGGCTTTGCCAAAGGCCAAGCCGACAAGATTGAGCAATCAGCCCAAGAGAGCTTGGCCGCGCTCCAGACGAAACAAGTATGATTACTGCCTCAAACACCTCTCTTCTATCGTCTGGCTTTCCTAACATTGAATGTTTTTATTGCATTTCATAGGTCAAGACCTATCTTCTCCACGGCCCAGATGAGACTGTTCCCTTCGAGAAGCAAATGGAAGCCATCCAAAAACTCTATCTCCAAGGCAGCTTTCTGCGCTTCGGCGTCTCCAACTTTACTCGTGATCAGGTCCTCAGACTCTATAACATTGCCAAAGCAAAAGGTTACGTGTTACCATCTGTTTACCAATGCAGTTACAGCATTGCCTCTCGCCATCACGAGGCTGATTTATTCCCCACGCTCCGCCAGCTAGGCTTCTCCATCCAGGCATTCTCTCCCATGGCGGGCGGATTCCTGGCCAAGACACCAGAGTATATTGAACAAGGTCAGGGTAGCTGGAATCCCAATACGCCGAACGGAAAATTTCAACGCGATCTATTTTATAAGCCGTCGTATATGAAAATGCTCGCAGAATTTGGGGCCTTATCAGAGAAAACGGGCATCAGTCGAGCAGGCTTGGCGTACAGGTGGGTGAGGCACCATTCTATTCTGAAGAATCAAGCGGGTGATGAGATGATTATTGGTGCTTCAACCTCAGACCAGCTGGCAAATACTATGGAAGAACTAGAAGGCGGCCCTCTGGAGCCGTGGATCGTCCAGCGTATGGAGGAGCTTTGGGAGATGATCAAGCACGAAGAACCCGTTGATAACTTGAAGTCGTTTCAAAACATTTTTGGATAATTCTGATGCAAGAGAAGAAAATAGTGGGTATCTCAATTAAAATGATACAGTGGCTAGTTGGTATTGTAGCTAGGAAGAACTGAGGGTTCCGCGGCAATTGAATGTCAATGATTGAACTTCGTCCTTCAGTTACGTGTATAAGCACTGGGCTATGCCATAAAATATTCCTGAATCGCCTTGAGGAGCCATGCGAATTGATCGCTCATGATTGGCTGCGGCGATGAGCTTCGTAGAATGCATTGCATAAATCGTGTCATTAATAGAGGATAGTGTAGCGTGTACACAACTACAAGTGCTTGTGTACAAAATATGTACGGCGAATGAATCATGCAAGGGCTAATAAGCTTCATTTAAACATCTTGGTGTTGGACCTCTTGATGTTGCAGATGAAATTCTCGGGTGACGACTATACCGTTAGGCTCGACAGGACCTCTCACGGGGGAGACGTTTCCAAGCTCAATTTGCGAGTCGTCTTGCCTCTCCTTGATAGGAATGCTGTGTTCTGAGCCATCGTCGGTGAGTTGTGCAAACGGATGTTCGTCTGTCTCGCGTGTGTGCGTGATGCTGTATGCCCGAGAATGAGACGTCGTTGTAACGAACCGGCTATCCCCCTGCCAAGGTCGGGGGCCATCTTTTTGATAGTGGCTCATTCTTAGGGTCCCACGGGTTCCGCTAGACGGTTGTTTCTTGGATGGGAGAGATGAAAGACTAAAAATGCCAAAGGTAAATTTGCTAAGAATCGGGCGCAAGAATGGTAGACAGGCTAGTAACAGAGGGAGAAAGTTAGCAAATTTCTTCGATAGATGGGGAAGTTCACGGGTAGATGCATGCATACCACAAAAGATGGCTGTATTTCCTTCTACGACAGACCACAGAGCAATATTAACAAAGTTCCAAGTAATATCTGGACTGGTCAAATTTCCTTGGAGCAGGTAGTGGAGCCGCACAATAGAGACGATCGTAACGCTGACAACGTAGTTAGATTTTCCGATACATATGACGCTGAATGTTATGGCGACGTAGTGGCAACTTACAAGAGCCCAACGAGGAAAATACCGGCAAGAGCCCACTTCTGCCCCCTGGGAAGCTGAAGCTTCGTAATGTATGGAAGAGGCAACACCAAAATCAAAATATCCGTAACAATTGTCGGGATTGCATTTCCGTAGAAGAACTTGACGGAGTCTACTGTGCATTTGTATTGGTCTGGCTGTAATGGGTGCGTCGGGTTGAATCGCTCCCACCAGGCATTGGTAGGTTGGCACTGTAAAATGGTAACGAGGATCTGTAAGAGAGAGGCAATTAAGTCAGTATTCAAATGACTAGTAGCTTTTGTGACAGTTTTTGAGTTGGATACTTACGACACCAACAGCCCACATCAGTACTATCACAGCAAGTGTGAATATGGGAAGTTTGACAGAGCTTCGAATCTTGAAGGAGCGATAATAAAAGGCGAGAATAGACCATTTGACACATGCAATAGTCACAAAGTACCCTAACTCAGCGATGAATAATCCAACTGCCCATGCATATCGTGCATCTGGCGGACCGGCCCAGACATGTCTGCCCAAACCACGGCTCACAGCTAGAGAAGAGTTAGTGTTGCAGTTCTAGGAGATTAAAGCGTCGCTTCCTGAAATCTACGGACCATATACGCCCATTCCGAAGACATGGGCACACGAAGGGATCTGAACAAGCAATGGTATTAGTCTTATTTGCCATACGCTCTCATGCAGATATTCCGTACCAATGCTGCGATAATGAGCCAGTCATCTATCCACAGATCAATGTTTTTCAAACGACGGCTGACAATGCGGAGCCCAACGACGAGAACCGCCAGACACCAGGTGACGATCGAGGTGACCATGATGGAGGCCCTCCTGTCGTCATCGAGATTGATCCCGAACGGCGGCGGAGGAAGAGTAGCCATGGCTTTTGTATGCAGCTTGTATGCAGCTTGGTAGATCTCGCAGTCTTTGGTATTGAAAGAAGATAAAGGAGTGGCTATCAGAGTCGACGGCCTTCTGGTCGTGACTCTGAGAGAGAAAACGAATGTGGGATTGCTTAATGAAGGATAAAGCTCCTATGCCATGCTCCTAGGAACTGTACCGCAATATGAAAACGATTAGAAAACGCTTCAACCTCGGATGATATAACCTCTTACCGGTAGAAGCCAATCCTAGTCGTATAGATGGGCCAGGGCCAAAAGCACAAAACATGGAATCATCGACTAAAGTGCATTTTGGCAGCTTCGAGATGGGAGGGTCGGCAGATCTATAACAAGGGCTCGCCGGTGGACCGAAAACCTAAAGCTGCCCGCCGCCACCGCGAAGAAAAAAAAAGCCACCATGTAAATAGTTCGGTGGTTCAAAGATTTAAAGCCGTCTCATCGGCCTCACCATTGCTGACGCCAACCTGCGCCATGCCGAATTATCCCCCACTCGCGAGCGGCACATGTTCGTGAACCGCTCTAGCTTGATCAATCACAATCCCGGCCGGGCCAGGGCTCAAGGTGAAGCCATGTGGTTGGCCTGCCGATCTCGAGGGAGAGCCAGCCTGAGAAAGGGACGCCTAAGCTGCAACGAGATGGGTGAGCCACAGGCTAAACTTTAGATTGGCATAGCGGAATTAGCATCGGCAGAGGCTCAACCCATTGGGCCTATTAGCACGGCTAGCAGGGGAGGTGCCTGGTGCTTGACCCGTCAGTTCAGCTGCGGCCAGGGATCTTGGAGATGCCGATTCATTGCATTGCAAGGAAAAACACATGCCGTGCAGGGGTTGCAGGTGACAAATCGGTCTTTGGTTCTCTGTAGTTGCCCTTCTTCCTAGCCACTGTTAGAAGAAGGGGGAAGCAAAAAGTGGTGACACTGATGGAATTGAATATCTGGAGATTTCTTTTGGCTTTATCAATCTGGTGCCTCGCCGCTTCCACTTTACCAGCGGCACGTGACGAACCCGTCGAATACGCTCCCCAGAATCTCTTATGCCTTGTAAGAACAACATAATGTTGCTGCTCTATATCGCGTGAGATGTTCCTCAGCAGTTCCTAAGACATTTGATCTAAATACTCTGAGTTCTCGGCAGTTTTAATTAGCAAATATCTCGGCTTTGGATATCTAAGCAGGCCTAGTTAGACAATAGTTGATGCTGCTAAAGTAGTGCAAACAGCTTCAAAAATAAAAATTGCATCTTGGCCGCAGACTACTAGCTTAAGCCCGACTCATGCGCTCAACCTCGTATCCACTGCAGATCGACGACTGCTCTGCGTTTGCATGTCTTGTTAGCCGTAATTCCGAGGCAAAACTCCACAAGGTTGAGGAGGAGATGGATAAAATCCAGCAGAGAGGAAGCGAGTATTTCATCGTGGGGACAAAGCGTCGTAAGGGCCGACACGAGGGGCAGAAGCGGCCGACGGCGCGGGCTAATTAATCTCAACGTCCGCGCGAAAATGAGCTTGCGGTGATAATGTCAGGTGAGAGGTAGTGTTCTGGTAGGTCGTCGCGAGTAATGAAAAACCAGGACGCTTTCGGGGAAAGATGGTCAGGTTCAACGGTCGAACCAGGGATAATGCAGAGTCGCACTGTCGATCGCGGTGATTCCCCAGACGTGCGGGACTTGAAAGAGAGCCTGGGAGACACCTTTGGCAGTGGCGATCTGCAGATGTCTCTTGTTAGCGACCGCAAGATTCTGTCATGCGGAATATGACGATATAAGAGCGACTCAGACTTTTGCCGGCAGCATGACAAATGATAATGATATGGAACCCAAATGCATAGGTAGGTAAAATAACACTGTATTGGGGATGGGCATCATCTAGGACCGGGAGCAGTGTCTAGATAGATACTGCATCATGAAGACGATTGTGGGGATGGGGATATAGAGGCAGAGATAGAGTGAACATACAGGAAGAGATTGAGAGAGCTTGTGTGCGAATGGCTCTGATATTAAACCACAATCTAGTACTACGACACGACCTATATAACCCATTAAGGATACAGCCAATGATACAACAACAACAACAACACACCGTTAATGCTGGCCCGTCTTACCCTTCTTCTCCTGTCCGTCATCCACCGCCTTATACTTGGGCGCGCCAGCCTTCCACTGACCGAGCATCTGGCCATTGGCCCATACAGGAAGCGGCTGCACCTTCCAGGCAAGATCCGCCCCAAAGTTCCACGAAGCGCAGATCATCTTCCCAGCATAGGCTCTTCCATACTCCTTCAGCCAATCCTGCATCTCCAGGTGTGAGCCCCTGCCCTGGCCGCACTTCCTGTCCATGTACTCCTCCGCCTCGAGCCATTCGTGTCGGTGGCAGACCCTCTCTTTGCCGTACGCGCAGACATACACCACAACGTCGCCGACGATGGAGAAGTGAGTGCCGTGAAAGGGGATGTTGAAGGACTGGCAAAAGTCCCAGAGGTTGTCGACGGCGCGGCGGTATTCGGTGCTATTGAGCACCAGCGGATCCTTGTGGCATGATAACCTGCTGGCGGGGATGGGTACCGAATATTCATCCGCCATTATCGGGCCAGGTTTCTCGTAGAAGTCACCCTTGCCGGGTTTAAGTCCGCGTCGACGGCGGGACCTATGGCCGGATGGGACAGCTGATGGGGGTTCGAAACTGGGACCTTGTACCGCAACGGCTTGGTAGATGCCATCGGGGAGTCCTCGTTCCGCGATGATTCCTCCCTGTGATGTTGTAGCGGCACAAAGTGCCGCCAAGAGGAGGAAGAGGGAGAACTTCAATGCGGCCATCTCGACGTTAAAGAGATGGCAGTTTCAGGGGGGGGAAAGTATGACAAATCTTTAGAAGAGAAGAGAGTAAGTTACAAGCTTGTATGAATTCGTATCACCTCTAGTGATGGATCGATTTGAAAAGCGAGATTCTGGTTCGATTGTTTCGGTTCTTGGGCTCGACCATTTCTTGTTCGTGTGAGGATGGCAGATTTGGCCCTTCTTTAGACAGCCCGTTCATGCCTTTATATGTATTCTAGGAAAATACACTTGGTTTGAAGATTGGAGACAGAGCCTCTTGGCTTGAAGATTAATCCATTGGTTCAAAGCCATCTGTATATCTAAGTTTAGCCTCTCGCTAGGCACGGTTGTTTAGATCATTATCTATATATAGTCAGTTTAAACACACCAAACTCGAGAGAGGTGTTCTTATTATAGCTTGGAACGTACTGTGTTGGCTTTAAACCCTTTTTACACGTAAGGTATCCATTAAAATAAAAGCCAAGTATCCAGTCGGCTTCATCGTCTCCTCGTAGAGTCCTGGCGTGGAACCTTATTCGTCAAACCGGTTGGGCTGGTAGAAAGTCGCAAGAAATAGTCTACCAGCAGTAATTTTGATTCAAAACTCTGGAGAGAAGGTAGAAGGGAATACATGGGAATAAATAAAATGTTAAAACATTAATAGCAATGTCCAGAGATATATCGCAGTCGTGATAATGAACAGCCAAACTACCTAGCATCCAGAACCATCGACGTAAGACTTTGATACCCAAGGCGCCTCCAGCAATGACTTATAAGGTAATGTACCCAAAACACAGCTAAGCAAATACTTTCTCGTTAAAAACATTACGCCTTCCGCACAAAAAATGCCCCGTGTTGAACTCTAAGCCCGCATCTCATGAAAGTTTCTTCTGCATAAAATCTGCCAGCTCATCCAGCAGCTCTACCGTCTCCGCCGGGCTTGCGATCCAAGCCGTTGTCCCCACACTCCTTGCTTTGAAATCGTTGGATCCGGCGCTCAGAAACTGGTCTCCCACGTGCAGCGTATTCTCGCCCCTGATTGCCGTCAAGGCTGCGTCGGCTCCAGTGGTGCCTCCATTGCGTCTTCCAAACCATTGTTGGCAGACGGTCACACCCCAACTCTTATCACCAATGTCAACAAAGACATCGCGGCCGCCGTTAAAAGCGCAGAATGGAACTCCGCGGCGACCCTGCGAGCTTTGACCAGCTTGTTGAGAAGGCGAGCCTAAGGCACTTAGCTCCAGGATACGCTGTACCACCAATACAGTCTCTTCTAGACTCTCTCGAGCAATTTGCAGCTCGGGAGGGTTGGGGACTATCCCTACAGCTCGATCTTTTCGAACGATGAGGGCGGGCAGATTCATCGTGCGCACACAGTCTCGAAGCGCTGATTCAGCTACGTCCAGCAGTGCCGTGATATCAGCCTCAGACCAGGCCGCCATATCGGGAGTGAGCCACTCTGAGCGGGGGACAGGTGCCAGGCGATAGGGTGAAGATGGCTCATATTCGAAGAGATAATTGGATTCTCCTCCCATGATGACGATGTTTTGCTTCTGCACGGGGTCAAGATCTGTAGAGGTGGCGATGGCGTCAAGGAGTCCGTGGAGGCGATCGTAGTACCGATCTGCGGTGGTATATCCAGCAGCGGTAACGATACCAATTTTGATATTTTTGCGTAAAAGATCTGTCGACTTGTAAGCAATTTTACTGCACACTTGTCTGATTTCTCCTTCCTTTTCCCTCCCAGAGAGTGCAAACATCAAGCGGTGACGAGTATGAGGGAATAGGGTGGAGGGGAGAGAGAGAGGAGAGACAGTAGCCATTTTTGAGAGAGTGCAACATACCTAACAATCGTGGAATGACAGGGCTTGATGGTTCCAGGCTCTGTCCATCGTCATACAGTGTCACATCACCATCAAACGTCGCCAGCTGGAGGGTGCCGCCCGTAACAGCCATAATCTGCGCCGAGTTGAGAACTAGGCGGACATCATTGAAAGAAGGCGCCACATAGCGTCTTGATGAGATGTAGCGTTTCCGATCCTGGTACTTGAACGCTGCCTCCAAGGGCAGCCGCGTGAAGAATGGCCCCGCGGTGGGAACCAGCATTCCAAGCTTGGAGGGGAAAACACGATCCTGGTTTTGGCGGGCGACTGTTGTTTTCTTCCAGTTAGCATATATGCCACGGGAAAAAAATGGAAAAGGAAAAAGGGGGCCAAGTATGAATGAAAGCGGATTATACACCTACTGTGGTCGTCAATCATCAATTCAACGTCTCTCATAATCTCTGCGTAGCGTCTGTGGGCCTCCTCGGCCATCTTGGCCACGTTGGTGTCATCACCAAACACTCCAGTCGGCTGGGAGTAGAGCACAAACGGCACGGCCAAGAGACCTTTGACCCATTCTGAACGATTTTCAAAAGACGAAGGATTAGCTGACGGTTCCGTTAAAAGGTGCGAGGTTGACCTGCGTATGCCTAAGCCTGTCGCCATGGAGGGTTTGAATTTGGAGCCGCAGCCCCAACGTCGATAGGCCGATACAACCAGGCCAACGGCTATTCGCACTATGAAGACAACATACCGATGAACTGGTCCCGTCTATGGGTCTTGAGGGCGTCTTCAACTTCAAGTTAGCTGTATAGTTCAAGAGACAGAGTGCGAAGATGGCATTGCTCCTCTCACTCTGCGCAAAGGGATGAGAGAGAGGAGGGGAGCCAATTGGGCAGACTTACACTCGACGCGGTATCGGGTTGTCATGATTAGGAGGTGATAGCTTCGTCCTCTTTGCTCAATTGGATTTTATGAGGGGGGTGTGAGGCTTTCGGGTCGGACGAGAGGATCTAGAGAGTATGAGAGAAGAAGAAGAAGAAGAAGAAACAGGATGGTGGAAATAGAGAATAAAGACAAAATAAGGTTGACCTCCCTCCGTTGCTGTCAAGACATCAATCGGATTGGGCTCCAGCCAGTGCTGCCCCAGCTTTAGGTAATACAATGCCTGTAGCAAGCAAAGCCCCCTAGAAACCGGCCCGGGGAGGGGCACAGATGCTCTGTAAGCCAATTGGCTGCTGGGGTGACTCTATAGCACAGCAAATAGTTATAGGTAGTGCCCCGTGCTTTCTAGTGGCCTTTGCTAGCGGGGTGATTACGCCAAGGAGCCTATCGGTCAGCGCCGCACGCCGAAGCCTTAATCGATAACGTCTAGCGAAGGGGGAACAAACGACCTCACGTTTTGATTTGCCAATTTCAGCACTGATTAACAGAAACACAATGTTAACACGCCCATCCGATTACGCTATCTAACCGCCCATCTGCTAATCTGTGACATGAATATAAAACTCTTAAATGCTACGTAATATCTATGTGTGTGCTGTATGTCTCTTTCTTTTTCACTATACTAATGGTACTACAAACTACTTACTTTGTGCTCTCCTTCTGTATAGCCCGCGTCCAGCCGTACATCAACACCATCCATCAATCAATTCAATGCCTATGTGCTCTTTCGTGTTGGCCGCAAATCACCAGCCTGCGCCTGAGTCACAAAAATTTCAAACATAAAAAGATATAAAAATAAAAGTATTCCCCAATCCAAGTAATCTTCCCTCCAACACTGCAGCTTAAGTCATAGCAGCCGTGTCAACTCTCTTTCAGCAGACTTACCTTGGTTGTTGTTCAGTCCAGCCCTGTTTTTCTTTTCCGGCTACTAATCTGCTTCCCGTTGCCTGAAAATTCTTCCTCCCCATTGCCAGCCCATAATTTGCAATGTCTAGACTTCTTCATTCCCGCATCCCTCTTAGTAGGCTTTAATTTTTTTTTTTTCAGGTTTCTTTTTTTCTCTCTTCCTTTTTAAAACTTTGCTCCTTCCTTTCACTCTCTTTTCCGTAATTTCTCTCAAAAAGAGGAGTATCATCAAGTTCATCTCTATCATAAACAGCAAAGTCTTACTCGCCCATGATCCTAGGAGATAGTCGCGCAATGTTTTAACAAAGCAGCATTCATATAAGACTTCTCTCTCATGCAATTTGCAACATCATATGAATCGTAGGTGGTCCAATTTCAGTTGGCGCCGCCATTGGCAGCGGCCTCTGCTTGCTGTGCCTGGAGCTGAGCTTGAGCTACCTCCTCTGCCTTGACGAGGATGTCTTGGATGAGACCTTGCTCTTCAGCAGAAAGGTGGCTGGCAAGGTTCGCGTAGAATTGGGGTTGATCTTGTTGCATAGCTAAAAAAAAAAAATTGGAAATCGTTGGTCAGCGAGCAGGCAAAGGGTCAGCAAATCGGGGTTATCCACTCACATAGCAGAGTTGCTCTAAACAACTGGTAGGGTTCGATCTTGTCCAATGGGGATTCAAGGAGTACGCTGTCCTCTCCAAGCTCCTCTTCATCCTCATCGTCGATGACTCGACTGAACTTTTGTGCCTGAATGAAAAGAGTTAGCTATAATTGGTCGAGCGCTTCATAATATATGTTAAAAAACTCACCTCTTCATTCAAGAATTCGAGATAGGCGGCGCTTTCATCCTTGGTCTCTGGGGACTCATCATCACCTGCAGAAGCAGTCTCTTCTTCCTCATTCCATGCTACATCTCTCTCATCCCACTCGTCGTCATCGGCATAGTCGTAACCAGCATCCAGAGTGAAATCATCACGAAGGGCATCCTCTCGGTCTATTGTCATGTTAAAATTAGTAAATCAATAAATAGAAGAAAACATTCGCATAATGGGATAGAAAACGTACTCTTCATAGCAAGAGGCAGGGTTCGGAAGAGCTCAGTAATGCCCTGGAGCAATCGTGGCCATCCAACAGAAATGCTGGCAGGAACCTGCTCGTGATTGAGGCTAAGAAGGGCAGAGATGGCGACGATGCACAGCTTCTTGTCATGCACCCTGCTAAACGACGACATACTACCGAACCACAAGCTGAAGAATCTATTTGTCCAACCATTGCTCTCCAGCACCTGCAGGGTAAGCATAGGGTTGTAGTGCACGGCATTGATGACCATTTCCATGAGATGAATCTTGTAGCTCTTGATCCTAACGTCCTGGCCGGCCAAGATGTTCATGGCCATGTTGATGAAACCCTCGACACAGCTATCGATGCTGCCTCGAAGGCTAAGCATCATGGCCTCAGCCAGCTTGCAGGCGCATATCCGCTCAACGCCTCCCTCGACGGCGTCGGTGAACATATCAGCCACCATTGAATAAAGGGCTTGAACGTATTCCGGTTTCTGAACCAAGGCCGGTGCACCATACTGGACAAAGTTGTCCAGAGCGGGGAGCATATCTTCGAGATAATACTCAGCTCCCGCCTTGAAGGTTGTGTGGATCAGTTCAAAGGCTTGCCACATGTTGGGAGAGATACCCTTGGCGGCAAAAGTGCAGCTGTCAATGATCTCGAAGGCTTCATTGTAGAGGTCGTACAGCTTGTTCTCCAGCGTAATGCTAATGACCGGCATGAGAACGGCCTCAATGTGGAGGAGGACATCGGGGGTGCTTTCGAGGGTAAGGATCAGTGTTCCAATCGTCTGCAAGACACCCAGCGCCGTGATGCTCTTGTCATCGTAATCGTTGTACATCTCGCCATCATCGCCAGCTTTGCTCTCCTTCTCTAACAGTTCTCGCACGATACGTAGGTATGTGTCACGCAGCTGCTCACACAGGGCAACGGCGAAAGGAGTGAGCTCGGTAGCAAAAACTTCAACAAAGTCTTCCATGACATTGGCCAAGGCGTCGATATCAGCCTCGTTGGCCAACTTGAGCAGTTGCTGCATGATGGTGGGAATGCTTTGCTGCATGCTGGTTCGGATAACCTCGTGTCTGATCAGTGGCTGCAGGGCAAGAGCGGCAGTGACTCGAACGGGGAGGGCCGGGTCTGCCATGCAGTCCAGAATGTTCCGGTAGATGGTAAGGAGGTTGTTCTGGTCCTGGAAGTTGAGCTGTTCAAACTTTTCAATAGTATCACAAGCTCGGGCTCGGAGATATCCCAAGGGGCTGGTGAAATCTGGGAAGACGTAGCGGACGAGGAAATACTCGACCTGGTCAGCAATGGGGCTCTTCTTGCCGAGGATGACGGGGGCAAGGGTTCCAATCATTCGGAGGGCACCCTCCTTGGCAATGTGGTTCTTCTTGTCATCGGTAGACTGCTCGTACTCGTTGACAACGGCGTTGACGAATTTGAGAATCTCAAAGACCTCCTTCCGGCGGTTCTTCGTAAGGTTGACCAGGAAGTTGGTGGCTGCGATATCGGGAGCAGACGCTTCCTCAAAGTAGTTAAGTTTTCGGTGAAGGTACTCCTCGGGCTCCTCTTCGAATTGCTCAACGTCTTCCGTGGATAGGCAGAGCACCGGGAAAACGAAGTGGGTGACCAGATTCGTCAAATGCGGCTTCAAGTGCACCCACATTTCCTTGGGCCGCACTGATTCGTCGAGGAAGACTAGGACGTACGACAGACAAGGTCTGCTAAGCCAGGAGGTCTTGGCTACCCATTTTTCGATCTCTTGGAGGTAATGCTTCAGAATTTCAGGAGCAATGGTGGTGGCGAAGTTTTTGGCGAATTGGAGGGCTCCGTCTTGCTTGCCGGGGCTTGAGGGGTTTCCGTGTCTAGAAAGAATATACGCGTTAGCCATTGCATATTTTTCTTCTCTTCTTCGTTCCTGAGTAGAAGAAGAGGAGAAGAGTTGGACAGAGAACACTCAAGTTGTTCCAATTACCTAATAAAGAGGCGGTTCAGGTTGAAGTACGCCCACTTCTTAGCCTTCCACCAGTGATGTTTTTCTCGGTCGCTCTCGTCGAGCATCATAACGGGGCCAGGGACGGCTTTAGAAACGGTTTGAAGGAAGACTGTGCACCAAGCAATGTTGACTTGGTCTTGTCTCAAGTAGGGTGAAAGCTCGAGCTAGAGAAAAAAGCGGTACGTTAGCTGCCAGTTTATTTTGAAGGCTAAAGAATGACGATTCTTGTCTTTCTCTCTCCCTCTCCCTCTCCCCCCCGCCCTCTCCTCTCAATGACCAAGAGGAGAATGCAAGGCAAGAGACGAGCAGAGGATAAAGTAAAACAAGGAAGCCAGAATGGTGTATCCATACCCAAGTAGCATGCTTGTATGCTTTGAGGGCGAGATGCAGCATCTCGCTCGCCTCGTCGCTCTCCTGGTTCACCAACTCATTGCAAATGGCCAAGAGCCGCGGGAATCCAGCCTCGACAATGCTATCAAAGTGCGCTCGGTCTTGGCTCTCGTTGGATTTGTACCGGAAAGCGCGGCAGATGGCGAGCAGGCACTGCAGACCAGCCAGCGCCGAGTTCGCATTGTTGGTGTTGAGCAGCTCCAGGGTGAACTCCAGGAATCGCGGCCATCGGCTGGGGAAATCACACTGTAGAATGCGCTGCAGAACAGGGATGAGCTGCTGGCGGACGAGGCCCTCGGAGGCGGCCAAGATGGGCACCAAGCGGTCGCGGATCTGGGCTTTCTCCTCCTCGGCTATTGAGCTTTCGGTAGGGATACCTTCGACCTGGTACCAGGAGCGGTTTACTCGGTTCTTGATGTAGATGACGGCTAAGGAGAACAAGGTGTTAGAGCCCAGCACTATAGATTTTTTTCCCACAATACTCTTCTGACAAAATCTTCCTCCTTTCCTTCTTTTTTCCCCTGTAACCTATTCTCTTCGGGAGGGCAAGCAAAGCAGGGGGAGGTGATGGATGAGTAGAGGTTGAGGCGACGTACTGGCAAGGCGGACACTCGCATCTTGCTCTGCTTCCAGGACATCGAGCAGGCAGATCAGGAAACCGGCATGACCTTCGACCTAGATGACAAAGAACAAAGAGGCGCATTAGCATAACGAGCGTGCAAAAAAGATGCGGGATTCTGCGTCCAGCCGCTTCCATCTCGTGTCTACCCCTTTCGCGCCCGTCTATTTCCTCCTTTTCGGCCCCCAGCTGCCTTTTCCCCCTTCTGGTCATCGGATTCACGCTCGGGATAGGATGGATGGCGGGCGGCGGGTGGACACAAACGAACGGATGGTTCTGGAAAACTCGAAACTCACCTGCTTGAGCTGCAGCTCGGCCCGGCGCCTGTTGTCGGCGACGGTGTCCAAGCTGGCCGCCAGCAAGGCCCTGACAGTAGCGGAATCCATGTCTCGATATCAAGAAGAAGTGGACGACAACACAGAGGGGTGCTGTTGTCGTTGGCGCGGGAAGAAGAGTGGGAGAAAGGCGGGCTGAGATTCAACTTTTGGTGTTAGGTTGGGAGGACCCGATGGCGGGGCATCTAATCCAGCACCGGCTGCCCACCCAATGGTACAAAAAAAATTAATATGGGAGGCCAAAAAAAAAAAAATTATTAGATCAGAAAATTAACGACAAGGGCGATGGTGATCAACAGCGACGGCGACGAGCGACGAGATGGGCTCAAAGAGAGAGTCTCGACCCTGGTGCGATAGGATGGAAGAGGATGGATTAGGAAAGATTTTTTTTTTTTTTTTTTTTTTNTTTTTTTTTTTTCTACTTCCTTGTCTCCCACGGTGTCGTAGGGTCCGGCTTCAGGTGCAAAAGCCGTGCAGCGGGTTGACTTGCACCCTGATAGGGGGCTAGCAAGCGCTAAAAAATCTATGTTCAGGGTCGTCAGTCGCTAGGGCAGGCTTGCCTAGTGGTGCTAGAGCACTGAAGCAGCGGCACTAGCGCACTAAACGGCGCCTATGGCGAGAAGGGAGATGCTGACCTGAGAAAAATTGCACAACGCAGGGAGGGATTAGATCGGAGACTTTGCGTGGACCTTCCATGTAATCAACCAGGCAGGCCAACCAGCAAGTCCTAGTCTTTAGCATTAGTAAGTGCTGAGATTGGGGGGCTGGGATTTATCACCGCTCGACCGTGGTTATTTTGTTTTGGGGATACTCTGCCCTTCTTCTGCGTGCCTCTCTATGTCTACTTGGCACATCTCAGGGTGTCTAGAGTACCTACTAAGGTAGGCAATCTGGAGGATTACTGCCTTTAGGAACCTACCTCACTGGGTACCGGTACCTCGCTGCGGAGCAAAGGAAAGAAAGTAAAAGGCGCCTTTGTTAAGAGTCATCGTGGTCTCTTGCTCTGGCCTTTGGTGCTGAAAGGGGCGGTTGAAAGTACCCTGTACCCCATACCACGATAAGCGCTGACTGCCTCAATGCCCCGCCATGTATCGGCTACCAGTGACGTATGTAGGGCTGGCCGTGTACAGTTGCACTCTGCATTGGATATCGCGTTTTCCTTATCAGTGCCAGGCACCCAAAATTTGTAGGCACCCAAAGGCAGCCTATTCTACCCGCCTTATAGCATGATTTTGGCGACGCCGGCTAAACTTGGGAAAAAGGCGCCATACTATGGCCATTTAGTCCGGGTTCTAGTCTACTGCATCTGAGTGCCTGCTGCTTGGTAGCTAAAAGGTGAGATTAAAATCCTTCTTATCTAAGGATTTAAGGAAGATATTAAACTTCAGTAATCTTGCCCCTTCCTCTTCATCCGGATTGTTTATACGTGATTGAGATTGTAGGCAGACTAGGCAGACTAAGAGAGGTTCTTGGCGCAATTTTTCGTAGAATCTAGAAAAGGGAGGAATAGCCTGATACCGTCGCTTGCTATATCGATTCTACCTAGTATGAAGCGATGGAAGGAATTATCATCACCACTGCTTGTACTATGAGGCAGGTAATGCTGCTGCGTAGCTCGCCAAAATAAAGCCCTCGCCGAGGTTCTGTTTCTCTCCTTCTTCTTCATCATCTTTCTCTGTGCCTCTATTTAATGAATCTTCCGATACCAGGCCATTCATTCATGTTCCACCCGATTGCTCGCTTAGACGTCTCCTTGCCTCCCGTCTCTTCTTCATGCGCGCGTAGCTTTCACGTTTGCAGTTGAAACAGAAGAGTGCTACGAGGCCCTTCATTTGGCCTTCTCTTCCCGCAATGACAAACTCCCAGAGTATCGGTTGCCTACATTGTCATCTGCAAGTGCCGATAGCCAAAGGCTACAGAACAAATAAGCGTGGAGAACGAATCCAGCACCCAGGTTGTTGAATGAAGACGAGTTTTCGAAATGCCAAGGGCGAACGGGGAAAAAAAAATTGCACTACACTGGGAAAAGTCGTGAAGCGTGGGTATCCTCTCTAGAGCGTGTTGGTGGATCGTTTATTACAGCCGGTATTATACAGAATGCAGGTGGTTGATTCAATACGCAAAGGCAAGCAAATTTCCCGGCATCGATTAATCCAGGTCGGAGACTGGTGAAGGCGTCAAATGGAACTCTACCAGAAGAAAAGTCCTGGTCCATCGATTCCAGTGATGGATGATATGTTCCCAACGGAAGTCCACATGGCCATTGTGTCAAGGCGAAAAGCAGTCAAAAAGCAACAAGACGAAAAGGAGAGGAAAGAGTGGCAATAATGATCCTTTCAAACAGGTTTATGGCTAATATTTACAAACCATAAAGACTCACCTTGCTGCCCAGGAGTCCAGCCTTGTTACTCTATTAAATGGCATAGTGATCGGACACAACCAACATTGATTGAGAATGCAGCGATCGCCAAGGAAAACCGAGTCCAGGCAACACAAATAACTCCGCCCATGGCCAGTCCAGGGCAGCAAGATTCAAAGACAGTCCACCACCCAAGAAGCATTCAAAGATGTGCTTCCCTTTTACCACCTTGCGCCAGGAGCTAGTGCTATCAAACATATGCAGGCGTTATTCGTCGAAGAAGGCTATCATTGTAGCCAGCAGCAAGCTCGGTATTTGACCCATCCCTCACCAAAACCAAATGCATCATTTGTAAGAAGGTTCAAGAGAACAACAGAAAAGAAGAGAAGAAAAAAACATGATATGAGAAACGCAAACTCAGGGTTCCACGATAATGGCGAGGCGCGAAAACAAAATAAAAATCATCAAACTTGGCGCGTCTCCTGGTGATTATCTGCCCATGGTCCGGAAAAATAAAATTTTAAAAGAGCCGTTGAAAAAGAAAAAGAAAACAACAAATTAAAAGCAAAGGCCATCCAGTCTAGGAACAATTTTTTTTTTTCTCCTGAAACCTTCGGTTTTTTCTTCTTTGTTTTTTTTTGCAAAATCCATAAAGAGTTGTTACCGATGCGTGTCCGGAAATCTTGTCGAATTGGCAAGTGAAAGAGAAGGAGATGTTCAGATCCAGAGAGCGTTAAACGAACTGGTTTTGATCTGATGAGATCAGATCAAGAGACGCTACTTCAAAGGGAAATTCTCACTCATCTATCGACGAGGAGGTGGTGGTCGATGGTTCCTGTCGCTTTCCCTGTCACTTAGACGTGTACTTGATTCCCGTGGCGGCGTCTGGCTCTCTGCTGGGGGTACGGAGGTGCGAGTTGGAGGGGGAGTGTCTTCATACGCGTGTCCTTGTGAGGCATACCCTTGTGGCTGCTGCTGAGTAGTTTGGCCTGCTGGGGAAGCTACAAAATCAGACAAGCGAATTCAAACTGGATGAAGGCTTGGGGTGGTTTTTGTTGGGAGACGCACCTCGGCCGAAGAAAGGGTCCTGAGGCTGTGTAGCATACGCCATGCCGCCCGCAGGAGCCTGGCTAGGATATGGGTAATTGGGGGCGGGATATCCTTGTGGGACAGGCTGGTTTGAAGCATATACAGGCTGCTGAGGTGGTGGGACAGCTGATCCAGGGTGGCCACCGGCATAAGCATCATTGGGATAGTTCCTGGGAGGCATGTTGGCACCGGTAGAAACATACGCGCCATCCGGATTCTGGTATCCTTGGTTCATCATCGGGCCCTGAGGATTACCGCCATATCTGGCGTCAGCGGGTCCGGGAGATTGCTGAGGCTGCTGAAAGCCGACATTGCCGTTGCCGCCGTACGCGCCGCCACTGCCACTGGGAGGAGCGTAGCCTTGCTGCTGCTGCTGCTGCTGTTGCGGCGGCGGCTGCTGCTGAGGCTGGTACGGGCCGGAGGCACCATTATATCCTTGGGCGCCGGTTCCTGGATACCTTGGGGCGTCATATAGACCATCACGAGGAGGATAGGAATCATCTCGGTAAGGGGGTTCAGTAGGGCCATGATGCTGCCGAGACTGGTGTGTCTCAGAGTAGCGGTACTGGACTGGAGGAGAGTTAGATCTCGGTCTAGGGGCACCTGAATTGGCATATCTCGAGGCGCTGATACCTCCGCTGCTGTTACGCGCGGTCTGGGCGCGGCGTTCCCTGTCCCACCGAGCCGAGTCGGCCTTGAGATCCTCAATCATGGCCTGTGTGTCGAAGGCGACTCAAATTTTAGTAACAAGATCCGGAAGACGTGGTAGAGATATAAACGGTATCGATGATATCGGCAAGAGGAGGAGGAGGAGCAGAACAAAGCAAAACACTCACGGTCGTCAAGTTGCGGTACGCCGTAATATAGTAACCCTGGACGGGTTGGCCAGTTTGTGGGTTCTGATGGAAGACATCGTCAGCGAACCCTGTCAAGTTGGAAACACACATCTTTCTAATGGTTGATATTGTTACCAAAATCGGCATACCTCATAGTGACCAGGTCGCACCAAAGCATCATTGCCCAGATAGCGGCAGATATCAGCAGAAATCACTTCACGGTCGATGCCATCACGGGGCACAAAGTACTCGTTCATGCGGGTCGTGGGTCGCGACATTGTTGACATTCCCAACGAGAGACTCTTGTTGTTTGAGGACAGTGGCGACGGTATACAAGGCAAGGCAAGGCAAGGCAGCGCAATGCAACGAGCAGAAAACCAAAGCGGGAGAAGGAGAGAGGAGAGAGGAGAGAGTAGGAGAGTAGGAGAGTAGGAGAAAGAGTAAGAGAATGCGTGAGGGAGAAAAGATGGAACCTCAGCGCAGAAACCGCCTACTAAATGAAGCAGTAGCGGGAATACCAACAAATAGAAAGACGACAGATGGAGGTATTATGGGAGACTCAGGAAGAGCGTTGGACAAGGGGGGGTGGCCTGCAGTGCAGCCGAGTAGAGAGAGTCGACTTCGTCCTGTAAGGAGAGGAGGAGGAAGAGAAGAGCGAGCGTTGACTGGTCTTGAAGAGTGAAAAAAAGGCGGATGATCTGGTGTGAATGGTTGGTGGGGTGGGGCGCAAAGAGGAGCTCACAGAGACGCTGGTGACCTCTCAAAGAGCTGCCGAATGTTGCAAGGAGCTTCGTTGGCTGGGTCGAGAGCTTGCTTGGCTCCAGATCCCGTTTTTTTTTTTTCTTCTACCATAGGCACACCCCTGCCCTGCCCTGCCTGGCCTGTCTCCTTGCTTCCTGCACTCCTGCTTGTCTGCACTCCAGCACCCTGTTCAGTCAGTTGTCAGACCGTTGCAGTGGCCACCGCAGTGCAGCATGTACTCGTAACTCGGACGGAGTACGGTGCAGGCTGCAGCTGATTGCTGCTGATTGATGCTCGACTTGGACTTGGTGGTGGGCTAGTGGGTGCTGGACTGTGATCGGCTGCCTGGATGGCCTTGGTCTGGCCTGACTTGGGCCACCACCTCCGTAAATGGGGGAGGATGGGCTGGCAGAGAACCGGATAGGACAAGACTCGAGGTGGAATGGAGAGAGATGGAGCTTCCTGCTGACTCCTACATAATGCTACTACATACAGTAAGTAGTGAGTTACAGGCAAGTATGTGGCATCAAGAGTCACAACCAGGTACATAATAAGCAAAAAGCACAGCAGCAAAAGCAGTACCAAGACGGAGCACGCGGAGTAATACGGCTCAAGCACACACACGCCACACGCTGCATTGAAAAACAAGGCCTCTTTCTCGCCTCTTTGGACGCCTCTTGCTCTCATGATTGTTTGGAAACTGCTGCTTTCACACTCGAATACGTACGTTTTCGTCCTGGTGACGATATGCGGCGAAGATCGGGCTCCCAATAAGGGCCTGACGCAGGGCGTTTTTCTTCATTCCCAGGCTAGCGGTAGTATTGCTCCTAGTACCTGGGTGGTGACACAACTAGGGGACCTACTTAGCACCTAATAAGCAGTGCCTACCCGAGTCCAAGCACGCTCGACGCCATTGGCGGCTTGTCAAGGCGATTTGATGGACCAGGCCCTTGAAGCAGCCAGTCCTGGAGCCCAAAAGGCGCCTCGCTTCGCCTCGCCCGAGACGTCGTCGATGTTGGGCTTCGCTGCACGTCGCCCCAAGGGGGATGGAGCAGGTGTATGAGGGGCCGCGTCAAACACCGTTGAATGGCCTGACGGGTCTGACGAATGGGTCGCCTGGCTGGAGCCTTTGCGTGTTGAACGAAGCGATTTCTGACACCGAGGCGCAGAATTGGCTTCTGTACAACCGATTCCAGCCATTCCGCAATATATGCTTTTAGCACCTGCTTGCTACCCGCTGTGAGAATATGCAGCCACATCTTCTTTAATGATTTTTTTTTAAATACCTATGTGTTTCTTTTTTATTTTTATTTTTATTTTTTATTTTCCTCATCTGCCGCCGGTGCCTCTGTGCCTGTTCAATGTACAGTATCCACATCGTCTCCCGCTTTTTTACCAAACAGGTTTTTTGATTTTATACACTTTTGCATCGTATCCATCACGATATCCAGTCGGCGGAAAGCACTGATTACCGACGGCTAGGCGAAGTCGATGGTTCCTGGTTGGCATATGCTTCGCTGTCGCCGTTCCTGCTGTCCCGCACCGAATTCATTCTTTGTGACGATTTCGGACGTACAGATTCATCAGCAAATCAATCTCGGCCCTCCAGTGTCTTTTTGATTCGCCATCCGCGGGTAGCAGCGTCGCAGTGCGTAAATACATACAAAGCAGTTCCTAATCTGAGTGAGCTCTGCGGCATTGCGCGTGCGTGCCTGCGTATCTGCATGTCTGCGTCCGCAATGTACATGTACGCACGGCGCATACATGCGTAGAGTAGGTATGCATATATGTATATGTCATATATATATTTATTTATATAGGTATAATATAGGTTTAATACCTATATAGGTAATTAGCCCACGTACGTCAAACGAAATGCAGGCTACATAGCACCCTTTGCACAGATTGGCGAGATGTGCAGTATGTGCAGTCCCTACAGCCTACCGTCTCTACTGCATTCTCTCTCCCCTCCAAGCCATCATCCTACGGTGCAGAGAAAGGTCGAGCGGGGATATGGACCCCGGAGATGTCATTGGTGATAACATGATGCGGTTTGGTCTTGAGGCCTGAGCTGGAGCTTGTGGCAAAACAGGTTGTGCTATCTACAACTTGAGGCTCTCTATGTCCAGGTAGGAGGCAAAACGGTTTACGTTTACCCCTCCAATTTCAAGAAGCCCGCCGCACATTTCTTGCCCCTTCAGTCAGTTTTCGAATACTGCTACCAAGTGGCGATCTCATGATAAAACCGGCTTACTCTTGGGCACGCATTGTTTATTCAAAGTCGGGCTCGAAGAGAGTAAGCTTAGACGGCTAAACTATGAGCAGGGCGAGAAAATTTATGAAGCCAAGTGAAAAAGTACAAGTATACCCTTGATATTCCCCTTGCTCCAAGCAAAGGGTGAGACGCCGGGAACGAATTATATCGTGCAGAAAAAAAGTCACTTCTACAAAATCGGTTTACCCGATCAGCATTCGATATGGCACCCAATATTTTCAACTTTCAACGGTGCCTACAGCTAGTATGTAGTAGCTACCTAGATAGACTATGTGCTTGCCAACGAACCTCGCTTAACGGCCAGGTACTGTCTCTATTGCAGAACACGCTAATAGGTACCACCGGATGCACGCCAAAACTATCCTCGGATCTGTGTCACCCTAGGCTCAGTCCTCTTGTCGTTTTACTCGTAGCCATAGTTGAGCTTTGATGGATGAGGGGGGCTGCGAGCTGCAGCATCGGCTCCAGCCACCGCTCCGACGCTGCAGACGGTCCTTCACGATCGCTCCAGCAAATGACAATGTATTACCTCAGCCAGAAAGGAGGAGGGGGGCACAGAAAAGCTCTGCAAGCCGGCTGGATGAGTTGGGTATCAATGCTTGTGGCCAATTGGAGCCTAAGCTTGGTCGACAACAAGTCAATGCAGCTAGCGGCGTGCGAGTCCACTCTCTGGCCAATCGTTCAAGGTAGCATCAGACATGATTGCCACCAATGCTCATTGGAGACAGCATGGGGATTGATTATCCATGTCCTGGAATGTGTTTTTCAATATTATGACTGCATAATGCGGCTGTTTCCTTGCGGTCTGGCCGCCACCCTTCTCCGCCTTGCCTCTTGTTTTGTTTGCTGTGAGCAGGTACCTACTCCATAAGACTAGGTAGTAGTAATTGAGTACGGAGTACGGAGCAGAATTACCTTATCGATCATGGCGTTGCGACGATTTACCCCATAACGGCACGCTGCATGAACAATCTGAGATACGCGCTCAGAAGAGTTCGTCAAGGCGTGTGGCTTTTTGGATTTAGTAGAGAGCAGGTGACCACAAGCTTTACAAAGAAAGCAGCTTTGAGTAGTAGTATAAGCAAGCAATCCAGACTATGGGCGACGAAAACATCCGATTCCCCGCTTCGCTCTGTCATGCTTGAGATTGGTGATACCCAGTTCACGCAATGGTAGTGGTGTCGTTAGCATGCCATTAGGCACGAGCATTTCCCTACCATTCTCGAGCCCATAGCAGTAGAAGATGTTGTTCTTAAGGCAAGCGGAGCTGAAGTCTATCCCATCTAGTGCACCAACGGGGTCAACATAGAGAGCCCAACTGTAGTGGAGCGTTCCGTCCTTGCGAGAAACAGTTCGCCATCATGACTTGTTGATCATGCAAGAGAAGATTTAGCATCTTCCAAGCGCACCTAGCTAGCTTCTTCATTTTTAAGACTCTGCTGGAAACGGTTCGTCGTCTTGTTTTGCATAATGCTGAGGTGTGGAATCACAACTGTCCATCTACCAGTAGTGGTGGTGTATTGCTCATCCAAACCTGAGCTTGCTTTGCCCCTGCTCGCGCTTTGATCTTGGGCGCCCACGTTTAGAAGCAGGGACAGAGCCTTTCGGGCCATGGCTGCGGGAAGTGGCTGGCTGCTCGGGAAATGCGGGCTTGACACGTTCGCTATCCTGGATATCTTTGGCAAAGTGCCAGTCTTCGTGGCTCTGTAGCGACACCTCGTCGTCGAAGCTAGCTTTGCATCTGGGACAGGTCAGGTCCGTGGGATATGATGGATCTTCTGGGCCTGACAAGTCGTGATTAGATGTATTGGTTTCCGCCTCCGACATGCCCGCTTCTTTCTGTTCTTGATCAAACCTAGAAGAATCGGCAATCTCAGGTTGCTGCTTATCGATGCTCAGCTGCTGTGTCTCATGGGGAGAGCCTTGACGACTAGCAGTGTTTTGTTTGGAAAAGAATCGCTCGATACTGCGCTTATCCAGTCGGGGCTTCTTGCTCGGCTGCTCTATAGCCACATTCTCAGACTCGGTATTATTGGAAGATCGTAATGGAGGAGGGGTCTCGTCCCTTTTTTTGAAAAAAGCACCAATCCCCATGTTACCCTTGACGCCTTCCTCGAACCCACTAACGCTCAAGCTCAAGTTGGCACAGGGCCAGGTGTCGCCCTCGGCAGCAATTTGATGAAGCAGCTCTTTGGAAAGGGTAAAAAGAGCTTGCTCATCTAGAGGCTTTCCGGTGGGGATTGGGCATCCCCTGCTGCGGGTTTGCCCAGCGTGACGGTGATAAAGATTGATTGTACGTGGCCATCGCTTATGTTCCAGTATGCCTTCTTCCACCAAACGGGAGTAAATATCGCCGGCAAAAATCCTTAGCCATTTGGTTGCCTGTTCGGAGGACTTTACCGATGGACGAAAAGACTTGGCTGAAAGCATAGATTTGATCTGTGTTCGCGAGTTGACCTCGCTATGATCGATGCCCCTAATAGTGTTGTAGAACCAAATGGCAGTTTCATCGCCAAGTTTTGCTTTGAATTGATCCAACGAGATATCACGAAGCTCTTTGATACTCTCTGTGCCAAACGTAGAAACGACTTGATCTCCCAGCTTACCTCCGAGATTACGCATCTTGGTCACTTTGATCTCCGTTAAAAATGACATTACCGCTCGGCTTCTTATAATCGTCTGTTCATTTGGCTTCTTGAAAGCCGAGCCCAGCTTGCTAATCAGCTTGTTGTTGGCAATGCCAGCAGAACATGTATATCCTAGCTTTTCCCGCACTTGAGCTCGAACACGGCGAACGATTTCGGAGCCAATCAGTATGACTACGTCGTCCCAGTCGGGGTCGACGGCTTCCTCGTCTTCCTCAAGGCCAATAAGATTATCATTTTGCCAATCTAAAGCTGCGGCGGATGGAAAAGGGAGATGCTGAGACACGTCGTCGGATAGAGGCGGACTTGACAACTCGGGAAAGCGGCGTAAAAGCTCGGCATGGATTTGGGCTGAGAGATCCAGGAAGACCTCATCGACGCTTGCCTTTTCTACTTTTTGCAGGTCTTTTGGAAGGGATTCTTTGATAGTTGCAAGGATCTTCCTTGATTGCAAGCGATAGGGGTCGAGGGATACTTTGTCCGTTACAATATTGGCGGCAGCGTCATCTCGATATGCCCACTTGTCATCACCTTCTCTCCAAGTGGCAACGTGTTGTGCAATTAGATCCGGGCACAGTTTCTTGGCTTCTGTGATGTTGCAGTGGCGCCCAATTCCCCATGTCCTTGCTGGGTAGTTGACGGCAATGAGACCTTGCCTTGGATATGAAAATTTCAGTTAGCTTCAAGCCGCACGATTCTCACACCAGGAAAACAGCCAGGGAGCGTCTTACCACTGTTGAACCGCGAGCGGCTTATCTTCCGGAATCCCGAGCCTGATCATCTCACACTGTGCGTAAAAGGCGTCGAGATCTATGTGGGCAATAACACGCAGAGGAGTGGTGACGCTGTAAGTCGACAGCTGGGCAAGCTGACGGTACGTGAAGCGTGAACGGCGAGCATCGGGAAGCGGTGACGATGCGCCGCCACCAGTCGATGGAGAAGACATGAAAGTTGCAACCCGAGCAGATGTTGATACCGGAGAGTAGATTCAAATTAGAAATGGCATGAATTCAAACAAACGAGACGGGCAGTGGCTCCGTCAATCTTGCAGCGATGTCGAAGCTGAGTTTCGCTTGCCAGGTAGTTTGAGATGGAAAAGAGCCCCACATAATAGAGCTGCAAGAGCTACTGCCAGTCTAGATCAAAATATGCGTCTACTATTGATAGGTAAAGCTTCAGTTAATATCAGTTAACCCAGTACGGCAAGATGAAAGGATATTAAATTTATTATATTTGGGGATAGATTTAGATTTATTTTACATTTCTTAGAAGAGGACACACGAAAAGAAAACCGAATTGTATATTGTTTTGAAACTGCTAGTCCTGGGAGAATCGCCACATTTCCATTCCATTATCGCCGAATCGCAGGATTAAAAAGCCCACATCGAGTCTTGTATAACACAAGCCCATCTTTTGTCTTTTCTTCTCAAATAGAAAAAAACTCGTGTCTCGTACCTTCAGTACCGATATTCCTCTTCTATAGTGGTCGAATGCGAATGTTTTGGTGCCCTACTCTGTATCATGTCATCGTAATCTTTCAGCTCATGGATCGCTACGGCGAGCTGCTCTCTTAGTTGTTCAGCTTCGATTTCTCTGGCAGCGATGCTGTCCTGTATCTCGCCTCTTAGACGCAGTCTCTGATCATAGGTGATGATTTGCCGGTCGATTTCCGATCTTCTCTGTCTTAGGAGGTCGATTTGCTCGTGCACAATCTCCAGCTGTTCTTCGGTCTTCTCTATTACCTGTACGAGCTTCTCTCGTAGCTTGGATTTGGCGCGGATCTGCATCATGCGTTTCTCCGTGACTCTGCCCGGTAAAATGGATGCCATTGTGAAAGAGCGCCGTCAATGAAGATGGATGTAGCTGATTGCTTTTTCCTTTGTCAATCGGCATACAATGTTTTTACTGAGACCGTTGGATTAGTACATCACTCAAAACTTGCCCTGTGCTTCCTGAAAGTTCTTTACCTACCTGGCAGAGGCGGCGCGTATAATTCAAGATTCTGGAGCCTCCGAACCGGAAGAGGGGCTTTCTGCCAGAAGGATTCTCTGATAATCGACTCCTTTGCCCTGGCGGTGGGGATGCTTCTCGGTCGACTTTGGTTCCCTCACAATCAAGGCCAGATATAGGCGCCTAGGCTGTGTGGCCAGGGCTCTCGTTCGCGCAACCACCTGTTATGTTGGGTTACACCAGGCGCGTCTTTTTCCTTTCCCCAATTTTGATGAGAGACTATCTAGATTTGGAAATCAAGCCAGCTCTTTTTTGGCTGATGCAAGAGATGCTACTTTTCCCTCGCCCTTGTAAGTCACGGCTCAGTATACAGCATCGCGATGCTACTATCCAAACTCGCTCGCTTGCTATTAGAAGTAGGATTCCGTCAAGGTTCCGAGGTACGCACTGACATGGTAGCCAAGCCCAAGCCACGCGAATTTTGATAAGAGCATAACGCCATCAAGAAGAACAGGACGGCCCGTTCTTTGAGATGTATCAGTGGCGGCCTGTATTACCCACTTTCATTGAGCAGCAAGTTTGACCCCGCCCTTGAGATGTCGCGCATGTACCGGTACGTGATGGACAGGGGTGATGGATTGAGAGGGCAAATCGGAGAGCATTCTCGCCGTATTCAAGCGAGAGACAAGTCAAAATGGCCGTGGAGGCGGTACCAGCGAGATCTTCCTCTCAATTAAGCCACTATTGGCTGTGTATACGGTGCTTCATGCATGATACGGGGCGGCGGTTAACCTTTTCTCTTTCCTGGAGGGAAGAAGTGATGGGGTGGTAATTAGAGACAAAAAGGAGAATCGTGCATGGGGCCGATGCATTCAGATGCCTGCATGTAAAGGCTCCAGCTCCTTATCACCATAGAAATGAGGGGAGAGTCTCAGTTATCCATGACCCCATATCACGACATGCAGCATGCAGGGCATGTGTGTGTCCGTCTCTCTTTGGAGGAAGCGAGCGGCCAATGCAAAATGAAAAAGTAAAAAAAAAAAAAAAAAATTGACCAGTCGTTAAAAAACCGATACCAGGGGATGATTTGCTACCGTATATGCATGATCGTCGGCTGCATAGCGCCGCCAGCTAATCGTTGTGTCTGTGTTTGTGTCTAACATTCCATACGCGAAACCCGATTTTTTGATGCGTTTCCCCGTCCAGCCTAGACCAGCAAAAACAAAATACTAATTAAAGGAAATTTCTCAAGGCGACCGCCTTGGTCGCGTTCATGAAGAACGTGTACATGTACCGTAGGAAAAGGGATGATTTGCACAAAAGGGGGCCCCTTGTCTATGCCCATAACTAATACAACAAACAAGGAAAGGGGAATCGATTAGAAGAGAGAGCAGATATAAACTGCTGGAAATCAATGCAACGCCACCTTGCGAGAAAAACAATGACAAGTAGAAATCCTGCTGATGCGGAATGATGAAAGGAGTGAGAATGATTATAGACAGATAGAGGGGGCAGTCAATCAATCACTGGCGCGCCGGCCAGTTCTATCCTGCAATTCGATGGCATGTCCACTGCGAGTGGGAGTTTCGAGCTCGGGAGCTCCATATCGTTTCCTCAATCTGGATATCAGAGGCCCAAGCTTGTAATCGCTCTCCATGCTTTCGTGGTTACAGCACGGCGAGTGACGAATGGGGAGCAGCCACTCTATGATATTGTCTCCCATGATGGACTTCCAGTTTTCTCTCAAGCCCAGATTCCACGGGTTTTCTCGCGGCTTCGTGCGCAGGATGGCAAACTTTCGCTCTGCCTGCTGATCTCTGGCAGAGACGGTGCCGTACTGGCTACTAGGCGGCTGGCCATCGGATCCAGGACGGTGCGGCGGCCCCCGAAGAGGGTATACAATGACTGGATATTTAATTGATGGAGGAGTGGACAAGGGGATGCGGACGGCCAAGACGACCACATTCGACCTCTTAAGCATGTCGACGTTTGTGGTGTTTAGGAAGATGAATCGAATCGAAGTAAGCGCCATACCAAACGTAAAGGTACCAAAGACGCAAGCTAGAACGATGACAGCGAGTGCCCATCCGTCGGTTGGATCTCCATCCTGTTGGTGTTGCCGGAAAGAATACGCTCCCACGGCCAGGTTGACGGCGCAAAAGAGGCCAGTGTAGAAGCAGAATTGCGTAAAGAAATTGAAGGCTGCAACGGAACAAATTGTTAAAAACAAAATTCGTCTTCTTTGGGCTGTTGTATGGGCTTCAAATCTTACATGTCTCAGAGACCATGCCACCAACCCATGGGCAGAAATGGTCCATCTTCCTCACACAACGGCCCAGGTCGCTCGAATGATGCGAGCGATCGGGCTTCCACTGCTGGCACTCTGAACACCACTTAGGACGGCCGTCGACCTCGCACACGAAAACGTCCTTGCTGTAGAAGGCTTCCAGCCCCGGGCTGTCCGGGTTTGGGTCGGGAGGGGTGTAGGCACTCTCTTCGACATCTCGGTTGCGCTTGTGTCTTCGCTTTCGCAGCTTCTCGGCGGCTTCGCGCTCGGTTTGCTCTCGGGGAGGTAAGGGGACGAGGCCCGGGTTTAGTTGGGTTGTAAAGAATGTTCGTAGATAGGCCGCGGCCATTAACAGGAAGAATAGGAAATAGAGGACGAGGAACGCCGTGACAACGCCGGACTGATGTTTTTCATTGTAAAGGTAATCAACTGGGGAAAAAAAGCAGAGTCTGGTCAGGATTTGATTTCTTTTTTTTTTTCTTCTTTCGCCCACCATCTCGAGAGATTCAGATTCAGATCCAGATTCAAACTTACTGCAGAGTCTCGCAACCACGCTGTAGGTGGCCACGCCTAGAATCGCAACGATGAACAAAGGAATGATTCGCACCGCCCAACGCGTCTCAGCGCGAGTGCTATGATGCGGACGCGGCATGGCGACCGTATCATGATCGCAGCTTGCTCTGCTCAGCTTCGGTTGGTGTTGAGGACTGGAAGAAAAGAAAAGCTGCCAATGGGGGGAATGATACAATAATCTGTAATTACCAGATGCGATCCGATCCTGGGCGGGTCTCCTCTAACATATACGCACTACATTAGTGTCCAAGCATGTTATTACGGTACCGTCACTAGGCTGACGCCACGGACATTGTCAGCTGCGAATCCTGGCCACTTCCCGTCCCTAATTTAAAATCCCTGCTGTTACTGGCAAGTCTCCGAATTTCAAACCCGCAGCAGAATTCTAGCATCCGATGCTGGTCAAGCTTGTAGTAATAGTGGCATCCAGCACTCAACACCATCCCTGTTCTACAACTCTTTTCCTCCTTTGCATCCACTGTCGCGGAATACTGCCACTGTACAGTACTCTTAGTACTCGGCTCGGTGCATACTGTGGACGTGCTTTGCCGTCTGCTAGATCCCCGCCCCGTATGCCCACCCCACAATATGAGGCTCATGCAAGGCTGTTTTAGTCCTACAGCATAACATGGCCCGGCAACATAGTCCCGCCTACTACATACCCTAGATAAACGCCAGCACACCCAAATCTCCTGCTTAGCCCAACATGTAGCCGCACGTTATCATTTTGGAGAAAGGAGGCTTCATCCCACCCATCTGTCTGTCCATTCATCCGTGCTCATGGTGTCCACGTTAAGGATGTTGGAGTGGCATCATGCGGCTCTACCAACGCCTACCCAGCCTTTGTGACAGCTATGGCGTAGCAACGTAGCTTCTTTGCGTCTTGAATATGATATATAAACCGTCCCGCCTCATGCTGCTCATTTGTTTTTCTCTCATCTTCTTTTGTCTTCATCTCAGGCGATTGCTGTGAAGACATTCACGACCAAGTGCGAGACGTCATGCTATTTAAGCTATTCTTTAGTGACCAAGCAAAACATCGCACTTCATGCAAAAGCGAACCGCTCATCTCTTTTTTTTTTAAAAAAAAAAATTCCAAGATGGAAGCTCTCTCTCGTCTCTTCGACTTGTATACTGAAGAAGAGCTTTTCTTCTAGGTCAGTTCGGTAGTCTTGACCATGGTTTCCTCGACATCTCCCGAAGACGACGTAACGTTATATAGAAAAAAAAAAAAAAAAAAAAAAAAAAAAAAAAAAAAAAAAAAAAAAAAAAAAAAAAAAAAGGAGTAAAAACGGCCACCCCAAAGACTGATTACCTTTGGAAAATTTTCTGCTTTCGTTGTAGAGGAAAAATCGATATCGAGATGCACTCTTGGCAAAGCCTCGTCGAAGGCTCGGAAAGAGATCGGCCAAAAGCCAGCAAGGGGGCGCAGAACTCGCTGGTCTCTCGCGCAAAACTACTAAGCACGGATCCAGATGATTGCTATTCTGCGTAGATTGTATTGCCTGCTTTCGAATCCCGAAAACTCCTTCACATGACCCTGACGCTCTGTAAGGCAGGGTGTTTGGGTTAGGCGCAGGCGCAGGCGCAGTTCCGCCTTACTTCGACTTCAGTCCTCTTCATGATTACCATTACGTTAATCGTTCTTCCGTCGCTGTAATAACTGTCAGGATTCGGTGAGAAGGGTTCTGTCTCAACTTGTCCTGTCTCATTCTCAAAATTTTACACTTTAATTTTTGGGCTGCCGGCAGGCTACCGATTGCCTATATGACGGCCACCGACAAACCATGTCGATATCCATTCTCTCGCCGAATCATGGCTGGCAATTCTGCGCCGTTTCGCCTTTTTTCTTTTCTTTTGTATTTACGCAGCTAGTGAAAGAGGCAGACGTCTGAAAGGTCTCCGATCAATGGAACTTAGGGACTTAGATATATAAGTCACGTCTAGATCCAAAGCAACATGCAACCTCCAAACTCAGAAACCAGCACCTCTACATCACTCCTCCATTCTTCGAATAAAAACCTCAAACCAATCTTCTAGAAACTACTTCAGCTGCTGCTTTTCTCATAACAATGGGTGAAACAGTTCATACTTGGGAGTGCTGTAGATGTGGCATGGGCGGGCTAGTCTATCAGACCACGATGCAGTGCCTTGAGCTAACGTGCCAGCATCGCCGTTGCGGACAATGCAAATATTTTGTTGACTCAGTGGGACCTGCAAAGGCTTGATGGCCTTGTTACAAACACTTACGGCTCATGGCGCTACATGGCATCAAACTTGAACATGAACGCCAGCATCTACTTGTCCAGGTCATACATAATTGGCCTCGCAAAACTCTTCAAATGTCCTACCAGATCATTCGTCAAATCTTTGGCACGCAAAGCGGTCCTCTATTAGAATTAGATTCACAGCATACATCTTATTTCTTGCCATTCTTTGTGTTCACTCTTTTAATATGCTTGTTTATTGTTTGAAGGTGCAGAAAGAGGAGGACATTATCGGCATCATACCTGAAGGGATTTCATCACAAATCGACTTTTCACCTATCATGTTACGACGGGGCGGAAAAATCTCAAATTGGGCTGGTCCACGAGCCAAGAGAGGCAATCAAAGGCGCATGATGGGGCTCGTCTTCAAAAATTTGAGATGCAACACTTAACGGCCAACTGTTTGCTTCACTCCTTTTGGTACCATGGCGGATAGACTTGTTTTTAAATCGGTGTCTTGGGAATTAGATCATTCATTTTAATATAATCCTTATTAAATACTTTAAAATACTTGGATGAAAATGTATGCGCTGCGTCATGATTGCTTAAACGAATGAAGGCTCTTCCCGCAAAGCAGCTCCGTACACCCCGTCCCTAGATGAACTCAACCGCTCACAGACAATACATTGGCATTTCTCGCCTCTAAATCTTTGTTAGATGCAGCTCCCGGTGCTTGGGCGAGAAAGGATCTTCGAATCCACTTAATGAGGCTCTTGATTATAACTGCAGGTGGCTAAGCCTCGCCTCGCCTCTCCTTGCCTACCTAATGTAGCGGTGAGATGCTACCAAATAGTAAAAAGGGCTCAGCAAAAATTAAATGAATAAGGGCTTTTCTCAAATTTAACCGCAGGATTGATGAATAAAAAAAAAAAAAGTCAATGGTGCTGATGCTGCCAGTTATTATGAGGCGAACAGAGCTTGGTAAGTCGGAGATGTGGCTGTGAAGACGTGACGTTCCCTTTTTCCTTTTTTTCTTCATCATCAATTAGTGTATTGGGTAAGTTGTGAAGCCTAGATGACAGATGCCATTATTTCACATGACGCTGCACTGCCTTCTTGCGTGAGCCATTATTCGCCGACTTCTTGGGCGTGATTTACGAGCTTTTATCATAAAGTACAAGACCTATTATTATATATTGAAGAGAAATGGAATTGTAATGGCGGATCTTCTTTCCATTATGAGTATAGTGTGATCCGATGAGTGAGTATATATATCGGATACACAAATGCCGACCTCCCATGTAGCATCGTAATTACAACAGTCTCAAACAGTATTCCTGACAACATATTGCCTAATGACGAGTTATATATGTAGTATATATAGTAGACATCAAACTAACAGTCACGGTTTGTAGTATAATGAAAGGAAATAAATGAACTTGTCGTAGCACCTTGTGAAAAAAAAAAAAAAAAAAAAAAAAAAAAAAAAAATGAAAAAAAAAAAAAAAAAAAAAAAAAAAAAAAAAAAAAAAGAACCTCGGAGATCTTAGCTTACAAAAAAGGATAGATGTGCGAGGGGCAAAAAATGTGCCATTACGAGGAGTCGAACCTCGGTCTTCAGTGGTTTGTAGTTATACCACAAACTGATGTCTTAACCGTTGGACCATAATAGCTAGCACCTTTTGATGACTGTAGACAGTAAATATAGAACTATAAGGGTATAGTACCAAGGCAATCGAGATTAAGGACGTATTAAACTGTAGCAATTCGCATTGCGATGCACAATAAGTGAATGGCAGCAGCCTACAATGTCACTACAACGCAATAAGGCGTGTGCTTCATTCTCCTGGTGATTCTGAGCGAAGCCTGTGATCTTACCACAGCTGCCAAGCATGTGAGTGGCCCCCACTTTACATGTCATTGAATCGAGATCGCGGACCTTGAAATGGCGAATTAGTAATATCGAGCTCACATGCCAGTGGGATTGAGCTTCCAGGACATTTCGATACTGAATACGAGCAAAGATTTCCATTCGTCTTCATGCGTCTTCATGCCATGTTCGATTTTGGCACTGATCGACGTTGCTTGTTTACGCTGGCAACGGCGCGCTGGCAGAGCGAGTTGAGCAGTAGTCTGGGCCACCAGCTAGATTGAAGGAGCCAAAAGAGAGGGTTCACAATTGGCATACCTTAGGTATCACGCGTTGACCATGAAAAGGCTCCTTTCAGGCTCCTTTGTGATTATACATTGCCCTCTCCTGCACTGTACTTTCAAACCTTTAATATCTTCTTAATCCCCATTCCATCTTTCGAAATTGCAGGGTAGGTACAGCTCTTCCACTACTCTTGCTGCCAGTCATCTGTATAATGTCTGTGCGATCCTCCCTGCGTCTGATAGTACCTAATCTACCATACGAGTATCACTACTATCGTTTGAGTAGCTGATGTAACATGAAACACTGCCTGATGGCCAAGATATCCCTGCATTGATGAATATCACAATGATTGCCATCACCTTGACAGCCATCACGCGACTTGAATTAATTATTTTACTACTCCCACTGAGAACAGCTTGAGATTTTCCACCTGTCAAAATTGACTCTCTCCGTCCCTTATAGTAGCTCGTGAATGTGGGCGTCTCACCCCAGAGGGCGACGTCGACTATGCTGGACGCACACAATTGGACGAATCGAGTGACTTTCGAGACACCCATATAGGTGGACGACCTCCCTAAACTTGGCGCAGTAGCCCGAAAACCACCCATGCTATTTTCACGCCAATGGAATTGCTTCGGGAGTGCCTCGTGCAGAGCTGAGGTTTTCATTACGACACTTGGATAATTGGTAGCTGAAAATACCCACTTGTTACTAATGACCCCATGCCAAGGGCAAGGCTCTCTCTACTGGCAGGTGTCCTCTTCCCCGGTTTCATTTCCATGCCTGGGAAGGCTGGGCCAATGTGATGCCAGCCTGGATTATATGCGGACAACATGGTCCGCGATACTTGTTTATTGCTACGGAGAGCAGCCACAATTTGATGCACCGCGACGGATTCGGAACAGAATAGCCGCTGGGATGCGACCTACCGAGGAATTTTTCGGTTTCATGTCCCGGCCCATGCAAGAGTCCGCGATAAACCGGGCCATCGTGGCGGGCCAAGTACTGCCATTATTCAGATGTGCTAAGCTCACGAACACAAGGCCGCCGAGCAGCACCAGAATGATTGGATAACATATGGGAAGATAGGGAGGCTGTCACTGGCAGATAGACTTGACGGAGCTTCAGAGAGTACACATATTATTGTCCTGTGATGCTTTTCGTAGTTTCGTCGGCTTCTTCTTGGACGTCCGGCCAATGACCAGATCAGCACGTCACCGATGAGCCAGCAAGTATCGCCACGACTATTAATAGCAGGGTAAGCACTGCTGTAGCTCCCAACCTATCAAATGCCACTCGTGTGAATAATGAATACCACTACTAGGTATCAAATAGATACAGTCATTTCTCCCCCACGCACGCATACTCAAAAGACGCTGAGAATAGCTCCACGCCATGCATGTATGTGGCGTTGGATGCCAGTTGTGTTGGGTTGAAAGCCCGAAGACCTTGTTGTTGCCAAGAGCAATGGGTGATGTGCAGCACCATGGCAAGGGAAACTGCAGGGAAACAATCCCACACTCCAAGTACCTATCTAGGTAGGTACGATAGAGTAATAGATTGGAGTGGCTTGCCTCGAACTTGTTCCCTAGCTCCCATGCTTCCCGATTCGCTTCTTGAGCGGATCTGGGAAAGTGGCGTTTTTTGCTTACAGGCAGTCACATATCATATGATGCCATGACCTCAGGACTCAGGGAGCCGAGGAGAGCTGAAGTCCAGCTGAACAAGGGATATCCCGTGTTTAGATGAGCTTTGTGCCGCTTGCAAGCAGGGGGACACGGATCCCGAGTTCTACATACCAGTAGGTACTTGTCGCACTGCATAATTCTCATTGCGCAGAGAGTGCTGCCTGACTGACGCCAAAATCAGGCCAGGAACACGGCCTCTGCCTTTTGATTTGCGATAATTGAGCGGCCATACACTTCATCTCTACTCACCGAGTGGGGGCCGGCTGCAGGCCCGACGGGCCGTAGAGGGAGAACCCTTGCAAGAGGATCTGGTTGGCTCGGATCTGTGATACTAGATACAGTATATGATCATCTGGACTACCAATAGAACGATTGTGATGCCTGGGGCTGCGGCAACGTCTCCTACGAATAGAATCTGAGCCTTGAAACAAGTGTCTACTATATTTCTTCATAAAAGTTGGTAGTGGATCACTCATTTTCTTTTTCCTATTTTGCTATTTTCCTATTTTCTACTCCCCCCCTTTTTTCCTCTCTTTTCTCTGTAGTATTGTGCTAGGATAATCCGGTTACTCTATTGGGTATTATGATCAAAACATGGTTGAATTCTGGGGATATCCACTGCTGAGTTTTGTGAGGACATACAGTATGGGGTGCGATGCTGGCTTTGGAGGAAGCTGGAGTCCTGGGGCATGTCCATTCATGTTTGTAATTAGTGTAAATTCTTTTCCAAATGTTCGAAGCAAGTAATAAAATAGATTACAAATCCTTAGTAGTTTTTGTCCCTCTCAAGTTTTTGAAGATGCTCACTGACAGCATGACTGCCATTATCACGGTGGCTAATCGTGTTCAGAATTATTTTCCATCTGTATTGACCGAGGCTACCATGAATGATCATTCTGGCTGATTGGATCGGTCAGAAGGAAGCAAAAAATATCCATTTCACGAGTCAGGCATGTTCATCTGTGCCATGCATTCGGAGTGGGTAAGCGGACACCATCCGAGGCCAAGTTTGCACAGACGATGAATCCTTCGACCTCAGCATCTCTTTACCCAAACTATCCGTAGAGAGACCTGAATAAGAGTCTCTTCATCGTTGCTTCAAGCATGGGATACTCAACCATAATGCAGATTTCGAATTAGGGATTCACTACAGACATTGTATCTCCTCGTAGCATGTAATGGCTTTGCTACACAGTCAATTTTGCTATACAGCCTTCCCCCTCTGGCCATGAGATGGATAGACAACAGCCACAATGAAAATCCTGCTTGATTTGGGACTTACTTGGGCTCATGATGAACTGACCCAGTTTTCCTTTCAGGATTCCAACCTGCGTTGTGCTATTACCTGAAAGAAAAAAAGGAAAGGAAACCGGGCAACGGAGCCCTCCCCCCTTTGGTCAGAGTTGTTGCACAACTGCATGCGAGATATCCACCTCACCGCAAAGCGTACATTGGTGATACGGTACCAATGTAAAAAAAAAAAAAAAAAAAAAAGCAAATAATGTAGTGGGATGGCTGAGATGGTCCACTTAAACATTGTTGGGGAAAGAGTGCCAAGGTGATAGACTTAGGTAGGGATGCATACAGCTTCTGTGTTTGTGTTGCCTCGCCGAAGGAAGTGCTTCTTCTCGAGGGAATATTAAGCAATGGAAGTGGTGTCCGTGAAATATAAATAGGACGTCTCCTGCTCTCATGGAATGTCTTTTTCTTCTTCTCTATCCTCATCATCATTAGCTTTCGCCTGAGCCTACTCTTCAGTTTCATCTACTCTGACAAATTTACCGTCTCTTCTCTGAGAATATTCCACCAAAAAAAAACCTATTCAAAATGAAGTTCTTCACTGCCGCCGCTCTCTTTGCCGCCGTTGCCATTGCTGGCCCTGTTGAAGTTCGCACCGGAGGCGGTAGCATCTGCCCTGACGGCCTCTTCAGCAACCCCCAGTGCTGTGACACCCAGCTCCTCGGCATTATCGGCCTTGGCTGCGAAGTCCGTAAGTTAAAAGCAACGGCTACGCAAGATACTTTGACAGAATATGGTTCTCAAACTGATGTCCTACAGCCTCCCAAACCCCCCGTGACGGTGCCGACTTCAAGAACATTTGTGCCAAGACTGGCGACCAGGCTCTTTGCTGCGTTCTCCCCATCGTAAGTAATCGCCACTCCCAGAACTTGTATTTGTCTGGTGTGATGCTAAGTTATATATCGTCTCTAGGCCGGCCAAGATCTTCTCTGCCAGGCCGCTGTCGGTGCCGCCTAAATGGGTTATATATTTCCGACAATCTTGTCTCGATAGTTACCAGTTCTAGTCCAATATTGGAGAATTGGGGCTCAGTATATGATAGCTAGTGATGCGGGTCATGTAGATATTCACCTCGAGTACTCTCTATATCTATCACAATATCAGTACTGTTTTATATTGTATCTTGCATAGTTAGGACTCTTTTGCTATTGTCGTGAGGTTTGTTTTGGCACTGCGGCGTAATCTGTCTCTCGTAATACCGTGATTTCCCATCTTCAAAGGAACCTAATACGGCAAAGTTCCGTACTTCGTCCAATACAGGGCGGTTTCGAGAAAAGGCTTTGAGATGTGAGGCCAAAACTTGCTTCCTGTGGCCGATATGCCGACTAAATCATGGCGCGGAGGATGATTATATTGGGCCCAACATCTTGAGTAAACCTTGGACTTGCTTGGCCACTGCTTTGTGTCTACACTCCTTACTTCTTGTATAGCCATTGGTAAGCATTCATCCCAATTTCTACCTAAAGGCATACAGCACAAAAAAGTCATTATTCACTCGAGTTTTTAACCCATGGACGTAACACCAAATCATCAGCTCTCATTACCGCGTATATGATAAATCGCCTCTAACTCCAAATATTGTACTACAAAAAAACACACACACTTAGACAAGCAAGAGCAAAAATTCCAGAGACTCGAAAAAGCAAACCCTTTTTTGCAACTCATCCCTCACCCCTTCGCCATCAAAAAGAACAGGAAGAAAGAAAGGAAGAAAAAAAAATACAAGAAAGCTTAAGAATAGTGAAAAAAAAAAAAAAAAAAATTCTATCACAAAGTGGCCTGATAATCCAAGAAAAAGAAAAAAAGCAAAGGAGAAGAAAAAGGATAAAGATAAAAAAAAAAACACAAAAGTTAAAGGGAGAAAAGAGAAAAGATTAGCCCAGCATCTCCTAGAAGCCATTGCCCACCTAGAAATTGATATGAGGAAGTACCAGCAGCATTACATGAAATCCGTGATGAACCAGAAGAAGAAAAGCCCGCAAATAAGTGTCTATAACGTCATGCAATCGAGGAGGCCAGGGAGCCATGTTGAATCGCATCTTTTCGGACCCCCGAGAATGGCAGAAATAATGCACTCCCCAAAGAAATTATCCTCCCCCCAATTCGACTCTTATACTGAAACAGAAAGGCCAGAGGCTGCCCCGCTGACGGTGATGGTGGTGCTTTCTCGCTTCTTTCGCTGGCCTTTGGTCGTTGCTGTGTTCTTAACCAGCTTGATGCTGACTTTTGAGTATGGCCTCTTGGTTGTCTTTGCGTTTGCGGGCTGAAGCGTCTTTCTGGGCTTTGTAACATTGGCAACCTTGGCAACCTTTGGCTTTACCACCTTGATAGATTTCAACGTCTTGCCAGGCTTCACTGTCTTGGCTGGCTTCAGCGCCTTTTTGACCTTTGGCCCCTTGACGGGCTTTAATGCCTTGACGGCCTTGAGAGTCCTGATAGGCTTCGGCTTGTCCTGAATCTTGCGCTTCTTCGCCTTGTTGTTGGGGTCCTGATTCTCCTCATTCCCAGACAGGTCCTTGAATTTCCGCTTCCCTCCTTTGCCTTTGCCTTTGCCTCTTCCCTTGCCAGGATTCTCCTTGGGAGGGGGCTTGACTCCTTTGGGCTTGGGCCCCAGCACTCCCCGACAATTGGGCTGCCCACATAGACACTTTTGCACGTTCTTTGCTGAGAAGGGATCAAAGTTGTAGTCATACGTGAGCTCCTCGCCGGTCATGATGGGCTTATCGCCAGCGAAAAGAGCCATCCTAGGCTGCCCCGAGACGATCCATTTGATCATGCGGCAGTTGGGATTGCAGCTATGATTTACAAATCGAGCAATACTGCCCGTGGTAGCATCAATTATCATGTTTTGGTCAAAGCTCATTAAGTAATAGCACTAAAGGCAAGAAAAGAAGAGAGAGAAATTAGCCAACCGAACATTTGTAGAGACACATAGCTAGAGCTGGGAGAGAGCTTTGGCATACCTCATTATCCTTGTAAACCTCATTCATTCGTCGTTCACATTCCTCTTCGGTAATAATCTCACCAGCGTACTCCATGATGATTTGGTGGGGCCTAAAGCAGCGATTGCTGCGGACGCCATAGCCTCGGTCTGACGTCTTGATCACCTCGACTCCGACGCGGTACTTGCCGCCTCTAGCTCGCCGAGCTGTGAGGTTGGCGAATGCTCGGTTCGTGCAAAAGGCCTTGCCAATATTGCAGTTTGTCTCGTCGCATTCGTAGAGCATGATTCGGTTCTGGCAGCTCTCGCTGCATCCGTCTTCTGGTTTGCACACGCACTTGGACTGATAATCGAGAATGTGTGGCATCTTTTTCCAGATTTCCTTGGATTCGCCAATGAATCGGTCTAAGAAAGGGGGGAAGTTTGTCAGTAAGCGAGACTATGCTACGAAATACGCAAGCAATACAAGATTCGAACACGTACTCTTGGTCATCTTCTTCCACTCGTCGGGCTTGGGTTGGCCCGGCGGTAGCGGGTTGCACACATGGAATGGCAGCTTGAAGTCGCGGCCAGCCAGCAGAGTACGGAAGCCGCCAAAGATGGGCGCAGGCATGACTTTGTTCTCTTTGCGGGGCCTCAGCTCGGGCAGTTGCGCCAGCTGCTTCTTCTCGGCCGCCGTCAGTCCTCGGACCATGTCCTTGGGCACGTCCTGGCCGGAATAGAGGCCGTGGTCCATGTACTTTTTGACTCGAGGCTTCTTGACCTGGGGCGCAGGCTCTTCCGGCTCCTCCTGCTTGACCTCGATCTCAGACTTGTCGACCTTTGCATTTTTGCGCGGCCGCCGGCGCTCAACAGGCCGGTTGGGGTCGATGTATTTGCCATTGGACCAGACGCTGTGCACGACGGGCCGGTCGTCGATGTGGCTGAACTCCTTGGTGTCCTGCAGGCGGCGCAGCTCGCGGGACATCTTGACGCCGGTTTTGCCGACGGGCTTGCGCCCTCGCTTGGTGACAATGGCGGCGAGTTTGGTGGCGGCAGACGAGACGGGGGAGTCGGCGGCATCACCGCCAGCTGGACCGCCGAGACGCGCCACGGATCGCAGCGAGCGCGGCGAGGGTCGCGCCAGGCGCTGTGCGCGCGGCGTCTTCTTCGCAGCGGCGAGGCCCAACGCGTCAATGCTTGTGTCCAGCGCGGCCCCGACGTCGGCGTCGCCAGCAGCCAGCGCGGTGCCGCCAATGGTGCGACGTCTGCGGCGGTCGGCCACGATGTCGCCCTTGGCCCTTCTCTTTCCATGCGCGGCCGTGCCGCTGAGCTTTGCGAGATTGTAGACGGGCAGACTGGCACGTGCCCTCTGCGGCCGTCGCGGCGACGGCACTTCAGCCACGGGCAGCGGCGGCGGAGCGACGGCGACGACGGTTGAGTCGTCAATCACGGCGATGACATCGTGTTTGGGGGTGTCCGAGTGCAGGGAGTCGCTGTCGGTGACGGTCGTGGGAGGAGTCGAGCTGGACGACGCGAGGTTGGACGATTCGTCGGCCGAAGACGCCAGGCTGCTGCTGCTTTCCACAAACAGCGACAACGAGGCCATGGCTGGGAGATGTGTGATTCTTTTTTTTCTCTCGAGGCTTTATGGCGACATGTGCACCCGCATACGCACACCGATTGTCGACGGATTGTGAGTGGGAGAGGAGGAGAAACACGCACGCAAGCCAGCTAGCAAGCAAAACTCAAAGTAACAAGTAGAGCAGGTTAAAAAAAAAAAGGAGTAGAAAGAGAGGGGATATGCGGTGCGTCTGAATATGTCTGTGAGGAATGAAGGAAACAAGAAGGAATAGATGCTGGGGAACCAATCAAAAGAGGAGAAAGCAAAAAGAATAAAAAGAACAACAACAATCAAGGTTGCGGAGGCGGAACAGCGAGGCTGAGCTAAAGTAGCCGGGCTGCTGGCTGAGAGGCAACGGAAGAATGAAGAAGGGAAAAGGTTCGACGTCGATGTTAGTCGGCAAAGTTGACAGAAAAACGCGGGTGCGCGCGTGGACTAGCAGATAAGCAAGGCGGATAGGCCGTTAGGACGAAGGGCAGGCCACGGGATTATAAACAGCTCCTTTTGCAGGCAGCGATAGGAAAAGAGCAGCAGGCTATGTATGGACGGAGTCGCAGCAGTTACCACGGCCGTGTTTTGTTCTTGTCTCTCTTTCTTCTTCTTTTTTATTTTAACATGAAGGGGCAGTAGTTGGTATAGACTGTTCTCTCTTACAACCCGTCTGTTGTGTATATCAAACGCGGAGGATGCTGGACGGATGGAGATTATTGTGGATGTCTGAACATGTGTGCGTCAAGTGAACGTGCGCGACTTATATTGCGCGTGGATGGTTCTGCCGGCCTCGAAATAAGCGTGAGCGAGATGGCGAGTCAGAGTCGACAGCTATTGGGAGCATAGAATGATCTTTGTTCTCATCAACCCTGAGAGCGAGTGCGTGCTTTTGTGTGCCGTGCAAGTGATGAATGGCACTCTCAGACAAGACGCCCGGGGTCCTGAAAGTGAAGGTGAGCGACGAGCAGCCACTTTTTTTTTACTATCAACGAAAATAGCCAAGGCCTTTTTGCCGGGCTCCAGGGGTGGTTGGGACCGGTGGAGGGAGCCACAAACGGTAGCCAAAAAGCAATGAGACAAACAAATCCAAAGCTGAAAGTGCTGGGAGCCGGCGAGGGGTACTCGGCAGAGGCAGAGGCAGAGGCAGAGGCAGAGGCAGTGAAACCGCCGGAACTGGAGGAGGAGAGCGTCAGTCACTTGCGTGAATGTGAATGCAAAGTCGACGACTGGACAAGATGACGAGAGACTATTGCGTAAGCAGGCCAATATTTGTCCTCTTGAGTCTCTAGTCTCGTTCCTTTGCTTGATTTTCCTGGGGCGTGTGTATGTGTTGTATCTTCTGCCACTTACGCACAATAAGTATGTTTGGCAATCTCTTCAAGCAGAATTTTTGAAAGAAACAGCTCAGCTCTCGTTTCTTATAGACCACAGCGAGTCTTTCTTTGCCGCGGCTGAACGAGCCTGCTTGATATATATCTGACTCTGCCCCGGGCTGTATCCAGGATTGCCGGGAGAAGTGTGTGTCAAAAAGAAGTGTCTAGAACCTCTCTCCCGAGATGCAGAGGGGAAGATTAAACGCGACAGCCAGCTGAGCACACACACAGAGAGAGAGGAGAAAAAAAAAAAGAAAGTTGGCAAGCGGCTGAAAAATGAGTGTGAGAGGCGTTCGGGCTAAATACTAAACCTGGTTTCGGCCAATATTTGCATCCCAGCAGGAAAACTACCAAAAAAAAAAAAAAAAAAAAAAAAAAAAAAGCTTCAGAGTCCTCTCCTGATTTCCTCCCTTGAGTAGCTGGATAGATCTCCGACCTCGCCTCGCTTGGTATTGCCTTGCCTTGTTTCTTACTCCGCACCTGTTGACGAGCCTATTATAATGCCTCCTTGTCTCCCTGCGTTGGGGGAAATAGCCTTATCCCAGCCGATGCAACGATGAATGTATCATGAAGGAGCCAGTGAATCAAGGACGGCCGATAAAAAAAAAGAAAACACATGACACAATAAAATAAAATGACGGCAAGGCTAGCAAAAGAATTGGATGATATGTGATGTGCCCCCAACATTCCAGGCTGTCGTGTCTGTGGTAGGGTGTGATTTGCGTCTCCTATAGAATTAAAATTTTACAACCTCTCCTACTTGTGCTATCGCCGATCAATCATCTGGTGATAACTCATCGTTGGGCTTTCTTGGCTGCTGTTGACTGTTTCATGCTCTCTCAGTCTACAAAATACCGTCTTCTCATATAACGAAACACTCACTCAACCCCACGGATATCATTGACGACGACAACAGCCAGTAGAGAAAGAAAAAAAAAAGCAGCAGCAGCAGAGCGGCAACGATAGCATCATCTGATCCGCAGACGTATTCGCATGGCGCTCACCGGCTGCAGGGTTTCCAGCCTCAGCCTGAGTCAAAATGTCTCTGTCCTCCTCATCCCAGCTCCGTTTCTCATTTGACGATACCACGATCACGATAAAGGCTGACGCAATTGCAATGCTCGGCCTAGCCAACTAATAAAAATGCCCAAACATAGAAGCATAGACTCCAACTGAACATCTCTAATTTACCATGACAGCGGCGATGTTTTTTGCCTCCAAAACAGTCGCACTCTTGCTTTTGTAGTCGAGTTGATATGTTGCGGTGAAGGTGAACGCCACAGCACTATCATCAAAAAATAATCACTCGCCTGCTAGGATCTTTGGCACTAGAGACCAAAATTACCAGGGCTGTAAAATTGACTGTGTTACCATCCCATGACAATTTTTTTTTTTATAAAGCTGCGATTTCCAAGGTACCATCCGCTGGTGCATGTGGCAAATTGACGGCGTGGCTACATGAACTAGAGACCTGGAGGCGAACTGCTCATTGTTGGCGCGTAAAGGACGTGGAATGAATTCCCGGCATCCAAGTCAGATGTAAAATTGATCTCGCAAACTTATAGAGTGACTATATTCTTCAATACAAGAGGAATAGGCGCTACCTAGTAAGAGTGACTCGGCAGGGAAATAGACGTGTACGGAAAGCATCACTCGAAATATCACCGCAAGTCAGACACAATACAGTAAAGAGGCATTTCAAGTACCTAACGAGAGTGACTGTTGGAGAAATTGGTACTACATAACTACCAATATCAAGCTCATAGTTTAAACCACGTCTCTAGCAGACGTCGCACCTGTCAATAGCCAACTGTCAAAAATGGGAATCTAATGCACAATATTTGAGTGCATGCCAAAATATCGGGGTATTACGAGCATAAATGGGGCATGGCTGGCTAGCAGGTTGAAGGCCCGCGCTCGTAAAGAGACGAACAGCATCAAAAAAGAACAAGACAGAACAAGACAAGACAAAGGAAAACAAAGCATGCACTCCTCCTCCTCCTCCTCCTCCTCCTCCTCCTCCTCCTCCTCCTCTTCTTCTTCTTCTTCTTCTTCTTCTTCTCACAAGATGCAGCGCGGATATGAGCGGCGATTCAGCTAGGGGAATGCCCTAGACTGCTTTCTCAAAAGTAGCCTTCCCTCTCATCTAAGCATTTTCTGCCGCCTCTGCATTCTGGTGCGAGGCTCCCAGCCCCAGCCCCAGCCTCTTTCGCCTAAGCCTCCTGCTTGTCTCCTTCAGGCTTGCTCTCCGCCTCGGCAGGAGCATCTTCCTCTTTGGCCTCCTCGGGCACATCAGCCATCGCCAATGTCAATGATTCTTGGACAGGACGGCCAGTGCCTCCATACTCTGGAGCCAGAGAAGTGGCGAGGGCTGGCAGCTCATTGACCAAAGAGGTGCCAGAGGCCATGGGGTGCATCTTCTTCAAGGTGGCAGCCGAGAGGACAAATTTCATGGCGGCAAACATCCATCCCATGATGGCGGGAACATTCACAAAGTACTTGTGATAGAGCAGCTCTGGGTAGCCCGTGGCAAAGACGGCAATGGTCTTTTGGGTAGCAGCCTTGACGACAGGGTCCATGCGGAAGAAGCTGACCGACTTGTAGTCGTGGACCTGGATCAACTGGTAAGGGTCGGAGCCATCTTCCGGAAGGGGCTCCTTGATATCATTGAGATTGAGCTGCTGCACGCCCAGCTCCATGAGAGCCGCACGCCATCTGATGAACCTACATGGCGCGCATAGCTGGTTAGAACAATTTGAAGTGAAGCAATGTCATTTTTTTTTTTTTCTTTTTTCACACGATGGATACTCACTCATCAACGTCGCCAAAGGTAGAGTTGTTGTCCTTGATAGCACCGTAAACGTGCCAGGTGATGATGACCTTCTTGCCAGTATCATCCGTAAAGTTGGACACGAATCCGAGGTTGTGGAACTTCTTCTTGTCGAAAGCTTCAGTCACCAGAGACGACGGGTTCACCTCTTTTCTCCAGACGAGGGCGTCGGTCAGCTGCTTCTCAGCGCCGGCCAGGTCGCCATTGTTGGCTCGCAGGAACTTCTGGAGGATGACCTGAGTCGGCGCATGGCCGGCGTCGTCCGAGAGCTCAACCCCCCACATCTCGGTGTGGCCTGATTCCTTCTTGATGTCGGCGAGGCGGGCCGTGAATTGGGCGAGGGGCGTTTCAGCCTCATTCTTCTCGGGGGCGGACATGATGGACAGGATGGTCTTGGATAGAATCAAGTGCAGAGACAACAAAGAGCGGTAACGGAGGAGAGATGCAGAGATGGAGAGATGAAAGAAGAGAAAAAGTGAGACGAGGCACGGGCAAAGCTCCGGCAATTGCGTAGTAGCAGGCGGGAGCCTAAAGAGCTGCTGCGGCAGGTCTGGTTGCAGTAGGAATTATGTAGGTAAGCCTGCCAGGGTTGCAATCCCGAGAGATGGCGAGATGATAAGCACGAATAGCAACTGGAAAAGAGGTGGATAGATGTGAAACTATGGGTATGGAGCAGAACAGGTGGTTGTTTTAGGTAGTGGTAGTGGTAGTAGGTAGATACCCAAACCCAGTCTTTACGGGATAAGGAGGGGGGAGCGGGAATGAAACCTCCTGCTATGGCGATGGCCTTCTTCTTGAAATAGTTTTGCACGAGCACCTGTCGCAAAGGCCGAGCTTGCTGAAGCTCCTCGACTTTGGAGCTCGATCTCCGACATGAGCAATTAATGACTAATTCCCGGGTCCTCGAGGCCGTACCTTACATGTACTAAAGGGTGTGACGGGTACCAAGGCCCGGCCAGGCACAGTTACATCGTACGACTATAGACGCCGTCGACGTTGCCAGAGACTTTCTCCAGTACCCGGCCCTACCCCAGAGGCCTAGCCGACAGGTACCTACTGCGCACTTGTAAACCTTGTTTATACCTATCGTGCCTATACGAATTCAGGTCCCTTGTTTTCAGGACGACGCACATGTGCTGTTCTTGGCAAAGGGCCAGTCAACGTTCGCCAAAGGCCCATGGCCTGGCGGGACCCGGCCGGTGCTCACATGCGGTTGGCTGAAGCTCGCTATCGCAATCTGATTAAATCACATACTAGAGGCCTAGCGAGCGGATAAACCACAGTTTCCGAAAACCTTCTCACTAGCGCTAAAGTTATATAACCAGCAGCCACCGCCAATAGCAGCGCTTGGACGCGCGAACGAATATATCAAGAATGGTGGTGTATTGCCATGGTTAGGACAACATGGATTCATTATACAACGAATACCTACCTACCTAGTAGTAGTAGTAGCTGATAGTATACTACCTATAGTACTTCCCCAAGTACAGTACGTCTGCAATGTTATAGGTGCAGTATAGATAAGGTAGGTAGGTAGGTACCTTTGTAGGTTAGCTACCTGTAGCTGCCATCTTCTTGACCCTGATGCTCTGTCTATTCATCACGTGATTGTTCCGATTACGATAACGTCACCACCACCAGTCGCTGCTCCTGTATGTGCTCAGGTACGTACTCCGTCAAGCTGCTGCCCCACCTTCCGCCCCAAAGGAGGCTCGGAGCTGTGACATCGAGCCCCGCGTATCCCGTCCACGTAACGAAGTACCGAATCGAGGCTCCAACCACCACCACGACAAACCACCGCAGCAGCAGCAGCAGCTCCAGCAGCAGTCATGGTACGTTTTGGCCCGACACAGGTCTCTGCCTCACCGAATCTTCTTCCTCTTCTGCTTCTCCGCCTACCTGAAGATCCCCCCTGAGAAGCAGCAGCTGCCCCCCAAACACCGAAGCTGACCGCTGGGCCTTGAACCGACCAACTGACCTGACGATGCGGCCATCTAGTCTCAATCACTGCGGCCGTACCTGCAATGCGTACGAAGCAGCTTGATTGCCGCCCTGACGCTCTCCAACTTTGCCTCCCAGACCACCGAGCGTCACAATGTCCCCGAGATCGAAGCTCAGACCTCGCCCGAGGTGCTGCTCACGCCCCTGACCATTGCCCGTAACGAGAACGAGCGAGTCTTGATCGAGCCGAGCATCAACTCCGTCCGCATCAGCATCAAGATCAAGCAGGCCGATGAGATTGAGAACCTGCTCGTCCACAAGTTTACCCGATTCCTGGAGATGAGTCGGTGCCCGCCACGTCCCGCCCTGACAGGATACCACGATCTGACAGCTGGATTATAGGAGCGGAATCATTCTTCATTCTGCGGAGAAAACCCATTCCCGTGAGTAGTTGGCTGGACACAAGATTCTGCGCGAGTGAGGTCGACCTGGCAAGAATCCATGTGCTAATCTGGGATCCCGACACAGGGCTATGACATTTCCTTCCTGATAACAAACTTCCACACCGAAGAGATGCTGAAGCACAAGCTTGTCGACTTTATCATTGAGTTCCAGGAGGAGGTTGACAAGGAAATTTCCGAGATGAAGCTCTTCGTGCGTCACCTATACTCTCCTGCTATACACTGGCTGAGATTTGGACTAACGTGTAATCTACCATCTTTGCAGCTTAACGCCCGAGCACGATTCGTTGCCGAGTCTTTCCTGACACCTGTGAGTGCTTTCTTTCTCGCTCCCCTCCTTATGGCAGGATTATTCTGACCAACGCCTTGTAGTTTGATTAAAATTGCGATAAACATGTATCCATGAGATGGGGATAAGGGGCGCCAAATATAGGTATAAACAATTGAGAGCTAATGAAAAATTATCGTCATCACTGTCTAAATTTACTTGCTACAAGCTTATGCTTAAGTGAGAGGCTTTATGCTTTTGCATGTCGCGATGGGAGAGACTGGGGGAGGAATAAGGCAGTCGGATATCCTGCTCAATTGCTGACAGCTAGTTTCGTCGAGACTCTCCGGCGAGGAGTAATATTAGCTGGACCTTCAGGCGTGTCAAAGTTGTCCTGATACTGCTGGCTGCATCAATTGTGAACCCTCTTTCTCTTTGTGAGTTGAGTCTCGGAACAGCTGCATCGGATGGAGCACAGGACGACAACTGGGCATCAATGACGCAGCTGTTACAGGTGCACGAGGCATTAATGACTGCAAGGATCATCTTCATTCCTCAACGTCGTTCCTCAACATCATCGAGTTCAAAAACTCATATCCACCACAACATTAGGTTTTCCTCACTTATCTCGACAGGGCTTCTGCTGCGAACTGAAACCGCACTCCCTCCTGGCTTTTCGCCTTGCCTCTTCCCGTAGAGCGTTGACAGTTGTTGCATAGCGGGACCTGCTCATCGAACTGCTTGTGACGATTGGCAAGACAATCTGACAGTCTGAGAACTACACTGTCACTGGCCCCAGCCTCATCTTTAGCAGCTGGCAGCCCCAGCAGCTGGCAACAAACGCGAAACTTGCTGCCCGTCACGCTCCTCTTCCCCGTTTATCACTTACGCGTTGCTTCGTGCATACAAGACGCGAGAAGATTTTCAGCACCCCGTTTTCTCCCTTCTCCCCCCAACTGTTTCTTCCTCTCACCTCACTATCGCCACTTTTGGTTGCATAACATCACCATCAAGCGCCGTCAAGCGCCGTCAAGCACTTCCAACTCGTTTCAAATCCAAACGCTCTAAAGTTAAAAGGTCTGTTTCGCACAGGTAATTTGGTCTGCTACGTTGAGCCTCAACCTCATTTCTTCATGAGTTGCACGGTTGCTGTTCTTTAGCTCGTGATCTTTGCCTGATATGTAGAGTTTCCATCAAACATATTTCTTCGCTCCGGCCACACATCTTCACTCACATCCCTCTGCTACCTCATCATTAAGAAAATATTTCCATCTGATTACTTGGTCTCCCCCCTCTCTCTTGCACCCCCTCTTCATCCAAAATACCTGAGTCTTGCTAATCTTTATTAGCCCAACGCGTCAACATGTCTTCGCGTCGTGAGAGAGCTCGCGACTTGAGTTTCGGTGAAGCACCTTTCATCGACCCCGTGTCTGCGGCGACTCAGCCAACGCCTCTCAAAGGCAGACAGCGCACCCAGCTCACTTCGAGCCACTCCGCCAGTCGCCTTTCCACGATCCCTGAGAGCTCAAACAGTGGCAACCATTCTGATACCGCTCAGAGCCCAACTGCCTCTGATTCGTCTCCGTATGTTCATAGCGACGCTGGCACCGATTTGCACCGTGCAAAGCTTGTTCAGAATAGCTCGTTCAACCCATCTGCTAATGCCTGGGTCCCTTCCATGCCCACTGGGGTAAGTGATTTCTGTCTCGTTTCCTCAACCTTTGACCAACCCCAGACACTCCTTTGGCTCTTGACATGAATTATACTAATTAACTCAATAGTGGTTTGGCCCCAATGATAGCTCTCCCTCCTTTGCGGGTGAGAACCCTCCTGCAACTGGGATTGAAAATCATTTGTCCAACGTGAGCGGCAATTATATTCCAGCCATGGGTGGAACTGCTGTACCTTTTCGGTTTGAGCCCAACGTACCCACTCTTCCTTTCGAGCCCTCTCTGCCTCTTGGAGTTCCAGCTCCATCTGGATATCCATCTGGATATCCATCGAGCTATAATTTTCAAATCCCCCCTCAAAATCAAAGCCAAGCGGGCATTGACCTTGTTTCATTTGCCCTGGCTCATACTCCTAGCCGCAACGAGGGAACCACTGCGGGTTTGCCTTAGGAAGGTAAATCAGACAATGAAAGCCTCGAAGGATCTCAAGAGTCGGTGTACTATTCGCACGACGGGTCGGAGCCTGTAGCGAGAGAGAACCCTCCCAATACTCGCTATCCTAGATTCCTTGACTCTCAGGCTCCGCCCGACGACTTGACTAGAGATCCTGTCGCTCTTGTTGAGGAACAAGCCGCTGCCACCTTTGAGTTTGGTCCTTCGCCGGTTTACACTCCCTATGGCTTCACTCGTCCACCACATTTTCTTCGACCAGGCGAAGCAGGCGACGGCAATCACATTGATCGTGCCACTTTTCTTGCTAATGAGTCTGTCGCTGCCGCTGAGAGACACGCCCAAGCTACTTTTGAGTTTGGCCCTTCGCCGATTTATACTCCTTATGGGTTCACTCAACCACCACAGCGGGTTCTACCCCAAGTCTCGCCACAGATTCCTCATAGCCATTCTCTCAACTCTCTTCGATTTAGCGAGGGCAACGATGAGTCTGGTACCTCGACCGTTCAGCCGCTGACTAGCGACTCTCTCGCCACTGCTGAGAGCCAGGCCGGTTCTGCCTATGAGTTTAGTCCTGAGTCATCCCAGTCTGTTCTTGGATATCGTCGACCGCAGCTGATCCCGCATAGCCAATCTCTCAACTCACTTAGATCTAGTGAGGGAAGCGATGAACCTGCTGATTCTACTCCAACTCATCGCCGCCATGGCGTATTTGGACGCGGTTACTTCAGTCCAGGTGTCACGACCGCGGCCAGCGAGCCGCGCAACTACGCACCACGAACTGCAGGTCGTGCTGGCGTTAGCCCTGTCATGATGCACCCTCCTCCTAGATTTGATTTAGGAGCGGCGGTCGCCCCCCCTGCTGACAATGAACATCGGAATATTGAAGCCCAGCTTGTGCGTCAGATTGTGCGTCCATTTGGCGTGCGTCTCAACGACACAACCGGCCTTTCGGAGATTCCGCTTGATCGTGTCAACACTGCTCCGCTGAGAGAGATACAGGAGTCGAACAAGCTTGTACTGTTAACCAACACCCCTACTGGACTGCCAAGTCTGGCTGAAGCCATGGACCCGTCCAACTTTCCCTTTGTTGAGTCGGCTAGGATGGCAAAGCCCATGAACTGGGGCATTATAAAGCTGAAGAACGTGCGTTGTAACTGACTCTGAACCCCCCCCTTCTCTTTTTACTATGCTCTCTTTTTTCGCACCTCTTGCCTTCCTCTTAATGACACAATGAAGCTTCTTTGCTAATGCTGCTATCTAGATTCCGTTCGCCACGACTCGCGCTGAAGTCATTGCCTTTCTCGGCCGCAACTCCAAAATCTTGAATGACTCTGACGAGGGCGTGCACATCATTATGGACAAGGTGACCAGCAAGACGATGGACGCCTACGTCGAGTTTGTCTCGCTTGAAGATGCCATGAGAGCTGTGGAGCGACACCGTCTTAATGTCGCCTCCGGTCGATTTGCCCGTCTGGGCGATCGCGCCATCGACGTGGAGGTGACTTCTCAGGGCCACCTCATGAAGGATCTCTTCCCCATTGCACGTGGCGTCTTTTGGTATGGCGCAGTCCCCGAGATCCTCCCCTACAAGCATAACGAGCCGTGGGACAATTTTAAAGGCTTCATCTCGGAGGAAGAGATGGTCATGCTTGTCAAACACGTCGAGGTACCTCATCGAGTAAGTAACCACAAACTTCACGTTATCCTACAGCCCTTCCCTCCCTTGATTCTCCTACAGTATCCTACAGTATCGCATCTATTTTCCCTAGCTTTCTTATCTGCTTGAATTACTAACATGCGTGGAACAACAAAGTCGCCTTTCTCTCGAGACTGCCCGCAGCGCCCCTACGAGTGCATGATCAGCACCATCAAGAAGTTTCCCTGGTTTCGCACGGATTGCATCACGATCAAGGAAAGAGAGGCCATCTACCAGGCTACGCTTTCGCTTATCCGCCAGCTCACTCGAAGCATCCTCTTCCAGGAGGATACTAGCCACCTGACGCCTCTCCTCCTGCGTCGCCTTGTTTCAGTGGCCATGTTTTGCCCTGCATTTACACCATGCATGAAGGATGGCATTGCTTGGATGACCAACATGCAGGCGCTGGACATGGAATACTACCAGCTGCCGCGCTTCTCGAACAGCTGGCGCCACCAGTATGCCATTGGCCCCAAGCCTGGCTTCCCTCTTGACCTTGTTGAGGTGAGTTTTGGTCATTACGCCTTAAGCAATCTTTCTCTTCCCCCTCCCCCCGTTTCTTCTCTCTATGAGCTAACGTTGTTGTGTGCTTTTCAACTTTTATAGTGGTACGTGGCAGTGATTCGTGAGCAATCTAGCCGGGATATTCTGTCCCTGCCCCTCAGAGAGCGCGCTGAGCTCCAGCATCAGGCCGAACAGACAGACATGTACTGGGGATACTTTTGGTCAGAGGTCGGATATGTCATGGGGCCCCAGTTTGACGATTTGACCTTGGCCGAGGCGGCTAAGCTGGAGTTTGCGGCCATCGAACGCATCCTCACTCGCGCCTTTACTCAAAATTAGAGGGTCGATTTGTTTGCCTTGCCGTCGGAGGGATATTCAAGTCTCAAGGAATGCTTGCTATTTCCTTTCTTTTCTCCCTATTTACCAACGGCATTTCTCGGTTGGGTTATATTTTCACGTGTCGATATGGGGCGTAGCTACTGTTTACGTTGCTCGAAGCTGCAACTATTATTCATTAATAGGGAGGCATTATGTACTCTGACTTCGTAAATATACTTTTGCAACGGACATGATTTCTTTCTTTTCATGCCAATGATTGACTGTATTGAATTAAATTATACCAAAACCACCAAGTAGCACACTATGCCGCAGCTCCGGTTATGGACACGCTCTATAAGCCGCCAAGGTGCGCTGGTCCAAGGCTCTTCTATTTTTGGGTCGTGGGGCCGCACATCTCCTATCCATCTCATCTAATAGTCGCAACTTTTGCATATCGACAGAGACTGGATAAACACACCATGAATGTAACCTTCAACAGGACTTTTTGCACGTATTCATCGAGAGGACGTGTTGGATGATTATGTCATCGGTGCCCCCCAAGCCACAGCCAGCCACAGCCATATCACGTGGAAGCTGTCGAAGCTCTGGCAACCACTGCGGGCCTCTCGCGCCACACTTGCTCGCCGTCGAGACTAGGTTGCTACCGTGACGCAGCAGGGCTCCGCAGCTCTTCTCCCGGCTTCTGTCTGAGTCTCTCCTGGCGGTTCACTTCGATTGCCCATCTCTGCTTGCCGGGACAATATCACGGATATCCGAGCTCTCTTTTGCCATCGTCTTTTGTATCTACAGCTCCAGATTTCGTCGTCCAGCTGCTGCTGAGCCGATCTGCCGCTTTGCAACCATGGCTTCCACAATAACTGGTTCGTGATACCCCACCATATCAGTCATCTATCTACTACCTGTCTCTTTGCCGTGCATTCAACAGCCTCCAACACCATTCTGTTTCTCTTGTTTGCCATGCCATACCAATGATTTTATTCCATACGGACGCAAAGACTAACTGCTTTTAGTTGCTGTCAAGCACCAGGGCAAAAAGTACAACGTAGATGTCGATCCCGAGTCCACGGGCCTGGACTTCAAGCTCCAGCTATTCAGCCTTACCAATGTCGAGCCCGAACGGCAAAAGATCCTCATCAAGGGCGGCCAGCTCAAAGATGACGCAGATATGAGCAAGCTGGGCCTCAAGGCCGGCCAGAACATCATGATGATGGGCACCCCGGGAGATGGTGGCGCAGATCTGGTTCGTCCGTCCGAGGCGATCAAGTTTGTCGAGGACATGACCGAGGCCGAGCAAGCTCAGCAAGTTGGCGCTACTCCCGCAGGTCTCGTCAATCTCGGCAACACTTGCTACCTGAACTCGACTCTGCAGACGCTACGTTCGATTCCCGAGCTCCAGACGGCTCTTACTACTTACAATGCTATACCTGGCACAAGCCGACAGGATCTGGCTTCCCAGCTCTCCAACCTTTACAAGAAGATGGGTGCCACGCTTGATTCTCTCCCGCCTTTGGATTTTTTGGCGGCGCTGAGGGTTGTCTTCCCTCAGTTTGCCGAGAAATCGAAAAGTGGACCAGGGTACGCTCAGCAGGATGCTGAAGAAGCCTGGTCTCAGATTGTCCAGCAACTCGGCCAGAAATTGACAATCAAGGGCTCTTCTGACGCACCTGGAGTCTCGTTCGTCGAAAAATACATGGCAGGACGGTTCACTTCAGTCCTCGAGTGCGACGAGGAGGAGGCCCGGAACGGAGGCGAAACGGCCATCACATCCAGCGATGCCTTTTATAAGCTCGACTGCCACATTGATTCCCAGACCAACCATTTGAGAGACGGAATTTTGGCTGCGCTGAGCGAGCAGCTAGAGAAGAGATCTGAGGTGCTTGGCCGCGACGCCACTTATACCAAAAAGTCCAAGATATCCCGAGCTCCCAAGTACCTCACCGTCCATTTTGTGCGCTTTTTCTGGAAGAAGGAGACGAAGAAGAAGGCCAAGATCATGCGCAAGGTCACTTTCCCCCAAGAGCTGGACATTGTCGAATTCTGCTCTGATGACCTCAAATCGGCCCTGATTCCCGTCCGAGACAAAGTTCGTGAGGTTCGAAAGGATGAGGAAGATATCGATCGCGCCCGTAAGCGTCGTAAGAAGACGCATGACAAGGATATGAGCGACGTTGCTGGTGGTTCGGGCCTGCCTTCAGAGAGAGAGCTGGCACAGAAGAAGAAGAAGGAGGAGGAGAGCAAGCCGCAGCAGGCGGATGACGGCGATACCGTCATGGGCGAGACTTACAAGACAGATGCCCAGGTCGAGGCGGAGAGCGAGGCTGCCCTTCTGGCTGCCAAGAAGGAGCTCAACTCCTTGATAAATCCTTCTCTTCGTGATGACGATGGCGCCAACCAATCTGGCCTGTACGAGCTGCGCGGCGTTGTCACCCACCAGGGCGCTAGCGCGGATAGCGGCCACTACACGGCGTACGTCAAGAAGACTGGCTCCGTAGATCCCAAGACGGGCAAGAAGGAGAAGGAGGATGGAAACTGGTGGTGGTTCAACGACGACAAGGTAACCGAGGTGACAGTTGACAAGGTTGAGGCCTTGGCCGGCGGTGGCGAGTCTCACTCAGCCCTGATTTTGCTTTACAAGGCGATTCCTCTACCCAGCTCTGAGGGTGTTGAAGAGTAAAGCAAGGTCACAACTAAATCATTGGTATACCGCATCACTCTGCCTCTCTCTCAGTGCCTAAAAGGAGAGGGAAACGAAACACAATTAAAAAATGGAAATTGGAACAATATGGAAGTTGGGCGTTTGGATTAGTTACTAGTAGGCGAAGATGACCAAGCATAGACTTTTGTCTAGATTGTTGGATCGTCTTGTCCTTAGACATATGCCATAATGAATAGAACGGAACACGAATTGGGTCAAGCGGGCCAAATAAAACATGTTATTTATGAAACCAAAAAAAAAAAAAAAAAAACCTCTTGTGCAAGTCTATATGGGTATCACCATGTTACCAAAGCCAGTCCTCTCTCCAAATATTTTCCATTAACCAGAGTTGCGCCATGGGTGAATGAATATACAACAACGTGCCGCTGTGTCTCGCGTAGCTTGATATGAATAGGAAGGAATTTTGTGACCTTGTTCCCATCCCAAAAGATGAAATAAAATAATGTTACAGTTATCCCGGAGCTGGATTGTACGGCTCATCGTCAAAAGCTGCCATGGATGATTGTTTACATCATCATCTTCTCTCTCTTTGAGAAGCAGCCCTAGGCCTTCTTAGCATTCTCTTTCTCTTGCTGCCTCTCCTGGGCGCGCTCCTTGAACACGTCCAGCTTCCTCTGCAGAGCTGTTTGCTGCTCTACGAGGGTAGATCGCTGCCTCTCGAGCATGGCAATTTGCTCCGAGGGAGTAATCTCGCGAAATTCCCGGATTGCCTAAAGGGAGAAACATTAGCAAACGTCCAGCTCCAATAATCGTAGCTCTAGTTTCTTAGGATACAAGAAAAAAAAAAAAAGGAAAGGAAAAGGAAAAAGAAAAAAAAAAAAAAAAGATTGACTGACTTCTTCTTTTTGCTTGTCCGACTTGAGCTGGGCGCCGGTCAGTGTTCCGACCATGATGACAGCGGCAAAGGCCACGGCCCAGACGCCGCCCCTCCACTTTTGTTGCTTGGTTAAAGGAATTTTTGATGCCATCTTGAAGATGTTTCTTCTTTTCTCTCTTCTCTCTTGGTCTTTCTGTTAAAAGAGCTGTCACCAGTAGCCTCTCCAGACTTGGTTGGCCTTGTTCTGGCGCTCAGCTACGGTCATTCCCTTGCCCAGCGAATCGGTCGTCGAGCTCGTCGAGCACGCCAAGCTAGTCGTGCTGCTACGGCTCCTCCCTCTGAAGCCCAGATCCTTGTCCCCTTCCAAAGGCGCAGTGTTCTCCTTGGCGATGGAGGCCGATGACGGCACCACAACTGGCAGTGATGGAGAGGCTCGCTTATGCCTGCTGATACGGGGCGCCGCAGCCGGAGGATTATTATTGTGATTGCTGTTGCTCCACGAATGATGCCGGACGGCCACCAGCTCGATGCTGTCTTGGCTGGTGCTTTGACGGGCAGAATCGGGCGGTGGCAGCGACGATGGCGGGCCGTGAGGCTGCTGCGATGTAGTGGAGGAGGCTGAAAGACTTAGTAAGAAGCGGGGCAAGGCCGAGGATGACGAGGCTGCGCGTTGGACCATGATATGGATGCGATGGAGGTCATCACGATAGGAGCTCAATTGGGCAGCCGGGAGGGAAGGAAAGGAATCTGTAGATGCGGTATAATCGCCACTGAGGCGACGAGTTTTGATTGATTTTTTAGCCTGCAAGAGAAACCCATTCCAGGACGAAAAGAAGTCGAGATTGAAAAGAACCTTTTTCCAGAGTCGGCGGCGTTTCCGTCTGCGATGGGCCTAGAATGCACCGAGGCGCTGCGACAACCAGCCACACGAGGCTCAGGCTCAGGCCCAGGCTAACAGCAGAGAAGGCAGGTACCTCTTCTCTTTATCAGGCCCTCCTTCCACAGGGAATTCTGCCGTGGTGCTGTCCGCCTTTCTTCCTTCTCTTGACCGCTAAAAATCCGGGCAGAATTTATTCTCTGCTCCTCGTCTTTTTCTTCACGCATAACACTCTTCTTTCGCCTCTCGTCCCGCCAATCCAGCAACGCAGCCATGGGCAGCACCGCTTTGCGATTCATGGGTGAGTAACCGGATACAGCAAGCCGCCCGCCCAGGTTCTATACTAAAAATCACCGGCTAGGCCGTTACGAGCCTCCTGACATCACCGCCAGCAGCCCGCTAAACCGACCCCTCCGGCAGCCCGCTATTAAGCCGCAGTCGAGGCGCTCAGCTGCGTTGACGCTCATTTGCTGAGCAACAGACAATTGTATTCGATTGAGCTTGAGCCGGGCAGTCTCATATAGTTCTGGTCTCTTCTCTTCATCTCTTCATCAGGACCATTTCCATTCCAAACTCTCTGTTCAATCTCCTCTCCCCCCACGCACTGCGCCATCAACGCCAGACAGCCCCGGTTTCTGCCATCTATACGTCGCCAACATGGCTGCTCCCCGCGTCTTCATCGTCCGCCATGGAGAGACTGAGTGGTCACTCAACGGCCGACACACGGGCAGCAGCGACATTCCCTTGACGGCCACCGGCGAGAAGCGAGTCATTGCCACGGGCAGGGCTCTTGTAGGCGATGACCGTTTGATTGTCCCTCGACAGCTGTCGCATATGTAAGTCCCGCATATATTTTGCCTCTCTTCTTTATACACAACTCCCAGCTTCGTCTTACTGCCTCGGATTTACACTGTGCATATCTCATCACATCACCTCATTGCAGTTGTCAAAACCACAATTCAGGCGTTTGATTTTAAGCCCCCGATCCCACTCACGCACTCTGTTTACAATTCTCGCTGCCTTGCGTTTGCTGCCCTCTTGAAAACAGCCAAGAAGATCAACAAACATGTTCTGTTATTATGTCTGGATTTACGTCTTTCATTGAGTTTTTCATGATTTTGAAACTTGTAATACTTCAGCTCTCATTTTCAGAATGTTTGCCATCTATACTGGCGTTCGTATGAGTCTGGGAGCCTTCTCTGTTAGTCAATGAGCCGTCTATTTGTTCTTCCCGACTGGCTACGCCAACTTCTACCCTTTGCTTCTTTTGGGTTTTCTTTCGGCACAGCACATAGGCTCGTGTCTCGCCATTCGTCCTACACAACAGTCTTGTCGAAAGGCACAGCTGGCGTGGTATAGTTTTCTTCGCCGTACAGCCCCCATTGTTCACACAGAAGACTCTACATCATGAGTCCTGTCTCCTGGCATAGACTCAGCGAGTTCCCTCTCTGATTTCTCTCCGTACAGTGTAGCAATTCATTTTTCAGTCTACAGTTTCTTTGGTTTCTTCCATGTACCACACACGAAGGCTACCCGCTTCGTCTGCAGCTCGAATCAAGGAAAAACAGAATAATCATGTACAGTAAGGAAGAAAAAGCTAAGCATTTTGGGTAACCACCCCAAACTAGTTACGTCTCTCCTCGAAAACGAGCCCAACGCACATTCGAGTTGCTCAATATTGGCGTATCTGAACCATTACCCTGGCAACTACACGGCGGCTCTGCTGGTGGTGGCCTCAAATGTGGTGCCACAGTCGAAATTACTGAGGACATTCGGGAGTGGGATTACGGCGACTATGAAGGTATCACAAGCCCTGAGATTCGCAGAATGAGAGCCGAGCAAGGCATTGAAGGAACTTGGGACATTTGGAGAGATGGCTGTCCAGGAGGAGAGTATGTCACGCCCTGATGACCCCAATATCGCCAGATTATCGATTATATCCCACGGCATATACCTCTTTAGACATCTCTTCAAGTATCCCTATCTTGACTCTTTAGATCTGACATGTCATAGGAGCCCCCAAGACGTCACTGACCGTCTAGATCGTCTCATCGCCGACATTCGGAAAAAATATCATGAGCCTGTACTCAACTCGTCAGATGGCCAGCAATCGCATAAAAAATCAGGTGACGTTCTCATCGTTGCACACGGACACATTCTACGAGCCTTTTCGATGCGATGGGCTGGCAAGACCCTACAAGATGGACCCGCATTCTTACTTGAAGCTGGAGGAGTGGGGACTTTGAGGTGAGAAAGAAAATCTATGCAGTCGTATTCAAGCCCGCTGACAATGACGATCTGGGATTCCAGTTACGAGCATCACAACATCGATGAGCCAGCCATCCTCCTTGGCGGAGCCTTTGTTGTCGACATCCTGGAAAAGGACGGCCAGCCTTGAGGCCACGGTGATAGATCTTTCCGCGGTTAAATCGAGAAAACTTGAGAAAACTTGCGTTTCGAGGTTAGAGACTTTGAGGCATATAGAATTATTTGTGGCCTACGCACAACGTGTATCTTCTTCAACTCCAAATCATCAAGAGACGTCTTTCAAAGCAAAGAGAGGGGTGCTTCTGAAGCACCATTGCAAAGATACATGCCACGCCTCGTTTTATCCTAATCTCTCGTCTCTTGCCGAAACCTTCCATGTTGAGTATTTCCCAAGTGAAATGTCGCGACCCTAGTCTTTGTTTTCTCAGATTCTCTTGTCTTGACCCAGCTATTCCTGCTGAATCTCTAATCTCGCGCGGCATTTCGCTTAGGCAACATACCCAAAGGCTCTTGATATTTCTATTCTACATTTTGAATGTCAGAGCGGAAGAAAACGCTTTGCAAAGAAAATTAAAGTTACAAAGGTAATTGACAGATTACAACTCGATCCCCAACAAACTTGCAAGTTTTTATCGAAAGGCAATGCGGATTCGAGTAGCTTGCTATACCCAAGAATCAACAACGTTCTACCAATTTTTTCGGCTAAGCTATTCAACTAGTATTCTAACCCCATCAAAGAGCCAACACTGATGCTTGGCCTACTCAGCCAGAGCCGCTAATCTGAGATCTCCCTCCCTAAACAAACCCATAGAAAGATGCCGCGCCGACGCCGTACATGGCATGACGTGGATGGCTTGATATCATCCCAGCTGTTAGATTTACACAGCTCAACAGTCTCTCTTCCAAGACCGCCAATAACAGTGTATGGTCGCTTCGTTCAGGGGCCATGGGCTGCGCATTTGCGTCATCTCCTGCTCCCAGGTTCCCTTGCATCCTTTTACTCGAGTCAGTGGCCCCTTGTTTCGCAGACACACCAAGCTGAACCCCCGACGATTCTCTGCTCGCTTCGTTCGACACAGCCTAGTCAGACCTCCCCTAGTCACTTCTCCAATCAACCTCACGCCATTTCCGGGGATCGGCCTTAACTTGGCTTCCAAAAATCGGAGGAGAGTCTACCTGCTGAACGGCGCTCCGCATTTGCCGGTCATTCTCATCGGTCTTCCGCTTAATGGTTCCGGCTAGGCGGGCCGGATCATAAGCCCGCAGATCTGAGAGGCTGGGGTTCAGTATCCTCCACCGTAGCCCGCCCAGCGGTCTCCAAGGATCATGCAGCCCAATTGCCCAGATACCGTAGCACGGGTGGAACCGTGCCGGTAGCGGGATTAGTAGTACTATATCTACCGTCATATTTCACCTGAAAAGAAGAGTACCATGTACGAAAGTACTCCGTGCCTTGAAATTTTAGGTTAACTGTCGCCGTCAGATGTCGTGGCGGTGAGGCAAATAGTTGACCCTGTTCTGCCGCCCATCGCTGGTTCATGTCTCCTACTAGCAGAGTACTAGCTGCGTTTACCCACTTACTTTGGGGCAGATAGCAAATGGCCTTGTTTGCCGCTCTCTGCATTCTTTGGGGAAGGCTTATGGATTCGACGGGGCTGCGGTTGGTGCTAGGTAGCAGCATTTACAGATGTGTGTAACTCCTCCTCCGTGCCTAGCCCACCGGCGGTTAACTGGCAAGCAAGACCAAGGAGGGAGTGATGGCAACTTTACCCTTGGCACGATGACTCTCACCTTTGAATCTAGACCTAGATATAATAGGTGGCACGAGTAATAGGACAAAACAACCTGTTCGCGGTGGTTCCTATTGTCATATCAGTACAGCTATGCATATCCCCCCCTTCTGTCGGAGATAGAGCTGGCATTGGCAAATATTCTCCTACGCCTCGCCCGAATTACTAAACCCCCCTCTGCCTAAGCATGACGCATGTTTCCCCCTCTCCCTCTTGGTCCCGGCTGGGTGACAGCTGTGGACGATGGACGACGGTACTTGTGCTATTGAGGCGCAGTAAATCTGCAGAAGTTTGGCGTCTGTGGAGAGACGTGGCCAAGTTCTATACGCATGTAAAGTTTGTCATGGATACGTGGTTGGCACGCAGGTATGGAGCCTCGCCCGCTTTGTTTAGAAATCCACTGGCAACTCTCAAGCCATACGCCGCGGCCTAGTCCAGGGGACCCCCCGAGGTGTCAGCGGATCACGGGCGACTATGCACCTGCAAGAGCGCACCGTTCCGTGGGCGACAGTTTCTGATGGCTTTAGTGGCGACACAAGCCGATAGGTGGGTTTTGGCTGGCAGAGTCGAGCGCCGCGGCTTGCTATGGGGAGGTCCATTGGTTCAATCCGGCCTCGGAGAACGCACGAAACCTTTTTGAAAGCCATAGCTATATCGCTGCATCATGAACCTTGTCCAACTCATTGATGCCAATGGCAATATGTTGCAGAGGGAAGCCAGTAGGGCGCGCCAAGGAAGGGGCCATGTTTTCCGGACGCTCGTTGACGGGCTGGCCGTACAGGTATGAGCAGGAAGAGAGCACACTAGGCACTACTGACTGGAACGGAATAAGAGGAGCCAACTGCAGGGGGAAGGGAGCTGTTGGCCTTTCCATGTGTCCTGGGTAGCAGGGAACCAAACCTACCAGCAGCTCCAGCCACCTACAGTAGCGAGCGTAAATGATTGAGCTAGTGCCTAAAATCAGGGAAGAAAGCTGATGAGGCACAATGGCAGCGGCCCCTTGCCCAACCTACTGAGAGCTCACATATACGCGGATTGTGAATTTTTCTTCTTCTTCTGCTTCTTGCTGCCATTTTCTTTTGTTTGCCTTGCCATTGAGTCTCAGAATGAACTCACTCATGTATACAATCTGTACACCAGAGCCCCCCTGCAGCTTGTTGATGCATCGCTGTCTGTGCTCTCTAAGAATAGATCGTTCGATCATCTGTTCACCGCTGGTTCTCTGCAGTCGGGATGCTGTGGAGAAGGATTTTAGGTCTCGCGTAGTCAGTGAGCTCTTGTGCATCCGGAGTACTCCGTCCCCCGTCACTATCGGATGCTTCATCTCCACAAGCCTCCATGCGCTCCGTGCAGCGTCTCCCCATTCTGACGCCGGTAGCGCGACCAGGGGCGCCAAATGCTATCGCCGTGCCGCTCACGTTCCACAAGACTGAGACTTGCCAGGACCCTCGTTTATGCACTTGGGTGTAGATAGCCTCTGATTCGCTGGATGGCACGGAGTGGCGCAAAATAAACCGCAACAGGCGCGAGCAGGGTTGGCGGCAGATTGTGGGACTGGGCCATGAGAGAAAAAAAAAAGTGACGACGAGTGAACGGCTCTTCTCCACTCACAGCTTGCGTTGGTGGGCGGTGGCACGCCGGCAGCCGCAAGTGCCCGCAGGCGGGATAATGTGAACAAAGCAGAGGTGAAGAAAGAGGACAAGGTCCCGGCTGTGCACAACATCGATCGATTGCTGCCAGGAGTACCACCACATAGTACAGTATGCCCGTATGAACCTATATTTGCTGTCTCACTGCCGATAGAAGCGGTATCCGCGCTCGCTGTCTCGACGCAACGGTCATGTGCGACCTCGTGGAGCCAAACGCTGGACGTGCATGCAGTCGAGGTCCCGTGGCGTGGCAGCATAGCGGTCTTGCTGTTCAAGTACATACACCAGGATGGTCCTTTTCTTGTTTGGCTACTGCTGCACAGGAATCCAAGACAGGGAGGAGCTGTCATATCCTCTCTTTTCCCTACAGCCAACATGCAGGAAGATGGGCACCTATACCTATAGTGCTGCCATCTATCTCAAATGACAGGTCTCGCAGCAGCCGTTGGGGTGCTGACGAATTGTCCGCTCGCGTTGAGCAGGCTGCGTATGCATGTACTCCATAGCAAGACAGCTGCCCCGAAAACTTGCAGACACGACACCGAGTGCTCTGATTGGAAAAACTTGCGACGGAAAATGAAACACCGCTGCAAGACGATATGCGTACAAGCGTATGAACAAAATAGAACATTAGCCTCTTGGGAGCATCGACATCTGAGATTTCATAAGGAATTGCCATATTCCGCACAAGCGTGGTGGTGTATACTTACTCCGTACAGGTGTTCCGATCCCATGCTGCAGAACCAGAAACGCGGTACGGCTCCCATGCTGAAGGATCCAGTGTTGGGCAAACGGCTGGGGCTAACTAGCATGGATTCTTCCTTCTGTCCCCCCCTGGGCCGCTGCAAGAATCGAGCTGTCTATCGGCATTGGGAAATCCTCCCCTTGTGTGCGCTGCGCCCGCTCTCATGCTTTGGAACAATGTGCGGCTCCATCTGTGGCCTTTTCTTAGAGCTGTCCGCTAGGGTTCGCCAGGGGGAGGGGTGAAGGCAGGCTAGCTGTATGTACCACCATGCTTTGACGGGGCGCGGAGTGAGAAAAGCGCTGGAGGGGCAGCGGCCAGATATGCAGATGATATTCGCACTGTGACACGAAGTCACACGGCCAGCTTTGTTTGCTAGCGGTCTCCAGCGTAGTAGGCAGTAACCTGATATGCAGCCAGCCCCCAAGAAGGCGCTGCTCGCAGCAGATGAAATTGCGACGTGGCACCAGTTCATCCCTTGACTAGCTGCTTTGGTTCCCAGAGACAACGACGGCATTTAGCACCTAGCAGCACCGTTTTCGCCGGCCATCCCTTTTATTTCCTCATGTGCTCGCCATTTCCCCCTTCTGCCCCTTTTCTTCATCACAATGTGCCCAGCACCCATCAGGGGATTGGTCGGAGGGTGGCTGATGTCTGCAGCCATCAGCTGGCGATACGATGTGCAGAAGGTGACACAGCCAACAAGTAGATAGCCGCATGTTCCTGGTACCTGGTAAGACACTGCTGTCAGAAAACGAAGGAAACGTGTCGTGTCTGAGGGGTGCACTTCCGGAGCTGCTTGAGACTCTCGTCTCCGATTCGGTCTTGGACAGTCAGGCCGCCTGGTGTGAATTGGCAGCCAAAAACTGGGGCTTCCGTCGGGAGAGCTGCGGCCTACCCGAGTTGCATGCATGAGATTTTGTTCACGTGATGAACACTCGACGTGTGCCATTGGGCGGATCGGGCCATGTCTTGGGATGGCTGTGACACAAGCCAATCAGGGGCCTCTTGGCTGAGTCGTTCGCGCCCACCATCTCCAGTAGCATCGTGCTCATTCCGCCTTCAAGCTGGTAGTGTATGATTGATGAGTAGAGGGCGGTGGAAGAGACGCCTGACTAGGACCCTCCAGCTAGCCATGGGTCGCTGACACAAACCCAAACCTCGCACACCCTCGTGCCGTCACAATAGCTCGAGTAATGAGTCGCCTCGTCTCCTCTAATGCCACTACTTACGGCCCTTTAGGTTGCCGATGCGGTCATCGATTGGCCGGCTGTAAGCTGCGAAATATTTGATTGTTGACAAGTCCACACTGAATCATCACCTCAGCTCACTCGAGAGAGAAATTTAGCGTGATCCCTTAGTTCGGAGTCTTGCCCTGTCCAGGCTTGCCTTAATGCGAAATCTAATATTTGAATGAGACACAATGACTTGTCATTATTTTTTTTTTCTCACCGCACTTGACGCTCCCTCTTCTTGCGCTAGTCGCAGTGTTTATTCTTGTACTCATACATGCGTTCGAGTAGTAGTTGCCATGCTCGTAAACAGGCCTAGTTTCCTGCTAGAGCAAACGACGAGAAGCTATCGGAGGCTATGTGTCTTGGCAGCCAGTGAGGCCGCGCTTTCAGGTCGTGCGCAAAGGCGTCGCTGCTCGTCGGATAGTTTCCGGCCGGGCCGGCAGAGGTATTGGAGACGCCACATGTTCTAATGTTTAGATCTGCGCGTTGTATGCTGTTTCTTTCCCCCTTGCGGAGAGAGCCCTATTCAAGGTTGGCCACAGGCGGGCATGGCAAGGTGACCAGTGCTAATCAGGATTTCAAACGACGCTGGTTCGGTTCATGCCTCTGCTCTCCACACATCATGGCAAAGGGGGGGAGAGGGGGGGTAAAAGGTGAAATCAGTCGTCAGTCGGACCTGGTAGCGGGTGCAGAGAGGAGTTTCAGGACACTGAGGAGATCGAGGCTTTGCGGCTGGCAGCTTCTTCGGCGGTAATATCTGTCGTTGGTAGAGAAAAGAGAGAGATGCAGTCATGTTGGCTTGGCCAGCTGCGCAAGATGCGGTGGCATGGCAAAGAGAGAAAGAAGGAAGTAACCAAGTATGAAATAATCCACTGGTAAAGATGGAAGATGGAAGATGGAAGATATGAAGTGGTGCACGTAGATGCACAGAGCCGTACTACTAACATGCGAGCAGCGATAATCGCGGCCTGATACGGCCACTTGCGGAAGGAACGGGTGCGCAATTTCAATGAGCCGGCAGCTCGGCCACGCCAGCCTCACCAGCCTCACCATCAACTCGGAACACCAAGCCACGCAGTAGAGGACCTGATATCAGCATCATCGTCAACATCACGCACCGCATCTACGAAGCGTCAAGGCTTCAATGTGCAGCGGACATTGCCGTTCCCTTGCTGACCAATGCTGCAGTTTGTCCAGCCCGCCTGTGGCGCCTCGCTAGAAGGTGCGCCGAGCCCATTGTCAGTACTAGCTGAAGGTAATCTGGCGCTGCAGTAAGGAGTGCCACGCCGCGAAACCAGGTAGCCGGTACTAATTGAGCGGCGACTAGGTACTCCGTTCACCCCCTTCTTGGCTAATACGGCAGGGATGCCTTCTCCTCTACGATGCGGCCGCAAACTTGTACTCGTACACACCGTCCCATAATCCTCAAGTTTGAAGAGGATGGGGGGCAAGACAGCCTCGCCTTAGGATGCGTGACTCCAAGGAAAAAATCACATCGAAATACAAACGTCAAGAGGATCCCCCCCTTCTCTCCACAACAGGTTCATAGCCACAATCATGATCTGCTCAAACTCTTGTAGTCCAGCAAGCTATTCATATTATGGGCTTGGCATGTTTGATTGGCGAGGGAAGTCGTTTTGCTGCGAAGTATGGTACACTACTCCATACTGCATTACTTCCTTATTCGTACGCACTCTCTAGCACGCTGGACTAACAAATCCAATAGGGCCATTGGCTCTTGTCATTTCATAAATATGTCTATGAGCAAATTCGCTTCAAACGCTTGTCCTGGCGAGATTGCTTGATGATGGCTTCTTTTCCCCCTTTTCCCCCTTCTTCCTTCGTTATCTTTTTCTGGTTGCATTTTTCTGACATCCCTACTTCACTCTGCGTGGACTTACAGATAAACTGTATACTACACCTCACCTTCATCCCCCTTTATTTGTATTCGCCCTTTCCAAGAGTTCTTAGTGTCAGTCCAATACCTCAGCTAGCGGAACAATGGCTCACTCTCCTATCCCTTGCATTCAGCTCAGTGCCAACGGACCGCTTGCACAAATCCAGCAAGGCTCTCCTCTACTTAGCTGCCGCGTTCAGCAATAGGCGAGCCGCAAAACCTACCAAATTCGGGAATCAATAGAGCACCAACAAAAGGCATGCACGGCGTCAACCCGAGAGCAAGGAAAGACGGGCGCAGTCTGTATTATGCACTATAAGCTCTCGCAGGAGCCTGGACTCTTTTGCCGTGCGTCTACCCAATACGGATGCAAGCCCAATCAACCACGTCTACCAGTTATAATAGCCGAGCCGCGAGGACTCAAGGGGTATCGTATTCTACCGTACTGGCTCTAGCTCAAGCCTCTCTCATTGCGGCTCTACGAAGTGCAATCCTTCTCCTTTATGCACCTGGAACGAAGTATACCCTTGGTATATGGCTCCAGTGACACAGTACTTTTGTGGGACTTTCGTTTTATACCACTTACAGTACTACAAGTACGTACTTCTACGAATAGGTGGCTGCGTCCATGATACTAATTAATCCCTGTGCAGCAGCCAACCAGCACCGTGGCAGAAACTCAATGGTGCTACCATCCGCAAGCGCGACCTGACCCTCACAGTAGCCGAAAACAAGCTGCATCCGTGGACCTTTTGGCAAGACTGAAAAAGCGACGTGCATCAAAACGTTGGTTGGCAGACAGACAAGAGCTTGGGTTACAGTGATTGACAGTCTAGGAAGAAGAGAGGAATTTTACGCTGTATGGATAGTCATGGCCATGCATGAATGCTCACACCCGCCTGGTTCCACCCAGCGGTCGCTGGATGGAGCACCACTGAATTCAAAGGTGCTTTGTATACTGACGCCTGTTTCAAGCCGCTAATCAACGAAACAACTGCTCGAATACTCGCTCATACGGATCGGCGTACATAGGCTTGCATATGGCTACTACGTGGCTCCTCATCCATGGTGGTGCGTGAATCGTCCAGCATCAATTGGCCGCTGAGCTGCGTGCGAATAATGAACTATGGCGGGCCGAGCGGTGCTACTAAGAGGGCGGATACATCATGCATCTCAACTAAGGAGGACCCGGCAAGGACGGGAGGAGCCTTGTAGCGGGCGGCCCAAGCCATTAGCCATGCCCGTCCATTTGCTGCATGCAAGCCCTGCCAAGTATGGGTACACCGTGTGTGTACGGGGATTGCTTCGCCCAATAACAATAGAGGCGGCAGCTCAACACTATGGAACTGCTTGGGTTTTTCTCCCCTCCCCTGTGTTTTTTTTTTTTTTTTTTTTTTTTTTTTTTCACGCCCATCTCTTAGATTATGGCGGCATCAGGCCAACCAACCACCTGCATCGCTTCAACATCCCTTCGTTGCCACGCAGACCTACGCGAACGGGAAAGAAAGCCATTGGCGGTCGCCCATTGAAGCGTCATGCATACAAACCCCTGCCTGCTGCGTTATTGGCAGGTATGTAGGTCTATGGGGTCCTAGGTCGATAGACTCCTCTGCTCTCAGGGTACATACCTACTCAGTTCTCCATACCATACCATTCTCCGTTCAGGCATTCGTACTGCTCGTACGAGCAATTGACTCGCACGCCCTGCTCGCACCCCCTCCCCTGCGCCTCGGTGACGACTAGGATGGAAATTCTTGCTGCATGGAACGGCGAACCCATACCCGGACCACTCATTGGACAGCGCATATTCTTTGGCAGATAGCTTGCCGCTAGTAGCGGCCAAGCTTCGGTGTGTTTCCAGATGCTCGGGAGCCACCATTCGGAATACCACTCCACAATTTCTGTCTGGCGAGATTCTCTGGCGGGCATCCTGGCGGCTCGATTTGCTGGCGGCTGATGCCTCCGTTGCTTTGGCGCCGAGTCTTAACTAGACGCGGAGAGCAGGCGATGCAACAAGCCCCAGGTTGGAAAAAGGCAGAGGCGACAAATTGATGGGCAAAAGAACTTGAAACCCAGACACGAGCACCCATAGACAGGATCACAGAGAAAGAGGTTGCCATCCCATCTTCAACAATGGCTTCTAATGGGAGTCCACTAGAGGGCGCCTCTGCTGTATGCATCATTCCTGCAGCCTATGTTACACATCATAAGCCACTACATACCGCCAAGTACCGCTAATCATAAGAGAGACGCCAGAAACTAAGCATCATCCGATTGTCCATCTCGGGGAACTTCGCATCGAAAATCGTACCATGCGTACTCAATCTACAGTGGTCTTCCTGGGATCACGGTGACTTCTTCCTTTCATTTATGAGGATGAGAACAGACAATTTACCTCCAAAGAGAGTGATGGCGTGCAGCCTCAACCAGGATAATCATCGAACAGTAGTAGCCAAAGTACCTATCATCGTTAGTCAATATTGGTGGGCATTTGAAGCACTGCGAGCGTTCATGTGTATGCACTTGAGCATCGGCCACTAGTGCGCACGTCGGCCGGAGAGAAGGAAAATTGCCGTTTGATGCAGCCTAGAGCACATCTCGCCGCCCGCAGTTCTTGATGCCAGCTTCTCTCCTCTCCTCTTGCTACTCGCTACGAAGATTATCACACACTGAAAGAAGGGGTGTAGCTTGATTCATATCGGTTTTACAGCTAGAAATCCAAGATACGTCTTCATTGGCATCCCTAAAACGCTCGTTGTCAGCAGGACCAAAACCGGCGAGGAACTCGTGCCCGTCAAAGAGATATAGCATAACTCGTGACCTCAGCAGGCTCACAACACGGTGGGGTCAGGATCAAGGTGGCACCCTCCCATAAAAACTGACGCTATCTACGGAGCGTTCTGGGGAGCTGCGGGTTGAACCGCCATGCATGGTTGACGATGCCACGACACTTGCATCAGTGTGTGGTGGGGGAACAAGGTAACCAGGGCCAGACGAGGCTAGACTTGCCCCAGGGATTCTGGCCTTAAATGAACCGGGTTGGAACGCAGGTGCAGAGGCCGAGGATGAATGCTTATCACGAGGACGTCCCGTACGATTGCTAGCAGTAGCAGTAGCAAGCAAGGGTTGGGTATAGGCACCATGGTGTGGCATGGTCGCCAGACGGCCGCTATTCGTCATATTGCTTAGCCCGAGATGTGTATGTCCAAATTCCCTCTCCTCCCTGGTTATGGAAAAAAGCACGATTGAAGCAATGGGAGGCGCAGAAGCTAGCAACCAGTGAGGGGTAGCTACTCCAGGGACCTGCAGAGATCCAGGCCCGAGAGAGAAGGCGTACAATGCCTGACAGCTGGCCATCGCTACCTTAACTTACATGATGCATGCACATCCTATGGGCTCTTATGCATTGATTCGGCTGCTATATACCTCTGAAGGATCATGGTTTAGTCCATCTCATTTCAGAGCCCTGGTCTTGCATTTGCTGGGTACGAATAATGATGCCAAAGTCACAAAAGGACTCTAAGGGTGCCTTTATGAAGTACGCTCATAAGAGAAAACAGCTGGGCACGCGAAGAAAAAAAATAAAGAGCATATGGGAAACAAAGCAGGCTTACGGGGCAAAAAAGATCAACCGACACCTGCAGGATTCGAACCTGCGCGTGCGAACACAATGCCTGAAGATATCATGATGATAGCAGGGCATCGCCTTAACCACTCGGCCAAAGTGTCTTTTGTTTATGGATGGACTTATTGGGTAAATCTACATGATACGTAATTACCCAAAGGATCTTTGTTACGCTGGCTGAAGCACATGTTGCGACCCCCTATGCGAACAGCGCAAACGAGTTTCGCCAATGAATTGCAAAGAGAATGCCTTGATTCTTCTAATTTGAATCATAGCCCGGCGTACAGGTTAGACATATCACAGCAAAAATCGAGTGGTGTGCAAGGGCTTGAAAGAGGGATCCGCTATGGAGAGGAAACGAAGCAACATTGAGCGACAACACATCATGTCTGGGACGACGATGGGTGTGCTGGGAGTTCACAAGCACTAACACAAGGGAAAACATGTAACCAACTCTCCGATCCATGGAAAAGGGAATTACTGAAACTGTGTTTGTTTTCCCGAGTGTACCAAGTACGGACAAACGGATGTGGTGATGCCTTACCGTTGGCTGCGGTTGCAACAGTGAGATGGACCTGAGACGGGAATCGGCCAGTCGCATGGTGACAAGGTTACGCACCAGCAGGATTAAGGTTCCCATATTGGCTTCAAGGGCGATCCGCCTCGCGGCTCTCTCGCATGCATGCTGAGGCTGGCAAGATAACACTACTCTTGCTGCCAGACAGGCCATTTAATAGGGTTTCCTCAGGCGATGATACTATGGCATTTGCATGGACATACCTGGGCTTAGGTATGGGAATCCAAATGCTATCTATTCGTGGTGGCCATGACCAAGAGGGCCGCACCCGCGCCCGCATCCATACAGCTAGCTTAGCTCTAGCTAAGCCATTGCAAATTGATTTGAGACGATGCGTAATCGATACGAAATATATCCATTTGATTTATTAGATCGGCATTAACAAAAATTGCTCCTGATTACTACCGGATTGTCCCTAAGTTTGCGGCTGTAGGACGGGCGGCACGCAATGGATCGCGATCGTTTCGCTACTTGCACTAAACTCCCTGCCGGGCTTACTTATGGAGCACTAGGACGGAAGATACTCTAACCACGGGTATGAATAACGCCAAAGGTTAAAAAGGGAACAGAAGGCTAAGCAGCTCGTATCAAAGGGAAACCGCTGCCATATCATAAACTCTACGCCTCTCAGAAAAAAGCCATATAGCTTGCAATCAAGGCTCTCTTTGTTTCTGCTTATACGAACTAGCTGACATGTCAGATCTCGCTCTACGCCCGTCGTTCCTCACTATATGAAGCAGTGACAGTCAACTGTCGTCATTGGGTGTATGGGAATGACAACCGTGTGCTGCGACCAACCGACCCTAACCACCGCTTTGGAGGTAGTACCTCTTGTTGCCTCCGAAGCCGATGATGGCGGCCGCATGAAAAGCCAAAGAAGGCAGGCATACTCCCATCACACGTGTGGACACCGTAGGATTGGGCGGGATCTCGCCTTTCTCCTTCTCTTTTTCTTATCCCCTCTACGGTAAGGTAAGTGCATGTTCCCCTCCTTACGAAGTGCATGGCTGCAAAGCCCTCGTCTGCCCGTCCCTGTTAGATGGCTGCATGTGCGAATAACTATTCATCGCACGGATAACTGCCTTATTGGCATGCATAGCGGGCATGCATAGCTACCTACGAGTGTGGTTGTATCAGAATGCATGTACCTGTATGGAGAATGTGCTACAGCGGGTTGACGGCGATGTACAACTAGCATCTATTGATAGCCGCAAAGAAACTGCAAGCTGATGCACCTCTGGCCGGATTTGGGTTCCTTAGGCTGTGCATGGTAAGGCGAGCGTGCGCAAACAGTGCACAGCAGATGTTCTACAACATCCGAGGGTACACTGCACAAAAAAAGAAGATGAAAGAGGTCTGCAAGGAAGCTGGGCATGATGGTCAAAAAGGACCCTTCATTCCATTTTTAGTGCTGTATAGCTTGCTTGCTTGGCATGAAGGCAAGATCGAGGATTTGAAAAAAACCGACAATCGTACAGCATCTCGCACACCCTCCATAGGGTGTGCGTTATCTTTTTCCTGTTTGTCACATGGATGCCACACAGAGAGCGAGCCTGGCGACTACTTACACGCTTCGAACGGGAGAGGTATCCATCTTAGCGGACCCCGTAATAAGATATACTATTCTTGTACGTCTATGCACGCGCCAATCGCTATACTCGGCGAACGGCCGCTGGAAATGGGAGGGAAGAAAAAAAAAAGGAGGGTAGCATTGACGCAGATTGGACAATATAGAGAGATGGTGCGGGTGCTGCTGCTACTCTGTATGCACAGGAAGACTTACTGGCGATTTGCAGATGGGGCAGCTTGTCCACTTTTGGCTGCCTTTGCATCATGCCTCCAGATGGTCCGACGGCGCCCAAGCTCGATTTGAGACGAGACGAACAGCTGGGCTGGGCTTCAAGGGCAGGACCCCCGGCGATGGGTATCTGCTGTGTCATCGGCTAAGCAGCGTTGCCCTCCCCTTTCCCAGCTCGCAACCATGCGACGGCGCTCTTTAGCGGCTGGGTCCATCTCAGAAGGCGTACATGGACTGAGCGGTGGCTCGTTGGCCTCCTTCTAAATTTCAAGATGCACGGCTGGAGGCTTCACGACATGGAGAGCGGCTGACGGCTTGGAAAATTACGAAGCATTTACTTTATACTACTAATTATTATAGCCCGTTGTGGCAAAGTGAGATTTGGGACGAGGCTCTCCTGAGAGAGAGGGAGAGAGAGAGAGAGGTGGGCCGTCTACCACGATGAAAGGCTGCTATGCTACTTGGGGACCAAGAGTTGCGACAAGTAAGTTTTCCCCGGCTCGTCTTGTAGATTTAGATCTCTTTGTTCGGACCACTGTCGCCCTTGGCTGTGCCAAAAGCCTGGCCACCGGGAGAGTGGGCGCTCCCGTGAGACGCTTACAAGGACCACTAGTGTAGTGGCACTGCTAAGTATTACACGATGCAAAGCAGCACACCGCAGCTGAATATCCACCAGCATGCGCCTGGTGCTTCAACAGAGACTGATTAGAATTACTTGAAGATACCAGACAAGTGCACAAGGAACAGCACCTAATACCAGGTAGTATGCACTTATCGCTGCGGTTTCAATTATGTTCAGCTAAGCACCTTCACAGAGAGAGTTGCATCTGAAGTGGAACACGTCTCCCTAGACCCCATATACCGCATGAACCATTATACGAAGTACGCTTTTCTCGCTCCCTGCTTCTCAAAAGTCTCGCGCTTCGCGCCCTTTGCTATCTGTTCTACGTAAGGGAAGACGTCCCTCTTTTTTAAAGGTGACCTTTCAATCTTACAGGTGCTTTTGATAACGGAATGGCCTGACGAAACTAAAACTGCTTGGAAATAGGACTAGCTGCTCAGTTTTGCTCGTACGAGTACGACCAACGGGGTCTCCCCTGTGGCCTCCCGAATAGATTTGGTGTGTATCAGGGAGTGCATGGCTCGTACTACGATGACATGCACTTGAATGCGGCTTGGTGCACCTGTTTACCCCTTTGTCGAAAGTAAATGACCGCCCTACGCCTTGCATCAGGTAGAGAATTGCCGATGGCGATTCGCACATGCCTGTGTTATCAGTATGCTTCCCGGATTATATGCTTGCTCGAGCTACCATGGCTTTATACTACTTGCCAGCAATGGCTCCCTGCACTAACAACTGGCGCCCGAATGCTGTCTTATCATGCAGAAAGGCACAAGGCCCCGATATTGAGTAAAAAGGCTGATGTCCTGGCTAGTGCATATGCGGAGCGAACCGCCGATTCAGGGAAATTGTTTAATTAAGTCCCAATAACCATTCTCCCGAGTATGGCGAGTGCTGCACAGAGCACGCCGAATCTACCTAATCTACGCGTATATACATACATACCTACCTAGGGAAAAGGGTACATGAATACCTAGGTTTCCAAAGTATGTGCACTTGGCTTCAACGTTCAGGCGCTTTAGAGCCATAGCAAACGCGCTAGAGGGGATTTTTGGTCACTCCCGATTCGGATGTGACCTTGGATGCATGTACAGACATGAAGAGTAAGGGTGGGACCCAGGCCGGACATTTTGACCAACAGGAAACGAGTCTGAACTGAAACTATTTGCGGGCTGCTTCTATACAAGTGGCACCAGCAGTGCTACCATGATGAAGACGAGGCTGAATGAAGGGATCATGCGGCTTCGTTCATAGCTGGATGTGGAGCGATTGGGACACGTTGACTCATTAACACGGACAGCACAAACACAAATGTGCGAGTATGCTGCTCTTGGCTGAGAAGACGAAAGGTAGATGCGTCGACAGACGCAAGATTTCCCTCTAAAGACGGCTTTCGAAAGTAAAGCGGACCGAGACGAGATCCAATGCCGCCGGCTTGCTCGGGCCGGATCGAATCGATGGGGGCAACGAGGCCCACGATTAGTCTGCCACTATCTACAGAGTATGGCTAAAGAGACGTCACAGCATCGGACGTCACAGACCCAGAAGGACGGTGGGGTAGATGATGCGCTGTCTCAAGGGAGACAGTGTCTGCTTGACTCGAAAGCTTTTCCTTTCGTTTCCCTTCTCTCTCTCTCTCTCTCCCATCTCCCAGGCAAGCTGAATCCGGGGCACTATATCTGCCTATATTCCGAGAGCCTAGGAAGGAATACGCAATATGTACTTTGCGCAGATAGTAATTACTATTCGTGTAGCAGCATGGCGATTATGAGAAGCAAGTACTACTACTAGGTAGTTAGTAGTGGAGCATTGGACATGAAGCCTAGCTGGGCTTTGGCCGTCCCAAGGAGAGATTCACAATTCATACGTACGAGACTGCTGTTACCGACACACCCTACCAAGCTGAGCATACCGCCGACGGCTGCTTTGTAGGAGGGCAAAATTTAACACATGTTCTTATGGCTACGCCATTAATAGGTACCTCCTCGGCTATCAGTGAATGAGAGGTACCGACGAGGAATAGCTAGCGAACCGTGCTCGGCAAATGACCGCCTCGGCATATGAACCTTGAATTAGGTATGCTGTTGCTACTAGTAGTAGTAGTACTACAACTTGCTGCATTGGCATGTGTTAATCATGATGTACAAGAAAAGGGAAAGACGAAACTGGCCTGCCAAAGTAGCATGCCTAGCATTGGAGAGAAAGAGAGGTGTTGAAGAAAAAAAAAATCGATTTTGATGGATCAGGATGCAGACAAAAAGGAAGCTGGAGACCAAAAGCACGCAGCCTATGCATGCTGCGGCCGTCTTTGCAACCTGCTGGGCCGCCGACCCAAGTGGGCAACGCGGGGAGCCCCAGAAAGCAGCTACGGATAGAATGATCTGCTGCTTTTACAACGCCCTAGAGTGCAGTGCTCGTCAATACCTATTCGAGCAAAGCCTCCCTGCAGGAAATACGGTGGACGCTCCCCTTGAGTGATATGTTGGTATTGGTATCAAATCCACAGACCGGAGTGTCCAAGTGGGCTTTGTGCAGTGCCAGCAGATGGCATTTTGATCCATTGTTGGCCGTGATATCGACATTTGCAACAACAGCAGCAACAACTAGCACTAAATGGCTAGGCCAAAGGCTTTGTCTGGATTGATATGCGATTCGGCTGACAGATCAATATAGATCAACAAATTCATAGACTACACGGCCAAATGAATGGATGACTGACTGGCCGGCTGCTAATCTGGCATTTCTTGACGTTGGAGCTTGTCTATCCCAGCAATCTGGGGTTTTTGCCCACATTGGGGGAGAATGTCTCAGCCGCTTGCTGAGCTGTCTTTGACGTGTCTCTCATCCCGTCATGTTGCTGCTCTTTTGTCTCTTTTCTTTTCTCGCTCTCTTTTCTTTTAGCCCATTTTTACTGCCGCCCCTTCTTTTCGTGTATGAGACGTTCGGCCGTCTTTGATGATGTCTCTACCTGTACTTCACCTGGGGTGCTGCCCACACGCCGCCTAGGCCGAGACATTCTCCTGTCCTGTGCTTGTGCCACCGCTGCAACCTGCGATTTCACTGCCGTCCATTACAGGAAATTTTGCGAGCACGCCGATGAGGCGACTAACAAGGGCCCGCCCTTTTGCCAGGCCTCCCTTGCGTGCGTCCTGAAGAGATGGGATATCTGACATCCTGGCGGCGGTAGGGGTACCTGGTCTCTGCGGCACTGATGCATACTTAGGGAGGTACCCGTACTCGACACGAGCTCAAACTGCAGTGACTTCTGCATCCACACCAGAGACGGCCTTTGGCGCACGCACTGTATTGGCCGGAACCTCGAAGACAAGCGATCCGATTCATCTCAGTCTGCCTCTTTTTTCATTTTGGCAGGCGCCTGATGTCTGAACAATCACGCAAGCCGGTCTCAGCCAGGCCGAGAGTAGGTAGTCAGTCATTGCTGATCGACCTGCTTATGCGCCCATTTGTGTCTCTGCTGGATACCCGTGAGCTGTCAGTTGGTCCCGAGTACAAAGTATTATTTACACATGCCATGCCGCTGGTGCTGGCAACTGCCCTCGATAAACTCGGGCGTGCCTGCCCATTTAGATATTTCTTTCTTACACCGCACGGCGACCTGCACTTTTTTTTCTTCCATCGTCTTCTCTCAACCTCTTCCTTTTCTCTCTACTTTCTGGTTTCGTCTTTTATTGATTCTTTCTCTTGCATCGCCAGCCTCATATCTCGTTGAAACGCGATTTGCTCGCCGAGTACTCCACCTTTGACAACCCTCGCCTCTCACGCTTGGCCTCCTTCTCTCTCTCTCTCTCTCTCTCTCTCTCTCTCTCTCTCTCTCTCTCTCTGTCTTCGACCTTGGACTAAAAACCGCCACGTCCGATCCCAATTGGGTCGTGATTTCGATTGGTGAGTCTGACAATACCGGCAGCACCTGCATTTCTTCTGGCAGCTACACTTGAAAGCGTGGCTTTTTGGAAATCGTCCATTGCCCAGCGATTCTCTCTCGAGGTGGACAAGCCGCACATGTGGCTCTAGCAGAAGCCAGGCCAAGCAACGGCAGCCAAGCGATTCCAGATCGAGATAGACGAGTTATCCGACGCTGCTCGAGAGTGTTTTTCTGCTTCTTTGCAACTGACCTCTAATTTGCCAGTCGATCTATGCAAAACAACGTTCCCTGTATTCGCCCTTGTTCTTCGATAACGCTTGACCCTCAGCGGCTCAGCTGTATGTGCGCCCTATGGTATCTGGGTATGTACCCGTGGCGGCTTTCTTACTATTCTGAGTTCTTCTTGCCTCGCTCTCTTCTCTCGTCTCCCACTTTTTCCCTTCTCTTGCTCTCTCTTTGTTGGCCATATGCCGATGATGCGTCTGCTCTGGCATGCGTGCATATCTGTGAGTGGGAAAAGAGTACCCCGTTTGTGGGCACCGATGCATCTTCGCCCAAGCATGACAGGCCGCAAATGCATCAGTGGATGGAATATGCGACCGTGCAGACATGCAATGCTGCGTAAGTTTGCGCACATGCAAAAACGCATGCTTCTGCTGCCTCTCTCTTCCCCGAGCCGGCGTCTGCGGTTTTGAGTGGTGCGGCAACTGGGAGGCGTGCTGCATGAGACGATGCGAAGCAATGCAGCGTTCATTGCAACAGAGTACGTGGCCGAGGCGGAACGGAGCACAGTAGGATACTTACTGCTGCACTCCCTGACTCTCTGTTGGTTGCGGTACCAACAGCACGCCTCTAGTATGCATTGTGCCCCATCCACAAGGCTCCAGGGCATGTCCATGGCCACGGCCCATTGAGATGCTGGGCTTCTTCATGTCTCAGGCGTCTGTCTGGCCTATGCTCGCTGCAAATTGTCCCTTTTCTCTCGTCTTTACAATGGCCTGCGACTCGACCCCCTTTTTTGGTGTACGCCACGTTGTTGTGGCGGGCTTTGTTTGGGAAGGGAGGCGTTGCTGTCCCGCTTTGACAGGCACGCACCGAACACTGTCCCACTGCATTTTTGCGAAGAAAAAAGATCCCTGAGTGAAGAAATTGTCTAACACATGCATTGCATTGCCGCAGGTCTCGGTTCCCGCATATACCCAACCCGAAGCCGTCTCGGCTCAGCATAGGCACCTATTTTAGCTACCCACCTAGTACGCTCTTGGGCACGAAGTAGTACTACTGCTACGATACCTGCGATTCGTACCAAACAGGGTAATATTTCCTCGTTTCCCCTTCGAAAGCAAAGGCCGACGACAACGACAAGAGCAGCAGCAGCAGCAGCAGCAGCAGCAGCAACAAGGCACTTGCACTTTTGTTGCGTCAAGGGCCAAGCGATTGCAGCTGAAAAGACGGCTTCATCCCAGGCTTCTCTCTTCTCTCCCTCCCTCCTTGTCATTCCCAGCAGCTACAGCTGTAGCCGCGTCTCTGCCGAAGCACCATTCGTAGAACGCTGAACACTCACCGGGACCTCCGCGTAGCCACCAACTCAGTACCAAGACAACAAGGTTGGCTGGGCATTGGATCTCTTCAGCTCGAGACGTCCACTTACCTTCCGTCCAAAAAGTTCGACATAGAAAAGCCAAAACGAGAAAAGAAAAGGGCATTGGCCGACACGCAGCGCGTATCTACACCTACGCACTCATCTCGACGCACACGAGGCTTCGTAATAACGATCCAACAACCACCAACGCACTCTCAGGCTCACACCAGACACAGACCAGGCAGTTTCTCGCGCACCCGGTGGTGTGTATCCAAGCTGAGTTTCCGCACAGGGTACGGCCACGGAGTTGACACCAACTGGCGCCAGAGAAACGCCCCCTACCGCCGCTACCATACCAGTTAGTACCGACGACTGCACACTGCGGAGTGCGACTACGACTAGCAGCACACTACTAGGGCTCGTACCACTACTCCCTAGTACCTGGTAGCTTTAGCACTTTGCCTGGACGCACTCCCTATCCCCCGTCTCGCGCACTACGCACATGCGCTAGAAGGGCACCCACTAGCCCCTAGTCTTAGCGTCTTGCCCTGCCTTAGCTGGGCCACAGCGCTGGGAACGGCACGACACCGGCCGGGCCATCCGCCCGCCTTTACATTCCCGCTCGCCGTCTTTTCCTGCGTCCTCACTGGCATTTATCTCGTCCCCCCTCCTTGGCTTGGGCACCCCACCAGAAACCCTTCCTCTGGGCTTGAGCTGCTGAAGTCACTTTCTGGGCCGGCCAACACAATTGTCTTGCTTTTCTCTTTCCTCCTCCTGCCTCTCTTCCCTCCTTCTTTCCTTCCTCCTCCCTCCCCTCCTCCGAGTATATACGTCCGAACGTCTTTCCCATCCCCAGGACGACTTCTCGTTTCCTGTTTCCTGTCTCTCCTCCGCCCCTCCGGAGCCACCCGTCAGCTACGGAGAGACACTCAGCACGCCGCCTTGCGCCATCTCTAGCTAGCCCCGTACTGTGTGTCTTGTCTGCGCTGCTTTTCCGTCTTCGCTGGAAGCGTGGCGTTTTCTTTTAGGGCGCCTGCGTCGTGCACATATAGCCACTGCAGCCACCTTCAACCGCTACCACCACATCTTTTTGTCTGTGATCGGCCGGCATACCTCTGCAGCGTCACCGTCTGACAAAACCTGCCTTAAAAGACGTGTGGACATACTTTCTCACGCCTTTCTCACATTGTTCTCGCGAGGGTTTTCTCACTTCTTTTTTTGCATCCACATTGTCTTTACTCCTCAAACTGACGAATTCTTTCGTTTCGTTTCAATTCATCTCTGTACAAACAAAAGTGTCAACACTCCCACCCCTTTTTTTTCTCCTACAGTTTTGGCGTCGGTTCTGAAACCTCGAGTCTTCGTTTTTCGGCAACAACTCGGGCTAACCAGATGCCCCTTCGCTTTCTCTTCAACCATTGGGAATTGGCTGGAGGATCTGGAATCATTCGACATACTACTACATCTTGATCGGCGGCACATTTGTTTTCTTTCCTTTGTCTCGCCGTCTTTCTCTTCACCCGTCTCTACAGAGCATGGAAGAGGATCGACATCGCCAGGATTATCCTCAGCAGCACCGGCCAGAGGATACTAAACACCAACCACCCCCTTCATACTACCACCATCTCCCTCCCCGGGACGCGCCTCATTCAGAATCAGAAGGCAGTCCTCGCTCTCGATCCAACATGGCAACCTCTGTCACCTTGCCATCCATCCATGACCCCCGGCCCAGCGCCTATGGTCCTCCACCTCCGGCTGGCCGTGGCTATATGAGCGATCCGCGCTATGCGTCTCCGAATGCAGTCAATGGCTATCCTCCGCCTCCTGGGAGTCAACAGCCAGCCCCCGGATACCTCCCTCCTCTACAGCCGCAGGCAGACCCGCGATCTGTGTATCCTCCGCCCGAGCCGCGAGGCCCTTACTATGATGACCGCCGACCTCCCCCGCCCCCGGGCTACCACGACCAGTACTCCGAGTACTATTACCGCGGCCACCACAACGGCTACCCCCACGACTACCCCCGTCCCCCTCCCGGCTATGGACAGGAATACGGTCAGCCTGGCATGGAACGACCTAGAGAGGCTCCTAGGCAGCGTACTTCCATTGCCTGCAGATACTGCCGAAAACGAAAGGTTTGTCACACAGCATGATTGGTCCTTGTGTGTTGACTCTCGATTTCTCGGTCTTTTGGCGGGCTAACTTTTACTCTTCTCCTTTCTAGATTCGCTGCAGTGGCCATCAAAACGCCCCTGGTGGAAAATGTCAGAACTGCGCTCGCATGAACCAGGAGTGCATTTTTCAGCCAGTCTCATCCTCAAGTTCGACAGCCTTCATTCCCGTCTCGGCCGTTCCGGGAGGTGTACCGCCTGGGACACAGTTATTTGGTGCATACGGCCAACCCCTGGCTCCAAGCACCGTCCCTCACCCGCATCACCCTCCTCACCCGCCGCACCCTTATGGCCCGGCATCAGGTCCGCCACCTCCGCCGCCTGCGAGCTACTACCACATGCAGGCACACTCTCCCACAGACTCGTATTCGTCTTATGGGGATCCTCGGGGCGATGACCGTACAACAGGACGAAGACGCCGGAGGACACCGGAGGACCAAGATGATGGATACAGGCTACCCCCTCCTCGGGCGGGCGTGGCAGAAGATGACCACCGACGAAGATCGCCTGCCGAACTCTCCAACAATAGCAGTCCTGGAAGTTTGAGCTACTCGCATTATCCGGGCCCTGCTAGGCATAGCCCCCGTAACCCACCACGACCCCCTCCCAGCGCTGCGAACAATGCTGATGGGCGTTCGCCTGTCACCCAGCCAAATGGATCTAGTGGCTCCTCGACGCCCGCACGATCAGGGGCCTCAGCTAGCCAGTCACAACAATCGACCTCCGTCATGAGCTTGAGCAATCTCGTGGAGAAGAACGACATAGACAAGACAATGATTGATCGTCTCAACCGATCGCGAGATGCTAGCGGTAGTCAGTGAGAATCTGCTCACTGGGGCTTGAACAGCTGAGGGAAGGGAAAGTTAGGGGGAAAAGAAGAAGCAAAGCGTATGACTACAGATTGACGCTGCTGGGCAGAAGCGTACCATAACAGTTCTTGAAGCATTGGCTGAGCTCCAATTCCTTTTTTTTATCCCCTCTTAATGGGGCCTTGCAGAGTTTTTAAGATGATTATAGGACGAATCTGCCATACAAAGATTATTCCCGATTGTCGACGATTCGAACATATACATATATTCTTACGTACGATCTGTTTTTTTTTTTTTTTATGCCTCGCATTTTTTGCCTTCGACTTGTTTTTTTACAATTGTACGTTTCGGATATGCGCTATCGACTGTTTCCCTGCTTGAAGCATTTTATAAAAAAAAAAACCACAAACAAAAAAAAAAGACGAAGAGCTGTGCTCTTTGTTTGGGTTCCGGCTGCAGATGATCATTCCTGCTCTAAAACATAAAAAGCGGAGAGGGACGTGAAGCTTTTGTGTTCTCTCGATTGTAACCCGTTGTTTTTCTTCTTCTTTCACCCTGCTTGCCCGGACAAAATTTCTTTTTACCATTTTTTATTACCAGATAAGACGGATTCGCCTCACGGCACATCATATTTGAAACGATTGGGGATTGAGTTACGCGATGAAACGACACTTTTAACATGTTATCTCCCCTCTTGTCTGCCCGTTCTTTTTTTTTTATATATATCTTTTCGTCTCTTCAACCATTTTTCAAGGCGCACCGAAAATAATACTTTATTCCTCACTCATCGTCGTTGCCGATGACAACTCGTGAGACCCGAGCAACATGACACAAGAGTGAAGGCAGCATGGGGAAACATAGCTCACTAGAAGTGGAGGGCAAAATTCATCTGTTGGATCAACGGATAAGAAGGGGAGCCTTGGGCTTGGCTGATGGTTTTGGTGGACATGGCATGGGACGGGCTTGGCTGAAGTGATACCAGGCGGAGGGAAGTACCAAAAGGGCGGATGACATTGTGTGTTTTTTTTTCTTATATGTGTGTGTACGCGCGTGTGTTATAGTGTGACATAGTGACGTTTTCTTTTTCAGCCAGTTTTCCCTCACCTCTGCTATGCTGCTGCTAGGCATTGAAATGCGAATGCTAATTGATGTTACTGGTTCTCAATGTCAATACGTGTGCCAATACGAGTGCCAATACGATTGCTGTTGGTTGGATGAGTAAATGCAGCAAGACCGACGCGTATTGTTCTGGCCCTTCTCCATACTGGCCTCTCAGGTTTGACCCGATCCGGTGTCGCTCGCCGGTCTTGGTAAGGGATAGAATTTTGCCTTGCTTACCTTGCGCTCCTTGATATACACGCCCCCGTGCTAAAGGCCAAAAGCACACACTAACAAGAGAGATGGAGACCCAAGATGGAGACTAGACGCGAAAAAAAAAGAGAGGGCCCCGCTCTCTTTTCACCACTCCGTCCTGCTTGTGTCTCTGGATCAAGGGCCCCCTCCCGCCCCCCTCTTTGGCTGTGGCTCCCCCCTGAAAACATACTGGTAGGCTGTGGTAGGAATGAGCTGAACTTTGGCTGCTCTGGGGGCAGCCCTTTCATTTTTGGGCTTTGAGCAATACGGCTATATAGCGTACAATTGATATTGGGGGACGCCTGCTCAAAATTGGGTTTTCTTGTTGCACTTGCTTTTGTCGTGGCCCCTTGAGCTGCTCGAAAGAATCAACAAGGCCAGCATCCATCCGGGGAACGGTTGGGAAAAGAGAAGAGAAGAGGGGAGGGCGGAATGTCGGTCTGCAATGCATCTCCAAGCATGCAGTAACTCCGCACATTTGTCTGGACATACAGGTCACAACAGGTGATTGAACGCGCATGCATGTCTGCATCTGCACGCTCGTACAAGCATGGCCAAATACGGCAATGTGCAATATGATAGTAGGCAGCTGGGCAGAAGAGGGGGCTTTGAGCTGGGTCTTTTCTTAGTTTTTTCATCACTTTGCAGACACAACGATCGAATCAGAGGAAGCAAAGGGGTTCTCGGAGTTCTCGATGCGTGGAGGGAAGAAGGCTGGTCCCTGTCGAATCTGCTAGAGAAGACAGGGAGGGGTCGGTCAATTCTCCCCCCCTCCTATGACATCGAGCAAGCTGTTCATGGCAGCGGCAATGAGTCTGAAACGGATGTGCTCATCGAGCCATGGCTAGTTGTAAGCCTTTATTGCGGACCAACAGCTCCAAAGCCTTGCAAGAGAGATTGCGCCTCAAGCGAGATAGGGAAAGCAAGACCCCGTTGTCAGCTAGGACTGGGCTAAGTTGCAATAGCGGGCGGCTCATTGCAGCATAAACTTGATGGTTCGCAAGCTAGAGGCTCTGATCCCGCGGCACCAGACGGTTCGCCTCGCTGCTGCGTGCTACAGCGGCTGCTAGGGGGGAGAGATTGGCTAGGGAGCCGTTAGGGGGCAGTGCTCCGAAGGGTCTCTTGGGGCTTGTCTTTGATTTTTATGAGCCAAACTCGACTATTGCCTTGCAACTGCCGCTATGCTAGCAGTACACGCGGTGGAGTTCACAGACAGGCGCACCTTTCTCGCAGTACGATGTCAATGGGTTTATGAAGCGGGAGAAAGTCCCGGGTCAGAGAGATGGTCAGGAGCGAGCGCCATACTGCTTACCCTCAGTATAGTCTCTTCGCCGCGCGCTGAGCGTAGGGAGTGGTAATAGAATAATAAGGGACTCGACTTGGTTTTAAAGAACTTTGCTGGGAGCCGCAGTGCCTGACACTGTGACGAGGCTAAGGGGGCAAGGCTAAGAGAGGACACCTGATCAGTTGTCCAGTATATGACAAGGCAGAAACGAGGGGTGGGAGATGAAATTTCAACATGGCAGGGACAGCCTTGAGTCAAAGCAGCCGCTCAAGGACTAGTTCATCATAGCTTGACCGATCAGCAGGGTGGGAGTGCGACAGAGAGGAAGACTTGGATGTGACGACAACGGGTTTTAGGGGGGGTGGGAAAAAATTATAGCGGTACGAGTACTATGGAGGCCCTTGAGAGAAGCATCTCGGTTCGTGCTTGATTCGTACACACCGAGCCTTTTTTTTTTTTTTTTTTTTTTTTCTTTCCCCTTAGCCAGACGCCAAATATCTGAGAAGCACAGGCCGAGTCGAAGAACTTGGCTGTGTGACTCGCACATGATTGTGAAAAGAGAGAGAGAGAGAGAGAGAGAGAGAGAATAATGTTTATGGCGGAAGTGATAGTAGGAGGCAAGTGATGCGGGCAAGAGCTCTCTGACGCCAAGCAAACCCTGACCTCTTGGACTATGGGAGGCAGGTTGTTGGTTGGACCTAGCAGAATTCAATAGAGACAATAAGGGTGATGATGACTTGACGCCGAAAGGACGAGTCAGCGAGCCCCGGCCCTCGGTCAAGAGCAGGGAGAATCCAAGTTCAACTTGGGGGTCTCGCCGCCTCACCCAGGCGGACCGACGCTTGACAGGCGCACGAGATGGGTGGGACTATGAGGCAATAGAGTTCCTCGCCGGCGGCAGCGGAACGGGTTCTTTGTCGCCGCGGGCTTCAAGCGTGGCATAGATTGTCCGGACACTCCAACGGGCTGCCTTGATTTCTTGCCGGAGACACTTGATGAACCGTGTGAAAGAAACAGAGAGACGGCTTAGGAAAGAGGCTCGATCGGTGGACAGCCAGTGGCTGGCGGCTGACCAACGGGCGTGTCCATCTAGCATCCTTTCACTTGCCTCGAGTTAGTTTCTAGTATCTGCTCATGACTTGAAGGTGAGCACGTACTGCCTGTTACCCCGTTCCACAGGCCCGCCAGCCAGAACTAGAACATCTACCTCCATTCAAGGTGGATTAGGTGGACTGTGGTGACATCTCTCTCCACCGTCCTCGGCAAGATGCCTACGACGGAGACGCTTTGGGGGCCAAGATGCCGAGCAACAATGCTTTGTATGCATGCGGCGCCTAAGCGGGATGTCGTGGCTATTGAGACAGTCCGGCGGCCCGGGGACAAAGAACAGGGCGGAAGTGAAGGTGGCGTTCTGTTGGAGACTGAAAATTTGAGTCAAGGCAAGGATGTACAGAGTATCGGGGGGAGTTTAGGGGTTTAGGGGGGGTTGTGGCTTACTAGGCTGGAGATGGAGGCGGTAGCAGCTGAAAAGGTAGCTGAGACAAGCGCTGGCCAGCTGAGACAAGCTGAAGCAGAGTGAATGAGCAAACTGAAATCGGCTTTCTCTTATGCGAGCGGATTATGGCTTGCAAAGAGCTGGGGTGGAGAAGTGAAGAATCAGACAAGATGAGGAAAGGAAAAAAGAAAAAAAGAGGAGCGATGAATGCTTTGCCAGGAAAATGAACAGAAAGAGAAAGAGCGAGGTCTGGGTCGAGAGAGAGAGAGAGAGAGAAGGAGCAGTGGTAGCAGATGTAACGAAGTAGCAAATACACTATAGCATATACTAGTATCACTTCGTTCTTTGTCCAGGCAGAAAGCTTGAGGCTCAGATCATTAGATGGGCGAAGAAATAATGTACCAGTGTTTAATATGTAAGATTCTTTTGAATAGCAGCTGAGAAGATATGTGCTCGATGTGAATTTTTTGATACTGCAGAGAGGCAGGCAAATCAAAGTATCTTGTCCCTCGTCTCGTCTCCTCCTTTCGTCATCAAAAAGCCGCGATTTCACTTTACGAGCAATTCGTGGCTATGCTATTTCGTGGAAAATTTGCAACAAAGTTCAAAAATAGAAAGCCTCGTGATTAAGAAATGAAGAAGAAAAAAATGACAGTTGAATACTCAGATTTGAGTTGCTGCTGCTAGATTTGGTACCTACATTTACCAGATCGTGGCTGGAATGCAAGTGACGTTTTCGGCTACTACGCTCAAACTTTTACCACTATTTAAATTCTTTCCTCTTTCAATATTTCCTGATCTCGGCTGTCCATTTCCGGTATTATAAGGACATTCAAAAAGAAAAAAAATTCCCTCCGGCTGAGAGCTGGCTGAGAGAGAAGTCGTGTAGATGTGTGGAATTCAGGGGGCTTCTTTCAACTTTTGCCACACAAGAAAAGAAGCAAACTCTGAACTTTATCAAATATTCCCCATCGTAATTGATCCTGCCACTTACTGGCTCTGAACGTTATCCCAAGCAACGACGGCGCCGCCCGAAAAGGCCCGAGACCCGAGAGTCAGAGATCGCACCAGGCCGTTCGCGCCTCCTTTTTTTCCCTTTGAAGGGGGGGGACTGGGAAGAAAGGAGCAGAAACTAGGACGGCTAGCAGGATTCGGACAGGTAGAAGGGCTCGACACCGGCGTGGCCGAGCGTGGAGTCTTCCCCATTTCTGCCTGAGACGGGCCTTGCACTGGTTTGCTGTTGGGAGGTGACGATGGGGTGAATCCTGGGATGAAAAAGGGGGAGCGTCACTCTCGTCGTCATCAGATCCCACACATCGAGCCGCTGTGCTGATGTGAGCTCAGAAAAGCATCACACATGAAGCAACTGTGCCAGGGCTTTCGAGACAGTAGAGTCGCCTACCGTCAACATTCACTGTTGTTTAGCTGAAAAAGAGTTTGTTCCTACTCATCCCGTGCGTGCCAATACGCCCCAATCCTATCCACCCACCCATCACTACATCCACCCATCCAGTGCGCTCTTCAGTATCGACACATGCAACTACATGAGGTTAGAACCCGGTATATTGAGATCCAAACCACTCGTTCTTGAGGCTCTTCCTTGTGCGAACGTTTGAGAAGTGACTTACGAGACAGGCAGGCAGCGCAAGTGGTGGCTCGAGTGGCTACACCATGGCGTTTCTACCTGCGAGATACACACCGGTACTTATTCAATCTAGGCCACGCTGATTCGAACCGGAAGCTGAGGCTAAAGGATGTGTCGACAAGCGGCTCGTGGCGCGAATTTGGTGAATTCTGTGGACAACCCGTAAACTCGAAGTAATCACTAAAAGGGGGGGGGGGGCGATGGCATATCTCGACTGGTTGCTTCATCTCCGCTAGATTTGATGACACATATTTTACCCCTATCAAATGTTAAAGGACACTCTAGAGCAAAAAAAAAAAAACATTACGTTTCGATCATCAAGAACTTCTCTCTACTCGAGGCTGGAAGTTCGATCAGAACTTGTTTGAAATCGCCAGTCTTCTTCTGACGTTTATTGTTTCCCTGACACCTTCTTCCTTTGAGGTTTGGCTGTTTCGTTCTATCTTCGCCCATAAATTCATTGCCTTCCACTCTCATTGAGAGAACCCGATATCGTATACGATTTATTTTTGCACGAAACTCTCCTTTTGTCACAGTTCCCTAAAATGCTCGAGAGGTCGGCATGGCTGATCTGGGCCGCTGAGTAACCCAATCTCTGGAATAATATCCCACTAACGGCTCGTCCCTTGGGTAATCGCTCCAAAGAGGGAAGTTCTGGCGTCATCTTGGCCAATAGGGGGCCACAGGCTGGGCTTTTGGTATGGAGCGCCTAACTTGAAAAAGGTTGGGCCGTCAGCTTAGTGCGGATCGCCTTTGGAGGAAAAGCAGAGATTGGTGGGCGGTGTCTGGGCTGAGATGAAGAAAGTTGCGAGATGTTTCCTCGAATATAGTATTGATTATGTTGTCTTTGAAAGAAGACGAAGCAGAAGAGGGTGGTGAATTCTGCGTCATCGAGAACATGATAGAAACCAAGCTAAATCCGGCCGCCCATCAAAGCAGCCTACGTCTCTTCTTTGAATGAATTATTTTGGAACCGATGATAAGGCCTCTGATATTTGCTAGTCGGTACTCGTCTTTCCTTTGATACAAAGACTGCTACTTCGTGCTCTGGTTGAAATGTTCTTCAGGTATCGTTTTGTCTTGGTGGCATAGTTATCCATCGCGGCAGGCTCATTGGGCGTATAAAAGTCGATTCCCCAACTTCAATTCCGCACAGAGTATCGAAATATATTGCTCCTTTTTGATACCAGAAGAAGTTAGTTGCAGTGTAACAAGGCATATATGACCACAAGGAATATACAAGAACGATTTGTGTGCTATATGGATGTTCCAAAATAGTATTGCTCGAGCAGGTTCACACTAGCACTGATATTGAAATCATACAGCTTCATTTCAGCAATTTCGAGAGGACAATGAAACCAGTTTGTAGCTAGGTTTGATTTTGGTGATCAGTCAGCAGACCTCTTAATTTGAATGCGAAAGAAACACGCAGAATAGACGTCGAAGGCTTTGAACACGAAGGAGACTCTTTGTTGGTCTTGACTCTTGAAGACGCTGGCGTTGGTAGATTTTGGGCAGTAGGAAACGTGTATCTGGAAATCCTGCGATTTGAAGCATCTTTGAAATTGATTTCTGCAGACGTAGCACGATGTTTAATGTCCTCTCAGGACCTTCGCTGGAAAAGTAGATAGGGTAGGTAGATGTAGATGCGGTCACGTGAGAAGAGCTTGGAAGAGCATTTTGTCAATTTTGCCTAGAATCAGATTTAAATCTGGCTTTGGAGATGATGATACAATTAATTGAGCAGTTACTAATAGTCGAATCTATTAATTTTACTCTATAGTTCATTAAATACCCTGTAATGTCCGACAGGCTGTTCTATATATAGCTTCTGATTGAAGCAAATACCTTAGTAAAATCATTCTCAAGATGTTACCCTGTATCTGAATACAGAAACGCCAAAAAAATTAATTGTTAATAACAAATCTCCATTTGAACCTCATTGTATGAAGAATTTTTGCGTGTGATACCGAAGCAAGTTTGGCTCCCAAAGGCGGCCAATCCATCTTTTCATGATTATAAAATCATGGGCGGTTTGGATCGAACAGCGTCAACTTTTCAAAGAACCTCGTTTGATAGGGGCGATTTCGATATTGTATCTTTTTTAATAGTAGGCTGGCGCCGACGCTTCTTTGGCCTATGCCATGGGTTCCCTCTCCTCTTTTCTCTGCGACTGCTTGCCTTGTTCTGCTGTGAATGTGAATCTGACGGTTCCTCAGCAACCGACTTCTTCCCAGCGGTGCAAGCCATTTCTGCATTTTGTGCCGTCAATACATCGATTTTTATTTTGAGCCTCTCTCTATCCTCAAGCATGCCAGCATAGCCTTTATAAATACTGTTCAATCTCTCGTCATGAGGGGTGGCTGCTTTCGCTCCGTTTATTCCTTGATACTGGGAGATTTTGGGGGGCGGCTCAAAGCCCAAATCCTTGATCAGCTGAATCATCATTTCCAGCGTTCCATGTACAACTTCTAGTTCTTCTAATCTCTCGTCTGTCTTTTTTGGCATCTTGTCTGGCTGTGGGTTTGTAGGCACAAAAACGGGTAATAGAGAGAGCGGGCGCGTTGTGAAGCGTTGTGGGATTTAATCGTCGATTTCTTTGCAGATTGTCCAGTTCTATCTTTAGAAAACAATATGGTAGATAACAGTACATTTGTGGGAGATGCGTGCCTTTATGTATTCAGTTGTAGCGTTTCTATGTGGTGTTGGGCGAAGGGAATGGAACTCCTTACCGGCCATGCGGATGGAGTGAATGTGGCAAACACAAAGAAAGTCATGGCGACTTTGTTTACCAAGGGACGAGTTGGCAAAGATTGCGACAGATTTAGAAACAAGTTCTAGAGCTTGACTGAGGATGAACAGACAAAGAATCTTTCCCGAGCGCTGTTTGTATTTGGAGTATGTATTCTAAACAACGGAGACTTATTTGTTTTCGCTCAGCAGCTATTTCCATAGTTCAGCGGCCCATGCTCGATATACGTCCCAAACTTTCACCATTCGATCTACCTGGCCAGGGGTAAATTCCCTGTAGCACGTGCTGAAATACTCACGTTAGTCGTTTGGAATATACGGGAGCCAAACAGAGAAGTTCTTCGAAAACATACTCATCCGAATAATCCATATAATTGTGAATGGGATCCAGTCCTGGTTGTTTGGGGCAAGAATCTCTCCCTTCAGGGCATCCCATCGACGGGCTTGCCTGCGCCGGTGTATCATCAATGTAGTCTCCTGGACCTTTGCATCCACCTTGAAATGTATGCAAGAGGCCCAGCCAATGGCCAACCTAGTGTATCTTAGCAGATAGTCCTTCATATATTTTTTAAACACCACGTGGCCCCCTTCTACACATAAACTAACCTCATGTGTCACTGTTTTCCCAAGATTATACTTATTTGCTCTGCCACCAGGAACAGTATCAGATCGTATCGTGCATCCATCCTGTTGCATCGCATATGGTAGTGAGTCGCCGGTAGCGGGGATTGTACAGTACCCGTATTCTTTCAACGTAGGAATAAACCACAGATTGAGGTCGTGATAGCTGCCATTGCGAAGATAGTACCACATACGCTTAAGATCGGCGTTATTGGCCCACGTAGCGTTGATAGTCCTATCGATGCTTTTTAAATTGAAGACGATACCCGTCGGCTCAAAGTCAGTTTTCAGAACCTGGAATTGGTTGGTGACATCTTGATCCTAGTTGCTGGATTAGCATTTTAACCATAGGTAACTATAGTTGGAAGAATAAAATAGGAGAGACGCCGAGAAAAAAAAAAACAAAAAACAAAAAAAAAAGGAAAAGAAGAGAAGAGAAGAGAAGAGAAGAGAAGAAAAGAGAAGAGAAGAGGGGAGAGATGGACACCTACGCTTAGATTGCCTTCTTTAGGATCCTCTGACATTGCAACAACATGCATATATACATCTATCTGTATCTCATGAACGGCTCTCCGCCCTAGCATTCGGGCAATGGCCTCCTCTCTAGCAAGGCTCTTGGATGCCTCCTTGAACTCTTCACTCGGCATCGTGCCACACGAGAAGCCGGCAGGATCCAATGCATTGTGTGTAGTTGGAATTGCTAATACCAGCATGGGCACGATGCCGGCTACAAGAAGAGGCCATGTCAACATGTTGTGCGTCGGAATTCCACGAAGCTTTGGAGACTATGAAGTAAAAGTAAACAATATTCGGTTTTTGGGTGGTCCTTAAAGATGATCAAATGAGTAGCATTGCCAAATTTGGTTTGCGGATGGCTTAAAGTGGCTGCGATCCATCAGCGTTAACCGACTCAACAACAAGAGTTTGTCTCCCCAACAGCTCGACGATCCACCATTACGACGGGTGCAACGGACGCTGATTCAGAAATTAGACCTGGCTTTCCTTCACGTATCTTCTTCGTCTAGGTAGTACCTTGATAGCCCAGGTGTTGGTTCGTTTGCAGCTTGAGAGCAGAGAGAACAGAAGTATTCCTTTCGACTGATGCGTAGAATCACCCCAGAGAAGGGCGTACCTTTGCTAGTGCTCGGGGGGAATCGGCGCCACATCAGGCAATGCCGCGAACCGAGCCCAAGCCTAATCCACTGTCTCTTAGATACCTATGTATAGAATACTGGAGACGGCCCCTTCGTGGCTTTCTTATGTTACTTCAACGGACCTTCACGAGTAGGTAGCTCTTTTCTTCGTCGTAGATTAAGGGAGCGGTCTTGAGAAACCGTTGAGAAAGATTGGCGTTATAATGTATCTGGAACGTGCTATGAGGGATGAAATGGTGTTATGAGGGTCGACTAAATGTATAGAGATTGTCAATCGAGAAGAGAGAAACGCATAAGGATGGTTTTGGAAAAGTTAAAACTCCAACCTTTATTCAGTGCAAGGCATGGAAGAGAAGGACCTTTAGCTGACCCTCATTTACGACCCAGAGGGTCCATCAGTATACGGTTGAGGGAAAATACCCATAAAATTTGTTGAGCGGCTCTTTGGAAAAAGTGACCTTGGACAGGAGAAGTGAGTCGAATACGAGATTCCATTCGCAGTGGGAGAGACGCAGATGACTAGACGCCTATGCCCTGCTTGTTCGTGTGTACCCCGAATACTATAGCCTGAAAATCCCGGGAAAGCGATGTCGAGGCCATAGATATCTTGTGAACAAATAAATGCACTCTTCTTTCGAATTCTCCCTCTTTACTCGGGAGTCACGCGTAGTAAAGTGTCAAGAAAGAGTAGAAGGGAAGAAGGGCGGTAGAGCGAGACACTGGTTAGCGGTTGCTTCATGGCCACGACAGAATCAAAAACACCAACACGGCCCCCATTTCTTGATCTTGCATAATAACGAGTCTCATCATTTGTTGTTTATTAAGAAAAATAAAAGTCCATGAGCCACCTAACCGTACAAATATGCACAACGCACATATGCACCATCGTAAATCAATTTCATCCAACCCTCTCACCATCTTGCCATCTCACCATCAGTCATCCTCTCTTCCCACTCTTCCCCCCCTTTTATCCGCTCTCCCTCTTCTATTAGTTACTCCTCCTCCTCCTCTGAACCATCCTCCTCCGGACCAGGCCCGCCCTTGATACCACTCAGCTTTCTCTCCAGCCAGGTGCCCCGAAACTTCTGCTTCCTGCAGAACGACACCTCCCTCTGCGTCCTTCCATACGTGAGGGTCCAGTCGTCAATGTCGACCGCGGCAATCTTATCCTGGCCGCACCAGCGGTCAAACCGGTCCGACACCATGTCAATCTCCTCGCGGGCACACGACTGCGGTATCTCGGGCAGCGCAGGAGAGCGGTGCTTCCTCTTGTAGGTGCACATGTACCACACCTCGTCGCCCTGCACCGCGACGACGACGCTCCGGACGCGAGGCTTGTACATGGCGCACCAGTTGCTCAGCATGGCCCTCGCGGCCGTGACGTTGAAGGAGTCGTGCCCTGCGGCCACCTTGGAGCAGCGGTGGCGGGTGCTGACGAGGGGGCCTCGGTCGTCGTTGTCCTTGGCGGTGAGATTGACGGCGCTGTACATTTCCATGTCGTAGTGGGCGACGTAGTAGGGTTTGCTGCGCACGAACTTCCTGGTGCTGATTTCGTAGACGCCGTCGCGGAGCTTCTTGGGAACTCTGATTGCTGATACCAGAGGAGAAATCGCCATGACGAGTAAAAAGACGAGCCTCAGTATGAATCCCTTCATGTTGGCCAAGTGAAGAATGAAGTATTCAGCCGTTGTAAGTGCAGTTTTGATAGTCTTGATTTGCGTGTCTCTCAGGTAGAGTCGATATAGAAGAATGTTTGTGGAATTATTTCTTAGTAGAAATGAAAGCAGGAGGGCAACTGATCTCTTGAGCTCTGTTATATACACTATGAAAGTACATTTCGTAATGGGGCCTGGAGTTTGACCCACGTCAATAGAGTTTCCTCCGACACAAACAGACTCGAATGTTAAGCCAAGCGGTAAGGGGCCTGTGGAGTTTAGCAGATGGTAGGCGTAACTTTGGAATGACTGATATCGGACATGGTACTTAGAGATATAGAGCATCACGAGTCCCAAGCCAAATACACTTGCATAAAACGTAGATTGTATCAACTGCACATATACATGACGGACGAAAATGATATCTCTGACTTTGAAACCCCATTTGCTCTCATGCCTGCGTAACGACAAGGTGGTATTCCGCTGTAATAAAAGATGAACAAAAAGAAAAGAAAAGAAATTGCAGAAATAGCGAGCTATTGCGAGAACGCAACACCTTGGGCCGAACCATCCAACATCTCTAAGCAGCCAAACATGTGGCAATAATAATATAATGATAATAATGATCAACGAAAAGAAAAACTCCGCCCCGTCTTCCAAAAGACGATCCATTTAACCTTGAATTTTGATCTTGAATTTACCCATATTCATGGCCTTCGTGCTGAAATACTTCTCCTTCTTCGCTGTCGCTGTTCCTTCTGTTTGTCTAGTACCGATACATGGGTTCCTTGCTGCTCCTGGGAGCCGAGGAGTAAAGGTCTTCATCGTCCGAAACCTGGTAGTCAGGGTTTATAACGCGCGTTGAATGGCTCTCAGAAGCGTGTCCAGACCCAGTAGTGCCATGTGTTGATGAGCCGTCTTGGTGGTGTTTCAACCCGAAGCCTGGTTGGAAAGGTCCGTCAAAGGGGACTGCAAGCTGACCGTTCGAGCTCGACGGCTGTGGAGGGTCGCTGAATGGGTTTTCTACGGGAGACACCGGATCAGGCGGCGGCGCCCTGCCACGGCCCGGGTCCAACGAAGGAGATGGAGGGCTGTAGAGATCCGAATCTTTGCCCTTGCCTTTATTGCTGCTGCTTCCACTACCGCTGCCGCCGCCATTGCCATTGCCGTTGCTGTTGCCGCTAAACGCATTGGAAACAGGTGGCTGACTGGAGTTGGATGATGATGCCGCAGCATTGGGGGGCTGCCAACCCTGAACGCCGTTGGAGCCGCCTGAGCCGTGGAGCGACTGCTGTTCAGGAGCAGGAGACGGGTTTTCGGATCCGTTGAGGCCCAGCTGCTTTCGAGCGCTGAGCATGGCACGCTGGTGCTGGCTCAGCGCGGTCTGCAGCTGCTCATTGGTGTCAATGAGGCTCTCCATGGTGTCGTTGTCAGGCGCGGGGTTGGACGACACCATGTAGCCCTGGATGCTCCTGGAAGCGCTCAGACATCGGTTTGAAAACTCTCGGATTAGTTCATTGCCAAGGATCTCCACGGCCGGCGTGTTCATCACAAGCTGTTCTAGCAGTTTTGCAGACTCGCGCGCCTCTTGCAGCCTGCTGGCCAGCTCGGCGGGCTCTGGCAGCCGGTTGTTGTTGTGGTGCCTGGAGAAGTAATTCTGCGATTGTCCGTTGCTGAAAGAGTCAGGCGCCAAAGACTGCGTGGGACGCACAGGCAATGCAGGTGCTCGGCTCTGTTTTACATGTTAGCGGGTGAGTCGATTCGATACCTTGACAGAAGAAACAAGGGGCATAGCTTTGGCTGCGCAGGTGAAACAGACAGGGGGATAGGAGCTGCTAAAGGAATAAGGAAAAAAAAAAAAAGTCGATGAAAGAGAGCCAGAAGAAAGAAACAACAACGGCAACAAAGATGAAGATGAAGAGAGAAAAAAAAAGCCCCCCATAAAATTGCCCATCACGTACCCCGTGCTTCTCAACTGCCTTGTCCTTCTCCTCTTGCCACATGCTTATGATGAGCGTCAGATTCGTGTCGTAAAACTTGGCGCGCTCAAACTCCTCCAGCGTGTCCATCAGAATCTGGCGCACGTTGTTGTCCTTTGTGCCCTTGAGCAGCGCCCTCGCCGTGTCGACAAACTTGGCGTCCATGTTCCTCGTAAACGTCTCTCCAGGGTTGTCGGCCAGGATCCGCATCAGCATGATGGCGTTGTACTGCCATGACGGCCGCGAGGAGTACTCCTTGGCCAAGTACTTTCGGATTATGCGTGCGCTCTCGGCAGCGGCGGTGGGCGAGGATTCGGCCGCATCGACGATTGGGGGGAGGAAGAGCACTTCGTCATTCTGTTGTAGAGGAAAGACATGGGTCAGCGGATGTCTCACACATTCGGCCGGGACATGAGGGGGGCATTGCACACCTTTAAGCTTCCGCCAGACTCGCAGAATGCTTTCTGATGCGATTCAGTTAGTCCAAACGCATGCGCCCAGCCGGACAGGCCTGTTGCGGCGTCAACGGCAGCAGATGGTCGAGCAACATACCACGCTGTTGTGGGCCGTGACTTCTGGCGTAGCTCCTGGAGTCGTCGCAGTGGAACGATCAGAGCCAACTGTAACAACAGGAAGAAAGAAAGAAACGAAGAATTAGCCTTGATGCTTTCTGAAAGCTTGCCGCCCACCACCCAGCGAATGTATATCGAGCATCGCATCGATCGCATCGTCGTCGCGGCGAGTATCATCGTGTACGCACGCTCCGCACAAAGTACATGTGTGCAGCATCACAGGGCAGAGAGACAAAGGAAGCAGTCCATACCAGTCTTTTTCCTGATGCTCCCCAGCATCTTATTCATGCTAAGGCCCTTCATCGACTTCATCTTGGGCGAAATCTATTCGCTTTATTCTCTCTTCGGGCGGCAAAGTCGACGACGAGGCGCGTTGGGCACTTTTTGCGGGGCAGGAAGAGGAGAGAGAGGAGAGGAGGGATGAAGGAGAAGAGAAGAGGGAGATCACGTCGTCATTCAAAAAGTGGGCTGGTGAAATCAGAACTCGAGATCAGGCAGAAACAGGAAGAGAGAGGAAATTTGAGGAGTTTGGAGGTGGGAGGCGAAGAGGATTCGGGCGGTGGTCCGAGTAGGATTCGACTCTTATGGTTTGGGCTGGGGGTTGCCTGCAGCAGCCTGTAACAGCTGCTATTTTAACGATTGCCTCGACAGCCTCGGGGAAATCATGCGGCAGCCATCCAATCCAGGGCCCCTGCAACGAAACAAGAAAGAGACTTGCGCGAGGCTAGCAATGTTTGTTTGTTTCTCAATTTTTTTTTTTTTTTTTTAAAAAAAAAAAGATTCTTCTTTATTTTTATTTTGTTTAGCTGCGTTTTGTTTCTAATTATTCTCTTTTATTAGATATCGCTGTTTTGACCTATACTGTTCCTTACGTCTTTTTTTTTTTTCTCTCCTTCTCGACTTTTTCTCGACTGATTCGCTTCTCCTTCTAGCCGTTCCTCTTTTTCTTTTTTTTTTCTCCTCTCCAAGCGCGCGTGGCTGCCTGGCCCTGGCCCGGCCTGGCCTGGTCTGGGCTCTAATTTGTTTCCCTGGCGTTTCTCCAACAAGCCCAACGCGATGCGACTTGACGTCGCGGACATGCAATTCGGGGTGCGGCGGTTGCTGGATGTAGCTTAAGCCGGACCAGGGTCCAGGTATTCCATACTTGGGGCAATACCTGGAGCGGCGCTGACGAATCGTGCGGCACCATCGCCGTGCGCTAAGGTACCCCGCGAGCGCCGTCGAGGTACCTCTGTACAAGCCCCAAGGCAGGCTGAGCGTTAGTACACACGAATCTAGCAATAACCAAGGCCTGCTGCAGTTTGCTACAAACAAAGTGCGTAATGGAAGGCGGCGCAGCCGGGGGGTGATCTGCGGGAAGCCTCCAGAGGGGACGGACTACCAGAGCTTGGAGCCAATGGCAAACATTAAATAAATTTAGTACCTCATCTTGACATGAGCATGCCAAGCTGAGAGTTTTTGAATAAATAAATACCCAGTATGTATTGAATCGATTTCTTCTTTTGAATACCTATGTAATTGCAATAGGTATTCATAGGTACTTGGCAATACTAGCGGCTGTGGAACGGAATACCTAGTACAAGATAAACTCAGATATCCTCCTACAAGCATAAGAATCTGCAAGCTTAAAGGCAATAAATATGTGATGGATGTAGAGAGGGTTTCAAATTTTAATCTAATCTTTCTCTCCTTCTATGTACATAGTCAGCTCCACGCCAAGCTAGCACAACCCAGCGGCGTTGCCATGGGGCAGCCGGCAAACATCCGATTGTGCCGCCGCCATGTTATCCCATTCGTCCACAACACCACCATGACTCTCCTTTGTAAGGCATGTGCCACTGCAGTTCTGCACTTTGTGTCATGCACAGCCTCAGGCCTCTACGTAATCCATCATAAGCCAACCCCATTTCTAATACTTGGTATGTGGTTCATCTCAAATGTTTGTCTCTTGATGGAGGCGAGGCGATGACGGAAGTGGCATCCACGACATGACAACAACATGAATAGCATTATCTCCTGATTCTGTAAATGTTTGTTCCTACCTTTTTAAAAAAACATATTGAAAAATGAAAAAATATAAACATTTTCTAAAATCCTATCCTGACCTATTATGGGTAAACAAAACCAAGCCCTTTTAAGTAGCAATTATAGAGCTATAATGCAGCTGAAGCCGAGTGAAACCTACCCGTTATGGCCCTGGTGCACACTCGGGTGGGTAGTATATGATACGTGCACTTGTGGACTTCCCCTCTGCTATACCGGATGTCGTCAACAAAGCTTCAGTTCCACCAGCACCCAGGATCAAAGTAGTAGTTAATCACCCTGGCATAGCGTAGGCAGCCCTCGCTGCTGACATTCGCGAGTGACTTGAGTGTCTATAGCGCTGTCTCAAATATCGTGCTTCTCCAATGGCCTCCCCCCGAGCATTACATATCGTTGTCATCGTCATCGTCCTCATCCTCGTCATCTGATAATTCTTCCACAATAAGGTTGCCAGATTTGCCAATCGTTTCTAGCATCGTAGCAGTCGTGCTTGATTCGTACACCACACGGGGCATAGTCGACACTATCCGGAACTCGAACTTGTGCTCGTAGCCATCTGGTTTCTCCACTTTCTCCTCTTCCAACGTTTCGCCGCGGAGGATATCCTGGCACTCGACGAATGCATACAGCTCTTCGACAGTGACATCCTGAGCGAACCGCCGCACAATTCTCTCCCCCCCTAAACCCTCAGGCATCTTGAGCGCAACCCGGACGACTTTTCTCTCACTGGCAGGAGGCTCAGGCAGAATCTGGGGGGCTCTCCAAGACTTCCACTGCCGGCGCTTCTCAGCCAGCTCAGCTGCCGCCTCAGCCTCCGCCAGCGCCCGCTTCTCTGCCGCCGCAGCAGCTTCCGCGGCCTGTTTCTTCTCCCGCGCGCGTTCTCTATCAATGGCCAGTGATCGTTCATACGCTGAATCTTGCTCATCACGAAGGGTACGGGCTAGATCCTGTGCCGCCCTTTCGGCTCGGACCCTATTCAAGTCGGCACCGTACTTTTCCATGGCGGCTTGCAGCTCGGATAGGTAAGTCGAAGGGGGCATTAGGCCCACTAATCGCTTCACAATGCCCATGCGAGTGCTGCCTTCGTTTGGCGTCAAGCATACCAGGGCCGAAAAGGGATACTTTGTGCACGCGTACTCGGCGGCTGCTTGGTATGCCTCGGAATCTAGAATGTTGCCTCCCCAGAGTATTATGTTGTTGGCTGGGTCGTTGATAAACTCGACAACCTCTGGAGCTAGAAGAGTGTTCCTGATGAATGATTCGGTGTCGTCGTGCTCTGGAGACATGAACAGGACCAACAGGAACTTGAGGTCCCTCTTGGCAATGTCGTGGGCCTGAGCAATGCCGCCTTCAAAAAACAAAAGTCCATTCCCCTCGTACTCTTCGTCAAACTCCCTTCTAAATCTGGCAGCGGCATCCCGCGGCATAAGCATCCGCCGGCCACTCGGACTTCTGAAGCCTGTAGCTAGGCCGCTGGTGACGGCTCGCGGCCGGATAGAAGCAGGTAGGAACGCCAAGATGTAGCCAATCGTGCGCAGCAGGGTCGAAGCCACCCGCCAGCCCCAGCTGAAGGGCGTGAGCAGAAGGCCAATCATCCACGGCGTCCGGTGAATCACGGGCGGCTGAGGCACGATTCGGGGGGCGGCGTCGGTCTTGTCTCTCCGGCTCATTCTTGATGGTCGTTCCGAGTCCATCAGCAGACTCTCTTGGAGATTCTCATGGTGCGCGGCTGACCGTGGGATCTCTTGCGCAGCCATTGCCTCGGCGACGGGATCGGCCGTCTCGCCGTCGAAGAACTTTGTGATGGCAATCTTGACATGGCGGCGAGTGGTTAGCAAAAGCAAAGAAGCATTATGTTGGATACAAGAAGAGAAAAGAAAAGAAAACTAGATACATACCTGCACATTCCATTCTGACCTCGATAGCAGCGGAATGGCGTCCTTTGCCTCTTGGTTCGTCAGCTGCATGTACTGCTGCAGAGCATCTTGCTGGCTTGGTGACAGCTGTCCCGTATCGTCTGCAGCGTCGGCCATCTTTGGCACGCAGACGGCGACGCAAAATGGAGGTGCGAGAAAGAAAAAGAGACAGAGAGAAGAACAAAAAAACCGAAAGAGAAGTCAAGATGCGCCTCTGTCGTCCATGCGGTCTCGCGATTTCCAGCAGCAAACGGATTGCTCGGTGATGAAGGTATTGTCGATCTGCAGCCAAGAAGGATGTCGATAAGGAATATGGACCTTTGATATGGCGGGTAGCTTTGAGACATTACCTCATTAGCGGAGCCGAGTCTTGCACTCGAAAGCGCTAAACTACTTCTAAGGCCCGGCATAGTACATACTTCGTCAACGCACTATACGAGCCCCGCCAGTGTCTCTCACTGCGAAGCAAATTGCAGAAGCTTGTAAACGAAGCCGTCGAAAAGTGATTATGCTGCAGGCTAGTAAAATAGAATTGCATATTTATAATTCATTAGTTCGTGTAAACTTGGTAGTTTTTCTTGTAAAGTGTAGTGTGAAACTTTTCCATATGAACGTTGAACGGCCAGATGAAACAAGAGGCAGAGAAAGGCTAGTGAAATCCTGCCGAGATGGCCTTCAACCTCCGGTGCCGGGCAATGAATCACAACAAGTCCAATACGTTGCATTCTCTCCACCCAATACTTAGGCAGCCGTTATAATTTCAAGTCTTGGGCATTATATTCTCCGTGCTGATGCAAGAAATAAATCTACTAATAATTGCCATTCGTTAATACACAATACTTTATATTTATAATACCTAGTTGCTGGGTATATCCGCATACATATCCATACATATTTATATATATATAGATCCGTATATATATTCATGCCATGGAAACACAGCCAGCAGCCTCATCTGTGCTTGTTCGCCAAGCAACATCTTCGGCAGACTTGGTCTCTGTAGTCGAGTGCTTCAAAGCCTATACAACCTGGCTAGACGAGGATTTGACGCATCAAAACTACAACGCCGAACTCAACGGGTTGCCTGGGAAATACGCATCGCCGGCCGGCGCTCTCCTCCTTGCTGTGGATTCAACAACAGACGCTGTTCTCGGCTGCATTGCTCTGCGGCCGATAAACCTTGAGCCCATGTACTTAGAGTCGCGCTCCGAAGGCTTGCGCTACTGCGAACTCAAGCGCTTGTTTGTGTACCCAGAAGCCCGCGGCAGACGGGTGGCCAAGACGTTGCTGGCAGAGGCGCAAAAACGGGCTCGAGAAGAGGGATATGACGAGATGCTGCTGGATACGCTCTCCAAGATGACGGCTGCCATTAGCCTGTACAAGTCCGAAGGGTTTATGGAGGTAGAGCCGTATAATTCGAGCCCCCTACAAGGCACTCTGTATTTTGCAAGACGGCTGCAGACATAACTTCGATGATACCTATAAGTATTTTAGCTGATGAGGATACTGCTTATGTACATTAATAGTACCTACATTAGATGGTTGTACCCGTACCTTAGTAGTATGTAGGTACTTACTAGGTATCTCGTACTACATCATCACCACTTGCATCTTTTTCTTTCCTCTATTCGGGAGCCACCAAAAATTCCTATTCATCGTCCCAGCTACCTAGTAGTACGTAGGTGCTTTTTGGTTTTACTTTATTTTTATTTTATTTTCTCTCTCTTTTATTTCCAAATAAGCTCCTGCAGGTACCTGTATACTCGTACCAACTAATACCCACTATCCACAGCAACAAGCAATTTACTTGCTTTCTTTCACAGTCAAAAAAAAAAAAAAAAAAAAAAAAGGCCTTCCAAATGCGAATGAAGCTCGCTTCCAACCATCCAACCATTATGTCCGACAAATGAGATCGACAATGCTAATGCAGTAAAATAGATGCGTGTGTGGTATCATCATCATATCCTTTCCTCTATGCTTCTCATCAGCTCCGTGATGTTGCAGCTACCCTGATTTTCACTAATCNTATACATTGGAATAAAATAATTACCAACATAATTCACCTACATGTATACAAAATTATTAATAATGCTTTTTAGAGGTGCCGCGTGACTCGGGCAATTGCGCACTCGTTGGTAGTAGTTTTATGAGCCGTCAACCTTTCGGATTATGTCATTTTCCTGGCTCCGGGCCCCGGAACCAAGGCCCAGATCTTGGTTTAACCTCCAAGATCGCGCCTCTCACCAACTACTGTGTCTATCCACTCCCCACTCGGCCAGAGACTTTCAGACTTCAACTCTGTTCAGCGGCTGGAGGAGTGGCTGATCCTGTTGCCCAGCGACTCGGGCCCAAAATCTCGTGCTTCGTCCATGGGCGCGTGGCCGCCCCGATCAATTGAGCCATGGGAGACGGTTGCTGCAGTCCAGTATGTTGAGAAGCCACCGCAACGCCTCTTTTCCTTTCCTTTGACTTTTCTATATAATCCCGCCGGCTGCCCCTGTTTTTCTCTCTGTTTACGCTCTGTTTACTCTCTGCCATCTCGCTATTTACTCTTTACCAAGCGCACGCATTCGGTACCCGCCGTCGATCTCTACTCGCTACATCGCGCTCTTTACACCAGCAGATACTGAGACCAACATACATCCATACCGAAACTGATTTCTTTCTTCAGAAGTCGTAAATCCGGCCTCGGGGACGGCAATATTTTTGAGACATTCAGTTGATCACAATGACGGCGCCACGATATCAAACCGCCGAGCTGCGACGCCAGGTTGGCTCGCCAAGGCCCAGGCCTCGAGGTGTGTTACGCCGTATGCTGCGTGATGGTTGAGAACTTGGCTGACTGTGAATGTGTAACGCACTACAGAAAACAAGGACACGCTCTGCAGAAATATCTTGATATACGGTCACTGCCGCTACGAAGACCAGGGCTGTGCTTTTATGCATGATCAGACCAAAGGGAACTCCTCCCAGGCGAGCTCGTCTCAACAAGACAACGGCGGGTAAGTGTCCATACCTATTCTTTTACTCCTTTCTCCTTCTTGTTGGCTAGACACGGTTCATGGCTAACCAATGAGGCTCTCTACTTCTAGCACTAAGAAGACTCTGAATGTCGAATCACCGTCTTTTACACCCTCGATCCTACAACCTGTACAGAAAAAACCAACCTTTTCATCACAAGCGGTGACTGCGCCGTCTTTCACTCCGCGTGGTCTAGGAGGTGAGGAGAAGCAACATGACTTGTCTAAATTCATCTTGGGCTGTTGGTGCTGACATAGACACACGTTGTAGCCGCCACACCATCTACCATACCCGATACCGAAGCACCAGCTTTTAACCCAGCTTCTATACGCGAATTTACACCCAGTTTTGATCTCAGCTCTACTGTATGGCATCTCTGAGGATTTGGTCCTTTTCGCCCCTGTTCCCCTTTTCGACTTGTCGCTAACAAGCATGTGCATAGACTGCTGCAACAAACGGAACTTCACACGATGGAGGAGCTCTCTCATACGACCCATTTGGGCTGCCGAATCAAAGCATGGTCACCACGCCATATAACCCCTATGCTGAGGACCATGGCGCCATGTCCAGCGCCGCGTCTACATATTTTGCGGCTCAGAACGCTTATGCGGCGCCATCACAGCCTTTACAGTATCATCTCTACGCTCCTGTCGGGCCATATCGAGAAGACGTAATGCCATACAACCGTCTTTCTCACGACTTTTTCATATCCGAGACGATGAGGGAGGATATGCAGAAGCAATCCGAGGCAACGTGGCAAGTGATGCCCGGTTCCCAACTGCCGCATTTGGATAACTACCACTCGCTGGTGGCCTTGGATACGACTCATCGCAAAAATGCCGGCATATTTGGCTATCCAAGCTGGGTGTACAAAGCCACGTCGTCCAAGGATGGAAAGATTTACTGCCTCCGGAGATTGGAAGGCTTTAGGCTGACCAACGAGCATGCCATTCGGTCCGTCAAGGAGTGGAGGCGGATCAACAACTGCCACGTGGTCAGCATTCACGACGCATTCACCACCAGAGCTTTTGGAGACAGCTCCCTGATCATTGTGCAAGACTATCACCCGCTTTCTAAAACACTGGCCGAGACGCACCTCGTGCCAAGTGTGGCGCACGGGTCGAACCGCCTTCAGCCCAAGCCGCCCATAACCGAGGCGGTGCTATGGGGATACATTACGCAGATTGCAAGCGCCCTGAAGGCAATACACGGCAATAACCTGTCTGCGCGCTGCCTTGACGTCAGCAAGATTATCTTGACCGACAAGAATCGAATCCGCCTGACTGCGTGCTCCATAATCGACGTGACCCAATATGATGTGAAACGACCGATGCAAGAACTTCAGCAGGAAGACTTTCTCCATTTCGGCCGCACCTTGCTCTGCCTTGCCACCAATACATTGCCCATGCAGATGACCAACATGAATGCGGCGATGGAACAAATGAGCAGGTCCTACTCTACGGAGATGAAAGATACCATTGCGTGGCTTTTGACACCGGCGCAGCCACCCGCGCAACAGAAGACCATCGATGAGTTTATTCAAGGGATAGCGACTCATATAACCACAACGATGGACCAGCAAGGGCACTATCATGATGCCATCCGCTCCGAGCTATTCCGCGAACTAGAGAATTCAAGGCTCTTGAGACTGATGATGAAGCTCGGCACCATCAATGAGCGGCCAGAGTACGACAATGATAGAGCCTGGTCGGAAATCGGAGAGCGATACATGTTGAAGCTGTTTAGGGACTACGTCTTCCATCAAGTGGATAACAACGGGAACCCGGTTATAGACCCGGGACACATGATACGCTGCCTCAACAAACTTGACGCTGGCTCGGAGGAGAATATTTGCCTGACTAGCAGAGACGAGCAGACTAGCATTATTGTTAGCTACAAGGAGGTGAAGAAGCAAGTACTCAGCGCATTTGGCGACCTCCTAAAGGGCTCTAGTAAGACGGGAAGGTCTTTTTAGGAGAGGGACCCTGTTGATGAAAATGGCAGCATATGATATGATGATGAGTGAAAGGGGGGGCCTAGGAAGACGACGTCTGCAAGAGATGTATGAACCGCGATGGGCTACATCAATGTAGCGAGCGATGCGCTTTGTTATTGCCGAACAACTTTCATGTGCTTTTATGAGTATATTGGAGAGGGAGGAATAGAGTACAGGGGGAAATGCCAAAGGGAGTGGGCGAGAGAGAGAAGGGACAGCGATACTAGTATTTTCTTATAATTTTTTTGAGATACAAAACCCAAAAAAAGCTGTATACCGCTAATGAATGTGCATCACGCCGTGGCTCACAAAAACGATGCGTCCTGTGACGAGAATGATGAATGATGATACTGACAGGTAGTAGTGTAGAAAACATCTAGTATCTAGTTGGTACTGTGATTTCTGCAAGATGTAGCTACCCTAACATGCTTGCTTAAAAAAAAAAAAAAAAAGAAACGAAGCCGCCGTTTTGATTCTTCTGATTCCTCGTGGGTAGTTGTATTGCGGCAGATGGTTAAAAGGTTTGATTGCTTTCCTATACGCACCTCTTTCTGAGATGTATGTATGGCCTAAAAGGCATCTCCTCGCCTTGTCTCCATCTAGTTCATCTTGAAGCAACTTTCATGCTCAAGTAGATGTAAACAAACTGCCCATTCCTCTTTCTCCTGTCTGGGAGAAAGGGGGAGGGCAGTCGCCATCGAACGCAAATTCGCCAGCTTTTGTATATACTATATATACGCAGCTGTAACGAAAATCATCCGACTCCAACCAAAAGAAAGCTCTCGTTTGGATCAAACCCCCCATCATTTCTCTCTCGAGAGAGCAGGTATTACATACATACGTACATATATCTAAACAGAAACACCCCCCAAAACCCCCCCCCCCCCCCACCCATTCTCTCATCCCTTTTTGTTCATGGTTGTTGGATAAAACAAGCCCTTCGCTTCTTTGTAATTTCATTGTTTCTTTGCCTTTTACTTTCTTTTCCAACATGCTGTTTGGCGTCATCTCCTGGGCTACTGCTGGCTTCCTTGGCTTACTCGTCTGCTGGGGCACCAAAAGGGTTTGGGATTTCTTCGCTGCCATCCGCCGGGCTGATGAGGACTAGAAGCGTCCCGCGGACGACGACAAGGCCCAGTGATCGCGTTGTCTCGTTGCCTTGGTCATCTGGTTTGTTTGTTTTCTCCGTCGTTAATTATGCCAATTTCACCGACGATGGAGAGGGGCACAGCATTCGTGTGGAAGTGGGGAGAGGAGGAGCTCACCTCGGAGGGTTTCTTGGACTTCGTCGAGGACGAGGTTCATGAGCGCATCATAGCCCTTGAGCGTGCCGCGGACTGTGTATTGTTCAGCCTTTGTTCTCTTTCCTTGTTGCTTCTTTGTCTCTCCCTGTTGGAGAGCGCCATACCTTCTCGGCCGCCGTTGAACTTGACGATGATGGCCTTGTCCATGTACTTGGCCAGGTCCAGGATGTTCTCCTTCTTGGGCCTCTCCGTCTGAGCACCGCCGGCTCCAGATGCACCACCGCCAGCTCCTCCGCCTCGACCGCCTCCACGTCCGCCTCGGTAGCCGCCGCTGCCTCCTCCTCGGTCACCGCCACCGCGGCCGCCTCTGTGGAAAGGTCTATCGGACATTGTGGCTGCTGCGCATTGGCTGGGGGGGAAGCTGAAGCGACTGGCTGGGCGCGTTTGGCAGCGGTTCCTCTTTTCGTTTTCGTCTCTGTCTCTGTCTCTCTCTCTCTCTGCGTGCTTGTCTCGCTCTAATTTGCTCCTGATCTTCTCATTCGACCAGGATCTTGTTCTCTTTTCGACCAGGGGGGGCGGGATTCAGTCGCGGAATTGGGTCGAGGCTGGTGGACGCGAGGATTTTTTTTAGCGGTTCGACGTTCGAAGCTTGCGTCTGCTTTTGCTCGAGTTGCATGAGATTCAAGCCAATCCGTCAATCAGCAGCTCTGGTGAGGGGTGGTGTCTGCATTTTTCTTTTTTGGGGTAGTCTGTGGCCCGGTTAGGACTAGCGGAGGATGGCTGTTTTCTCGTTGGGGTAATATTTCTCGTGCCATGGACTTGCAGCGAGGAGGATTCACAAGGAAATCGACAAGTGATTTGTTTCCTTTGACTGTGCATATCGGTGCATCCACGCCGGCGATTTGATAGGCGGAGAGCAAGGACAGGTCTGTGTTATTGGTGCTGTAAGAGCTGTGCAGTATTCATATGCAACAGGACTGTAACCTACATACACCTACATACGGGCATCGTATAGGTCAGCAGTGCATGCTTCAAGCATGAAGCAAGACAAAGACAAGGTCAGGGATGGTTATATGTGCATGTGCATGTAGGTGGTAGTAGCTATTTTATCAAGCAGAGCACGATCCACTCTTTGGGTCTCGTTTTCACGGATTTTCTCATCACCTCGGAGCATGCAGCCGGTGAAACACGTAGCATCGCTTAGGCATAGCTAGAAAGCCCGGCCGACAGTAGCGAAAATGCAAGCAGCAGCAATAGGCAGTTGATCAATCTAATTCCGCCAGCCATCGCGTGTGATGTGCTATGTGGCGTGCGGTGACTAATACCTAGTCTGCCCATAGGTGGTGGTTTATGTAGGGATAGGCTGCCTATGCCGCTACTAGCATGGTAGCGAGGAATGCCTAGTTGGTTGCTTAGTTGGTTGGTTGATTGATACTACTACAGACTATCAAGCGGCGGTATACACAGTGGAAGGCTTGGATGGGTTTCTTTCGTATACGCTCGCCGGTATAAGCGGTGATCCAGAAACCCAAGTTCCAGGGATAACACATAGGCGGGGTTGTCGGGCCATCTTCCGATAAAGTTGTTGCAGCCGGGCAAGACAAGCTTCCGGAGAAGTCAGGGATCCCTGTAGGAGGAGAGCAAGTCAGTACATGCAGGCCAAAGCAACAGTCCATGACTCTTGCTTGTGCTGGCTGCTCCTCCTTCTCCTTCTGCTCCTCCTCCTCCTCCTCCTCCACACATGCGTACATACATCCAAACTGCTGCAATGCCAGGTGGCGAGCATATCGTGGTCAAAGAAGAGCTGGCATTGTTATTTTTGGGTTACATCGTCGGCACTGTGACTGATCCGTACTCCCGTACTGTAAGAATGAGGGGGAGAGAGGAAGCAGACCCATGATTCATAGCATGGTATGGAGATGACTGCTGCTTGCCAGTGTCCGTAGTACATGTACCCGTTGTATAAAAGAGGGACAGAGGCAAAGACAGAGACTGAACTGAAGGAAGATCCATGAAACGGGATGTGGGAGCGGGCGAACAGGCAATAATTTGACCGTGAAAATGTCTTGTGGTGGCATGATTCCCAAGCCACGAACCCGGTTTCCCACATCTAAATATACCTGTTGTCGGTCAGATGCCGATCCGTATCACTGAGACAAAGCCACACACTCACCCACAAGCTACAGTGCTGCCTGCATTATTATTCTTGGGCTGTTGGTGGTTGACGCTGGATACCTACACACCGAAAAAAAAAAAAAAGAGAGGCAAAAGGGCAAAAGGGCAAAGGGCAAAAAGCGTTGATCCCTACTAGGCTCGACGCCGAGCTGAGCTATGGATTATAGCATTATGTACTTGAAACTGAAAGCAGATTAACATCAAGAATCCATCCCGTCCGGGTCATTCCTTTCTAACCGTGATTGATAGTGCTAGTGCTAGTGCCAGCACCCAGAATAATACACCACTGCTCGGTAGGTTGTTCGTATAGTAATCCAGAAGGTACAAGGAAGCAGTAATGCTACCTTGCAGTAGGTACCTACCTAGATGGCATCGATTATCAAATTACCAAAAGGCAAGGCACGGCGGCACGGCTCGGGAAAGAAGGGGGACATGGGACTTGGAAGGAAGGGGGCAAGCAAGCAAACAAGCAAGCAAGCAAGCAAGCAGCTGCTAGCAAGGAGACAGCGAGGAGCCCCTGCCCAAAGGCTTACGACTACGCCTGCCGTCGAGAAGAGAGCAATAGCGGCTGCAGCCACAAGCTTGGCTCCCTGCAGCCTCGACAGCCGAGTCGTCCTTTGGGCTAGACCGGGGGGTTCAGAGATGCCGGGAACTCGAGGCCTGAGGACGCTCCGAGCTGAAAGAGAGCGTTTGATTCTGCGTCTGCACCAGCACCGGCACCATCACCAGCATCAAGCTAGCTTTGCTTTTATTGCTGTTCTACGCCGAAAGAGAAAAAATGCCGGTTCATGAGGGTTTGACCCTATTCAGCCAGCCATTGTCCGCTTCTCGTCAGTGTCTTTTGCAGAGAGAGTTGTAAGCACTGGGCCTTTTGCTTTCGATGCAAGCCAAGCCGGGCTACTTGGATCTACAGCACAGACAGACAGGTATGTCATGACTGCAAATCAGCCCACCTTCAGGAAGTGAAGCATCTTTTTTTTCTATTCTTTTTTCCCTTGATTTGCTTTAATTTAAATTAATTGAAAAAAAAAAAAAATCCACGCCTCTAGACTCCCCTCCTCCTCTTACCTCTGCTGTGGATTACGACTGCGGAACCCAAATGATCTACGCGAGTGCTATGGCGCTGGCGGCCCATATTTTGAGACCGGCAAAGACATTTCCAACGATACGGCTACCATCCGAACTAAGTGGGAAGGGGGCGTTTCGAAGCAGAGAAGAGGGGAAAGGGGGCGTGTGAAGCGGAACAGGGGGGGAATACAGAGAGAGACGCGGACAACACAACGGAGTCCAAGGCTACGGAAACAAACAGAGAGCGCCAGAGGTGTGGTGTGTGGGTGGATGGAGCCTCTGGACTTGAGCGAGCGTTGCTGAGACCGGGATATGCAGGCGAATGCAGGCATTTGCTGGCTCTCGGTACTGCAGCAGGCCAATCGAACTCAGCCGGACTCCTGGTCTGCTCACTGGCAAGGTTCGCGGTTGAACCAGGACACGCACTCGCATGCTCTTGATGCGGTCTCCTCTCACCTCTCTTGTTTCTGGCTGTTTCTGTTTCTGCTGCATCGCCCGCGTTTGCAGCAAGCTGGCCGTGATACGCATGCTGCTCTGACTTGTACAGGCAGGATGCTACCACGGTGTGTGCGAGAACGAGGACAAGAACACCATGCTATGCTATGTATGCTACATATCCTATGCATGCATTGCACCACCACAATCACGCGCTGCGGCACGAAATATATCAAGCACCTGTTTGTATGAGTTGTTCGCGTACTGATACAAAACAGATGGGCATATCGGGGGCGTGCCCGCAGTCCATACCATTTCATACTTCTGAAGCCACCGTGCTTTCACAGCCTGATTGTCTGGCTCACATTCTCGGCTCCGGCTGGAGGATACCATCTATGCAAGGATTAACCAATTATACAGGCAACGCCAGCGAATTGGGTGATGCTGCCGCTACCGCTACTTGGTAGGTCCTACTGCTGCCACTGCTGCCGTTGTTATTGCTGCAACTCTGCGTCGTCTCCTTGCCATTGCATACTGCATATTGGTGGCGGCGGCAGGTATTAAGCGACAGCTAGCAAACAAGAGCCGCATCCACTCACTCACTCACTCACCCGCTCACTTACACGTCGTTCGTTTTTTTTTTTTTGGGGGGGGGGGGGGATTACCAAGGCGTTGTTTGAGCTGGATGCTCTACCTCGATGATACCTACTGCTGCCACGGTACGAAGACGTTCCGTCCATCGTCGAATTGCGGGCCTAGGGCCCTGCTCCAGCCCTGACCTTGTCCTTGGGCTAAGTTTGCGCTGTCTCGTTCGTACCCGGCCCGCTATCCTGGCGCCCATAGTGATGTTGCTTGCTACTCCCAGCAATGCTGCGTCAGCTCAACGCTGGCTGACTTACAGCCAGGGGGGATGGTCACAGCTCGCTGCCCTGTTCTGGCTGTAAGTGCTGCTTTCTTCCTTCAGAGTCCCCTCCCTCTCCGCTCCGTGCTCCTTGCGAGTACGGTAACAGGTGCCTCGTATACCTAGACCGATGGAGTCTAGTAGCATTCGGTGCCCACTTGCGGCAATCTGATACCACTGGGGTGACACAAACAGGGCCGCCCGGTCCGCTCGACGATCATTTTGCTCAAATCTCTAAAGTCGGCCTCCGCATTTCCTTGGACTCGTTCGCCGGACGATGCGGAGGACCCGTTCATCGCGCGCGCTTGGTTTGGATCGGGCACGAACACATGTCGCACAGACAAGGACAACGAGAGAGACGGAGAAGGCTGGTGGCGTCTGGCGTTGTAATGGCAATAAGGCTCCAGTTCCAGCCCCAGCGCTGCCGGCGGACGACATTCTGTCCCAAGCTTGGGCTGAAAAAAGGAAAAAGGGAGATGTGATAGAAATTTGCTGCTGTCAATGCCACCGCACCCCCCCTTCCTTTTTCTCTTCCCCCTTTGTGCCATGGCGCACTTGGAAGCAAGCGACAGGTGAGAACTTGCCCAGTGTCTTGGATTCGTGGGCTTCTTACATGTGACGGGCTGACTGACTGGCTTGACTGACCGGCTCTGCTCCATGGACCAGGGAATTGAATGATAATACTCCAGGTACGCTGCCAAAGAGCCAGGGAAAGAAGAGGACAGGCATCTGCCGACGATAAGCACGGGGGAATCCCATACACGTAAGCGATTACAGAGTAGGTATTTACACATCGTCAGCCAAAGAGCCCTCTAATTGGCATCAGGGAATTGAGCCAGATACCGCCCGCAGCAGCAGCACCAGCATACGGGCATACGAGCACATTGGTAAGGATAGCCCTGGCAGATGCTTGCAGCCAAAAGAAAAGCCGAGTTTCAGTACTATCTGTTCGCTTGCCGCATCCTTTTCGCAGAAAATGGGGCCAGCCCGGTCGCGCCAACCACTCACGTCCTGTGCCCTTTTTTGATTTTCCAGCAATCCGTTCTAGTGCTGCTGCTACTGCGTGTTAGTCTCGTCTGCTAATTGCACTTGTGCTTAGCAGCCGCAGATGCCCAGCCGCCAAACGATGCTCGTCGCGCCAGTTTCCGGGCCCCGGAGCTTCTGAGCCGCCTCCAGCTTGTGTCTCTTTGGTGTCTTTAATGTCTCTCTCTCGACCCTGTGTCTCGGTCTCTCCCTTTTCTACGAGCTGATCAGCCAACACCAACCAGCTACTAGGTGCCTAGTACTGGTAAATACTGGTAATACCCAATACAATGCGGCTTCGCACCGCTATGTACAGAGTGGTATGCCAAGATGGCATCACCAATACCGGGGTAGCTCTCAAAATCGTCCGCCTCCTGTTCGATCGCTGCAGTACTATAACAGCCAGCTTCATCCGACCAAACCGCCCTTCCATCCGCCTCTCTATAATCGAAGCACACCCCTGCCAGACTCTGTCAATCGTTTCTTCTAGCGACACCACGCAGAGCCCATGTCGAGATCCCTGCCATGTCTTGCCTACTGCCATGCTTCTGCCATCGCGATGAGACAGGTCATGTCTCCTTTTTTTAGGTTTCTCATTTCTCTCTCTCTCTCTCTCTCTCTCTCTCTCTCTCTCTGTCTCTTCTTTCTCTTTCTCTTTCTTTGGCCCCCCTCCTCTTCCTTTTCCGCCAGTTGGCGGAGATTTCGCCTTTTTCTTCGTTTCTTTTTCCTTTCTTCCCAGCTCTGGTATTTACCTTCCGCCCATGATTACAAAACCAAAATATGATAACTACTGCACTGAAATAGTAGTATATACGCCAGCCGTATTCCTCCCGTGTGCTAAGCGATCGTTCTCACGCGCATCTCCGCGTGCCTCGATCGATCGATGATGGCTTTTTTTTTTGCAATATGCTCATTGCTGCTCCCATTCATGCTCCCCCCTCCACCCCATCTCCAGTCTGCCGCACTGCCTAGCGTGTGTCTTGTTTTCCAATCTTCTTCTCTTGGCTGTGTGCTGCAAGCCACATTTACTTGTACTGCTGCCCTACCTACCCACCACGTTCCCCCTGGCCGTTCTCTTTGTGGATAATTCCGAACCTCCCTGGTCCAGAGCTGCGCGCTGTGCGGGCTGTAAAGACATGGACTCTTTGGGACTCTTTGGCTTGGTCAACACATATACATAGTAGTACATACTGCACGCACGTACGCACGCTTTCCACACGCATTATGCACACCACCAGTGGCAGCACTCTGTCCTGTCGTATTATATGCAGACCTGCAGGCCTGTCTGCCGAATATGCAAATCTCCATGGAGCGTATGGGGCACACATACAGAGGACAAAACATGTATTCGAACGTGTCGTGTATAGCAACCTGTACGGCATATAAGGGCAGCAATACTACACAAATTGCATATACTATTTGCACAGGCAGCATAACTTGTTTCTTTTTCTTCCCACCATTCCCGGAGTCACCCACACTAGCCACTGCTCGGCCATTTTTCCTGACACGAAAAATGTACAAGTATAACCCCATCTATACCAAAACAAGATGCCATCTTGCTTCTTTTTCCTTCCTTTTTTTTTTTTATAACGGAACCCCCCTCCCTTACCTTTTTTCCCCTCCCCTAGTCGCCCATAGATAGACCCACTGTCATCTGGGCGGGCATCAAATCCGACAAGCCGCATTTGATAGCTCTTCGCACTTGTTACCACCACTTCTCATTCTTCATACAATAACCCAAAGGATTCCGCCCTTCTTTTCCCTCTCTTTTTCTTTTCGATTTGCTCATCTTCCTCCTCTTCCCACCGCTTTACTCTTCCGCTCTCTTCCTTCCTCCCTCCCTCCCTCTCTACGAGTCTGCAACTGTTAGAGTGCCTGTGTTACCCAATGCTCTAAGCGTTTTTTTTTTTTTTTTTTTTTTTTTTTTTTTTTCCCCCCCCCCCCCCCCCCCCATTTACGAACCCAGTTGTTTATGCTACTATAACGTTGCTACCGTATCCTCTCGCTTCCGACTGCTATTGCTCTGTCCGAAGAGAGAATATTGTATAAACGTACTGGCCTCATCGCTCCCTGCATTAAGATCTTGAAATTCGTTCGAGTCTCCGCTGTCTCCGCCCCTATATTACCGGGCCCCCATCGAGCTTCAGAAGCTATAAGCTACTGGCTACTATAAACGACAACTGCCATGCCACCACCACCTCCGGAGAACGAACCCCACAAGCGGAAGCGCGATCTTAAGGATGACGGTGGCCAGCCCGCCCACCTCCATCAGCTCATCAACCACGAACCTGAACCTTCAGGCCGTCGCCTATCGGTGCCTGTTATGTCTCCAGGTAGGTTTCTAGACATTGAGCATATAACATACCTCATCCATCATTCATTAATATGCTTGGCTTTTTTTCTTTTTCTGTTTCTTTTGTTTCTTTTCTTTTTCTTTTCTCTTTTCTCCACTTCTCTCCCACCGATCAATTATCCTAGAATGCTGGTCGGTGGACCTATACTCCACATTGCTTCAATTCTGGATCGGGACGGCTAGGTCCATATCAGCCCTCCCAATCTAGATTACCTTTAGTGGGCTCTGTCTCTAGACTAAATATTATTACACGATGTTACATTGATACCATCGCCTACTTATATCATCTACTCTAATTCATCTTCTCCTTTTCTCTTTCTACCTCTCTCTTCCCCTCTCTATCTCATGCCTTACTCGATGTTAACCACTGTTACGCAACATACTAATGCAAACATGACAGCCTCCCAGCCGTACATCAATTTCTTACCAAGACACCACTATGCCCATCTGCTCGGTCTCTTGCCAGGCGATTTAGATACCTTCAGCGAAGTCATCTACCTCATTAGTGAATACGAAGGTATGCATAACCTGTCCTCCCTCCCCTCTCTCTGCGGTGATTATATCTAGTCAGTAATGCTAATATGAACACAATTTAGGCGTATTGGATCGGAGTGAAAGCCTAGCAGCGAGTCTCGGGGCCAGATTGACAGGGCCCCGTTTCCTCAGAGGCATCGAAAGATTTTTCGATGGCCCCATCAGAACCAACTCTCCACATCCCTTCATGCACTCCATTACCTGGCTGGACGTGGTCACTTTTGCCAAGGCGAATCCCGATGCCTTCTCCCTCGTTACCCTGCCCGATGGCGCACGATGCCGTCAGTTCATGTACAATGGGATCCAGGTCGAGATTGCAGAGGATGACTGGCGCTTGATATACTCGGGAGCCCTGGACAAATTCCCACTAGAGCACATCTTTGAAGAGGACGAGGCGGCCGAGCTGGCCACGCTCGAGATCATGCTGCAGAGATCCTCCCTCTTGTACAAGAAGGCGGACGAGGTTGCGGCGAGAGCCCGCCTTCTCAATTGCAGGCTTGAAACGCGCAGAAAAGATGTGGCTCGCCAGCTTCAGCGTCATGGTGAAGCTTCTGCTGCTAATGCCGTTACTGTCAGCTCTGGCTTCTGCGCCATCAACCATCCACCGCGTTCGGCGCCCAGCAGCTCCCACTCGCCGTCGCACGATCTCCACGCCGATCTTCTGCACCAGTTTGTCGTGGCTTCGATGCAAAACCAGCCGCCGCAAGGTCCACCTCCGGGATATTACCATCACCAGCAGCATTCCGCTGTTGGCTCTGCCATGCCCGCTATTGCTACCGGTCTCAGTCCACTGGCAGCGCCGATTCTTGAAGCGCCACCATATCAACCGCTGCCCGTCCTCACTTACCCCAACATAGCCGAGACAACAGCAACAGCATCATCGCCCTCGTCCTTGGCCTCGATTTTGGCTCCGGTCCCTGGTCTAACCCCGTCGCCGACAACGTCGGTCCCAGCATCATCAACTCCGGCAGCAGTTTCAGGGGCCTCAACCCCGACCTCGAACTCGCTTCCACCAGCTCCAGCTCCGACGCCAGTCCCAATTCCTGCTCTCCCCTCGAGAAGAGCGAGAGGAAGGGCGGGAAGGGCAGGACGAGGTGGCAGACGCGGAGCAGCAGGCAAGGATCTCGCCCCAGAGGTTCACCGGGCTCTCGTCTTGAAAAAGGCAGACACGGTAAATAAGGGGGATGTCATCTTCCCCACCTGTGATCGATGCCGGCGTCTCCGCCTCCAGTGCGTCAAGCACCTGTCGGCCTGTCGAGGCTGCACCAAGAAGCACGCCAGATGCAGCTGGAGAAATGTCACAGACGAAGAAGCCGAGATTGTGAGGCATCAGCTAGAGATTATCGAGCGTGAGGCACAGAAGCAGCGAGACGAGGCCGCTGCTGCTGCTGCCGGCAAGACCGCCACACAGGCCGAGGCCAACAACAACCCGAGCGCTGGTTCTGGGCCTGCCAATAGCGCGGCTGATGCGAGCTCCAGTGCTGCGGCAGACTCTACGAGCCAGGTGGAGCTGGTGTCCAGACCAGCATCAGTGTCGGCATTGGCATTGGCAGCAGTAGCAGCAGCAGCGTCATCAGCCATGGCTTCGTCTTCATCTCCAGCTCCAGCTCCAGCTCTAGCTCCAGCTACAATCGAGCCTCCACTAAAGCTGGTGCCCACGTCGCGGCTTACTAGAATCGATTCGGCTCCTCCCTCTGTGCAGAGGAATCCCCCTCGGACGGGGCATCTGTCAGCGATCTTGTCGCCTCCCGACTATGAGCCCCGGCCATTCCACTCCCATTGAGGCAGTAGGTCTGTATTGCATTGCATACACAAGGGAGCTCAAGGATGTAAATTCAGTAGTAGATACTATTAGTATACACTTACTAGGTAGGCTAGTACTCAAAGAGGGATTAATACTAGCTTTAACAAGTGGTTTTCTTTGATGCGGCATGGGAACTAAATGGGTACCTTTACAAACGGTACGAACGGCTTTATGATATGATATAGGTTACTAGGGCAGTTTGATTAAGGAATGCTGGGTATATGATATGCTATCACCAAGTACATGTATAGTAATAGTAATAGCAGGTCTCTGGGCAACGAGCCAATAGCAATTTTTCTCTCTTTAATATAATTTTTTTTCATTCGATATTATTATTACCTATCTAGCTATACTCTATACATTAAGCTCGATGCCAATTCGCCCGGAGGTCTCAAGTGCTCCAGATTGGCTCCAAAGCTCAGATCGAACTACTATGAACGTACGCTAAAGGGTGGCGGGAGCGGGCAAAAGCCATAAAAGAGCATTTCTAAATCAAATATTTTTAGAGTTGCTGTTAAACAGTGGCCAAAGTAAGAATAGCGTGTAGCAAGGAAGGCACTGTAATAAACTGTAAAGGGTCTGATAAGTGGGTGGCGTAGCTTGCGCTCTCACCTACGAGTTCCGACTTGACCGTAACGTCTCCTGCAGCGGTCAATTTCAATGCGCTTCTCCTATTGTTCTAAAACACTTCCTTTAGAACTATCAGATTTAACATAGCACTATCGTGGTCCGTCTCTGGGACAGCGTTGATAGTAATATTACAAGAATTAGTCAATTCCGCATCTTGTCTAGTCTAACAAGATTTAAAGTATCGCTGGCCAGCTTTGCCACTTATAACATCCGATTCCGCAAGGTAGATTTTAACCCAAGGCTTGGCTCGTCCCATAACGCTCGAGTGCTTCTCTTGAGAATAAATTCTCTTCACCAGCTCCTTCATATCCTCTGATTCGCCCCAGCTACCTACCGAGCCTCTCTTAAGGCACAACTCAACTTCACTCTTTGCCCCCATCGACACTTCACTAAACAATTTCTCCATTGCAAGTTTGTTTATCTCGGCCTGCAGGTCGACCCCAATCCCGTACTCTGAAAGCTTACCTACCGATCGAAGAACAGTAACCGCACGCCATGTTTTCTTGCAATGAAGTGCATGAGGTATCCGAGATATCTCGAGGCATACGTGCCGGGAATGAAGAGCACAACGAGAATCTCGTCTCTACCAGTGTCATCGTGGGCCACACATGGAGTATTGGCCTCGCTCTTGTGAATGCCATAGTCGGCATAGCTCACGGTGAGTTCGCCATGGTCGTCACAAGCCGTAAGAAGAGTAATCAGAAAGAAAAAGGAAAGAAAAGAAGCATCCAAAGAATACAAAAACCAACAACACAATACACAAGGTAGAACAAGGTAGACTAAATACTAGGTAGACACTCTGAGTCGATGACATCGCGGAGTACGTACCTGCGCCACTGCAGAGAGCTGGCCCACTTTGGCAGCTGAGCGCGCCATTCAGATTCGAGCTAAAAGCGAAATCCGCTAGAAAGAGACTCAGAGAAGGTTAAAAAAAAAAAATTAGAGCCGGAGCCGCAAAAACAAAATCAAAGAAATCAAAGAGGCAATAAACGGCATTTCACGCTTCTTCCTTCTGCGCATACTTTTTTATTTCTTGACCGCCCACTGGCAACTGCTGAACCTTCCTTCCCTCTTGAATTCCTCTCTTCTCCTTCCGAACCAAAACTACCGCTTCTGGCCCAATCTAACCGAACCTCTGTCTCTTTCCTTCCTCATTCTTCCATTTCCGGAATCTTCCTCGCAACCGAAGAATAATCTCTCGATCAATCATCCAACCAACCGTTATCATATCGGAAAGCCGCCACCGCGCCGTATAACGAAAGCTTTCTTTCCACTCCTTTAATAATAGTCATACTATTTGAAACACAAAAATCAATAATAAAAGGAAAGGAAATAAGGCAGAAGGAACAATAAAAAGAACAGAAAGAAAAGAACAACACACAAAGACCCAGTCATGGCGCAGCAGCAGGGTCCTGCTGTTGCTCCTCCGTATCTGACAGGACGAGATGATCGTCGGCCGTTCCAGCACTCGCACGTTCCCGCAGAGCATTCAGCACTGATCCAATCGCGAGAGACGGGCGATGTGCTGCCGGACGATAGCCCTCGAGGGCAGGTTAAGGCGCTGCCATTTGCAAAATCCTGGGTGCATTTCATGGCCGGAGGGTGAGTTCTTCTTACTGGGACAGATTCGGAGACTACAAGGTTCAAAAACGAAGACTCGTGAGAGTACCGATCTAACATTTGAAAAACGTATAGTGTTGGTGGCATGACGGCCGCAGCTGTAACAGCGCCGCTCGACGTGCTCAAGACGAGACTCCAATCCGACTTTTACCAGGCGCAGATCCGCGCATCCAGAGCCGCCCAGGCGCAGGCCCTGCGGCGGCTGAATCCCGTGCGCAGCGCAATGTACCACCTGTCCGAGACGCTGCAGATCCTGGGCTCCGTCTACCGCATCGAAGGATCGCGCGCGCTGTTCAAGGGCCTGGGGCCCAACCTGGTGGGCGTCATCCCCGCGCGAAGCATCAACTTTTACGTCTACGGCAACGGCAAGCGCCTCATGGCCGAGTACTGGAACAAGGGCGAGGAGGCGCCGTGGGTGCATCTGCTGGCGGGCGTCACGGCCGGTGTGGCGACCAGCACGGCCACGAATCCCATCTGGATGGTCAAGACACGGCTGCAGCTGGACAAGAACGTCTCCGAGCGCAGCCTCGGCGTGACGCAGCGCCTGTACCGCAACAGCTGGGACTGCGTCAAGCAGGTGGTGCGAGACGAGGGTGTGCGCGGTCTGTACAAGGGCATGAGCGCCAGTTATCTGGGCGTGGTGGAGTCGACGATGCAGTGGATGCTGTACGAGCAGCTCAAGGCGTATCTTGCGCGACGAGAGGCCACCATTGTGGCGAGTGGCCGAGAAAAGAACTGGTGGGATCGCGTGGTGGATGTCATGGGCAACGGCGGAGCTGCAGGAGGCGCAAAGCTGGTTGCTGCCGTGATTGCCTATCCTCACGAGGTGAGTCCAAATATCTCTCTATCTTCCGCTTTGCTGGTTGACATGCATGACCATTGTTTGATTCTAATTCTTCCTTTCTATGTCTAGGTTGCGAGAACTCGTCTGCGACAGGCTCCTCTGGCAGACGGCAAGCTCAAGTACACCGGCCTGATCCAGTGCTTCAAGCTCGTCTGGAAGGAAGAGGGCCTCATGGGTCTCTACGGCGGCTTGACTCCTCATCTCATGCGAACGGTGCCTAGTGCGGCAATCATGTTTGGCATGTACGAGGTCATTCTGCGCTTCTTCCACACACCTGCCTAAATTCTCTCCTCTCTTCTCCTCTCCTCTCTGTATAACTAACACGAAAATCACACACCCGCACGCACGCACACACACACATATATATACTACATATACATATTACTCAGCACAAAATGAAGGAAAAGGAAAAAAAAAAGAGCAAAAGGGGAAAAAGATGTTATAGGACCTTTTCCCCCTCTTTATTTACGAATACACTGTACACTATGCCTCCTGCGAAAAAAAATTGCGACAGGATGGGGATTAGAAGGGGTAGAAGACGAATACCCGGGCACGAATTATAAGAAACACGGCGTTATAAGGGACGACTTTTTTTTTCGACGAAATTTTTTCCGAGTGCAAATGAAGGGGCAGTGAATGAACGAGAGGAGAGATAACGCTGGAGGAGGGCGAGNGGGGGGAGATTATTAGAGAAATTCACAAGGAATGGGCTCTACTCTTATTGCTAAAGAGGATGATGATGATGACCCGTGGCTAGACAGATAATTGTCGTTGCTGCTGCATGTAGCAAACAACCTCGTATCCACATAAACATCCTTCGTGTCTCTTAGCTAAACACCTCTATCGTCTCATTCGGATACCGAAGAAAAGAGAGAGAGAGAGAGAAATAAGAATTACTACTAGGAATCATGTACTGCAGCTTTCAGTCTACGCCCAATAAGCTGATGTATCCTTCTCCGAAAGGGGAAATCCAACAGTAATATTCTTCCAATAAAAAGACGGCCATTCTCGTGATGGTGTTGACCTAGCTTTCCTCCCCCTTGCATCCCCATGAAACCTCAGCTTGCATACTGATTCCATGACCAAAATGCATGACCGCACACCGATTGATAATGAGAACAAGTCACTAATGCCACGTCTTTTTGGAAAGAGAAGGAAAGAGAATGAACGAATGACGATGGGAAAGGTGGATGCGATTGGCTCGCTTAGTATCGAGTGCAGCGCGCCTGCCATGGAAGAAGAGCAAACAATCAAATCTTGCCTGGCAAGGCTGCGGCTGACTTCCCCTCCTTGGTTTCGGTTTCCCCTGACTCTTCTTTTTCTTCTTTCTTCGTCCTTTTTCACCTTTCGTCGCCTTTTTCTTCGCCCTTTCTTCGCCCTTTCTTCGCCTTTTCTTTGCCGTATCTCACCAGCATCCCCCTTCTCTTCTTCGCTTCTTCTTCTATCGCATCTTGTACTGTATCTTTCAGTTATTCGTCAATATCGGTTTCATATCAGGTGCATACAAAATGGAAATGTTATTCACCAAGCCTATCCATCTTGGAATCTACCCCCAGTGTGGGATATGCGTGCAAGTCATAGAGACGGGTGAGAGCATACAAGTTGGTACGCATTTCCATTCTTCCCTCCATTCTTGCCTTCCTCTCTGCTCCACTGTTTCGATATCAATTTCTATCAAATGACGCTCTCTCAGAAAGTCCTTTGCAACAGCGCTGACACTTCTTTTTTCTTCTTCTCTTTTTCACAGTCTTCCGTCACGCTCCAAAAGTCTTTGTATGCTCACCATCTTTTCGTCTACCTGAATCGGAATTGTTCCAGCTTAGAACCTCTCGGTTTGAATTCTGCAAGAAGACAAACTGCTATATTTGCATGAAGGCGGCGGCGGATACAATACCAGTTCATAAAAGCTGCTATGCCGTGCTCAAGAAGGAATGTGCCAGCCATGATATTTTTGCCATCAACATCCGGCTATGGGCAGTGGCAGCGTTCAGAAAGCCCTGGAACAATTCCCAGCCATTGTTTCTTCCCTACCCCACGAATGTCGATATATCCTTGATCGAAACCGTTGTTAAGGAGATCGGAATGCCACAGCTGCTTGACATGCCAGCTGAGGTTGTTGGCATGATACAGGGTTACTCGGAGCGCTCGTTGTTCTGGCGGAGCGTAGCAGCACGTAGCCTGGCGACGTATATATCAGAGACAATAGACCAGCCCCTAGAATTTCAGACGACGCCGCTGACAGAGATCATGGATTGGAAGCGCGGATCCGCTGTCACAAGCACTTCACCCAAGCTTCTGCCTCCATTTGTCACAATCACCATTGATTCCGATGGCATTCGCAGCATCTCTCGCCAGGGTCATCCCTCTGAATATTCAATAGGACGCTCTACCAGCACCACATACATCGTCTTGTCTCAAGATGATGAAATGCTATCCAAATTAGACGTTCATAACATGGTAAGCTTCTTATCTTTCCATATTTTTGTTCTTCTTACTTTTTATTTTTCATTTGCTCTACACCTTTGATCCATTCTGTTGTTGACTGATATTTCCTTTGCTTCTAGTACGGTCGATGTCGCCTCGTGGTTCCTCCCGATATGGAACCTCCACGCATTTGGAATACCCCTACTCCACCTGCCTGGTCTTCTTGCAATATGTCCATAAATGGGCATGACAGCTCTAGGAAGTGGCCACGTTTGACTGCCGTCAATCTGGATGGGATTACAGGCATAACCTTCTTTCTTGATCTAGGAAGCCTCGCCAGCATTCATCTCCATTATCCTGGGGAGCCATCTGCCATGGACACATATAACAAAATGGGAAGCACGCTTCGGTCATTCTGCGTTTGGATTTACGTTCCTATCTCTAAAGATGATCAGGTGACTGCAATTGGCGTCAAACGAGACCTAGGGAAGCCTTTCAGCCTCTTCATACAAACGGAGAAATCTGGCGACATCATTGTGGGGCCGCACAACGAGTCCTTTAAAGATAATTGCTTCGTCCACACTGCTCCCCTAACTTTTATATACCAACAACTAAAGCAATGGGATACCACGAATGAGTTGGGCTTTGTTGGCACATACTCTGCTGGGGAACCAGCCAGGAAAATGGAAGAGGATTTCCCTGTGGACAGATACGAACGTAGCCCGCTCAGTTTGCACAGCTTTGTCGAAACAATTTACTTTTCTTGGGCTCCTCTTGAAGGCGTTGCATCTGCTGTCGTCTACAAAAGACGGCACAAGGGAGTCACAAGAGGTATTATACTACACTATCTAAACGGAGGATCCCGAGCTCTTGGGCAGTGCCGTGTCGGCGTGGATGTGGCACAGGAGGTTTTCCTACCCATTATGATCTGTATCAAGATAGCTTCCAGATGGGATGGGCGTTTTATAGACGACACTGATAGCGAAGACGGAGAAGAATCTGAAAGCCCCTGGCAGCGGCGGACCGTTCATAGCGCACGGGTGGAATTCCAGTCCGAACCAGAGCATGAGCACCCTGCCGGGGAACAGTGGTGCTGCAAGCCGATGGCGGATATCCTCAAGTTTTGGTGCATGATTGAGAATACATTCTGTACTGTAAGGGATGGTACAGAAGTCGGCCCTATACCGGGCGCCGCTACAGCCGATTTACATATGTTGTCGGGGAGACGGTATACATAGTTGGGGCATGAATGATGTTGTTATCGTTTTATGATTGATGTGGCCTTTACAATTTGTCACTTGTATGTAGCACAGGTAGCTAGGTAGAGAGATATTAGTAAAAATAACCTTCTTTTTACCCCTTTGCCACATAGTTTAGTGTCCCGGATGAGAAAGGGGTAGTATAAAAAGGTATGTTATAGGTAAATATGAATATATTATATATGAATACACAATACTGGCCATTCAAGATGCAGTGACCGTTCCATATGCACGAGCATTACCATATCAGCGAATGCTATTCTACTTGTTGAGTCGTAGATTCAAAAGGGAAAAAGAAAAGGTACAAAACCGTTCAGCAAGACTATGCGTTTAGGAAATGCAATGATATATGTATATCCAATGATTAAGGCGGGGGTGGGGGGGAACGAATAGATTCAAGCGACATTCGTCATGACGGTCCACGGATCCGAAGAGTTACGAATACGATACTGCGTCAAGAAAATCTCGGGTGGCCGCGACCAGTCCAGTCTATCCATCTTGGTCATGACCAGTTCCCGCCAAAATTCTCGCTTGCTCAGAGGCCTCGTGGGCCAGTAGTCAATGGGCGGCGATGTTCCTTCAACTTGGGGGTCCCACTCATCGGTGCGGCGCTTCATCTCGCGCGCCCACTCGACGTCGTGGGATCCATTCAGGTTCAAGTGTGACTCTCCCCAGTCGTTGGTGACATTGGTGCCGTCTATGAGATCGGTGAGCTCGACTTCGTCGCGGCGGTCGAGGCAGCTCTGGAAAAAGTCTTCAAGATTCGGATAGGGCAGGCCTCTGAGGCTACGAACAATCTTGTTGGGTCGGCAGTCGAGGTGTACGTCACGGGACGGCACGATGACGAAGATATGGGGGAGGTCTCGGATCTGGTATCGTTTGTAGGTGTGTAGAAACGACATTACTCGGGCATGGGGGACTGGAGAAATAGGGATATATGTAGTGGAATATGGAGGTGAGCTGAAGATCTCGTGAGCTTTGGAAACGAGTTCGGTGGGTACGCAAATTTCCCATTCCTATAATTATCGAGTAGAAATCACTTCATTAGCATCTAAACCTTGTTGGGACATCAATTGATAAAACCTCCTTTCCACAAAAGGGAACATAATAAAAAGGGTGTCAAGAGCAGAGAGTATAGCTCACTCGTCGATCCCTCGCGGCGCCATAGAACTTGAGGGCCGATATTCCTACACAGAAGCACGGGATATCGTGGTTTTCAAGGATCTGCGTCACGCCGAGTATATCATTGAGCCCATTGTCGTCTGCAATCCTAGAATTTGGAGTAGGGCTAAACAAGTGTTTCTGGACGCCATTTCGCTGGTCGTTGAGCGGCGGCGGATGTCGAACCGTAGCTGACATTTTTTAGGTAATTTTTTTCCCCCTTCTCCAATGGGTTCAAAAGGGAGGATTCTAGTTAGAAAAAAAAATAAGTAAATAAGAATTCAAAGAACAGAAATGACCTTTATATGTTTCAAATGCCAACCGCGGATTGTGTTATGGCAGGTGTATTGCCATTTTGCGGGGTGGTGCTCAATAGGCTTTACACTTACATCACTTCATTATGCCGAGCAGATGGCACTTCGGAGAGGCAGACGCCATGGCTCTCGTTATCGCACTTGATAACAACAACAAATATGGGCTAATCTAAGGCTTGCTGTATGGGCCAGCCGCGCATGGCCATGCTCCGAATTTTGGATGGAACCGCCGGAAGGAATGGGATCGGCGTGGCTGAATGGCTTGTTTTAAAACAATCAACCCCCCATAATTTCGCCTTCATTGATGCCCCGGATTCCTGGGTTCCGACACGTCCAAAAGGTCCACTCGCCTGTCTTCCTAGCGTACATTGCCGGGATACCCCAGGTTGATTGATGCTGGAGACCGTAAGTAGTAGGCGATCCATCAACTCGGGCATGCTATAATAATACTCGTTCTATAGTTTGGAGCTCGGCCTGCTTCTTCCACGGCTGAAAAATATCGTCCAAATCTCTTCATTCTGCTTTACCCAGAAGCTGAATATCCTCAATACAACGAAGAGTGCCGTAGTATGCTTGATCAATATAGTTCCAGGAAATGTCATCAAACGGGAAATGTGTATCTGGCCGCTAGGCAGATCCGGAATAAGCCGCCCCCCTTCCACACACACGCGGAGAGAGAGAGAGAGCGCCATCCGCATAGCCAGTCGCTCAGAACCGCACAGTGCACTCTTTGCCACTTCCTCGCCTTCACATGCTTTCAAAAAAATATCAAGGAAGAGGCGAAGCCGTGGCTGGTAACGCGCCAGAAGGATGCCAAGACCAGCTTCGACAGCCCAGTCATCGGAGTGACTTCCACTAGAAACTCCCAGTCAAATGATGCCCGTCACGCGAAAATTGTCTTATGTTCGATGGATGCCATTCAACAGTTGAAAGTCGTCACAAAACAGCCGGTACGTACAACGATAATGCACTAGGGGCCGAGAAGCTAATGCAAGCAAATTGCGGCTTGGATAGCTCGAGCATTAGCTTTCCCGTCTCGCGATAAACAATTCGTCAGCTCGCCCGCCATTGGTCCGTCCGTTCGGAGCAAGTAGCTCTCTCGGACTCGAGGAGTCTCTGATCAAATCTGGTGGAAGCGTTCCTTCGACAAACTTCTATGATAATATACGGCCTTGCAGGGGCATATACTTCGTCCCATACATATCAAGAACCAGAATCTGGGTGTGTCGACGCAGGGACTGGAGCACAACAGCCCTCTTTGACGACTTTTTCTTCCTGGAGAAAGACAACTTTCCCAAGACTGGCAAACAGTTGGTGATGGAAAAGGTGCAAGGTGATATTAAAATCATCTACGGAATTATCTGGCGCTATATACTTCATCAGGGCGCATGATTCGTTCATGACACGATAACAGACGTGGAAAGGAGCTTTCTCCCATAGGTGGGCCGTCATCGCCCTGCCCCAATGGTGTTTCTTCGCGAGCTTCCTAGAAAACTGTTCTTGGTTTCCTTGTATGACGAGTTCTTTCAGCCGTGGCTCAAGGCCCGAGTTGTGAAGCTCTTGAGCGAGATGATTGCTTCAACTGACGATTTGGCAGATTGGAAAATCAGAAAAAGTAAAAGAAAGGGAAAAGAGAAAGATGCAAAGGCCCAAAGGGAAATGACCACCTGGAGAGAGAAATAGGGAGAGAAATTAAATTTCAAGGAACTGAAATAACAAGAATGATGTGCTTTACCGGCACGCACACACAGCTACATTCACGACAAGCAAGGGGGAAAAAAAATTGAGGCAAAATCAGTCAAAGCGTCTCCTTTGTCATTAACTATTGATATCTGTAGCCCATGCGCTCCCATCAGAGTAAAACCAAAATCAATAATTGACGCTCCGACCAAATTACTGCTGCCAATACATAACTCAACACCAAAAACAACAGCCCCCTAAAACGCAAGACAGCAAAAAGAGACCCTGAATGGACAGGTTCGACGTAACAAGTAATTCCCATGATAGCCATATTTGTCGTATCGTTGCGTTGGAAAAAAGAAAAATTCGACTAATTTCCACGTCTAAAGAGTAAAAAGTGATTCAAGGTCTTCCCATCCCTTTCCTTTTGTCAGTCTGTTCTTCTCATCTTTTTTTATATCCCAGTAACCCGTGAGAAGAAGTAAAAGGTATGAGCACCTAACCAATCAACACCCAAGAAATTGGAAATGAAGAAGGGAAAAAAAAGGTTTGCTCCAAATTCTCCAACTGATACTCCGATTGTCCATGCCCATCAAGATCAACAACCCATCCAGTTCATGCAGACGTGTAATATAATGAAAATAAAACAAAAACGAAGATGAAGGGAACCCAATATCCATAGCAACTATGCAGCTGAAAAAAAAAACAATATAAAAAAAGCGCCAGACCGTGTATTATCTTCCTTTTCCTTTTGTCTGGAGCGGATTAGCTCCCTTAGACCGCGAATAGCCACCGTAAGAGTGCAAGCTACAGCTCCTCCTATTGGAGGCCAGAAAAAGGTATTGGTGTGCGGCATTTGCATGCTGTAGTCGGTTCTATAAAGGACGCTGAATGCGAAATAAATCAAGACTAGCCAAATGGCAAAGCCATCAACAGAAGCCAAAAACAAAAAAGGGGCCGTGATAAGAAGAAGAGTAAAAAGGGTAGAATGATAATAAGGATATCAAAAGTCGAAGCCGTGTTGAAGCCATGTTGAAGCGGTATCTGAAGCGTTTCCCAGTGTTCCAATAAAAATGCAGCGCTGCCAAACCAAAGAAAAAAAAACATAATAGCCCCCCCCCCCAAAGAATTTTTTTTGTCACTTTTGTGTTTGCTTTTACCGGGCGAGAAAGATGTGTAGAAGAAAGTCCATAGAGAAAAGGCACAATTTTTCCCCGTCCATTCGAAGAACCAAGCCAGCTTGAAAGAGAAGAATATGAAGAAAAATAGCATGTAGCAGGGGAAATAACAGTTGTTCTTTTTCGCGTCCAGAATCATATAACGAAGATGAAGAAAAGGAAAGGGGGGAATCAAAAGGAAAGAAGAAAAAAAGTCACACCGAATCAAAGACCAGCCCAAGTGAAGCCAACGCCGTTGTCCACTCTTTCTCTTGTCGCAACTTGTTACTCCAAGACCAAAAAGAAGCGCTTGGCCAATAGCCACGTTAAGGCGGCATGGCCAAAAGAAATCCCATGCGTAGAGAAATCAAAAGGGGGAAAAGAAAAAAAAAAAAAAAAGAGAGAGAAAATCGACTGAAGTACACTCGTTACGCCCTCTTCGGTCCCAAACCGTGATGCTAGTTTCAAGTTTATCGTAGTATCCCAAAAGATGCCCCTGTGTGTACCTTGGAGTAGCTCCCCCTCTTCCAAAAAGAAAAGGCAGGGGGTGGGGTAGAAGAAGACAAAAAGGAATTAAAGAACAATATGCCCTCCCAAGAGTAAATATGCCACACTTAGGCGAAAGGCGTGCGAGGCTTAGCAGGCCTGTTCGCTCCATTAGTGTAGAAAGGTGTGGTGCGAGAAGAACCAGAGTTGCTGAAGCTGACCACAGTACCGTTCCCATTGCTGGAACTCGTATATGCAAAATAGGTGTCTTGGGGATGTTGATGATGACTATTAGCGTTGGATGGCAAGCTGGAAAACATAATGTTTCGTTGATTCGTAATGTTGTGGCCACCACCGCCGTAGCTGGCGCCTCGTGAACCAAGCCCGGGTGGTGCAGATAAGCCAGGAGGAGGGCCACTGGCCGCAGCGAAGCTGTTGGACATGTTGGACGGAGCCACCCCGTTCATGGGAGGCACATTTGTTTGAGAGACCTGCGAAGGAGGCTGGCCAGAACGAACGCCAAGCGGGTTCTTGGAGAAGCTCAGGCGGATGCCACCCTTGGTGCTGTTGTGTAGCATGGCTCCGTACATCTCGTTTAGTGCCTTAGTAGCAAACGAAATGTCTTCAAACTCGACAAAGCACATGGGCCCATTCTGCTTGGTACGGAAGCAAAGTCTCTTGTAGCCTCGCTGCTTGGAAAACATTGCCTTGAGCTCCTCCTCGGCGGTATCGACAGGCAGGTTGCCAACGTAAAGAGTGTTGCACGGAGGATTCTGGTCCGCAGGATTGACGGGAGGGAAGTTGGGTCTTCCGTATGGCACCGGTTGGTTCGGCTGTTGTTGCTGCCTGTCTTGTTGCTGAAGCTTTGACAGATGCTGCTTCTCAGGCTTCTCTTGCTGATGCTGTTGCGCTTGCGATCGCGGCTGCTGTGGCTGTTGCGGCTTTTGTTGCGGCATCTGAGTCAACGAGTGGTGATTCTGTTGCGATTGCTGCTGCTGCTGTCCACCCCTCATGTATCCGTTGCTGCCGCTGACGCCATGAACCGGAGAAGTCAGGGTTGGGATGTACGAGGGCAATGGCGGAGCGCTCGTGTTGATGGAAAGGCTCGCCATTTGGCTGGTGGGAATGTTGGGAGCAGTAGCTCTACGTTGGGCCGGGGTGCCGTTTTCCGCATAGGCGATGGGGTCTCGGAGGAGTTCACTATCGTCGTCATCGCCAAGCTCGTTGTTGATGATGTATTTGCCCAGCCGGCCAGGCAGCTCGTTGGCAAGATGGTTTCCAATAGGCGACTGGGGGTTGAACAGGTTCTTGTAGTGATTGCTAGCCTCCGTATCCGGAGCGGCAAGGTCCTGATGGGGAGCAACGCTACCGAAGAAGCGGCCCCTCATTGTCGGCGACATTGCGTCGTGGGACGGGAATCCATTGCCAAGGCTCGGCTGAGGACGAGCAACCGCCGTCATAAAAGGGTCAACGTTGGACGAGCCACTTGGGCTGGCCAGGGGAACCGGGTTAGGCGTCATTCTGACGGGTGACGAATAGGTAGATGCGGCCAAGACATCAACCAGCATGCTGCCACTATTGTTCATGTTGACGCGGCCATTGAGGTTGGTTTGGGCTTCAACCGCGCCGTTCATGGATTGGAAGTACAGCAGAGCCGAGCGATAGCGCGGGTCGTCAGAATTGCTAGGAGCCAAGAGCTCGACACTCATCAGCTCATTTGAAAAGACAAGCATGAGCCGCAGGGCTTCTTCGGTCGTATTGGCCGACAAATTCCGGATCAGCACGCGCACAGGCGGCTGCGACTGCGGCTGCGGCTGCGGGGCGAACGAATCGAAAAAGTTCCTGCTCGGCTCGCCTCCAAATCGCTGGTTGCCATTCACGCCGTTGAGACCGTACGAAGACGCAGATGCGGAAGGGTGGCCTCGGAAGGGCGCGCGGATAGACTGCGCTGTGGGAACAGGGACGGGGGGGTTGGCAAAGCTGTTCATGGCGGCGATGAGGCCTCCTCGCTCTAGGGGCTCTGGCGATTGCATATGCACGGGTGACACGCTGGACCAGGTTTCGGGGTATTGCATCCACGCAGACGTTGTCGGCGGCGGATGGCTCCTACTTGATTCACCGTTCATAGCCAGGCGATCGGGATATATGCGCGCGTAGCAAGAGGCGTTGGCGAGGATGATGAACGGTCAAAGTGGTGCGCAACTGGTGATGGTAGAGTGACGGCAGTGAGGGCCAGATGGGTTTTGGTTTGTTGGTTCGCAGCAGAACAGCGCAGAGTGGTAAACCAAGGGTTGTAGCGTGGGAAGCGAAGAGGCGAGAGCTGAGTGAGAGTGAGAGACGTCGCGAAAGCGGTTCAAATAGAAGGTTCGACGATTCGTGGGTCGACGGCGGTGCCAATACGACTCGGACGACGAGGCTTCAGCGCGAAAGAGATGGCGGCGGGTTCGAACAGTTCTATTCGTGATCGCGAAGGGTATTATATATGTGCATAGGCATATAAGGCTGGCGATGCTTGTGACGCGAGGTGGAAAGCCAAGAATGAAGGAAAAGGGCCCGGTTCGGCGCTTCTGCTGCTGCGGCGGCGATGGTGGCGGCAACAAAGACGCGGCCGGCGATCGGGATTCAAAGCAAAGTTCCGATGATGCGAAGCCAAAGAGAAAAGTAAAAATAAAAGACAAGGGGAGAATAGAAGAGAGGCGCCAGAGGGAAAGCAAAATCGCGGCTGGGCGGCGATCAGCTGGCGGGATGAAGTTGGTGATAAGGCGAAGTTGGCCTAAACTTTTGGCGTTTTGGTTGGGATTAGTGAGATGGTGATGGATTTGGATGCAGGTGCAGTTCGCATATTTTCTCCTCTGCTCGGGCCTTGGCTTTAGGCCTTCTGGGGCCTTAATTCTTGGGGGGGGGAAGAGGGGGAAGGCCGCAGCTGCAGCCGGGAAAAGGTGGAGGCAGCTAAGGAGCCAGGGCAGCGCGAGAGGATGGGCGAGGAAGAGAGGAGAAGGGAAAATGGGAAAATGCAAGCAGCGCTAGCCGGCAGTAGTACTAATATAGTAGCAGTGGGAGCAGCAGCGATTTGTAGCGAGAGGCGCAAGTTGATAGTAATTGTTTGGGGAGGGGCGCGCTCGTTCAGTGCTGCTTCCAGGGAGGATCGCTTTCCAACTTTTTTTTCTGCGCGCACCCAGTCCAGTTCTGGCGCTGGAGCTAAAAATGGCGGGCTAGGTCGAGAGTTGCTGTGGAGGGTTGGGATGGGGGCTAGTGCGGCGAATGGGAGGGAGAGAGTTTGGAGGGCTTCCAGCGGCTTTTGCGGGCTCAGACAGCGACACGGCGCCCTGGAAAGGGCTTGCCAAAGGGCTCCGGGCAGGTTCTGCGACTGGGAGGGTGGCTAAAGAGAAAAAAGCCCAGCGGGGAGGGGGCCAAATTTGCTGGTGCCGTGTAGGTTTGGCAGCCAATCGGGGGAGCGGCGCAGCATGGCCCGGCGACGCTTGGGGGAACCTGCACATTGGCCTCTGCTGCGTACCGGCCCTTGCTGCTTAGCCCGTGTTTCGTCAGCGAGCGTGGCCACAGTACCAGGCCCTGCGTACCTTGCAGGTACATCGCTGGAGGCTCCCAGCTGCTGGGGACCAGAGGCGGGCTAGTAGGCGTTGTCTTGGGGCTAGGATGACGCCAGCGAGCGCTGTCTGGCCCAAAACGCTGAGCCCAGCGGTGTTTTTTCTCTGTGCGCCTGATCCTGTGACGCGACGAGAAACCTTGTTGCTGTCGTGAAGGGGGGGTGTGAGTTGAGTTCGCCAGTCTGCGTGTGCAAGACAATCTGCCGATTACCTAAGATACAGAGATTGGCGAGAGGGATGCTGTGCAGTGCGTGCAAGCTACAGTATATCATATCATATCATATCATATAATAAAACAGAATGAAGCAAAAAGGGGGGGTTGAGAAGAAAGCCCGATGAAAGACGAAGAGACAAAACATCATCTCATCTCTCGCTCTCTGCTACTTGTGGTGCAGCCCCCCCCCCCCCTTTTTCTTGGCCTTCTTGAGTCTTTGCTCATTGGTTTCCTTGCTTCTCTTCCAAGGGAAGTAAATGTAAGTCGGACAATGCTGCGTGGGGTTGAACCCTTCTCTCCCTCGAGGATACACTTTTAACATTCCGCGCCCTGAATCAACCCCATGCTCAGAATAGAAGAAAATAAATTTCTCCTCGCTAGACATGTTTTCAGTCTCCTTGCGGCCCCCTGGCCGGCCGCACCCGAGACGCATGGCCAATATCCAGCATTCAATATTGTTGAGTAGCACCGCAGGCCTTGCGGTGATGCATCCGCAGATCGTTGGCGATGGAGCACAGCTTGTACAGGTAGCTTTTCACATACGCCACATTCGTAGTTTGTGCTCGCCAGTACTCCGTACGCGTCTCGATGATCTCGATGATGAATTCAAGTACCCGTCGGCAACACACCGTTTGCGTCCAAGCTCCCCAGCGCCGCAACCAGGTGCATCCAAGCTCCCGTGTGCTACAGGCAGCAAGGGCCAAAAGCGGCTTGGCCAGCCTGGCCTCTTCGCCTGCGTACTCGTACTTTGAATGAAGGCCAGGGCATCCTATCCAGGGAGTTTCTATCGTGCCAGAGCAACCGCCCAATAACACGACGAGCAGCACTCGATAGGCCCCAAAGTGGCAGTCCCGCGAAGGGTCAAAGTGTGTGTGGGGTGTCTGATCGGTCCACATACTTGCGGCTAGCATGTGTTACCTATGCTCGTTACTCATGCTTCGTGCTAGATAATGGCACTAGCACTAGCACACTCCTCATACATACTACAAGTACAGTATGGAGCCATGTTAGCTGGTTGCTGTAGGCAGTAACGAGATAACCGTTGACCAGCTCTTTGCCAGGCAGCAAGCGCCGTACTGAGTGTTCCCGTGAGGCAAGTTGCTCCTGTTGTGCCATACCGGCTGTATGCTGTACCACCTCGAGGACGACTGGGAGCTACCCCTCCAGCTCGCCGACAGGGTCCTGACAAAGACCCGGCGAATGCATCATTGGTGATGCAACACCAAAGGTAGCATAGCGCGTCCATCATCTGGAACAAACCGTGCCGTTTCTGTATGGCTTTTGTTTTTGTCTCACCCGACATTTCTAGAATGCTGGCAAGATCCATGGCCCCCATGCTCGAGTAGTACTGGTCCTACTGCCAGAACAGCCAGGCGATGCGGTGCTACCTTTGCTTGGAGCGTCAGCTTGTACTTGTAGCATAATTTGGAGTGATAGTCACGATATTTACCTAGTACCGACGAGACGAGTCAGTCACACAAGAACAATCACGACACAGATATGGACGCACAAAGGACGTCCTTTTGCCCATTTCTCTCTCTCTCTCTTCCTCTCTCTTCCTCTTTCTTCCTCCCTCCCTCCCTCTTTTTTTTTTTTTTTCCTGTTGCACCCATCACAGTTATAGTATCATTGCCCCTGTCACCCGCATGCACTGTAACACACCCCATGCCGGAGACAGCCTGGCGGGTGGCCTTGTTTAGGTCGAGTCAAGATTTATTCTTCTGCCGCGCGCCGATTTGTGCCGTCAATACTGTGCTGAGAGCGTCTTCGAGAATAGAAACCTACGCATCTTCCCGATCGAAAATGAGAAAGCAAGACGATGGCGGGGACGGACGAAATCTGCGAATAGCATCACCTCCCAACGCAGACAATATAGAAGCTGAAGAGATTGGAAGCAGACGAAATCAGCCACTAGTATCAAGGTGCCATTATGCTGAAAAAGACGCTTCTCTGTAACTTACACTCGATCGATCGATCAATCAGTCAATCAAAAGTATTCTCACAAATTTGATCCAAATACGGAGTACCTACAACTAGCAGTAATATCTGCCGCGGCCAACGACTGATGGCCTCGCATCCCACCCAAGATTCGGCATTGCTCATGACCATCCTTTAGCTCAGAAAGATACGCGCACGTGCAAATTGCCCATTGGTGGGGCTCCATCCGCACTAGGTCGCTGCCGACCATGCAGTACGTGCTAGGCCGTGGACTCGTCAGTTGCGCTAGAGGTACCACTCCGTACTAAGATACTCAGATTACGGGGGAGAGCCTCGCTAGCCAATCACAGGTCGTCATCGGCGCGCACTAGCAAGGCACCTTATGCATGTCAAAATTGCTGCCCTCGTCCAGACGTCAAAGTGGCCGCCGTCATTGGACGCTGGCGCGACGGGGACCCCAGTCGCTTCTCATTTCTTCATCGTTGTTACATAGTATGTGGACGCCATCTGCTGCAGAGAGGGGAAGATCATGCCCTAACGAAGCTCGCCAGCGCCCATCACACCACTCGAAGCCACTGGCGCTTGTCCCTGGCTGGGCTGGCCTGGGCCTCTCGCTCGCCAGGAACCCGGCGGAGGCTGTCGGCAAGGCGCAGGGGTCCTTTTTTTACGAGCAACGGCTCTGTAGTCTACTGGTTTGGTAATCCGCCATGAATCTCGAGCATTCAGTCGTGTTTCTTATGTGTACTCGCACCGCTGCCACCTCTCTAGACCTACCACTATAGTAGTACTTGTATATGTATGTGCTAATCACAGCTAGCACCAGGGACGGTTTCTACACAATACGACCCACCGGCGACTGAATCTGTCATCGACGCGGACCACACGGCCGCAGTAGTGGTCCGTTGCCCTACTGGCAAGTAGGGGGAAGAGGAGAGCCCTAGGCTTAGGACAGCATAGCACAATCTAGGGAAACCTAGCCGTTTGGCCTACATGGACACGGCAGACAACGAAGCTGTACAGTACTCGTATCTGTGATGGCAGAGACCCCGAGGTGGAAAGCCGTCCTTGGACTGATGGTTTGCTGCCAATAAATAATAAGAGGTAGTGCCTAGTACTGCTACCTCGCATTTCACGCCAAAATGCTATTTGCTGACGGCCGCGAAGCATCTGAACTGAAAAGGGTCCAAGTATAAGAAAGAGGTGAGAGGGAGATACTATGTACTACCAGGCCCTCTAGAATCTCGCTCCACGATCCCCCCAGGCTAATATCTTACTCGTACAGGCACAAGAGGTAGTATCATGTTCGGACTCCGCGCGGAACGAATCTAGTGCAGTGGGTTTCGCAGCAGAACCGTGACATCTCCACTTTCCGCTGTAGATGCCTAGGACTAGCAGTAAGCACGGGAGCCGTCCGTGCTCCGAACTGTAAAGCAGATCGACTCGGAAAACGTGAGAATCAATAAATCAAATCCACAAGCGGGGGCGGTTCAGACAGGCTGAGGCGCGCAACAACATGGGATACGATCCACCTTTGTCTTTGTGAGTTTATTTCTCTGGCGGGCGACGGAGACTCTGATCGACGCGTCTGACAGCCGTACCTATATATAGGTATAAAAAGTAGAGCGCGACTGCAGCTCTGACATCTTTGCAATGCTTGTTCGACAGCAGACGGCTGGGAAAAGCATCTGTGATAGCCTTCCAGAGCGATATGGGATTGCGGCGCGACATTCCTCTGAAATAGCAACGCCAATACTAGTACTTTACTGAAGAACAAATGGCTGATACAGTGCTATCCGTTATGACATCTACAAGTGCCTCACCCAGCGAGTGCTTACCAGCAGTGCTGTCATCGGCCATGGCAATACCTACTAGTACCTACCTACCTTTATTGAGGAATAAGCACTCTATACCATTCATGGGGCTTTGCGGCAGTTTGACTGCCTACAATGCGGTACTAGCCTGCATCTACACTGAGCTCTTCTGTGCTTGCTGGAAGAAACACGCAGTCAGTCAGGTACCGCCTATTGCTGCGCCTTGAAAAGACCTCACGATGCAATTATCACGGATATTTCCACTGCATCAGATAGTGCATATATATAGGTACTTATTCGAGCAGCGGTATCTTCTTGCTACAACAGGTATCCATCTGCAGTTCCTGGTAGCAGATAACAGATGATGCTCATAATTTCTGGCTGCAGTAATACCGAGGTACCTGTTCGCGGTCACGCGGGTAGCCCATCGCGTCCTTCCTTCCATTTCTATCGACGCTCAGCTACCTGCTACCATGATGCCTTTTCCTTTCTTTTCTTTTCTTTTTTCTTTTCTTTTTTCTTTTCTTTTTTTTTCTTTTTTTCCATTTTGCTGAAACTGACCACCTGCAATTCTTTCTTCCGTTTGCGACTCTCCTTTTTTCTCCGTTTCCTACAAACATACGATATTCTCTCCTAATTCTTCTTCTGCTCGTGTCCATTTTTTTGCTGCTCAGCCACTCGTGCCATGCTAAGAATACGGCACGCATTAATTACACAGCTGAATCTGGCAATGCGCCTAAATATGCATTTAATGGGTCTCTTCTCTCTACTCTGCCACCCCCCGTGACGATGCTGCCTCTTACTACTCTTCCTCCTGACTAATGGCTTTGCCGTCTATCTAGGTTATTGCCCGAGTTTCTGAGAACCTCCAGTCGTTGGAGCCCATGTCAGACAGACAAACCGGACTCGTCTCGACATATAATAGCGCCTCGAATCCTCAATCTCGGAGAAAGGGGTGGTTCAGCTTCTTGCCGTTCAGTCCAGTTCAGCCCCATTCAGGCCCAGCATGCTTGGCAACTTGGCACATTCATGCTCAGGCAGCCTCTTGTGCCGGTACTATCGGGTCGTTTTAATCTCTTCTTCTGCCTCCAGCGCGTTCTGGCCTTGTGTTCTTGCTCCTTTGGTCGTTGCTGCAAACTCCTTTATATGCCGTCTTTTCTGTCACTATTGCATCCCGGCTCTCGGCCAAGCCAGAGATGGGAATCAGTAACTAAAGCCACAGTCTCTACCGAGATCTTGATCACTTTAGTACCCCTGGCTATCCAATTCACATCTCCCAAGCCGACGTGGGCTCCATATTTCATCTTTCCATCCCACACGAGAGAGAAATTCGCCGACGTCCAAATCGACTACTATGTGCAGAATGCCTCGAGACCCTTCCACGGCCTCTGACACGTCTTATAAGAGCTCTACTTTGTACCATTAGAGCACATTTCCATGCGTGGGCCCTCGCTGCGAGACATGTTATTGGCCATAACTGGGAGCAGGCGGCGCGCTACTGTGTGTCAGCCCATGTCTATCACATTTCTTCACCTCGCATCCACACACACTCCATGACAGGATCAATCCTGGAAGGTCATCGGCTACTTGTACCGCCCAAGTGGATGGATACAGAAGGATGGGAGTGGACTGCTTTGCTGGCTCTTGCTAGGACTCCGGGAGGCTGCGTCTCGGCCAGTGACCGACAGATTGAGGCCCCCCTTACGGTCTACCAAAGGTTTGGCAATGCCATCAGCCAAACGCGCGACGCCGTATAAATAGTAATACCACTGCCGCCAGAACCGGTACATGAAACCGCCCATGGCTCGTTTGATGAGCTAAGATTCAGGGAGCAGGCAAATTATATAGCTCGGCTCAGCATGAGCAGTGCCCACACCTTCAGCCATTTGTCTCTCTTTCTGGTAACAACCAGTGAGCAAATAGGAGAAGACGTCGATGGCGTGTACAGAAAGTACTCTGGCTCGAGTGTACCCCCAATGAATCATACAAAAGCTCGGCTCGTCCTCATGACAGCCAAAAGCCATTTGCTCGCCACCTTTCTTGATTTGGTATCAAGTTTGTGCGATGACAGCTAGGCATCCATCACCTCCATCATGTACAACCGCAACTTTAGTCGCTAGATCCGATCCGACTTGCAAGCCACGCGGACAACGCTGCCTCAAAAGAGCAGCGCGTGACTACAGACACCCCGCGTAAGGCAACAAGTGCATTGACAACTACTCGGCACATATCCCATTAGTCAAACTCCTCTTCTTAAAAGCATGCATCTTTCTCGTGTACTTTGTCGCATTCATTCAATCAGTGTGGCCCGTGGCCAGATGCTACAGATGTCTATTTTGAAACATTTGACGTTCTAGTATTACTATCACAATATCACCCCTGAGAAGAATAAGCCAGATCAAATCTCATCTGGCGTATAGCCTACATCTGCTTGGCAGATTCTAGCTATCTGGCCGTGCTAGTGCCCCTACCCAGCGAAGAGGAGGGGACGACGCTGGTTATTACATCCTCCCACTTCTCTCTCGTTCTCTCCGTTTCCTCCGTCTCCCTCCATCTCCCTCTTCGTGAAACTATCACCACCGCCCATAGTGAGACAACTTTCAATTCTCACATTGTCCTCTACTTTTCCACAATCCGAGGCCAGACTTATACCCACTTGTCCTATAGCTTTGGCACTAATAGGACAGATCGACCAGGAGACGAGATCAACGCTCAAAATGACACTTTTATCATTGCCATTATGAAGATCTGTGGTCGTTGCCTAGAACTCCTCAGCCGTTGTGGCACGCGAAGTGAGCAGGTTTGAATCCTTCGAGTGTTGGCAGTGCAATGACCATCTGCCACACGGTGATTTTGATGAACAGGTGGTGAGTATCGCTACAAGAGCGGTCCCCCGATTGCATTCTGCCATCCTCGCAAGACCAAGCGGTCCAGCCCAGTCGGGTGTCTCATGGCAACGATGGCCGTTTTCCTCCTTATCGAGAATAAATTCCGCTGCTGGGACCGATCTATCTAAAGCGTCGCCAGTCGATAAACCCCTGGCTGGAAAAAGAAAAAGAAAGAAAACAGAGATTTCTCCCCCAAGTTCACCTCATCTACTATTTATTATATATATCAACAATTTATTTACTACTCTATCTTCATCAACTTCCACCATTAATATGACACTACTCTTGGGATTTTTTGTCGCAAGTAGTGACAATATGCACCCTATACCACCTCTTGCAGCCTATGCTGGGTCATTCACTCTGATATTGCTGTAAATACTACAATGAGTGCCATGAATGTCTCGCCAGATATAATTTCATGTCTTCATTTTAGTGCCCAACTTCATATTGCGTTTCTCAGTCATCTTTCGATCTTTGCCAGATATTGCGCGACGATGACTGTGCGAAGAATACACACAGGCATATCCATGGTCAGTCTGTATACATGCTAAGGTAGCCAGACTGATGATGCAAGAGCATGAACCGGCCACTCTCTTCTGCAGAATATATTTCGATTCGCCGTTGCGCACCGCTCATCATATGACAGCAACCAACAATATGTAGGATGCTTTAGTCACTCAACGACCTTGGCTTTCTCCAGACTCTTTAATATGTCGGTTCCTTTCTTCCTGCTTGGTTTTCTGCGAAGATCTTACCTCAAGGTGTACTGGCCAATAGAAACAGCCCTGGTATACGTGGTGGGACTTGGTTTGCCTGGGCTTCTCAAATCATGACACGTGAGAAGTGCTGCCGGGCCGGTTCTGAGACTATGATGATAAGTATCATGATGTCCCCAGCGGTCGATTGGATTCTTCTAACCTTGGTCTGAGACAAGCCGATGTCATCTCATGTACTACCGGTAATATCCTGCTCCCAATGGTCACGGACGTACTATTCAGCTCGAGCCCCTCGCAGGAGTTGGTCACGTTGATACCATCTAAAAAGCCACTAGTAGTAGGTACCACAAAGGGAGATCTCCATGACTCGAGCCAAGCATTGGCAGATAGTCTCTGTGACATCTCCTCAGCAACGTCTCTTGGGCCCATCGTGAGTATTTGCAAGTGACAGCCACTACCATACTCTCTCCTGAGTTTTACAGATTAACAGGTACTAGGTATATATATAATAATAGCGCCCAGTCCTCCCATCAAATCTAAGATATTTCCGGTCTGGTGGTCTAGTGGTATGATTCTCGCTTAGGGTACACCCTACAGCTTGCTTGCGAGAGGTCCCGGGTTCAATCCCCGGCCAGACCCTTCTTTTTGCTTTTTTCCCACCTGCCTTGTCTTCTGGGAAGTTGTTATTTATTTTCTTGGAATCTATGTTTCCATCTTGCTCTTTTGTTATTATTTTTGTTTTACTCCTCTCCTCCTTCGACAATGGTGATGGTAACTAGCATGTTCATTGCGCTCGTGTTTAGTTTACGACTCGCCCGCGAACATCAACGGAGCAATCTCTTCCTCGCTCTATATGAATTCAAGTGCAAGAACTGCATCTACCGTACAACGCCCGATAAGAAAGAAGAAATATATCAAAATGCTACAACACTTGAAGGTAACTAACTAATCTATCTACCGTTTCTTGATCCCGTGCTCACGTGAGTTTGTATGCTTCTAAGGTATCAACTTCCATTCCGAGTCTTGCTCGCCCAAATCTATTAATGCCGCCGATGCCTTTACTCATGTCCCCAGCCTTTCTCCAGAGTTCCAGTCTGCTCTTCTAGTACTTGGGAGATGAAAAACAAAGGGCAAGCAAGCAGTCTTGTCTTGCTTCCAAGATCAAGTTGCTGGTAGGGTGACGGCAATCATGCAACATTCTGCCGCAAAATAATACAAAACGATATGCAGTCTTTCAACCCCTATCGAGCCTAGGCTTCAATGCCCTTGCCATCAACTTCCTAAGGCCAGTCTTCGCGAGATTCGAGGCTGTACCGTGAGAGAAACCTGGCGCTCTATCATGCTAAAACAATTTTTTGTTCCCGCTTTGCTCAAACAGCAAACACAATCAAATCATCCGGGTATATCATACTTGCAGCCCATCCGATACAAGGGCTCCTCTGTCTGCTGGTGATTCTTGACAAACCTCCACGTTCTCCCTCAAAATCGATATTGGTGTAATTGGTTCTTGGTAATGGAAAGAAACCAGTTACAATATCACACATCGCGGATGAGTGCTGTCACGAAACTTGGAGCGTCGCCTACGCTTGCTGTTGGCACTTTTGAGCGCGTCGATCTTCGAACCCTCATCGGGCTCTGCCGTCTCATCTTCCTTGCGGAGCATTTGGCGGCACAGGTCGATAAACACTTCATCAACATTGGCTGATAAATGGTTAGTCACACATGTTCTAGCAAAGGGCAACTTTGAGAGAGGATAGCATAAGGTTTGGAATGGCAGGTAGATCGCCTGCACACACACGGGAAACAAAACTTACTTCGTGTTCTGGCGCTCGCCTCATAATACGGAGCTCCCCATTTCTGAGAGACAGCGAAGCCCTTGGCGCGAGGAATGACTCGGCCCTCTTCCAAATCAGCCTTGTTGCCGACAATGACCATGGGGACATTTTCTTCGTCCTTGATGCGAATAATCTCTTCTCGCAGGTTCTCCAGCTCGCTTAACGACGAGGGAGATGTGATGCTGAAAACAAGCAAGAAACCTTGGCCGGTTTTCATGTACAAGTCTCTCATGGCCACTGCTCTTGCGTTAGTCGGCAATGCTGTGGGAGAAGAAGGCAGAAATTTCATACCAAACTGCTCGGTGCCAGCGGTATCGAGGCTATTGTCTCAATATCAACATACGCCCAGCGCGGCCAAGGTGCACTCACAGCCAATGGAAACTTACATTTCTAGAATTACTTGTCGACCCTGAAGAGAAATAGTTGTTAGATACACTGTCAACGGTACACGGACACGAGGCACCATCCTTGGAGACTTACATCAACCTGAACCTGAGTGCGATAAGAGTCCTCGATAGTAGGGTCATAGCTCTCGATCCATTCATTATGGACAAACTGGGCTGCCCAAACGTCAGTCACGGGGGCCTGAGCCGCTTGATAACGGGAATCGCATGTAGTGCGTCATTCAGTTAGACGACTCACCAGTGAGGCAACTTTTGCCGACGCCACCTGGATAAAAACGCTGTTAGCAACGTGATACACCAATTTGGTACAGAAACTTAGGCACGGCATACCTGCACCAAGAACAACTACATGGAGCTCACGGCTAAAGAAAGAGAGAAACAAAGCTGTTAGTCAAAGCCAGGACAGGGCCACGACATGTCGAACGGGTGCAGCAGGGCTGTGTCATTACCTTGAAGATGAGAAGGGGCTTCGAGGCGGCATGGTTGCTGAGATTTATGGCGCAATGAGGCCAAAAAAAATTATGGGGCGTATAATAGGGGATACTGAAGGCTGTCGTATAACAGCCGTGAAGTGTTTACAACTTCACCAACGCCTCTTTTGACGCTGCGCGCAGGCTGTATAAACCCTTGAGGGACGGTCCGCGACTGTACTCTGTGAGACACGAAGGTGATGATGAGACAAATTTCGGGACCGTTCGCCTCGCGTAGCTGCAGATGCTGCAAGTTCCGGGGTATAAAAAGCCGACCAATCGAACCACTAAGCGCAGGTAAGACGGCTGAGGACACAGTGGGCATGCGACAGGGAGACAGATCAGAGGCAATGGCTGCAAAGGGAGAAGATAAAAAATTCGACAAAGACGTTGGTCGTTTTGCAATGAGTAATCAGCCAGATAATGTCACTGTCGAAAAAGGCCGGAAAAATTGCACCGTCGTGGGGGCGGTGAATGGCGGTTATATTGCAAAAGTGCTGGCAGACAGAGCGGAACCGCAAAATGACGGGGATTGCGAGGATCTCGGCCGTCGACTGATGTGGCTGCTAGGCTGGGAATGTCAAGTTGCAGCACTAAAACGACCTTGCAGGGCGGGGGGCCTTTTTTTTTTTTTTTTCTTAGGCGAAAAGGGAAAATAGTAGAAACAGCTGCCGTACCCCGTATATGTGTGAGATTAACAGCAACGCTCTCACTTGGTCTCGTTTTGTCACAACGATCCGCTGCTTTTTTTTCTCCCTTTCCGTTATTCAACCTCGCGAATTTTCAAGGTGAGGCGACGATAGTGCAAGCTGATAATGGGTGAGGAAGTATGACTAGGACTCCAATACCAGGTATAGGTATTGATGTCGAGTTGAGAATCCCTTGAGATGGGATGGGGGAGACCGGCTAGAAGTAGAATAGCGCCTGCGAGGGTAGGCTGCTGTTGGTTGGAGGTAAGTGCAGATGGTGGTTGAGGATAGATGAATGAGCTGGCGAGTCTTGGTGGGAAGGATGCTGAGGCTACGTCAGAAGCCGTTAGACAGGATGCTGGTCAAAAGATGAAGGAGATGCAAGAGAAAAGGAAGAGGGGGAGGGGGAGGAGGAGGAGGAGGAGAAGTATATAGGGAGGAAAGGAGCTGATCATCAAATTCGACAGCAAAGAAGCACGGGCTGCGCTTCGCTTTTGTATACGGCGGCTACTTACAGTCTCAGGTATACATTAGGCGGCTGCTAACAGTAGCGAAGTGGCGGCAGTATAGCAGTGATATAACCAGGTTTAAAAATAGCAAAGAAAGTAGCAAATGGGAAAATCAACAAATATAGCAAGACGGGCAGAGAGAGGGAAGGAAAAATGGCGAGATGAGACAAGAAAGGATTGAAAAAAAGCAAACAGGAATAAATAAAATGAAATAAAATAAAATAAATAAGGAATAAAATAAAATAAAAAAAAACAAGTGAGGCGGGTGGTAGTGCTCTGAAACAATTGTCTCGCAACACACAAGAGACCAGAGGAGCGAGGGAAAAAGGAAAGAATTCAAGCCATGATGTGGCTCTTGATAAACGGCTGCCAAGCTGCTAGGTAGAGGGGAGCAAACAGTACTACTCCCTACCCAGGACCTAAAAAGAAAACCCCAGACAAGCCATCTCTAGGCAGGCTAGTCTAGTCCCTATGGAGAGGGAGAGAGACAGAGTTGCTGTAGGGCGAACGCAAGGGCTGGCGTCTCTTGGTGCGTATGATATAAAATAGTGCGGGGTGTGTATGGAGATCAGGTCAAGAGCCTGTTAATGCGAGTGTGAATCGTGCCGCGTCGTATCGTGTCGTTTCAAATCGCGTTTCCCTCTCTCTCAGGCGGAGTAGCAGATCTTTTGTCTGCGTGAGAGCGAGTAAGTGGCGCAAGTAACGCCGTATAAGGCATAAGAGGGATATAAGGTAAGGTGGGTAGGTATGGAGTATATTCGTAAAGGCTGCTGGGGGGTGCCAAAAGGTGCTAAAACATTTCAATGCCGCTACTACCCAGGTAGTCTAGCAGCTCTCGGAGGCCCCTGGACCTCGCCGAGGGTGAGTAGCAACGGGTTTGCCCGTCTGGTCTGTCCTTTGGCTCGCGTACTACGTCTTGGATGAGGATATCCGTTTTGCTCTTTGTGTCTTTTGTGTTGATTTTCCCCTTTCACATTCTCACTACCATCGATCTCGTGTGGAGTAGGAAAGAGGATAGAGACAGATAGGAGGGAGCATAATGGTGGTGGTAGTAATTACATGGTAGTAATAGTACTGTGATAGGCAACCAGGGCATCTTCTTCCTCCTTTGCCACGGCCGTACCTGTACAATCTCGTGCTCAGCATTCAATGCAAAGATCACGTATATGCTATGACCATGCGTGGAAAAGTTGGCGAGCTTTAGATTAGGAGGTAGGGTATGCTTGACTTGAAATATGCATGCCGCGCATCCATGCCCATTGATCAGCCTTCAGCCTCGACAGCAGGAGGGTGCCAACAAAGAATAGCTGTCGTTTCTCGGCGCGTAGCATATATCAATGCCACCTAGGCAGTGCACGATGGATTCTGGTACCAGCAGTAGCAGTACCGGTAGATTAGTACGTAGCTGTATCAGGTCGTAATAGTAGTGCTTCCAGCTATACAAGTGCCAGCAGTATGGCCGAGTGCCGATTAATGTGAGCCGGGGGGTGGGAATCCATGCAACACCCCCATCAATGACGAAAGAGAGCACGGGTGTAAGGCCAGCAGAAAAGGGCTGCCATGAATACCAACCCCAGCAAAGAGCTACCTGTATGATACCTAGTATGATGGCAATATCACTCATTCAGTACTAGCAGTAGTAGTGTTTGTTCGAGTGCTGAGTAGATGGGCAAGGAAGGGAGAAGAAGGATTTGGCTCATGTAATAGCAGTGTCATTTACGAGTAGCGTATAGACTCAAGGTTCAAGGAGAGAAAAAGAAAGACGCACTTGGTGTTATCGCCAGTGGCAGTGCCGCATCTGAGGGAAGGTTCAGCTGGGGTAGCATTAGGTACGAATATCCTCTCTCCCCAAAAGCCTTTTTTTGCCCAGTCGAAATCAATGCCTAAGGTAGGGTTCCAAGACAGGCTCAGCAGGGGGCAATAAAAATGAGGATCCCATTTCAAAATTTGAACTGTCCTGTCGGGTCCGCCGTCCAAGGATTTGGGACGCACCACCAGGGCAAGGGAACCCCGTCATGCTGTAATAGAGCGGAAGCCAATCTAAGCCAAAAGAGCATAGAGGATGATGGAGGAAAGAAAGCAAAGAACTAAAACCCCTCACGCTTTGGGCCGGCGAAGATCATCAGGCAGCCAGCAAACAAGCCATGGTTACTCTGAGAATGTAAGGCTCAGGCCGTACGCGAATCAGGCGCATTCGAGCTTGTCTCAGAGTGGTACGAGCAGCAAGGGAGGAAGGACGGCTTTGAAAATGAAGACCCAAAAATCTGGGAGCATGCGCTTTCCACCACGACACGGCATAAGGCAGCTCAACTAGCTCCTGGTGGTGTGCCATGGCGCTGGAATCGAGTCATGCCTGTACGAGAGGAGCGATGCCAGCTCCAGTGGAACGCCCAAGATGGCACTAATAAAGGATCTGATGGATGGAGCCCGCGCAAACTTGTCACAGCTCCCAGCATCTTGGAGAGCACCCGCGGCAAACCGGCAGAGACGAGCGCTAATACATTCGTAGCACGCAAGATTCGGTTTGCAGCGCGTTTGCGTTGGTGTTAGTCCCTGGAGGGAGCCGAGTCGGAAATCGAAAATCCTCGTACTTGTGCCAGGTAGTGCGAAGAGCGGGCATGGCAGTGAGCAAACAAGCTTCTTCTAGGCGCCTCGCTTGTACTTCTTGCTGCCAATGCCTGTAAGTGCTTCTTCTTGGGCCAAATGATGGTAATCTTTCTTAGCGCCCTCTTGGAGCTCTTGGAGGAGACGCGTTAAACGATGACCCAACACTGTAGTCCCAAGAGGCGCATCCACCAGCCCATTAGGTAGAAAATGCTCCATAGCACCACTGCTAGCATAAGGCTTGATGTTGAGGCGAGCTTGAGCAGAGTGGAGAGAGAGGCGGCAGCGACATCACAGCCCGGCTCATGCGATGCGTAGGTTCCATGGCCTGGCAAGGCTAGCAGGGCCCAAGTTTGCGAACGTTTGACGGTGCTTTTGCCATTTCATCTCGCCAGCGGCTCTCGTGAGGCTTCTCCCCCGCTGCGTTTTAGCGGCTGGGGCTCGAAACAAGAAGCTCCAGGCCAAGGCCGGCTTAGCTGGTGCCAGCCCCTCTAAGCTGTCAAAACAGGACCGGTTTGTGCCCCTCGCGCGTGGCGGGCCAGCTAGTCTGCGATCAGCTCCTCATCAGGCGCCCTGTACCTGTCAGCCGTGGACCACTCACACTTGAACTGACTGCTGGGTTGTCGTATCACATGAGGGTCAGCTACTATACCTGCTAGATGTACTGTATGTCTTGCTTGCTGACCAGTGGGGAGTTGATCGACAGCGAGGGAAGAGTTGGGACGAGAAAATGAAAGAAACAACCTGGAAAGAATGGTGCGGCCGAGAGAACTGCTGGATTGGGCGGACAGAAAGTTGGGTGAAAAGGCAGGGTACCTAGGTATTGATATCTATCAACAGTGGAGAGGGAGAGGTTGACTTGACAAGGAAGAGAGAAACTTGGGGGACAAAAAATCAGAGCCTCAGGTTGGAAGTTCACCAGAAAACGTCAATGGTGGGCGGTGCATCACAGTGCATACAAGGTGCTAGGTACTTGTTATAGTACCAGGGAATGTGTAGTTTGACTTGCAAGCGGCCGTGATAGACGGCCCGTCCTCTCTTGCCAGCCATTGATTGAATTAACACGAACTTGCAAGCTCGCTTACCAAGGTGTCTCTTGCCTCGTGTTATTACTAAGATACAGGCCCTTGCTTCTAGCTTATACTGTAGGTAGCAGGACATAAGGCACGCCAGGATACCACCAAAACGCCTCATTCAACACGATGCTACTGCTTGCTGTGCCAGGTACGTCCGGCCCTTTTGTTCATAGTAATAAGACGAAAAGAAGGAGGAAAGGAAGAGGGCAAATGATAACTTGGTGGAGGAGTACGTACCACTCTTGGGGCCATTGTTGTTGTTGTTGCCGCCTGATTGTAGAAGCAGCTGCCAAATTGCAGCCGCAGTTTTCAGAAGGCTCTTACGGGCAGGAGCTGTTTTCTTTCTTCTTTTTTTTTTCACGCAAAATGTCTCTCATTCGAACAGCTATTCTGGGCATAGCCAAGTTCTGAAAAGAAAATGTGCAGCCTCTTACTGCGAGCTCAGCTCTGCCAGGGTCTTATGCCATCATCACATGCTGCCGCTGGTGGTCTTACTCTGATGCCACGCCCATTCTTGAGATCCATCTCTCTTCTTGTGGTACACATCTTTTCTTTCTTCTTGTCCCAGCTACTGTTTCTCACTCGTGTTTCTGTCATCCCTTCTCAAAGCATATGACAGATAATCGACCCCTTGTATATGACAGGTTACGTGCACTAGGCTGAGTATTTTCTTTTTCTCTTATCCCTTTACAATACTACTTGGCATCGCCCCCATGCACATAAAAAGAAAGTCCCTGCCTACTTTGTAAATGGAAAGCACGCCCAGATCACTGACTGTTATTGCCACCATCAGCAGCAATCGCAACCTGCCGTCCTCCACAGGTTTCGTGGGCCAGCTCATCTCTCCCTGCCCGTGTCTCAGAATAGCCCAGACGGCATTGACCTACTGTGGGATACCGAGGCCGAATCCACTATTTAGCAATTTAACAGCTTTTTGTCACGAGGCCATCAGAGGCAACCTATTTCTAATGATTGCGATCTGCGCACAGATCATAGCCGCGAGAGCCGTGTGGAGAAAAAGGGACAAGAGAAACAAAACCAGAGCTTGCATATACGATGCTCATATTCAGACCCAAACTTGGAGACTCAGCCTCGATTAGCTCATGCAGTCTATCTGAGTAAGCTCTTCATATCTCTCAAAGGAGAAAATACCACCGTAAGAGAAAAAAAAAAAAAAAGTAAGCAAGAAAGAAGAGACAGAAAAGAAAAGAAAAGAAAAGAAAAGAAAGGGACATGCTGAACAGCTCGCACCCACCCTTCGCGGCTATTTCATCCAGTTTGGGAAATTCCCACCCAGTTGGTCTGGAACCCTGGTCTTTTCTCGATACTATGTACATCGCATCCCCCGGATGTTCCATGTTCGCTTCGGAGCCGACTCTGTCAAGACAACAGTAGAGGCTCTTATCATATTTCTGGAGACCGAAACAAGTACAGTATATGGGGACTCTTCCTTTCTCCTTGCAACTGCCTCCTCTTCGGGAGCATCCAACGTTCGTATTTCCTCCGCAGAACCGCAAATCAAGCACTTGAAGATCACAAAAACCCGCCGAAAGCTGCCGCTAGGCTGTCGATCTCTTCGAGCTCCTAGGGTTGAACTTCCGAACGGAGCTTCTTTTACATGGCACATCTTTCTTCTCTTACTGCAGCAGGAAGCCATAGCATGCAATTTGCACCCGCGGTAAGATGGAAAGAATAAAAAAGCCTTGGGTGTGGGTATGTATGGGTGTGTATGGTTACAGACCATTCCATCAATCACATGCAGATTGCTGCTCTCTTTTTGGGCAGCGTTCCTAAATATATCGCCAGATTCGTAATATAGCTGGAACAAACTAACTCCAGATGCGGTACCACAGCTCCGAGTCATCCATTCCTAGCACCGAACTTGAAATGCCCATATTCTGGTCCAATCGGTCGTTGTTTCTGCAAGAAGCCATTCCTGCATAATCGAGAGTGAGTCCATGGGCCAAGCTGCGTACTGCATCGAGTAGCCAGGGCCCCGAGGGGTATCCAATTCCATGCTTGTTCTTCATGCAGGCCCTGTGCCTATGCATTGCCGGTGCTGCTATTTGAAGAAACTACTGCCACGAGTAGGTGCTAGTATTTGAATAATATGCGGGCTACCCGCGCGTAATATCTTTAAATCCAGGTGCTCACACCCCGGCCGGAAGCCCTACGAGTCGTACTAGCACGACTTACTCTTGTCAGCTTGCCTGGCTTACCCATTGCCGCGGCACGTTAACGGCGATGCCGCTAATCCACATAAGCGGCTCGCCTCGAGAAGCGGCCGGCCCTGCGCCGTTGCCACTATCGATCGATATACGCTATTGCTGTAGGAACTATTTTTAATTATTATCGTGGCATAGCTGCCTATCGTGGTGCAGTGGCACTTGATAATTGGGCCATGAAGTCCCATACCTGCTGTTGCATCTCGTATAGAGAAGAGGCTACAAGGGTGGAGTTTAGTAGCCACGCCTTTTTCCATGGTAGAAGTAACACTCAAAGCTGCTTCCTTATTGGGAGCGATTCTCTTTTCTCATATTTTTTCCCCTCTTCTTTTCCGTTGGCTTTATACAACAATGCACATGGCTACAGTGTACTCAACAAAGATTTTTTTTATATGTCCCCATTCCACAGCAGATCTTTGACTGACTAGAGAATCTATTGTCTATGGAACTGCTGTTGCCCAAGAATATTGAAGCAAGATTGATCTGGATTGCAGGAATATTAAGATTAACAAATAGCTATTGCCGGGCAGCTCCAGGTGCTATATAATAGGAGTTGCAAACTGAACGTAAGCAGACCAGTTGTTATTACCCCTATCATCCTTCAAACGGCGTCAACAGTCAGGAAATCAGCTCAACAATGCTCAAGCCCTTCGCCCTCGGCATGAATAAGTCATACTAGGCAGTACATTATCCATCACTAAAAGACAGAGATAGGCGCACAAGGTTGATCACGCAAATTAGGGACAAACGCCATAATGCCCTGTCTATTAAATGCTCGCTGGCTATGATAATCCAACTTGCCATCCTTAGGCCCAGCAGACAGGAGCTACAAATAGGGTTAGCCATCTCCTCCCACCAAGAAATATTACACAGATCGTATATATACGGGTCGCCGTCCCTATTTTTGGTGCCGCCTAGTCTCAATGACAATCAACGACAAATCATATGTCTCGCTTTCCATACGCCCAGCCAAACCAGAAAATAAAAGATCTATCTAAACACGCATGAATATGCTGATACACCCAGCCTTCTTCGCAAAATCCCAAACTAATGCGCTCATAGCACTCAATACCGGATAAACCAAAACAGACAGACGCCAAGACACCTCGCTCGCACATTTCATAATGTGGGTAGCATGCCTAAACACTTAAACCATTGCCCATCCTTTCCTGTTCCTGAATAGCACAATTCCTTCGCCCCAGCAAAAGTATGAAAAGAAAAAGAATAAAAAGAGAGCTCTAAAACGAGAAGGGGAAAGAAAAGGAGAAAATGTGATGAAAAGGAAAGCAACGATCGTAAAAGGAATGAACGATTTTGCCCAGCCCCGACGGCGACGCAAAGACGAAACCCCAGCGCTTCTTTAGCCTTAGAAAGAATTGTTGCCGTGGTTAGGCGGTGGGTGGTTGAGCGCTCCTTTGACAACCCCCAAGGCTAAACCAATGATCAACGCGCCACAGAAGAAAAATACGACAGCCATGACGATGATGCAAATTCTGAGGCGTCTCTGCTTACGTCTACGCTCCATAGCTGCTGCATCTAGCTTATAGGGATCTTCCGCAGCATGGCTCGCTTGGGTCAATGCCGAGGTCGATGCCCCGGGTGCCACAGGCGCCATGTGAGTTGGTGCTGTCGCCGTCGCCGTCGGTACGGTTTGCAAGGGCATCATCTCGATCCCCCCGGTTTGGGCGTGTACGTCGGCGTGCGCGTGTGGATGTATAGTCTGAGCGGCAGTGGTTGTTGCATCGTTCTGTGGATACGGGTATGCGCTTGGAGCTTGACTCGGGTCATACGGAGGAGGAGGGCTGCTGGGGATGTCATAGGGCTGCCAAGCTCCCTGTTGCTGAGGCTGGACTTGATGCTGAGGCTGGTATCCAGGCTGGTTCCCTACGTGAGGACCCAGAGACGTAAATCCGGGCATGGGATGCGAAGGACCAGCCGGAAACCCCCCGCCGACATAGGTTGATTGAAGCTGGAGCCGGAATGGCGAATCATCTGGATAGGCGGCATCTGGGATCGAGTTCGAAGGATGATACTGCTGCCGATGGAGGTCGTCATCGTATGAAGCCATGGCCCGAGCCGAGTCGTGTGATGCACAAGGCAATCAAGGCGGATGTTCGATTCAGCCCAGCAAGGTGCAATCTTTCCGTCTGGATAAGAAGAACTGGCGGAGCCCGAAATCCGAAGCAGGATAGAGTATAGAAGCCAAGCCAGGCAAGCAAATAAGCAAGCAAGCAAGCAAGCAAGCAAGCCTTGGGGGTCTCCACAAACACTACCCACACGACACTGCGGGTTTTGATCAGTACAAGCAAGCGGCAGCTGCCAGGGGCTATGGATGCAAGGCGTACATGTATGGAATGGCCAGATGGTCTACTTATGGTACCGCTAATTAGTAGTAGTAGTATAGTGTAACATGCGCGTGAAGTCTTGCGCGGCTATGTGATGGAATTGCGTAGGAAAGTGTGTCTTGTGTACTAAGCACGCAGTGCCGTACTTGAAGGAGTGCGAGTAAGAAAGAGTATATCCAAAAAGAAGGGGGTGGATCGCAGAACGGCGGGCAAAGTCGCTGGGGCCCGTCGATAACGCTCGCAGCAAACTGTCCTCGAAGCCAGAATCTCGCAGCGGCAGTCCAGCGGTGTAAATGAATGTCGGGATGGAAGAGGCCGACTGGAGAACCGTGGTGCTGCGAGTATGTCTGGTGTGGGATGGGTGCCCAACGAGGGGGCTAAAGTGAGCGAGATGTTTGCAGAGGAGAAAAACAGCGGGCTGCCAGAGGAGCGTTCCTGTTCCAGAGCAAGGACTGAGGCTGTGCTCGGGGGTAGCGGATCGACACGGCGCGGGTCCAGCGCCTACAAATATGTGCTGTGCCTACTCAGCTACTTGCAGTAACACACCAAGCAGGCTGTCACGGCCCGCGTCCCCTTCAGCTCCAGCCGGGCCCAGCCTTTGGAAGGCAGCACCGCGGCAAGCAGCCGTGTGGTGGAAACACCCTCAGTGGCGCGCCAGGATTGGTTGTAATACCTACTAGTAGTACAGTATGTGCTGCATGGCTCTGCATTGTGCATTGTGCGTTCACAGCTGCACTCTGCCGCGCCCGAAGGCTTCTCTCTCGTCCCCCGCTTAGTGCTGGCGGTGATCAAATCTAGACCACCAGGGTTTGGCTTCAGCCGCTGCAGCACGCTTGATTGCTCTGAGAGAGAGGGAAGAGGCCTCAGGACGGACTCCGGCAAACCAGGGGGTGGTCGGCGACGGCTCCAGGCCAATAAGAGGCCCCGAGCAAGGGGCCGTCAGAAGACGAGAGAAATTGCGATCTGTAACGGGGTTAGTTTCCACGCCAACGCACGAGGTGAAACTGGCCAACCTGTCTAGACATTGCTGTGCAGCAGAGAAAAAGCAAAAGCTGTGGTTTGCGGGAAAAGTCAGACATACGCCCATACGGGAGGCGAAACAGAATGGCCTTTGATTCGACGGATTTTTTTTTTTTTTTTTTGGCTTTGGGGGGGTTTAAAAAAAAAAAAAAAAAAAAAAAAAAAAAAGGGAAAGAAAAAGGAAGAGCGCAGAGGTCAAGAAGTACGTACGTACTTGCTTGCTGCAGCCAATGTTGCCTGAGGAAGAGATTTGGGTCCGAGATTCTTGTAAGTGGTAAGAGGTACATCCCAAACAAGAGCAACGCGCGCTTTTTCAGATGTACGGGATACTTTAGGCGCACAGGCAATGTAGGAAACAGGAAGAAATAATGCTGGGTATGGACATATTGCTCTCTGTGCTTCTCAAATCGCCTAAATCTACGGATGGCTTAAAGGAGAAGCATAATGAGGAAGATGAAGAGATATCTCTTAGTACTACATAGTAAACTCTGCCTGTCTATTGTCCACCTAGGTACCTAGATAATACCTGTAAGAGACCAAAAGCCTACAACCTGTACCTGATATCTCTCTGCAACTGTTACAGTAATCATTGGGAAAGTATCCACTCATAGAATATATTCATGCTTGAAAGAGCTATAGATGTTGAAAATTCCAGGCCCCTCTCATATGGAATTGATGATGGGCGAGTATGGAACAGACCACTCGCGTAACAAGAATGTAGAAGCATTTGAGCAGAAAGAAACGGCAGAAAATAGCAGCGCAACCGCATCGTAGCCAAGGGGCCTGGTAGAGATATAAAGACTTCATGAGCGTTGCTGAATGCCAAATGCCAGTCTTAAGCGCCGCTTATATCAATTAACACGCAAAGGGTTCCCTGTAAATCCTTTGAACGAGCCATATAATAATAATACAGTCCATCAATGAGCAAGACGGAGGTGAAATTGAAAAGAAAAGAAGAAACAGAAAGGGAAAAGATACTGAAATGCAAAAACGCGGCAAAAAAGACTCAATTACTTTTTTTGCAGGCTCAATCCCGCTACTCTAAATTAAAACACCGGCTTATCCGCCCCTCTAGTATGTAGGTACACATTGTAATATTAAGAGACAACAAAAGACAGGGGCAACACACAAAAAAAAAAAAAAGGAAAATGAACGTTTTTGAGACGCAAACCCGCTGCTGGCAAGTAGGGGAATAATGTGGAGAGAAAAAAGAAAACAAATATGAAGCTGATTACAGCGATGATACAGAGCCAGAACAAAAAAAAATGAGGAGACAGGAAAAAGGAAAAAAGGTACAAAAAGGGAGGGAGAAATCCGTGTTTCGTCAATTTCTTTACTCCGTTGATGCAAATCTGTCCACTGTCGTTTTCTGTATGTCTGCGCGAGTTGGTTTTGCCCCATGATATGACAAAATTAATGCGATTAGACCGTTCCTCCATCCAGTCATCCACCAACTAGTTCTACCGCTGCACCCGCTCTTCCAGCTGCCAAATGCCCCTTCCACGTAAATCAGATACAAAGGAGAAGAAGTCCAAAGGGTTGAGGACCCATTTGATATATATATGGTCGTATGTATATGTGAGTGTGATATGCGAGAGATATAGAGAGGAGGTGAATGCGTGTGTGTGAGTTGGAAGAGAGATGGGGGAGAGGAAAGAGAATCCAATGTTGAAGAGAATAGGGGCCGAGAGGCACCTAGTAGATTGTTTTTCCCATTGGGCATCACGCCAGCTTTCCTCATCACAAAGTATTAGTTGTTATTGTTGTTATTACCGCCGCTTCCAGGTTGAGAAATTGACATATGTCCTGTAGGTGCTGCCCGAAATCTAGTATGGAGGCCTGGTCAAGTTGCCCAAGCTACCCTCACCAGGGCGACTGTCAATGCCCCTCAGAAGCTCTTGCAAATCCATCATTCTGCCGCCATCTTCGTGGCCACCCAGGATAGACCGGCCGGTAATGCTATCCCCACCCCGGCTGCTGATATTACGCTTGCTGTAAGCCTTCGCTCCGTAATCTTGCACCGCAATGCCTCCTCCGTTCATGATCCCGCCCTTTTCAGAAAGGGAACTAAGGTTGGGCAGTGGTGGCACAGGCGGGACTCCAGTTCCAGGTCCTCCGCCGTCCTCTCGTTCACCATTCACATGAAGCTTTGGTACACTCTCACGCATCGAGCCTGAGCTTAGCGGGGCGCCAGAGCTGCCAGATCTCGATCTCTTGCTGAATCCATCGGCCGAGGTGGTTGGCCGATCTGAATCCGTGCCTGTCGGGCTGAAACTCTTTTCTGATGCACTATAGTCATAGCTCACCATGCTCTCGGCGCTGTCATCTTCGGACCCAAACGCATGAGGCGAAGCATTGCCAGACAGCACGCGCTTGAGCTGTTCTACAGATGCAACACCGGCCTTGCTCGACGACGATATCGTCTGCGAGATGCCGCTTCGGATGCTGCCCTGCCGGAACCTGGGAGACGTCCCGAGATGGTTTTGATCCGGCATCATCTGTGCCTGAGAGGAGTGTGGTCGCAGGTTGTGCTGACTACCGTAAGGCGAGTATGGCAGATAGCCGTTGTTACCATTGATGCCACCAGCAGTGCTGACGGTCAGGTTCCTGAGACCAGTGGTTGCCACAGTTCCCGTACGAGAGCCATTGATCGACTCCGTCTTACCCTCAGCGGCCAAGGCCGCAGCTACTTGCTCTCTGGACCACTCCGTCATCATCTGTTCGCGGTACGTATCCGGGAGCTCTAGCGACCTCTCGGGAGTTACGGGGGCGGACGAGGTTCCGGGGCTCATTGGGATGTTGAGAATAGGACCAGAAAGCATTCGGCCGGGAGACGCGGACGGGCTGTTTGGTGGCCATGACGTATTTTCTTCATAGCCCACAGCGATACATTGGATGAGGGAAGCTCTGTCGTCAAACGGCAAAAGTTCTTCTGTCTCGAGGACGCTGAGATCCCACTCGGGGGGAGGCGCCGCCTGTCCCAGCGGGCCAATTTGGTCAATAGGCTGCGCCGGGACCTGGACGCCTGGCACCCAAAAGCCTTTGTTCTTGCGCCGGGCAACCTCGTTGCCAATCGCTCGGCCCACTGCTGACCCCTCAAACTCGAATTTATCGGTCAAGATCCAGAAATAGCCGTGGCACACGGCGGCGATTCGCACTTTGTGGATGGGTTGCTCGACCGCCAGGATTTCTTCTTGCAAGCGGTAAATCATAGGCACGCCGTACCTAACAGCATTGACGCCAAGCCGTAGCACGAGCCTTGCCAGCAGCGTGTGAAGCAGGGCAAGATCGTTGTCAAACTCGACGAAATGAAGAGCGTTATCGTAGATGGCCAGGTGAAGCTGCGCGAGGAACTGCGAACGTCGAGTTCTGGGCTGGCGGTCCTTGTTCGAGGCACTAGATACGACGCGTCGGGTATTGTTGGAGAGATCGCGGGCATTTTTGGCAGCGGCGAGAATGCCTGCGGCGGTAGACTTGTGAGGCTCAAGCGCCTCGTCTCTGGCTAGCAGATCCATGGGCGTGGTCTCTAGATCCAGCCATGTGAGCAGGGCGTCGACATATGCTCTCCGTACCAGACCCGAGGGATCGCGAAGCAGCCATTGGGTACCTTCCCAGACCTGAGCCGGCACTCGGTTCCGGCCCAAATCGGCATTGGTGCTGATCCTGACCTTGGGATTAGCGACGTGAAGGATGATCTTGACAATTCGGAGCGCCGAGATGCGACCTGACGTGTAGGAAAAGTAGACGTCCGCCGAGTTAGGTACCTGGCCCTCGACCAGATCCGCAGTGGTGGTTGCCGAGGGTGGCGAAGCATTACTGCTCTGCTCGTTGCCCTCCGTCTTCTCGCCTTGTGGTGTCGAAGGAGCGCTTGATGACCGGCTGGGCTTTAGTCGGCCAACCATGGCAGCAATCATGTCCGAAACCTGGTCGGCGTAGTAGATGTGGCTAGCAAGATCTCCAATGCACTGCTCCAGTCGTCCGAGAAGCGCCCTGCGCTGTACTTGTTGGGGGCTCTGGTCCACGTCGCTATCGGTCGCCATCTTCTCGCTGGGAGTCTCCGCTCGGCTTCCGATGTTTGACAGCGCGAAAAGCTTCTTGATTTGTTTGATGAGACCAAAAAGAACGTCCATGACGCTTAGGCCAATCAAATTGATATCGGATCTCAAAAGCGACTCAACCATGGCCGTCAGGGCTATATGCTGGTCCAGGTTGTCGTCTCGCAGGGGAGTGTGAGTGAGAGTATCAAGCGCCATCACCAGAATGACATATCGGTCCTGTACAGGAGCCCAGCGGGCAATGATGCTAAAGATGTTGATTGCCCAACCCTGGTCATAGCCATTCTCGGCGTCGGAGCTCGTCATGACTTTTTCTCCCTGCTTTACGCGCTCCAGGATGAATCTAAGCAGGGCGGCCGTACCCGAATGGATCTGCGATCTAGACGGCACGACAAATATGCTCTTAAGGCACTGCATGGCCAAGACGCCCGTGTCTTCCTCAGCCATTCTGTCGACATCATTGGCGGTTCCTGAAATAGCAAGTGGGTTTGCGTCGCCGCCGGCTTCTGGGGCTTGAACCGTAGCGACGCTCGTCCTGCGCCGCAGAAGCTTCTCCGTGTCAACTTTTTCCTCCACTTCCACGCGATCCAACAGTATGTCGAGCAGCGTCTCATCTTGGGTCCACAGGTTCTCCAATATCATGGGCACGATGACGTCGATCTGGCGCCCGCTCACGGACGACAGAGCATCGCTGGTCGCTATGCATTTGATGGCGCCCAGCCCAGCGTTCCGCCATCGCATCTGAACTG